TTTTTAGAGGGTTATTACCTTTTATTGAAATTACTATAAACATAATTAGAATATAAATTAAATATATTGTTATATTTGCATTGCAGATGCACTCTTTGATAAAAAAATCATTATTGTTGGCCATTCCCTTCAATGATTTTAAAAAACTCAAACAAATCAATTTTTGACCATTTCTCTTAAGTGAGAGAGATTTTAAAACAATGTATATAATGTATCGAATTGAATAGGTTAGAGAATGTCAAAGCTGTTATATATGAGTTTTTTGATTGAAAACAAGAAAAATGAATTTTTTATGTTCTAACCAATACTTTAAAAAAACAAACAAATTTGAGAGAGAGTAAAAATAAATTGTATTTAGTTTTGTGTGCTTATAACTTTATTAAGGTAAAAAATAAGCCAAACAAAATTATGAGTGAGAAAAGAATTAAATTTAAATTATTAGTCAAATTTGTTTACTTTATGTTATGTTGGTTACTAATTATTAGCTTTAAGATCTTTTTAGTAGGATTTTTATTAATTTTTATAAAGCAAATTTTTTTTCAAGTTTTCTTGTTTATTTTTTCTTGAGCTGGTTATATTTTGTTATAATGTTATTTTATGCATACATTCAATAGAACCTTTCATTCTAAGCTTAATTTTACATATATAAATATTTACCATCAAATTTAATATCTCCAAATCAAAATTTACTATTTATAAAAAAGGATTCCTGACCATGAGATAAGTTATAATATCAATGACTTCAATTTAATTTAAAATATCACTTCATTTACTTTCTTCATATCCTTTGATGGAATTATAGAATGTCTAATAATGTTACCAATTTTTTATCAAAGCCAATTCTCAGTCTATTCAAATATTTTTAAAACTATATGTGAATAATGCATGGAATATAGGTGATAGATAGAATACCTAATAATTTTTTAAGAAATATCTTACAAATTACTCAAAAGAGTGTTATCTTACTTATCTTAATCACATTACAATAAAAAAATAAAAAGTTTACACAAATTATATTATCAATCTTTTATGATGTCTGTCTCATTAATTTCCTTTATGAATATACTCTTGAATAATATCATAAAGCACATAACTCATCAAAAAATAAGTAAAATAAAAAAGAATATTTTCCTCGATATTAATAAATAAATTTTTTACACATGAATTGTTATCAGAAGTGAATTAAGTATAATTATTTATAATATTTTAAAAAGTTATCACTACATAATTAAATTTCTAATAAAAAATAAAATATTTTACGTGATTGTTTTATATTTTTTATAAAACTAAAAAATGCTTTTATACAACATTAAGCATAATTTCTTATCAAATAACCATAATATTCTTTTTTATAAAATTAAATTAATCAAAATTAACATAAAATTGGTGAGTTTTGAGATGACTTATCTGTCAGTCTATATCTGGTATTAATAATATTTTTCTCTGTTCAATTCTTTTATTTAAATAGTATTTGTAAGTTGTAATGTTAATTTATTATTCATTTTTATGTTTTTTTATATTTATATTTGTAACCTCAAATAAGAATATTTCTAAAGATTTTCAGATCACCTTCTAATATAAAATCTTGTCTATTAAAAGGCCTATGAGTTGAATAAAAAAACTCATTTAAAAAATATTATAAAATACAAATTAAAAGAATTTATCTCTAATTGCTTTTTTTTTATGTTTATAAAAATAATTTCTAGGCCTTTTTTATTTAGGTCCTTGAAGATATATGATTTTTTTTTATAGAATAAGAAATAGCTTTTAAAATAAAATTATGAAAGATTAGCTTTACAGACGCAAGAAAAGTGAAAACTATCATGCATTTTTAAAATTATTTGTGAGTAACATCAAATTTTAATTTACATCTAAAAATCATAGCTAGCCTATTGGGAATATTTTTAAAAAAAGTCATTTATAAATTTGAACAGATAATTTTATTAAATTGTTGGTTCTTACCTTTCAATAAATAATATATATTAATTTATATTAAAGCATAAATTAAATACTAAATTTAGCTCAGTTTTATTAATGTACTTCATGTATTAAATTGAAATAAAAATTACTTTTTGAAATTATTTTTTTGTTGGTGTTTACTAGTGTGAGTTATATGTAATAAAAAAAAATAAAAATAATATTTGTACCAAGAAAAATATTTAAAATTTATAATCAGAATTTAATTTATTTTTGTTTACAATTAATTACATAATTTCTCAAAAAGTTTCTTTAAACTCAAAATAAATTAATCATCCCCGAAAATATGTAATTTATTTAAAATTATAACAAATTCTTAATTATTTTAAATAAAAGGCAAATATTTTATTTTCTATCGTTTAATACAAGATGATTCTTATATACCGAAGTTGAAAACATATGAAAAACCTAAATAATCTTTATAGAGCAAATAAAATTTTTTATAGTTATTATTAAAGTAAAATTTTATAGGTAGTTATAATATAATAAACAGCTTTTTTATAGTTAGTTTTTACTAAAATATTTTATCTTTGTATAAATTAATAATTATTTACTTAAGAAAATGATTTTTAAGATCTATCAATCTACTCTTTCTCTTTGAGCAATTGTAAACTCTTGTGCTTAAAAGTAAAATCAAAAATATGTTTTGATATTTATCTTACTTCTTTTGAGAAAAAAAATTAATTAATTTTTTATTAAAGAGACAATTTGTATTGATTACAGTTCTTAAAATTTACTTACAATAAATACTTCTGATTAAAAAACTCAAACATATCTAAATAAAAAAGTTGTAGTTTGTTTCTTTGAAAATAAATGTAATTTAAATTTTAGACTCTGTTTGTCTGGTTAAGTTTATCTTGATATCTTAAGTAATCTTTCAATCATCTTTTATAATTAAATGCTATATTGTTTGAAATATCTTATCATCCATAAAAAAATAATTCTTATTTCTGATTTGACTATTTTTAACTTAAAAAAATAAATTTATATTTTTTTAAATGAGATTAATTTACAAATAGAATAAGGTTAATCAAAATTTAATTCGAAATTTAGATACATTTTATCTGTAAATCCTAGATTTAGATTGGCTTTTTGATCTGGATATCTTAAGAAAATTAAATTTAATATTTAATAAAAAATAATTAATTTTCCTTATTTAGTTACTTGAATCAGATATTTAGATTTTGTATTAGATCCAACTTATTGTTCCACAAAATATTACTTTCTCATTAAGGGGGATGCCAAATTAATCTACCAAACCAAGTAGACAGTCTTAATTTTTTAATAAAAAATGAATAAAGTTTATATTTTTCTGAAACTATTCTTAATATCTTGGTGTATTAATTATTGAAGAACTAAATAATTAAAATTTAAAATAGTAAACGAATATTTGAAAATACTTTAAAATATGTTCTAATTTAAATTTATTTAAGTTTTGTTTATTTAACCTTTATTATTTAGTAGAAATTTATATGTTTTTATTAAACTATTAATTAATAATTAAGAATAATGCATTTTAAAATTATGATATAAAATTTATTAGAAAATATGAAATATATGTCAGTAATAAACAACTGCATATGTTATATGATTTTCTTTTTATCTAAATATAATAATTTTTTCACCTTTAGCTTCCAAAAACTGATTTAAAAAACAGAGAACTGAGTTATGGATTTTTAAAACAATTATTATATAGATAATTATTTCTCATAATTTGCTTTGATATTTAATTAAATATATTTTTAATTTCATAAATAATTTAAATAAAAAGTAAATTACTAAAATTTTTTTATTTAAAAAATAATAGAATTACTCTAAAATTAAATTATTTTAAAATAAATTATTAAATTTTTACTTTATTTTATATTGATAATTTATTTTAAAAATATTTTTATCTCTAATCAACAAAAATTAATTTCTGCTTTTAAAGTTCTCTCAAAAAAATTAATTTCACAATTCTTAAATTTAAAAAAATGATTTTTATTAAGGAAATCTAGTAATTACACATTTTCTAATATTAAGTTATGTTCAAAAACTTTTATTTTTTATAACTAAGAGTTTATTATAGCAAATATAACTTATTTTTCTAATTTCTTTGTAATTTTATATATAAAAAGCTTAATGTCTGGTGAATATAAATCTGTGAAATATTTTATCAGTTTAGATAAGCCATACTAAATAAAAAATAAAAATTAACATTTCATTTAAATTATTTAATTAATTATGTTTTTTGATAAATTTTAGTTGATAATCATAAAATACTACTTTTTACTTCAAAAATTGAAATATTATTATTTCAAGTATTATTTCTTATTTTAACTTTTATTTATGCTTTTGTGCTATCGAAATAAAATTCTAGACCCTTAAAATTTAGAAAATAATTTAATTATCATAATTTATATAATTAATTATTATAAATAACTTATAAATATTTATCATTTTAAGTATTACATTCATTGTAGCAACATAATTAATTTTTAAATTAATATTTCTTTTAAAAATTTCAGAGCTTTCCTCATTCAAAAATTTAGATTTTAAATATTTTAAAAGTAAAACAAAGTTTTATTGATTTTATTCAAGTAGACAAGATTGTATTGATATTATTCAACATGACTTTTAAACAAAATTGTTTTGATTAATATTTAGAAAATAAACTTTTAAATATTTAGAAATTTTTGCAAATATTATAAAAAAATGCAAATAAAAATGGTATAATCAAATGAAAAACTTAAAATTTAATAATAAAAAAACATGATTTGTAATTCAAAATAGTAAATTTAGAAAAAAATAGTAAATTCTTTTCAGAGTAATTATTTTTAGAATTTTAGAAACTGAAATATCGTATCTAAGTGTATAATGACATCACAAATATGCTATCATTTACGTATTAGTAAATCATTATATAATTTTATTATTTAAAAAATAAATCCACAATAACACAAAAAATAATATAGCGTTAAAAAAATCTTATCAAAAATTAAGAAATAATTATTTAGTAATTCAAAACTTCAGAAGTCAATAAAATGGAAAGAATTCAAGCTTTAAACAATCAAATTAGCAAAAATGACACTGCTGGGTTAGGCATGGGCAGATGGGTTATTAAGATGGCAGAACCTTTTGATTTTTTGCCTACTGGAAAATCTTTAAAGGGTAAAACTGTCCTTATCACTGGTGCTTCTAGAGGTATTGGATTAGCTATTGGCAAGAAATGTGCAAGAGATGGTGCAAATGTTGTAATTCTTGCAAAGACTGCTGAAGCTCATCCAAAATTAGAAGGTAACATCTTAAATTTCTAACAATAGATATAATTAAACCAGAAGAAAAAGATATTATGAATACCATACGTTAAATTTTAAGCAATCAAACTATTTAATGAGTTGATAAATTAAAATTTTAATGCACAAATAAAAATCTAATTTGGAAATTTTATTAAATAAAGGAACCATCTACACTGCTGCTGAAGAAATAAAAAAAGCAGGAGGTTAAGCTTTGCCAATTGTCTGCGATATCAGATTTGAAGACTAAGTGAAAAATGCAGTTGAAAAAGCTGTTTAAACCTTTGGTGGAATTGACATTCTTATTAATAACGCATCAGCCATCAGTTTGACTGATACTCCTAACACTGACATGAAAAAGTAATAAATATTTTATTTATTAATAAAATAATTGAAGAAATTAAACACCTATTTTAAAACAAAAAATCAAGGTACGATTTAATGCACTCTATCAACACTAGAGGTACTTTCTTAGTCTCTAAGTATTGCTAACCCTACCTTAAAAAATCTGAGAACCCTCACATTTTGAATATTTCTCCTCCTTTAAATATGGTAAGAATCGATAATTATTTAAAAATATTTGTATGTAGAATTTTAAATTATGATTTTAGATAAACTATTTTTTCTAATTTATAAAATTTTAAATATTAAATAAAGTAAGCAAAGTGGTTTGGTCCTCACGTTGCCTATACTATGGCTAAATTTGGTATGAGCATGTGTGTTTTAGGTATGAGTGAAGAGTTTAAAGACGAAGGTATTGCTGTTAATGCTTTGTGGCCTCGTACTGCTATTGCAACTGCTGCTGTTAAGAACGTTTTAGGAGGAGACAATATGATGAAGACATCTAGAAACGAAGACATCATGGCTGATTCTGCATATATTATTCTTACATCCAAATCAAGATCTACCACTGGAAATTTCTTCATTGTAAACTCATTACAAATTTTTTTAACTTTAAATTAAATATAAATACCTAAAAGGATGATGAAGTTCTTGCTAACAATGGAGTAACTGATTTCAGCAAGTACAGATGCGACCCTAAAGGCTAAGAATCTGACTTAACTCCTGATTTCTTTATTTGAATACTTTTAAGAAAATTAAACAATAATATTTACTTTTAATATTTATATTTAGTATACTTTTATCGATCTATATGCTTGTTTGTTTAAGAACTTAAAATAAAGTTTTATCTAAAGATTTACTATTTAGAATAATTTTTATTTATCTTTAATTATCTCTTTAAGCAACTTACTTAATCTGTATTTTTATTTTATTAATATTCTAAAAATATCAAAATAATTTTTAACAAAACCATCAAACTTACCTTTTCTTTGTTAAATTATCCTAAAAGTTAATAATAGATGAATAATTCAAATCAATAATGTTATTAGTAGTAATTATTTATTTATAATGATTAATATATACATCATTCTATTTAGAATGGATTTTATCTGATGTTAATAGTTGCAAATTAAAAAAAATTCAAAGCTTAATTTTTTTAAGTTAAAAAAAACAAAACTAAAAAATAGTAATGACAAACAAATGTATTTTATAAATAATTTTTTTTGACAAATAATATTTTTCAACAATCATAAAGTCTTTCTCTTTTATATGGTATTTATGAAATTACTGTAACTCCTCAAGTACTCACTGCTTGTTATTTTTTAGCTATAAATGAAAATATAAAAAAATATGCTATATTATTTTTTTTATGTAAAGCTTATTTCTAAGTATCTGGTCATGAGAAATTACAGTAAATAATAAATAACTATTTATAAAGTAAACATTTTAAAATAGCTTTAATATAAATTTAGCTTTTGTTAGTAATTCATTTAGAAATACTTATTTTTTTGAATAAAAATAGTTATAATTATTATCAAGGAATTTCTCCGATGTCATTATTTGCATTATTTTTATCTATTTTATTGATCAGAAAATATTTAGCTGCGTCTATAAGAACATATAAGTGTTTATAATTAATTTGTTTAGTGTCTATAGACTATTTCTGATGCTCAACTATTGTTTGAATTGAATTTTGTATTATAATTAATATAAAATATCAATAAATAAGACAAAAATCTCAAAAAAAAAAAAAGTTTATGGAATTAATGAGTGTTAATAACTAAAATAAAATGAAATTCAATTTAATCAGTGAATTAAAGGCAATTAAACCTGGTAATTTGAGAGATTTCATCTGCGGTATTGAGCTAGAGCTCGAAAATAATAACAATAATGATGCTAGACTGCCTGTTGATATCATTTGCTTAATCGATAACAGTGGGTCAATGGCTGGTAAAAAGGCTCAGTTAGTTAGAAAATCTCTTAAATATTTACTAAAAATTCTAGAAAAAGGGGATCAGATTAGCCTTGTTTCCTTTTCATCTACTGCTAAAACTTTGTGCCCACTTACCTAAGTAAATGACGAAAATAAATAGTAAATAAAATCAGCGATAAAATAAATTAATGGCTAAGGAGGTACTTTTGTAATTCCAGGATTTAAAGAGGTTACTAAAATTCTTAATTCAAGAAAAGAATAAAGAGAGCAAACATTTATCCTTTTGCTAACAGATGGAGAATTTGGAGATATAGATTCTGGGAAGGTTATTTAAAATATTAATAGACTTTTCACTTAATCAGAAATACAGAAGACTCCTTATATCTATACCTATGGATACGGAGATGATGTTAACCCAGAGATACTCTAAGAAATAGCTCAAAAATTCTAAGGAAAGTATTGCCTAATTTCAAATGTGTAGTAAGTTACCGACTGGTTTTTACTTTCTGTTAGCAGTTTTTTAAAATGCTCTTGTAAAGAATTGTCTATCAAAATCAAAGAAGTTAGAAAAGACTTAGCTTATATCAAGCAAACAATTGGAGGAGAAATCATATGGAGATAACAAAACTATTAAACAAGAGAATTTGAAATTTACATTCCCTTACTCATTCCTGGAGACAAAAAGTGTTTTGTTTTTCAATGCTCATTAGACAGCGGTTCTTAAGCAAATAATCTTAATAACAAAATCATAGTCCTTGAGGCCTAGATTAACTATCAAAGTATAGATAATAAAGGAGAAAAATAGACTTGTACTTTAAATAGCAATCTCGCTATTTAGCTTTTATCTGATGTGGAATAGTAAAAATAAGACATGGAGATAGAGTAAAGTAACCCTGAAATAATAACTTCATTGCAAGAGCCTTACTATGAAAATTTGATAGTTACATTCTACAGAGGTCTTGGTGGCAAAGCTATAAAGGAATCCTCAGATATCATCTAGTCTGAATAGAATTACTCCAAAGCAAAAGAAAATCTAAATTCTTTTAAGTAAACCCTAAATTAAGTATGTAAGAATTTCCTTGACAACAAAGGAATTCAGCATCTGCTTGAAGACATCGAAAAAGCTTTAACTGGCTGTGATCCTAGAAAGTACTATAGAGGACACTTTTAAAAAATGAATGCAGTTCACGAGAGAAGAAGTCGCTCTAATTCCCATGATGAAGATTGGAATTAAGAAAACAAAGAAGCTATACGCAGGTACAGAAATAGAGAAATCGCCCTAAGTGATTCAGATAGGAGCATCAGTAGAAGCAAAAGCAGATCGAACAGTAGAAATAGATATGCTAAAAGAGCTGGCAGTAGCTTAAGCAGAAGTAAAAGTAGAAGCATCAGCAGGAGTTACAGTGAAAGTCTAAGCAGAAGCTACAGCAAGGACTCAGGTAGTAGCGAAAGTTAAACAAGTGATAACAAAAATAATAACAATTAACATTATTAAAGAAATAATAGATTTAGAAATAATAATAATAGGTCAAGGTTAAACTAAGTCTCAGCAAAAAGATCAAGATCTAATTCTAGATCTTAACAAAGGTAAAAAAGCAATCAATCATTTAGTTATTCATCTGATAGTCTTCATTTTACTTCACGATCAGTATCGACTGAAAGTGATAAATTTTCAACTGAAACATATTCAAAATAATCTTTAAAAAATAATGAAAATAATTTAAATTCTTCAACTTCATTATCATAAAATTCTTCAAATTTACGTTCTCCATAAGATTCTGAATTTTAACCCTAATAATTATCATAGTAATCAAATTCTTAAATTATTAGATCTAGTTCAAGAAATAATCGCAGCTATTCGCCAAGAAAAAGAAGTGTCAGCTATTCTAGACAAAGACGCAATTATTCACCAATAAGAAATCGTAGTCAATCCCCAAGAAGGAATAATAACTAAAGGTAATATTCAAGGAAATACAATAGAAATAACTTTAAAAGTCAGTACAGAAGAAGTGTGAGTAGATCAAGGTCTGATTCAAGGTCAAGAAGCTACAGTAGAGAAAATAACAGAAGACAAAGAAGAATCGGTTACAGAAGATACTGATCAACTACACTAAATTTATTAAGCAGCAAGGAGTAGCTATCAAAAACAAATATAAACTGTAAGAAAATTATAATATTTAATTATTTTGATGAAAAGAGCAAGTGGAAGAATATGAGAAGGACCAATATTAAAGACAAAGATTGAGAAGTAGTTGATGACTAAAAAAATGAGGTGTGATAAATCTCTTTCTATGAAGTAGATGTACGATTTACAAATGTAAATATTTAAGTTTTAACTTTGGGTTCAAATTAAATTTTTTAATTAAAAATTGTTGTTTAATTAAAAATAATATTTTTTAAAATAAAAATATTAAAGATAATCTAAAATGAATAATAAAAGATTATGTATTTGTAGATCGTACGAGTTTTACTTGAGCACAAGCTTGAGTTGACTCCAAACGACACACAAATTCAAGCATAATTCTTTTTCAATCATTCATTCAATATTAAAACTTCTCTCATAAACCCAATCAACCTTGTCCATAAATAAAAAATAATCAATCGTTCTCCAATTCGACTTAAATTGATTAATTACTTTATTTGTGTGACTATATCACTTCTCATTATATTTTTAAATATATAAATATATTAATTTGCTTTGATTAGCTTGATAATTTTGCTCTAAGATCTATCTTTCTGTTGTCTGTCTGTCTGAATGAGTGTTTGTGCTTTTTTAATATTTTTCATGAATGAAGTTTAGTTTATTTGATTATATTGCACTTTATTTTATTGGTTTCATTAAGTTCAATAACATTTTTTTTGGTACTTTTTTTGTTTTTCTATTTTGCTTTTGACTTATTTTAACTTTTTGGTATTTTATATGTTTTTGTACTTTGCCTTAATATTTAGTTTCTTTGTTTAATGTTTGAATGAATTTTAAATTTTAATTGTTTTTTGTTTTGTTATTTTGTGGTTGATTTTATTTATTTAATTTGTAAAATTTGAAATTAAAAAAATATGCTGTTGTGCTACAATAGTAAAGTTTAAACATAATAAAATGATAAATTAGCTTTACTCTTAAATAGATAAAAATTTGGAAATATAAATTTGTTTGGTTAATATTTATTTAGCAATTTCGTATATTTTTTTTCTAAAAGTATTTGTGGATGCAAAATGCTGAATGAAAAAGAGAAAATAAATAAGGATGGAAAACAATTTCCATAGACTTATGTAAAAAAAATAATTATGAAATTTCGTAATAGAGTAAAAATTTAATTAAGATTTGCTTACTAAAAAATTCATTAGAATTTACCTTATTAAAAGAAGTTCATTTGATTATAATAAAGCACTAAAAATCACTTAAAAACCAAATTGTTATTCTCTATGTGCTGCTACAATAGTTAAAATATAAACAACGGATTTTCAAAAAAACCTCATATTTTTCAAATAGGAAGTTATTTAATATTTATCTACATAGCTTTTGTTTAATACTGGCTTCTCACTCCTTCCTAAGAACAAGGAGTAGAAAGAGTAGAAATAATATCATGATAAAAACATAATTAAATTATTTTTTTATAAAATTGCAGATTTCCTGTCTCATTATTTCTTCAGTCTTATTTTTTTCAGTTATTATAAGCGCTATACTTGCCGCTGCTACAGACCCAACTGATTTAATAGTAAAAAAGTATAAAATGTCCTTAGAAAGTGGGTAATTTTACTTTTTATTTTTTATTATTTTTCATATATCAATCTATTAAAATATTAATTTTTAGGGAGTGGTTTGACGTTTCCCAATACAGATTATATTGTGATTAATGCATTTCATTTGTTTCAGACACATCTAAGCATTGTAGAAGATGCAACAGGTATCAATTTACACAATACTCTTATTTTAATAACTATTCAAAAGTTCAGATAAATACAGCTATTTTTAAAAAATATAAACGAGAATTTAATACACATAGTAGGTGTTTTAGTGATTTAATTTAACAAAATTTTTAATTTTAAATAAAGATGTGTTTAAAATTTTGACCATCACTGTAAGTGGATAAACAATTGCATCGGACAATATAACTATAAGTAATTATAATTCATACATAAATAACATTTTTTTAATATAAGAAAAATCACACTTTTAGTTATTTATTTACTAAGCAATTGAATTGCTTTTGTAGATTAGAAATACTCTATCTGTAGAACAATTTATATCTAATTATTAAGATAATAATAAAAATAATTATAGATCTTTTTTATGGATGATTATATCTGTTATGTTCTTCAGTCTATTTGAGTTGATTCAGCAGATTTTATGTATAGTTAGGCTTCATAAATTCTCAAATTAGTTGAGTAAAAAGTTAGATTTAAGCCCTATTGGAGCAGGAATCATCTCATACAGTGCTTTGATTCTGACTTTAATAATTTTCATACTTATTTCTAACCTTGTATTTCTTCATATCTGGTTGATTACTAAAAAGATGACAACCTATGAGTATATTATCTAATTGAGAGAAATTAAGAGAGTTAAATAAAATTAAAAAGCACTAATGCTACTTTCTAAAAATAAATAGTAAGAGCAAGCAATCAAATTAGAGTAAGATAAGTTAAAGAAAACGATTGAAAATGTATAAAAGTAGGATTAATAGTCTGATTAGTCTTCTAAATCAGGTTATGGAGATGAAGAATTTGAAGAGCAGAAATCTAATGTCATGAACAATGGTGGTGAGACTAGAAAGCACCGCACTTCGATTAACAATAAAAAAGAAATAAGTATTTATTCATCTACAAATAATAAGCCTGATAAAGTCGACCATGAAGTAGTAGGGAATTTAGAAACCAATAGAACTAAGAAACAGATCAATGATATATAAAATTAGATAGTCTAAATTGCAAATGAGCAGTAACAGCAAATAGATTAATAAAGCATATAGCAGTAATTTTTTATAGCTTTTATTAATTAATTATTTAACTTTATTCAAAAAGGATATTAGAAAAGCAAGAAACAGATTCAATTATAAATCGGTCCATGCGAAAGCTTAGAAAAGTAAAAATTTCTTTATTTTATTTCAAAATTAATTTATATAAAATGGAAATTTTAAAAAATTACATGATAAGATGGATATAATATCAACTCAATTAATGAGGAAGAGTGACTATTTTCTATTTAAATAATTTTATTAAAAAGGTTTTATGACTTTAGTAAATATTAAAACAATTTAATTTTAAATTTTCCATAAATTTAAATAGAATTAAGAACTTTTAATTGACTTTTACAATTGATTTTTAAATTCCATACAAATAAAAATAAGAACTTTTAATTTTTGGATATTATTTTAGTAAATACAATTTTTTATGATAGATTGTTTCTCTCAAAATGGTGTTTCCTGAGAAAGAGCTAGTACATGTTAGCTAGCCTTAAAGTAGAAATTAGAGTGTTAGCAGTATTTAACAAAGTATTAATCATGTCTATAATTAGAGTGATAATATTTTTACAAGCAAGTAAGCAGCTCTTAAAGCACCATAAAATAGTGAATAAAAGAGCTAAAATAAAGTTGCTATGCAGTATCCTTAAAATGAAAATTCAATAATTTCACTAAAGTAACCAATCTCGCAGGAACAATAAAACAAAATATTTAAAAACCAATCGATAAGCAATGTAGAGATTTAGTAAGAAAAGGTTTTCTTTTCAAGTATGTAAAATCCAACCAAAAAAGAGCATGAACTAAATAATAGAGTTTTCAGTCCAGGAAAAACAAGATAAGTACTTGAGACAGACGAAAGCTTTGAAAAAAATTTAAATTTATAAAAGAAAATAGTGTAAATTTATAAAGAAGTTTTAAATACATATAAAAATATTTTATTAATTAATAAAACAGAGTTGATGGAGGCAGATAAAATGAGATATAGAATAATATAAATGAAAAAATGAAACAGTAATCATTTGAAATAAATATTCTAGATGAGAATAATTAAGGTAACTCTGTACCTTTGAATATATAATCATTTTAAAATGATAATTCAATGTTAAATTAACTGAATCAAACTTTAGAAGAAAATAATAAAACAAGAGATAAAATTATTAATTATGACTAAACAGAAAAAGATTTAGAAAATCAAATCAACTTGTAAGAAAATTTATTGAAACAAGATGAAAAAAGTTTAGAAGAAAAATAGCTAAGCTAATTAATTAACCAAAATAATGATATAATCTAAAGTAAAAAATAGGAAATTTAGCAAACTATATAATTTAAAATTTAATCTAAGCTACATTTTGACGACTTTGAACAGTCATGAGCCAAAAATTGCTCATTTTCAAATATTAATTTATAGATTAGTTCCATAAATAATTGCTACAAATAAATAAAATAATATTATTGAGTAAATAATTATAACTTAAATTAGTACAATTAAAATATAAATTAACTTCAATCTTTATATAAAATCATAGTTATTAGAATACTTTAATTTTCAAAAATAAAAATGCTTTTTTGGTATTTTATAATAATAATAATTTATTTTATAACTTTTAGTCTTAATTAAAATTATAAATTTTAATAAAAAAATTAATTTTTGTTGATTAAATATTCAAAAAATTTATTACCTAACTTCTAAATAAAATGATTAATTATTATATTTTTTGCATGAAATATTTATTGTTGATGATAAATGATTTTTATTTAATAAACATTTAAAAAATTTAAATTTTTTATCTATATAAAAGTTTCTCATAAAAGTATATTTCCTTTTTTTTGTAAAGTTTTAGCTTAAATTTAAAAAAAATAAAGCAAAAATACAAATTTATCATTTAAAAATTTTATTTTAATAAGTTTTAATTTACTAAATATTTTCCCACTTTTTAATTTAATTTTTTGTTTACTTTTCACATTTAAAATAAATTTAATCTTCGAAAAATTTTTAAAATAGCTAATTTATGCTAGAGTTTAACATAAAATTATAACTTATTTATTTAATATTAGTTTTTTTAATAATTGAGATATATATATTTAATCATTTAATTAATAATAATACGATTTGTTTGATGATATTTACTATTAATTGTACTTTAGAGAGGATGTTTATTGATTGATTGACATATTCAAAAAATATACAATTTTTGGAAGAAGTTTATTTGTTTTTGGTATTTATTATGTATTAATTTAAAATTTGAGATTTCGCAATTGACAATTTAATTTATTGCAATATTTATTGATGAAAAATATGATTTTTAAAATCAAATAAATATTAATAGATAACTTAGATACGATTAATACAATAAATAAATAATAAATAGAAAAAGAAAAAAGAAACTAACAATCAATCAATTAAATAATTAATTAATTATATAATTAATTTCTTATATATTTTCTTAATAAAAAAGTTATCTATTTATAATCACTTAAATAAAATATATGGCTGAGTATTTCACATATTCAAAGAAAAGAAAGGAATTCAACAATCCTATTAACTTTTAGGACACCGAGACCAGATATGGTGGCATTTAAAATTAAGTTGTCAATATCAATCAATATGTTTAGCGTAATCCAAACTTTATTGACTTAGATAACATAGCAGAACTCTCAGAGCATTCAGTAAGTTTTTTTTAAATGGCCTAAAATACTAATAGTTTTAGAAGAAACAACAAAATTGAGTCTTTAAGTAAAAAAATATTTTAAATATTAGGTAAATACAGAAAGAGTTAAAACTGGTGATCGTGGTATGAGTCACAAAGAAGGAGGTAATTGGGAATTATTATTTATTTATAAAAAATAAAACAAGCATCTAACTAAAACAATAAACCAATCATAAAATAGATTTTGAACTAAATAAAATAGAATTTAAAAAATTAGATTAAAAAAAACTGATTTTAATTTTATATTAAATTTACTTTTTTTTATTTTAGGTTGGCCCGGAAATGTTGATCCTAATGAAGCTTAAGAAACTGGTAGATTTAAAAAAAGAATTGAAAAGGATACCAGTTTCCCTCAAGCTGTTAAAGATTTAAAGGAAGGAGTTGAAAAGTGCATTTATTAAAATAATTAAATCGACCTCTTAGAGGAATATTTTGAAGGTGAAACATCTGAACACGTTGTTGAGAATCTCTCTTCAAAGACCCTCATGCTTTTCAAGGATGAAAAAGAAATTTGTAAAAGATCTGTTTCTGAAATTTCATGGCATCCTGAAGGTAATTTAACATTAACATAATATGAATAAAAGTTTATTTGATTGTTTAGATTCATAAAGCATAAACACAAGCCAAATTTTATACTGAATCTAAAATTAAGACATTTTAAATTAACATATAATGCTTTTTTTTAGATTTAAATTGTTTTTATTTTAAAATTAGGACCTACTAAGGTAGCTGTTTCTTATGCTATTATGCGTTTCTAATAGATGCCTGAAAAAATGCCCACTTAAGCTTACGTTTGGGATTTGTTGAACCCTAATTCCCCTGAAATTAAATTAATGTCTCCTTCAGCTGTAACAAATATTTCATACAATTAAAAAATACCTGATCAAATTGGTGGTGGTTGCTACAACGGTCTTCTTGGTAATTATTTATTTAAGCATTATTTATTTTTACACAAATCTTAGTTTAATATAAATTTTTTTGAGCGCAAATCCTTTTAAATTTTGAAACGCTTCTTAATTTAAAAATAATAATCAATTTTTTTTTGAATTTTTAATTATTTTTTTACAAAATATTAATTGACATTCTCTTAAAAATATTTTTAATTTTAATGTATTCAAGTTTTTATAATTAAATTATTTTATTTTAAATAGCTGTTTGGGATGGAAGAAAAGGTGAAAACCCTATTATGATTTCTCCAGTCGAAAACTCCCATTATGAACCTGTCACCCATTTCCATTGGTTGATGAGCAAAACAGGTAGTGAATGTGTTACAACAAGTACTGATGGTAAAGTTATGTGGTGGGATACTAGAAAATTCGAAGCTGGTCCTGTTGAAAAGCTAAATATTATTGAAGGTTTAGGTGAAAATGAAGAAATCATTGGTGGTACTGCTCTTGAATACAACGTCGAAGCTGGTGTAATTAAATAATTAAATAAATAAATTATTAAAGGAAAGAAAGAAAAAAAGAAATAAGAGTTATAAAAATAAATAATTTTATTAAATTAATGAATGAAAGAATAGAGTTAAAAATTATCTCATTGAATTATATAAAAAAATATTTTATTAATATTAATTTTTAAATTATGAACAGCCTAGTAAATTTTTGATTGGTACAGAATCAGGTTCAATTTTAACTGCAAACAAGAAACTTAAAAAGCCTGTTGAAATCACAACTAGATATGGATTAGATCAAGGCAGACATTTAGGTCCTGTTTACAGTATTAATAGATCTAACTAAAATCCTAAATATTTCTTATCAGTTGGTGACTGGTCTTGTAAAATATGGGTTGAAGATCTTAAAACTCCTATCATCAGAACCAAATATCATGGTTCTTACCTTTCTGATGGTTGCTGGTCTCCCACTAGATCAGGTGCCTTCTTCTTAGTTAGGAGAGTAATTAGTTTTATTGAATGTTTTTATTCAAATTAATAATGAAAATTAATTAATAGGATGGTTGGATGGATGTCTGGGATTACTACTACAGACAAAACGAAATCGCTTTCTCTCACAAAGTTAGTGACTCACCTTTAACATGCATTAAAATTAACTAAACTGGTGGTGCCTACCATAATTCTGGTAAGCTCTGTGCTATTGGTGATTAAGATGGTAAACAATCAGATAAATTTTTTATTGTTGTAAGTATTAATTTTTATTGTTAAAAAAATAGGTACTGTTACTATTCTTGAATTATGTGATTCTCTTTACACAATGTAACCCAAGGAAAAAGATATTATTAACGAAGTAAATAGTTTTGAATTAAAAGTTTAAATAATTAAAAAATAATATAAATAAATGATAGATGTTCGAAAGAGAATACAGAAAGGAAAAGAACTTGGAAACAATCAAAAAGTAATAGGAATTAGCTAAAAGATAAGTTTAAAAAGATATGGGTAGCCAAAAAGAAAAGTGGGAAAAGAAGAAACTTGAAATGATTGAAACTGCTGAAGCCAGTTTCCATGAAAATCTTGCTAAGAACCCTGTTAATGAAGAAGAATTTAATGAACTTGACTCACCTTCTGAAAAGAGAAAGAAAACTAATTAAAATTAAGGTAGAGAATAAGAAGAATAAAGCAGAGAAGAATAAGAAGCATCTGGTAACTTCAATTAACAACAATAGTAATAATAAGAAGAAGAATAGTAGTAAGAAGGGGAATAATAACACCATTAAAATCAAGAACACCAAAACGGATAAGGACATGAAAATGGCTAAGAGGAAGGTGAAGAAAATGGTGAAGAAGGTAATTAATAAGAAAATGAAGGATAAGAAGAAAACGAATAATAATAAGAATGAAGACCAATAGATTTTTGAAAAATTAATAAAAAATGTATACTCTTTCTTGATTATATACAATAAGTAGATTTTTGTTTTGTTAACTGTATGATTAACATACTTAATATTATATAAAAAAACTACACCAAAATCAAATTGCAAAATTAATTATATTCACAATATTTATGTTCATATTACTAAAGTTGTATATTTATAAAAAATAAATTTATTTAAAATAAAATAATATTTTTATTATATTTGCTTATTTACATGAGTGTGCTCTTACAAACTTAAATCTATATTGAATTAATTGGCTAAATAATTATTAAATTTAAATAAAAATTTTATACTAATTATAAATTTGTTGATTTTTTGAATTAGCATAAAAATTATAAATATAAAAAGAAAAGAAAAAAACTCTTCTCTATTTATTGTTCCTTAATTTTTACTTTACTCTCTAAAGTTATTTATAACTAATAAAATTATTTCATAAATATTTAAAATTTAATCTCTTGTGAACATAAATTTTAGAGAAAAAAAAAGGTGAGGTAGAATTATAATCAATAAAATAATAAATATGTAATTTAATTGAAATATAAATTAAAATAAGTTTATTAGATTTTTACATTCTAAATTTGTAGATTGTTATTTATTTATTTTTTCTAAAAAATAATATTTAATTAAATTAACCACTTTGCTACAAAATTTACATTTTAACAGTTTATATTTACTTTCTAATGAAATTAATGAGAGTTGTTATTAGAGTTTATTTATTTAACAATAATTAAATTAGAAATCATTTTTTTAATATTATTTGAATTCCTTCACTTTATAAAATGAAGCTTAAACTTAATTCATTTGCTGCTTGCTTAGTCTAGCCTTTTTTTATTTTTTAGAATATTTTGAATCTAACAAAACTGAATATTTAATTAATATTTTGATAGTAGAGAATATTTTTATACAAAGAAAAACATATTTTAATTAATTGTTAATTTTTATATAATGAATTTACAAAATAAATATGATTAGCTATTTATTTATTTTTCAGCAAATTTAGTTTATCAGATTTTTTATCATGGAAATTAGTAAAATATACTTAATGATTGAATTAATTAGCATTTTGTGGAGGAAATCAGACATGCTATTAAAAATATAGATTATTGAATTATTTTTTAAATTCTATTAAATATGCATGCATGCTTGATTGATTGATTGATTGATTGATCAAATTGATAAAAGGGAAAAGAAATTTTTTGTATCGAATATAATTATAAAATTTGCTATAAAAACAACAAGGTTTCTTTAAAAGAAATATAATCAAAAAAACAAACAAACAAACCAACCAACCAATTAACTAATAAGTCAACTAAAGAAATTTGTAAAATGAATAACGTTAATTAGAAAAGAAAGCCATAAGAAAATGTTGAAACTTTATAAATAAGTAATGAAGTAGGTCCTTTGTAAATGGTGAGCAAGAAATGTAAATAAATTTTAAATTATCTTTTAATATTATCATGTTTGGAATATCTATAAAATATGAAAGATAAAAAAAATAATACAGTTTATATTTGTATGAAATTGAAAAAATAAAACGCTAAAACGCAAAAAGAGATCATCTTATTAAAATATTTTATTTAAAATAGTGAAAAAAAGCTAAAGACTCGTAATTGAAATGAAACTTGATAAAAAATGGATTGGGTCTTCCTAGAGCATTCACGAATCTATTACTTTACTTTAATAAAGCTAATCTTAAGAAATGAATAACTCTAAGATTCACAATTTTTTACAAACTTCTTTAAGTCACAGTGATTTAATGATGGGAGTTAGCGAAATTGCTTAATAATGCACATTCCTTAATGGAGTTTTAGATTAAGGAAATAATGTTGTAAAAATTTACATGCAACCAAATAAAGACTTTAACTTTGAAAAAGAATATACCACTCCTAGCAATATAGATATTAAATCAACTCAATACACTGACAATGACCCAATTTAATATGACTAGTAAATGGGAACCTCCAATTACTATTTCAACGAGTAAGATATCCAAGTTGGTAGTATGAATGCTAACGATGATGGTATTTGAGACTGCTCTTCAAAAGCTACCCTAAATATATTAATTAATAATAATGCACTTTATATTGTTTATGTATGAGAGTACATATAAATATATAATTAAATAATCACTCTGATTTAATCAAATACTAATACTTACTTATATTCATTAATTAAAAAAGAAGAATGAATGAGAAAATATATAATAGCACCACATTAATCCATAAATAATTAAATTCATTCGCACCTCTATAATAATCATTTCGCCAGCAGCTAGTTAATAATAATAATTATAATAATAATAATTAAAATAGCCTCTTATACTTGCTTTGCTTATTCAAAATAGATAGCAAAAAAAAAAAATGTCTTAATCAATTTGTATCTTTAATTAAAAATAACAAAAAAAAATCCTTTAACAAGTATTTTTTAAAGAGATAGCGCTTTATCTCAAAATGATATATGTTGAAAATAGTCATCAATAAGATTAAAGTTTTTAAGAAAATACTTAGCACTTTAAAATAATTGGAGGACATTATAAATTAATCAATATAGAGGCTAACTAAAAGCTAAAGAAATATATTGAAGATTTTAAATCGAATTATTGCTATGAATTTTTTCGATACAATTTTCAAAGAAATTTGCAGTATTTGTATGATAATTGAGGAGAAAATAATAAAAATAATAAATCCTCAAAATCAAAATTTTATTTGTTTGGGAAAGAGATATACTGGTTTGAAATTATTAAAAAAAACTTTAAAAAAGTGTATTCTTAATTAAATCTAAATTTTATCATTGAAAAAAATTTATATTGCATTTTTATATTACTTTAGTGAGTAATAGTGAAGCTGGTCATATTTTCACATTCACACACTTACATATTCATATTCTTATTAATTTTCATTAGATAGATTTGAAGCTTTTTATTATCATTTCTTTCTTTCTAAAAACCTTTCTTCAATAAGTAAAAATTTTATTTTTTCAATTTGCTAAAAGAAAAAGGAAAAGTAGTTTATTATTTGTAAAAATTCCACATTTTCCAAATATATTTCTATTTGTTTTTATTTTATTTTTTTAGATTAAGATTTATTGTATGCATTATTTATTATGTTTTATCTGAAAAAAATAATTTTTATTCTTACTATTTTCATTCAAATAAATAGTTTTTTTTTAATAATAAGCTCTTGTTTATACAATTAAAATTTAACTGAGTAAAGTGTTTAGTTAATTTATTTCGTTTTTTTATACAAAAATTTATTTCAGTTTAAAAATTTATTTTTTTACAATTTTTAGTAAATAATATCATTTCTCCGAATATAACATTTAATGAGATATCCTTAGATTGTCTTAATTAAAACAAATAATTTTTTCATGAATTCAAAAATTATTTTTCGTTTCATCAAAATTTAAAAGAATATTTTCTAAAATTTAACATTCAACATTTTTTCTATTAAAATCTTTATTCACTAAAAGTTGTAACATATTTAAATTAATATTTTTTATCTATGAAATTCTTTATAATTAACACACATTAATATATCTTTTAAAATTAAATGTTTTAAGACATTAGTATATTTAAAAGGGGATAAAAATTAAAAATATTAGAGATATTTTTTCTATTTAAAATGTTTCAAATTCATTAAAAAATATTTATTCTTATCATTTAAAAATCATAAAACAAAATAATATTTATCAATTTGAACAGAATGGTTTATATCTTTTAAATAAAAACTCTTTTTCTGGTATTAATATGATAAATTTGATGTTTTTAAAATATTTTAATTAATCAGATTATTTTTAATTTTTAATGTTTGAAATTAAAAACCATTCATTAAATATTCAGAAATCATAAAATGAAATAATATATATTAATTAAAAAATAACATATTGGGATAAAAAGTATTTTTATGGTATCAGTATGGTAAGTTTAATACTTTTTGAGTTAATATAAATAATAAAAGAATTGTTAATTATATATTTTAATAAAATATTTTAGTTAAAATTTTATAATTTAAATTAATTCTTTAGTTGTATATTGATTTTTGTTTTGTTTATTAGTTATAAGATTTATTTAATTTAGCAGGTAGAAACATAATTATAAAATGAGTTGAAATTGCGAATAGTAATTAAATAGGTATAGTTAATTTATTCATAAATATTTTTTAATTAATAGGCAAAATAAGCTATTAAATAAATTACTTTGTATATAAATCTAAGAATATTTTAGATATTAAATTTTAAGAAATTCTACAAGTTGTAAATGGAATAAGAAATAGATGTAGATGTAAGCTCTCAATCATAAGAGCAACAAGAAGAGAAAGGTATCTTATTTTAAATAGTTATTCAAATTATAATAAGTAATCTGAGACATATTTTTATGATTAAAAAAAGAACCTTTTGAAGATTTAATTTAAGAATGCGATGTAATTTAAATAATAGAATAATATAATTCAAATATAAAGATTATGCTTAGTAGGATTAGATTTTTAATAAAATGATATTTATAATAAACATAGGAAAACGCTAGAAAATTAGAGATACTGTATATTTAAAAGGAAAATGAATACCAAGAACTTTGTAAAACTTTGAGTGATTTATAGGATCAAATATGGAATCATTAAAAAGAAGGTATTTTATTAGAAACAATAGTTTTACATAGAAATGAAATATATCAAAAAGAATAGAGCATAGTATTAATTAATTTTATGTAAATACAAATAGAATATGAGCAGAATTCGATTAACACTGATTAGTAAATTAAGAAAGAAATAGAATAATTATCAAGATTGCTTGCTGAGAAAGAAGAAAAAATTGAAACCTATGAAAAAGAAATTAGTAACAAGATGGATGACGACTAATTAGTAAGAATGAGATCTAAGTATAAAGAAATTTAATAGCATAAAGAAATCAATTTAAGAAAACAATATAAAACTGCTATCAGTGGAGAATAAGAGTAATATCCAGCTCTTAGGCAATATGCTGAAGAGTTAAAGCATGAGCTAGATGTTAAAAAGGCAATAAAAGAAAAATTAGATGAAGAAATAAAGAAATCAGATGAATCTATTAAAGAGCTTAGAAGGATGAAAAGAGTAATTAATTTTTTCTACCTTAAAATTAAAATTTATTTTATTAATATACATTCATTCACCTATATATAAAAGGATGGAGCTTCTCAAGAACACGAACTGTAAGAAGAGATAGAAAATTTAACTTAGAGATGAAGAGGCATTTATAAACTCATTTCAAAAATAAAAATTTAGTTAGAAAATCTATTCAATCACTATAAATAACTAAAGTTCTAACAAAATTAATTAAAAAAAAGCAATTTAAAAAAAATTAATTATAATATTTTAAACTCTTTAAAATTTGTAAATATTTATTATCCATTTTCCATTTTAATTGATGTGAGTATTTTAAAACAAAAAAAATATTGTTTATCTTAAAAATTATAAATATTGATTTGATCAATTCAAGTATATTAAATCAATTAATTCATATTTCAATTTTAATATTTAGCAATATAGTTATATTATTATTTTATTATAAACTTTAAAAAAATTGTTAAACATTTTTTAATCATTTTCTATTTTTACAAATGTAAATATTTTAAAACTCGAAAATATCATTCAATTAAAAATTATATTTATTCTTTTGGACAATTCAAGTATTTAAAATAAATTTAAATTTAATTCAATTTTAATAATTAACAAAAATATTATCTCATTATCCTTTTCCAAACTATTTAAAATATGTAATTATTTATGATTCATTACCAATTCAATAGATATGAGTATTTTAAAACTAGAAAATATCATTTTTTTAAAAAATTTTATTTATTCTTTCAGATAATTAATTGAAGCATTCATTTTAAATTTTTATTTAGTTAATTTTTTTAACAATTTTTATTAAAACTGTGAGGATATTATAAAATATTATATAAAACTTTTAGATTTTTAATAAAACCATAATTGAGTAAGTAATAAATAATTACAATAATTATTTTTTTAAATTTATTTAATTATTGCTTGATAAGTTAGATAAAAAAGTAATTTTTTAAAATTAATTGAATTTAATTTAATTGTTTTTTATATTTTTTAGATTTCAACTTTAAAAATTAACTTTTATTTAAAATTGTTCATTAAAAATAATCTTTTAAAATTATTTAGATTAAATTTATTTATGAATTATTTAAAGCAATCATAATTTTTTGTGATAAAAGAATCTAATCTCATACATACAGAAATGCACAATAAATTGCATTAATATAGAATACAATTCTAAATCTAATATTATCCAATTAAATGTTTCTTTTAATATGAGAAAAGTTTCAAATATTTATCAGTCTACCTTAATTAATAAACTTCATCATTTATGATGTTCATTATTTAGCAGCCTTAACTTTTTCGGTCAATTCAGGGACTATCTTAAAAAGATCTCCTACCAAACCATAGGTAGAGATTTAAAAGATGGGTGCTTCAGGGTCTTTAAATTTTAAAATATTAAAGATTAACACAAATATTAAAAATATATATTACCTTAGTTGATAGCAACAATAACCTTGGAGTCTTTCATACCAGCAAGATGTTAAATGGCACCAGAAATACCAACTGCAATATATAATTCAGGAGCTACAACTTTACCAGTTTAACCAACTTGCAAATCATTTGGAGCATAACCAGCATCTAATTATAATTATCAATTTAGTTAATGCCCAAAAAAAAATGAATTAATTTTTATTTACCAACAGCTGCTCTAGAGGCACCGATAGCGGTTTCACCTAAAACACCAGCTAAATTTTCAAGAATAGAGAAATTATCTTTGCTTTTAAGACCTCTTCCTCCTGAAACAACCTTTAATTTAATTATTTTTAATTGTTATTAAACTTTAAAAAATAATTTAAAACTAAAAATATTATTAATTAATATGTTTCATTAAAGAAATGAATTTATTAAATTACAAATCTAGCAGAAGTTAATTCAGGTCTTTCAGATTTAGCAATTTCATCTTTAATATGTTTGACTAAATTATCCTTCTTTGCAATCAAGCTATCAGCATCAACCTTCTAAACATCAGAAATGTTGTTTGCTTATTCAGAGTTGATGGCATCAAAAGAGGTTGCACGGAAAGATAAAAATTTAGTTGCACTGGTAAGCTTAATAGTGGAGATAGCGTTTCCTGCATAAACGGGTCTTTGGAAAGTGTCATTGCTCTTTTATATTAAACAATTTTATTAATTTTGCATGATTGAATATTTATTTTATTACAATAATATTAGTAACATCAGTAGCAGGTTAAGTGTTGAATTTAGCAGCAACTCTAGGGAGGATATCCTTACCACTAGATGAAGAATCAACAACTACTTATTTGTATTTATTCTAGTTAATCAAATTGCTAATAACCTAAGAAACAGCTTGTGCTTAGCTATATTAAATACATAAATATAAGTGAGCTAGCTTAAAAATAAATTATTATCTTTGATAATATAATTCAATCGATTTGTTACTTGTGCTTGAGGAGAGCAGAATCTGCAACAATAATTTTGCTAACAACCTCCTTAGGAACAGTAGCCTTAATATTTTCAACAACTTTGCTCACATTTTCTCCAGTAACGAGTAAATGGGTCTTTATGAATAAAAAATATTATTAATACTCCAATAGCAATTTAATATTTGAATAATCTAAATAATCAATGTTTATTTTAGCATCTTGATAAGTTTAATTTAAATTTAAAAGCAATTGCTTCTCAAATTTTTTATCTTTGCATATCATAAAAGCTATTTTAAATTGGTTTTAATTTCTTATTAAATATTTCTATTTTCTTCTACCTCTTCCTTAAACTTGGAGGCGGCATTCAAAATTTTATACATGCTCTTGCTAAGTTTTTCACCATTATGTTCAGCAACAACTAATGTGCTGAAATTGTTTTTGTTGAAACAACTGAATTGCTTAAAAGTTTTAGCGAACATCTTCAATCGATTAATAACTAACTTATTTGCCTTTTCTTTTCTGAAAAATTTCTTTTAAAATTCTTTTTTACTTTTTTAATTATAAATTAATTAATTATTTTATGATGAATTGAATTTTATTGTTTTGTAGTTTTTAGGGTGAAAAAGAAAGATATGTAAGAAAGCAACTTTCATCGTAATTCTTCTGAATAATACTAGTTATTGAAGCAAAATATATCTCATTTTATGTATTTACTTATTTTTAATGATCTTATTTAGCTTTAATAGATATTTCTATTGATACTACTTAAATCGGAATCAAAAATAATAAATCAATCATTTGTCAAAATATCTTTTTTCAATAAACTTGTAGGTAGAATCTTAACATTCTAACATCTATCAGACATAGGTCTAAATGTTTAGTATTAAAAATCTTACATCATTTTTGTTCATGAAAGTTTGTTCCCCCACTCTCAGTACCTTTCTAAATAATTAATTTGAAAATAATAAAAATAGAATATGTTTCTTTTAATTTTAATTATATTCAACAAAATCAATTCAATTCATATAAAATTAATTTAACTTTACATAAGAAAATGGAATAATATTCCATCTATTCAAAAAATGAATCAAGTGTAAATTAAGAAGAGTAAATAAAAAGAAGACTGACCATTAAAATTATTTACAAGTAACAAGTAATAATGATACATGAATTTTTATTTTTATTTAATTCACTAAAAATTTATTTAAATTAATCATAAAATTTGTATTTTTAAACCAAGTAAGCACCAAAAAAATTTAAGCCATCTTCATTTGTTAATTTGTTTGATTTTTCATTTTAATTGTTAACTTAGAAAAAAAATATTAATTTATTTACATTATTAAATTTACATAATAAAATCAAATATCATTTACTTAATTTTTTTACCTAATTTTAGAATCAATAACAATTTATATTTCATAATTAATATTTTGTGTTTAAAAAGTTATATGTCTTATAAAATCTAATCAACAATAATAAATTGCTAGTTTAATTTTTTCATAATAATAAGGTAAAATCAAAATATTTAAAATTATGCTTTTTAATCTGTTTAGAATTTTGACAAATAATAAAAATAAATTAGTAAATAATGAATTAATTTGTCATTTAAAATTTCTATAGCTTCGATAATGAAAAACTATTCAACATAATTTCATTCTATATATTTTATTAATTTTAGTTTAATCTTAAATTTTAACTTTTGATTTTTAAATTTTAAATTACATTCATTTTAATTACAACTTGATATAGCATTTGACTTTAATGTAAACTTAAAAAACAAAAATACAAAATAATTTTACTAATTTATTTAATTTATTTAATTTAAGATAAAACAAATTTCAGTAGATATAATCGTTAACATGTTAACTTTATTACTGTGGTACTTATTATTAAAAGCTATTTGCTTAAAAAGCATATTATTATGTAACAGGCTACTAATACTGAGCTTAGAAATATTACTATGGACTCTAAACTTAAACTTGATGATATTAAGTTTCATAAGGATTTTATAGTCCATTATTTTAGCTTTTATTGTATGGATTTGGTGTATTTTAAATAAATAAATTATTTTGTTATTATTATTGCATAGAATAACCACCTAATTTCTAGTTTTATATGTTGACTTAAGCTTATTAAGAGAAAGATCCTGATAGGAAGTGTGCAGAATTTGATGCACCTAAATTGTTTAGTTGCATAACTTTGTTTTTTATCTTTATTATTTACTCCTTATATTTATCAAATTTAAAATAGGCTCTCCACATACTGATCACAAATGGTAACTTCAAATTAAAAAATTATAAAATTTTGCAAATATAAAAACTATTTAATTAATTTTTACCTTTGAAAAAATCGTTGAAATAATGCAAATTAAAATTACAAAGGATCTCATACCACTATCTATGTTAGAATACCCTTCGAATCCATACCATTTCTATATTTTATAAAGGATAATTTATTTTTTTTAATTTTATTTAATGAAAATTACAGTAGACAAAAAGATGAGCCATATCACATCATAAAACCATGATATAATAAGTATAATGCTAATAAATCTATGCTAAGTATGAGTAAGAATTCCAGTGAAGCATAATCCCATGTATATAAGAAGTAGTGTCAGCTTTTAATATTTGAAGGTCATATTTATATAATAATTAAATTAAAAATATTACTTCTAAAAATTAAGGCTTGTATAAGCATTGAACGATGGAAAAACAAGTAGTTGCAACAAAAAAGAGTATGGTAACTTTAGTCCAATCCTCAATCACTTCAGAAGTGTGTTAATCTAACTTTTCTAGTATCTTCTATTCAAATTTTTACTCTTTAATATTAGGAAAATAATATGCAGATAGATTTAGCATATTAACTGGGTTATTTTACTCATATACTCCACTTCCAGTTCCATATCCTCCTTGATTATTTCTAGAGTTTTCAACATTCTTATACAAATCATTTGAAGAAGGGTTGTATGCAGCCTTTTAAAATTATTAAATCAATAAAATTAAATATAAACTCAATTATAATATTTTTTTGTTTCTATTTTTAATTTTTAAGAAATCAAATTTGCCAAAGCAAAGAATTTTTTTATAAAAGCAATTCTTTTTTCAGTTTTTAAATTTATAATAAATATTATTAATTTAAATAAATTTAGAATTTGTGAACTTTAATAAAGCTATTTAAAAGAATTTTTAAGATTTGTATAAAATGTTTTGTTTATATTTAATTTTGGCTAAATTAAAAAAATCTTTAAATTGTTTTTAGCTTAAAATTGCAAAATTTTTGTGAATTTAGTTTATTTTATAAGTTTTAAACTAAATTAATAATTTAAAAGAATAAATTTAGAAAATCAAAAAATTAATTAATAAAAATGTAAATTACCTGCTTCAGCTAGTTGGATTAGTATGGATTTTTATCATCAGTAAATAGTTAGGTTAATTTTGCTAAAGTTATTTAAGTGGGTTTCATTGCCTCTATTTTTTATTTTATTTCTTCTTCTTTTAATCTAATATCGTTCTACAATATCTTAGACTTTTAATAAAATAATTTTTAATTAAATTATTGTTTTAAAATGGTAGAATTTATTTTTAGTTTTTTTGTAAAACACTAAAATTAACCTTTTCAAAAATATTTTTATAAGCTTACTTCTGATAAAACAAATTTGGCTTCGTATGCTATTGTTGATTAGGTCCTATAATCGCCTTTCTTTAAATAATCTTCTTTTTGAACTAACATATTTTTTTCTAAATCTTTGAGGTAGATAACTGCTCTGCCTATTTCATCTTGAACAACAAGTCTCTTTCTATCATTTACTATCAAAACTATCTCTTTTTGTGATTATAGAAATCCTGTTGGTTGAATATCTCTATTTAATTTTTAGATAATTTTAACTGATTCATAGAATTTCAATTTTTTATTATAAAGATATGCAAAAAGCATTTTAGAATCTTTCAAATAAAAATAATTTACAAAGTAAAGACTTCGTTCCAAACAGGATTTTAATTATTTGGAAGAACTTAAGTTGAATGCATGTGCTAGCCATCAAAAATTACCTACACAAATGCATCAACAGGTGAAAACCTATCAAAAGGTTCCAAATTTTTTGCACTTTAAATACTAAGAATCACTCTATCCACATTATTTGGCTTAATTTAATTTAGCTTTTTAATTAATTCATTCTTTTATTTTACAAGCTCTTCTTTTTCAGATTCAAAATAGCTGATTCTAAAATTCAAATTTCTCTCTGTATCAAGAAATTAATTTATAAAATCTCTTGCTTAAATTCTCTAATTCTCTGAGTGACACTCTTAAAATAATTGCTGAGCTATATTTCTATCATAAGGTACTCTATTCTATTAAAAATTTTTCAAATTTATTTCAAGGCTAATCAAATTTTCATACCTAATGATCCAAAAAATACATCAATTCTTCAAATGTAAAATCTTGCTAAAACTAAGAAAACATTGAATTCAGCTACGACTCTCTATCTACTTATTGCTTATGAGTAGATTAAACTAACCCATAGTGATAGACCTAAGTTGTCTACTAAGTTTATTCTTCAGGACTATATGCAAATTTGTTTATCATTCTATATATACTTCTTAAATTAATTAACTCCAATCAAATACTAATTTTTTATTTTATTTTGCAATATTTATAAGTAATTAATTTTGAAATTCATTCATAGAGAGAAACATACAATCAAAGTTTAAAATTTCATCTATTTATCAATCAATCAATAGATTAATACAGTTTTCTACGTTTATTTTTCAAATACTATCATTTTGAAAATCTTTAAGAGACAACATGTACACATTTAAATGACAAAATAGTAAAATTTATTACCATTTGTTTATTTCAAAACAGCAATTTTAGAATAATTAAAAAGATAATTATTTTACTAAGATAATATCAAAATCCTAGTATTTTTTTGTATTTTTATTAAGCCTTACTTTCAAATACTTTATAAAAATAATATTTATAAAACAAATTTTATAGTTTATATCATTTAATATTAATTATCTGAATAACAATTATTAGTGTCTTTTTTTGAAATGGTCTTTGACTTTTTAATTAAAATCCAGTGGAATTAAAATTTTTTTCATTTAAATCAATTAAAACTAATTAGAAAAAAAAATTAGTTCAAATTTATTTATGGCTTTGACAATTATTCTCTTTTTATAATTTTATAAATGAGTGACTCAAAATTTAATTTGTTATTTTTTAATTCATAAAAACAACCAACTTCATACAAGCAAGAGACTTTCTATAAAATTAAACCTATTTTTTTAAAACATTTATTTATTGAAGTTTTCTCATTAGAATAAACAATTTTATTATTTTACATAAATCTAAGTTTGGTGAAGATTATTTGAGCAAACTTTTTCCATATCTTATTTGAGTAAATCTAAATTTTGAACCTAACATTTTAAATCATTGTATTATTTTGATTTTTCTAGATATTACTCTTTGGCTACATCAATTTAAATCTGCAGAAGATTTAAATTTAATTCTTCTATGTTACTTTTCTTTAATTGAAATTTTAATACTCCTTACTCATTTTCTTTTTATATAAAAATTGAATAAGTTCGACCAAAAAATAAACTATAAATTTTTCATTTTCTTAAAAATTATTTCAAATTTTATTTAATAATCTTTAAATATTTATTTTAAATCAAATTTAAAAATTATTTTTTTGTTTTAATTAAATAATTTTATGAAGTTAAAGCTAAAATTTACATTATAAGTTATTTATTTAAACATTTTGTTGATTATTATTTTCCTTGACTATTTTAGGTATCTACTTCACTGTTGAAGCTAGCTCATCAAGCTTTAATGACTGAGTTAGTATTTTTTAAGTAGGTAGATTGGCTTCTATTTTATGAAAGATATTATTATTTTGTATTCTTTCATGAGTGTATTAATTTGTATTCAAGAAGAACTGTTGTTAATTCAGCTCTTTAGAAAGCTCTTTTAAATCAAATAAATTATCACTGCGGCTTTGATTACTTTGTCCTCCATCAACTATCAATATTTTATCTTATTTAATTTAATGGATTTCATTTTCTTTTATCTAGTCTTTGTTAATTAAAATGTGTCTTTATTTATTGTCTACACTTAGGTTAGTATTTTTAAATTATATTTCATACTAATTTCTTTAATATTTAGCACTATTTTCTTAAACTTATTGAGAATAACCTTAATATTAATTAATAAATCTTAAAAACTAATTTGTGTCTTGCTAATTTTGGCAGAATTGTATATATTCTCTATTGTTTTTTACATTTAAAATATTTGAATTTGTTTTTTTAAAAGTTTGGTATTTACCTTAATGTATTTATGTTGGATTAGATATTTATTGAAGGCTACTAATTTGGTATTAAATTTAGTAAATTTTCAACTTATTTTTCTAATTATTTTGAGTAATCTTTGTACTTATAATACTTTCTTGATGTTTCTGCAAACCTAATTCTCTATTTCATGAAGTGTTCTTATTACCTCTAAGTTTCTACTAATTCGTTTTATAACTTAAGTGTCTTTTTATTTATTTTGAATATTATTTTAAAGTAGAAAAATATTATTTTTTTTACATCTTGCTCTATTGCAATAATTAGTTTAAACATTTCATCTTTCGCTAAAGTTCTGCAATTCTAATGCATAAAATATTAGATTATCATCAAAAATACAATTAAATAAAAGGACAACATAAAAGCATTAAATAGTTTTAGGATACTCTTTGACTATGTATTTTAAAGAGCTATTTTGTTAAACTTCCTTTATAAATTAATTAAATTCAAAGCTCATATCTATTTATAATTTGCGAAATTCTTGCAATTTTATATTATTAGATACTAAATAAATAAATAATAAGTTAATTAATATTTACCACTAAATTAAATCAATATCTAACTCGATTTTTACTGTAAATACTCTGAATTACCTGCTAAAATTATTCAAAAATGCAAAAAATAAATAAAAATATTATTTAATTTAATATTAATTAAAATCTATTATATTTATAAAAGAATTGGTCAAACTAAGGTATATTCTAACTAAAATTTGAGTTAATATTAAAATACTTAAATTTAAATCTTTAAATTAATTTCTAAAGAATATACATAAAGTTTTATTTAAATTTAGTAAAAATAAACGTAAATAATATGAAAAAAACTATATTTTTCTTAGCTCATTTATTTTTTCTTCAACTAATAGAGATATTTATTGTGTTGGCTAGTAATAATTAAAAATAAACTCATTTAAAGAAAATAAAGATTATTTAATACTTGAGTTTTTCTATATACAAATTTATTTTAAAAACAATTAATTACAAAATCAGATGGTTAATACATATTTATTATAAAAGATCATAAATATAATTATTTAATTTAGCACAACTTTTATAAAAAGAATCATCATTAACCTTTAAGAAATATTTATAAGAATGTTAATTAATCAAAAAATTTAGGTTTTGAACAAGTTTACATAACATTTTATTTACAAAAAAATAATAATAAAATGTAAATTAGAATAAAAAATTGTTTTCTTTACTAACAATATAATATATTAAAGATATTGAGTAAAGATTTTTTAATTTTATTATTTTATTTATATAAGATATGTCTATGATTTTTGATTGATTTGGTAGAAACATCAATTTGGATTAGTTTATAAAAAAAGGATAAAAAATGTGCAATTTTAATTATATTTAAATTAGCTATTTGTTGTATTGCAGAATCAATGAATAAATATATAAATGAAAATATATATGCTTATATATGTATGTATATGGTATATAGTGATAATGAAGGGTGCGTCTATCATTATTATAAGATATTCATAAACAGTTAATTAATTAATAATTAATTAGATTGATATGTTCATTTTTTATAAACTCAAAATGATTGTGAATACATATAATTAATTGACTTAATCAATCATTCTTTCATTATAAGATAATAATAATTATAATTTTTCTTTTTCTATCCTTTAATAAATAAAAATAAAAACAATAAGAAAAGGAAGAGGAGAAAACTATAAGATAATATGCAAGGTAGATTTAATTATTTTCAAATTGATTAGGATATAAAAATGAAATTTAAATGAAAACATAAAAATACGTTCATTATATTATTAAGATTTAGGGAATAGTCAATAAAATTCTATTTTATAAAATATATTTATAGGATATCCTCATATGCCTCCTGGTGGTATGATTCCACCTCATTAAAATATGATGCCAAAAATGGGCATGATGCCTCCACCTCATCATTAAATGCAACAGCCTCCTATGATGCATGAATAGTATTTAGATGATAAAATTAAAAAATGGCGTCAAATGAATTCTAAAAAGTATGAAGAAAAGCGTAAATTTGATAACAGCGGTATTTAAAAAGAGAAAATGCCTCCAGAAGTAATAAGGTAAATTTGAAAAATCGAAATTTATAAATTTTTATAATATAATTGTTCAGTATTTGTTAAATTATATTAACTCTTAAAACCTGACATATATTACATATTGTTTATTTTATTCAATTAGAAAAATTATAAAAGATCATGGTGATATGAGTTCTAAGAAATTTAGATAGGACAAAAGAGTTTATTTGGGTGCTTTGAAATATATTCCTCATGCTGTGTATAAACTATTAGAAAATATGCCTTAGCCTTGGGAATAGGTAAATAAATTTATTTTAAGTATTAAAGCATCAAACAAAGTGAGCAAGTTATTCAAAATACTAATAAGATTTTTAGATATTTGCTATTTATAAGCACAAATAAGGAATCATTAAAGTAAATAAATATATTGCAAAAAAGGATGTTAGTAGATCTAAAATATAAAAAGATAAAACAATTTCAAGTTCTAAATGTAATTATTTAAAAAGATACAATAAAAACTGCTAAATACAAAAAAGTTAATCAATCTATACAAGTTAATAAAATACATATTTAAAAAATATATTTTATGAATAAATATAATATTGAATTTTTAAAAATTAGTAGTAAATAAAGAAAAAATCACCACTTATCAAAATTTAATAAAAAGACAAAATAAATAACTAAAAATTAAGTTAAAATTTTTAAATTAGCAAAAATAAAAATGATTTTAGAAAAATAAATAATAATAATATAATATGTTTGAATAAATAAATAAATGAATTAATTAATTATTAATTATTTAATAGGTAAGAGAAGTAAAGGTATTGTATCATACAACTGGTGCCATTACTTTTGCCAATGAAATTCCTTTTGTTATTGAACCAGTTTATTTAGCTTAATGGGGAACTATGTGGATTATGATGAGAAAGGAAAAGAAAGACAGAAAACACTTCAAAAGAATGAGATTCCCTCCTTTTGATGATGAAGAACCTCCTTTGGATTATGGTGATAACGTTTTATCAGTAGAACCTTCTGAATCTATTTAAATGGAATTAGACGAAGTTGATGATAACCCAGTTTTCGATTGGTTCTATGATCATAGACCACTCTAATTCTCTAAAAATGTAAATGGTTTATCTTATAAAAAATGGCACTTACCTCTTGAAGTTATGTCAAATTTATACAGACTAGCCAATTAGTTAATGAGTGACATTGTAGATAAAAATTATTTCTATTTGTTTGATCTGAAATCTTTCTACACTGCCAAGGCTCTTAATATGGCCATCCCTGGTGGTCCTAAATTTGAACCTTTGTACAGAGATTTGGAGGAAGATGATGACTGGAATGAATTTAATGATATTAACAAGATTATTATTAGACAATAAATTCGTACAGAATATAAAATTGCTTTCCCTTTCCTATATAATTCTCGTCCTCGTCGTGTTGCTATTGCACCTTATCACTATCCTGCTTGTTGCTATATTAAGTAAGAAAATCCTGATTTACCTGCCTTCTATTTCGATGAAATTATCAATCCTATTGTTGATAAGAATAGAAGAACAACCAGAGTTGAAATTGAATTTTCTCAAGATGAGTTAAATTTAGATGAAATTGTTATGTCCGAAGATTTTGAACCCTTCTTGTATGATGAACCTCTTTATGATTCTTAGACTAGTGATGGTATCAGTCTTTTGTGGGCTCCTAAGCCATTTAATTAACGTACAGGTAAAAATCGTCGTTCTTTTGATATTCCTCTTGTTTCTAACTGGTTCAAGGAGCGTTGTAACCCTGAAAACCCTGTTAAGGTTCGTGTTTCTTACTAGAAGCTTCTTAAATGTTGGGTACTCAATTCTTTACATAAGCGTAAACCCAAAGCTTAGTGCAAAAAATCTTTATTTAAAGCTTTTGCTTCTACAAAATTCTTCTAATATACTGAACTTGATTGGGTAGAAATTGGTTTATAGGTTTGTAGATAAGGTTATAATATGTTAAATTTATTGATCCATCGTAAGAATTTAAATTACTTGCATTTAGATTACAACTTTAACTTGAAGCCTGTAAAGACATTAACAACTAAAGAAAGAAAGAAATCTCGTTTCGGTAATGCATTCCATTTGTGTAGAGAAATTCTTCGTTTAGTAAAGCTAGTTGTTGACTCTCACGTTTAATATCGTTAGGGTAATGTTGATGCATTTTAATTAGCTGATGGTTTACAATATGTTTTCTCTCATGTTGGTTAATTAACTGGTATGTATCGTTACAAATATCGTCTTATGCGTTAAATTCGTATGTGCAAGGATCTTAAGCATCTTATCTATTATCGTTTTAACACAGGTCCAGTTGGTAAAGGTCCAGGTTGTGGTTTCTGGGCTCCTATGTGGCGTGTGTGGCTTTTCTTCATGAGAGGTATTATTCCACTATTAGAACGTTGGCTTGGTAATTTACTAGCCCGTTAATTCGAAGGTCGTCACTCAAAGGGTGCTTCTAAATCTGTCACCAAGCAACGTGATGAATCAAACTTTGATCTTGAATTACGTTCTGCAGTCATGATGAGTATTAGTGATATGATGCCTGAAGGAGTTAAGGCTAATAAGAATCGTACTATTATGCAACATCTCAGTGAAGCTTGGCGTTGTTGGAAGGCCAATATACCCTGGAAGGTCCCAGGTATGCCTGCTCCTATTGAAAATATTATTCTTCGTTTTGTGAAGCAAAAAGCTGATTGGTGGACTAATGCAGCCTACTATAATCGTGAAAGAATTCGTCGTGGTGCTACTGTCGATAAGACTGTATGCAAAAAAAATATGGGTCGTCTTACTCGTTTGTTCTTAAAGAATGAATAAGAAAGGTAACATAACTATTTGAAGGATGGTCCTTATTTACAACCAGATGAAGCTGTTTCTATTTACACAATGTTAGTCCATTGGCTTGAATCAAGAAAGTTCAGTCATATTCCTTTCCCACCTATTAATTATAAACACGATACAAAACTCTTCATTTTAGCCTTAGAGCGTCTAAAGGAAGCTTACTCAGTTAAAAGTAGACTCAATTAAAGTTAAAGAGAAGAACTTGCATTGATTGAACAAGCTTATGATAATCCTCATGAAGCTCTTACTCGTGTTAAGCGTTAACTCTTGACACAAAGACAATTCAAAGATGTCTCTATAGAATTTATGGATCTCTACTCTCACTTAGTACCAGTCTATGATGTTGATCCTATGGAAAAAATCACTGATGCCTATCTTGACTAGTATCTCTGGTATGAAGCTGATAAGCGTCGTCTCTTCCCTAACTGGATCAAACCAGCTGACTCTGAAGTAATTTATAAAAATTAATCATAATTTTATTTTTATTCTAATCATATTATTAATACAAATAATAGCCCCCACCATTACTTGTTTACAAGTGGTGCCAAGGTATAAACAACTTATAAGGTATTTGGGATACCTCCGAAGGATAAAGCATTGTGCTTCTTGAGTCTAGATTTGAAAAGGTCTATGAAAAAATAGACTTGACCTTCTTAAATAGACTTTTAAGATTGATTGTTGATCACAATATAGCTGATTATATGACAGCTAAAAATAATGTGGTCATTAATTTCAAAGATATGAACCATACAAATAGTTATGGTATTAATCACGGTCTTTAGTTCACTTCTTTCCTCTATTAGTTCTATGGATTAATTCTCGATCTTCTTATCCTTGGTCTATAGCGTGCAAGTGAACTTTCAGGTCCTCCTAACTAGCCAAATGATTTTATGACTTTCTCAGATATTAAAACAGAAGTAAGTCACCCTATAAGACTCTATTGCAGATACATTGATCGTTTCTATATGGTATTCCGCTTCGATGAAGATTAAAGCAGAGAATTAGTTCAGCGTTATTTAACAGAAAATCCTGATCCAAATAATGAAAATATAGTAGGATATAACAATAAAAAATGTTGGCCTAAGGATTGCCGTATGCGTTTGATGAAGCACGATGTCAATCTAGGACGTGCAGTCTTTTGGGAAATGAAAAATAGACTTCCCCGTTGTTTGACTACTATGGAGTGGGAACATTCATTCTGTTCTGTGTATTCAAAGGACAATCCAAATCTACTATTCAATATGTGTGGATTCGAAGTACGTATTCTTCCAAAATTACGTTCCTTGAACGAAAGTTTCACTTAGAGAGATGGTGTTTGGAAATTATAAAACGAAACTACTAAAGAAATTACAGCCTAAGCTTTCTTGCGTGTTGATGAAGAATCTATGAAGAGATTTGAAAACAGAGTTCGTTAAATTTTGATGGCTTCTGGTAGTACTACATTCACTAAAATTGCTAACAAATGGAATACATCCCTGATTGGTTTGATGACTTATTTCCGTGAAGCAGTTATTCACACTGAGTAGATGCTCGATTTACTTGTAAAGTGTGAAAACAAGATTCAAACTCGTATCAAAATTGGTCTCAATTCTAAAATGCCCAGTCGTTTCCCACCTGTCGTTTTCTATACACCTAAAGAACTTGGTGGTTTAGGTAAAAAATTAATTTAAATTCAAATAAAAATTTTTACTATTTCATTAAAAACATTTTTATTTTATTTTATTTTAATAACCTGCTTTAATTTTGAATTAAATTTATTTTTTATTTGTTTTTTAGGTATGTTGTCTATGGGTCACATTTTGATTCCTTAGAGTGATTTAAGATTCTTTAAGCAAACAGACTCAGGTATTTCTCACTTCCGTGCTGGTATGAGTCATGAAGAAGACTAGCTTATTCCTAACTTGCACAGATACATTTAATCATGGGAATCAGAATTTTTGGATTCTCAAAGAGTTTGGGCTGAATATGCTCTCAAAAAGTAAGAAGCTCTCTCTTAGAATAGAAGACTAACTATTGATGAGCTTATGGAAAGTTGGGACCATGGTATTCCACGTATCAACACACTTTTCTAGAAAGACAGATTGACTTTAGCATACGATAAAGGTTGGAGAGTTCGTTAAGACTTCAAATAATATCAAATTTTGAAATAAAATCCTTTCTGGTGGACACACAATCGTCACGACGGTAAATTGTGGAATTTGAATCACTATCGTACTGATATGATTTAAGCTCTTGGTGGTGTTGAAGGTATTTTAGAACACACTTTATTCAAAGGTACTTATTTCACTACTTGGGAAGGTCTGTTTTGGGAAAAAGCTTCAGGTTTCGAAGAATCTATGAAATATAAAAAATTGACACATGCCTAACGTAGTGGTTTAAATCAAATTCCTAATAGACGTTTCACTTTATGGTGGTCCCCAACAATTAACAGAGCTAATGTCTATATTGGTTTCTAGGTACAGCTTGATTTGACTGGTATTTTTATGCATGGTAAGATTCCTACTCTTAAGATTTCTCTTATTTAGATCTTCCGTGCTCACTTGTGGCAAAAGATTCATGAGTCTGTCGTTATGGATCTCTGTTAAGTTTTTGATATGGAATTAGACTCATTAAATATTGAAACAACCCAAAAAGAAACAATCCACCCTCGTAAGTCTTATAAGATGAATTCATCTTGTGCTGATATACTACTATATGCAGCCTTCAAGTGGCCTGTTAGTAAACCATCTCTTCTCCACGAGCAAAAGGATTCTTATGATGGTACTACTACTAATAAATATTGGCTTGATGTCCAACTTCGTTGGGGTGATTATGACTCTCACGATATTGAACGTTATGCTCGTGCTAAATTCTTAGATTATACAAATGATAATATTTCTATATATCCTTCACCTCATGGTTGCTTGATAGCTATTGATTTGGCTTATAACCTTCATTCTGCTTACGGTACTTGGTTTGAAGGTGGCAAGACCCTTATCCTTTAAGCTATGAATAAGATCATGAAATGCAATCCAGCTCTTTATGTATTACGTGAAAGAATTCGTAAAGGTCTTTAACTCTATTCATCTGAACCCACTGAACCTTATCTTTCTAGTTCTAATTTCTCAGAACTCTTCTCCAACTAAACTATTTGGTTCGTTGATGATACCAATGTCTATCGTGTCACTATCCACAAGACTCAAGAAGGTAACTTAACAACCAAGCCTACAAATGGTGCTATCTTTATTTTCAATCCTCGTACTGGTGAACTCTTCTTGAAGATTATTCACACTTCAGTCTGGGCTGGTCAAAAGCGTCTTGGTTAATTAGCAAAGTGGAAAACTGCTGAAGAAGTAATAATTTTTTTTCTTTTGTTTAAAATTAAATTAATTTTTTTAATCTTTAACAGGTTGCAGCTCTTATTCGTGCTCTTCCAGTAGAAGAATAACCCAGATAAATTATTGTTACAAGAAAGGGTATGCTTGATCCTATGGAAGTTCACTTACTTGATTTCCCTAACATTGTCATTAAGGGTTCAGAAATGTAGCTTCCTTTCTAATCTTGCTTAAAAGTAGAAAAGCTTGGTGATTTGATTTTGAAGGCAACTGAACCTTAGATGGTTGTCTTTAATTTATATGACAATTGGATGTCAAGTTGCTCATCAAACACAGCTTTCTCAAGACTAATTTTAGTCCTCCGTGCTCTTCACGTCAATATTGATAAAGCTCGTATGATTCTTAAACCCAACAAGTAAGTTATCACATAACCTAATCATATTTGGCCTACATTAACTGATGATGAATGGGTAAAGGTAGAAAATGAATTGAAAAATTTAATTTTGGCTGATTACTGCAAGAAAAATAATGTCAACATTTAAGCATTGACTTAATTAGAAATTAGAGATATCATTCTAGGTCAAGAAATGGCTCCTCCCTCAATGAAGGACGAACAAATTAAAGAAGTTGAAAAGTAATACAAGGAAGCTCAGCACTAGTAGGAAACTACAGTTAAAACTACAAATGTTCTTGGAGAAGAAATTACAGTTACAGTATAAAAGCCATACGAATAGTAACAATTTAGATCTCATACCAACTGGAAGACTCGTGCTATTTCTGCTACTAACCTTCACTTGCGTGCTAAACATATCTATGTCACTAAAGTAGACATTGAAGAATCTGGATACACATACATGTTCCCTAAAAATATACTAAAGAAATTTATTTCTATTGCTGATTTGCAGACTCAAATCGGTGGTTTCATGTTTGGTGTTTCACCTCCATAAAATTCATAAATTAAGGAAGTACGTTGTATAGTAATGGTACCTCAAACTGGTAATAAAGAAAGTGTAACTTTCTGTCCTTCTTTACCTGAAGGTGGATATCTTAAAAATCTAGAACCTCTAGGTTGGATACATACTCAATCTGAAGGTAATTTATTAACCTATTTCAAGATTTATTTAAATTAATTGTTATCATTTTAATTTTATTAAATTTATTTATTTTTAATCAAATTTATAGAAAAAATGCAGCTATCACCTTATGATACAAATCTACATAGTAAATTCTTAGCTGAAAACTAGTCTTGGAATCCTGAAGTATCCATAACATTGACTGTTTCTTTCACACCAGGTTCTTGCTCTCTCACTGGATATAAACTTACAAAGGCAGGTTATGAATGGGGTAAGAAGAACAAAGACTTGCAAGCAACTCAAGGATTTACTAATACTCACTATGAAAAAGTATAGCTTTTCCTTTCTGATAAGATTAGAGGATTCTTTATGGTTCCAGATAACCACATTTGGAACTATTATTCCATCGGATTGGGTGTTGTGCAAAATGCAAGTTATGCTTTGACTCTTTCCAACCCTAAAGATTTCTATCATGAAATTCACAGAGTTAGAGATTTCATCAAGTTTAATAAAGCTGCAGATGATGAAAACTAAGACTTAGTTGACAATGAAGATCTTTTTGAATGAGTAAAAAAAATAAGAATATAAAACAAATATTAATTATAAAGCAAAACAAGATTAAAGAAATGAAAAAAGCATAGTGAATACTTATTTATTGGATAGTTTTTGTTTAAAAATTAAAGATTAAATATAATTAAACCTTAATAAAAACTATCAGTATTCTCTATTAGATTAGTAAATGTATGGTATATGCCAAATATAAATTGCTTGTCTCTTGTATAAAAGTAAAATAAAATAATATAGTATTATTATCACATCTTAATCATCCTAAAAAACTGCTATAATATTATTTAAACTCTTTTGTTTATTTTTATTTATATATTTATCAAATTCATTTTCAATCTATGATAGTGGCTTTCTCTATAAATCTCTTTTAATTATAAAATTAATAAATATTGCAATTAATGATATAATTTATCTATCAAATAGCAAGGTTATTTTCTAAAGATTTAAAGTAATTAATATTATGAATTTTAATATTTTGGTTTTAATTTAAGTAAATATACTTCATAAATAAAAAACTCTTCATTTTATAGATATATATTAAAAACCATTTTAATACCTTAAAATTTTAAAGAAGATGACATTAATAAAGAATTACAAATATTAAAAATGCATAAAAATATAGCCTATTTTTAGATTGATAGATAGACAGATAGATTTGTTTTAAAATTTTTAATAAATGAAATAAAATTATTGTCATAAATTTATTTCTTAATTATAAATATATTTTATTAATAAGAGTTTAGATTTATTATAACACTAATATAAGCACAATTTTTTATATGATTGAATATATTTTTACCTTTGAAAATAAATATTTACAGATTAATATAAAAGATGTAATGCAAATATAAATAAATTTAAGTTGATAGAAATCTAGATTTTTTAATAGATTTCATTCTTAAAACAATAAATTAATTAAATATAAATTTTTTTTTTCTCATTTTTATAAATTCTTTTAACTATTGTTGAAACTAGTTTTTTCTTTTAAATTATTTTTATAATTTGTTTGTTATAATTTATACACGTTAATTTAATAATATATCAAATTTTTTGATTACTACCTGAGCTTGCATTGCTTCCTGATTAAAGTCTTTAAATGTTATTTTGAGAAGATTTTTAAGCTGATTTTATGTCTTCATTTGGAAATACTCCCTCTCTGTATTAGGGCTATATATTACCTCTTTCTATTTGTTCAAAACCTTAAAAATAATTATTCAAATATTAATAAATTTATTATTTCCATAATGAATAATATTAACAAGTTGATAAATTAATTATTTCTAAACTTTCATAAGTGAAAAAATAGGTTATTTGATGATAAATGATAAAAATTAAATTACCATTTATAATTTTCTTAATTGGCATAAAAACAAGGAATGAAAATATCATAGATGACAGAATTATTAAGATTAAAACTTAAACCTTTTTATAATTTAAAATATATAAAATATATTTAATTTAATCAAGTTTTTTATTGTAAAAATTACCTTTTACGTGTCATCTATTTATGAAATATCTAACGAATTTATCAAGAAATGGTGAACGCTATAATTGGACACAGTATATCCTAAAATAAATCCTATAACTAATCCAACTACTAGCATATTTAATTTATACTGCTTATTCCTACCTTACTATATCAGAAATTATTTATCAAATGTCTCTTTGAATTTTTATGTGTGTGTTAATTGATTGTTAGTTTTTTTAATAATATTTGATCAAAAAGCAAAATAACTAAAATTAAAAAGTCTTTAAAGTTATCAATTGATATAGTTTTATATTAAGGTAAAGAAAATATAAACATGAAAGCTCTCTTACAATTAATTAATGATATATTTAATAACATTGTATTACTATTCTGTTTTAAGTCTACATAATCTTACTTAATAACTTATTAATAAATTTATCTTCATCTGATTTTAAGATTTAAACATATAATTAATCATTACAAACATAATATTCTTTAAAATAGAACCTTTATAAAAAATAAATCAGACTTTATTAATATAAATGTTTATTTGTTCAATATAGGAATCATCATTTTAAAAATTGCCCTTCAATAAGTAAAATATCAAATTTAAAATTCACAATAATAAATCTTAATAAACAAAATGTTTTAATTAGATTACAAAATAATTAAATAATTTAAAATTAAAAAGTCGTAAAAAATATTTTTTAAATAAAAAAGGGGGAGGAGATATTTAATATGTAATTTTCTAAAAATATCGTTTTAAATAAGCTATGCAAGTAATTAATATAGATAAAATTCAATCAAATATCTTTTATAATTAAATTTATTTATAATAATGATAATAAATTATATAATAATAAATAATTGTGAATTAGAAAAGAAGAGATACAGTAAATGTATGATTAATAAGGATATTTTATATAAAAAGCAGCTAGAAAGATAATTGGAGATGATAAATCAAAGGAGATTAGAAATTTTCAATTATTAAATTATATATATCTATCTAATTGTTTGTTTTTAATTTAAATTAAAACCAAAGTGAGGGATTTTAATTTATTAATCAATATTTGCATAAATCAATTAAAATTAATTATCAAAAAAAAGTAAACAATATTTAAAATGGGTAGAGACAATAACAGAAGAGGTGGAAATAATGGTCAACGTCGTAATAACGGTGGAGGTAACCGTGGTGGCAATGTAATTCACAATTTAAATTTAACAAAAAAATATGAAAGTCAGTTAAATGATATCTTTTAATGCTAATATTGATAAATTATTAGTTAATTGATTGATGCATTGAAATATCAATATTAAAAAGATGTCTATTTTTTAAATATTAAATGAAATTTAGTTTTAACCAATAAATTAAAATATATATTTAAATAATAAGGGCAATAGAAGAGGCGGTGACGGCGGTAACAGAAAATTCGGAAACGATAGAAGAGGTGGAAACAATAACCGTGGAAATCAAAATAATAACGATAGAAGAGGAGGTAAGTTTGATAGAAATGGTTTCAAGAATAAAAGAAGAAATGACAGAAATTTAAGCAAGGATTAGCTTGATAAAAATTTGGAAAAATTCTTATCAAAGGACCCTCAAGTGAAAGATAAAAGTAAACAACTATTTGTTTTAGAAAGTACTTATAATAGTACAATAAAGGCTATTAAAAAATGAAATGGTGGGTAACCTTTTGTTTTAATTACAAAAAGTCAAAAAGGATCAACTTGATAGACAACTTGAAGAACACATGAAGAAAAAGGAAAATTAAGGCAAGATTATTAATTATTAAAGAGTAAAGTATATTTATAAATCTATTGTTATTGTTTAGGTAAGGCTAATGAAAAGAGTGATCTCTGAAAAAACTTGTTACTTACCGTATCTTTGCTAGTTATCTCTAATATTAACTGTCCTATTAATTTATCAATCAATTATGGTGTAGATAGATAAATAGATTAATCGATTTATTTAGTGTTTTATTCCAATTAATTTTTGTTTTTGTGTCAAAGTATTTGTGGAAAATATTTCATTGCAATAATTTATATTCATTTTATTTATATATATAATAAATTTTAACTTATTTTGTTAGCTGTTTAGAATTTAAATGCTTGGATATATGTGTAAACTTAAGTTAACTAAAATAGAATAAATAGTACATTAGTTCATCATAATATTTATCAAAATTTTTAGGGTTTTAATCATGAAATGATTACTTCAAATTCTTTAAATTAGTAAATTCATTTTAGTAATTTTGAAACCTTTCATTTGAGTATAATTTGAGTTTTTTCTTCAACTTATCTTTGTTATTATTTGATTTTCTGCAATTTTATCAGAAAATAAATTATATTTTTTATTTTATTTTACAATTCAAGTGATAATGTTAAAAGATATTATTTGACATCAAATATTAAAATAAATAGTGGAAAATAAAGATTTGATTTTTTAGTAATTAGATTAGTAATAAAATAAATAAATTGATAGATGAATCTATAAGTAAATGTTTAAAAACAAGATGAACATCAATTAAATATGCAAATTAGATTGAAATAGTTAATTAATTTATAAATTAAAAATAAATATAAAAATTGAATAAATTGTTTTTGTTTTTTTTGTAAGAGATCTTTTTTAGTTTGAAATACTTTATGATAAATGTTAGTTATCGACATAATAGATTCTCTTTATCACTTTGAATAATAACAGTAATATTTTCTATCCTTATATCTTTGAATGTGTTTAAAGCTTTAATTTATTTAGTTTAAGATTTGAAATAGAGAGTGGGAATGATTAATTTAGGAAGGGTTTAAGTAAGGAAGGAAGGAAGGAAGGAAGGAACGAAGTACTATGTGAGTTTTTGATTTCATCTATCAGAGAAAATTATAATTAAAACTAACAAAAATAAAAATTTATTATAACAAATATATCCTTAATATCGTTTCATAATGAATGAATGTACGAATGAATGAAGAAGCAAATTAAAGTTAGAGATTATTTATTTTTTAACTAGCCTCTTCTTAATTTTTAAATTATTTAATTATATTATAATTTATATAGCTAAATTGGAACAAAAGCAGTGAGGAAGTATTTGAGTAAGAAAGAAATCAAATTTTATTATATCCTAAAATTTTGTTGTTTTAAAACAATAAACAAGCAAGCAACCTATTTAAGAAGGAATTATAAGTTATATTTACTAAATCGATTTAATTGAATATCAATTTGAGCTAGATAATTAATTAATTAATTAACTAACTAACTAACTAACTAATACACTAAATTTATCATCTCTTCAATATGTATGTTGGAGTTTTTAAATTATTTTTGTCCTATAATTTATTTCTGTTCTTTTATTTCAGTTTATTTCAATTGTTGTCTCTATCTGAGCTGTAGTCAAGTTAATCCTCGTCATATTTCTATTTTTATCCTGAGTTTTGATTAATTGATAATGGTTTGACCCTTTAAGATTCGCGACTGCTAGATTTGTAATCTTCCACATCAGAGAAAGTGCTTTTTTTAATCTCTTATTCAAGTAATTCAGGTTATTTAAATGAATCTTCTATATCCATTTAATCACTTTTTTGATTTTGTTTGACATTCCTGTTTGGACTATTAGATTTTTGATTTTATTTTTTGGTTTCGCCATCATTAATTTCTTACTAATTCTTTGAAATTTTCGAGTTGTCATGACTACTTCTATTGTGTTTGTTTTATTTTCGTTAATCCTAATTATAATATTTATCATTTTTGTTTTAATGTAAAATCTCTTTTCTGTCTTCCTTGTAGTGCTTATTTTAGTCTTCGTCATTCCTATTATATCTTGTCTGCTAGTATTATGGTTATTGCTACCCTTTTCTTGAATCAGGGCTAGTTGATCTAGAAAAGTATCTATTTTTTTCATTTCTATATTAATGCTTTGGAGAGTATTTATTTTATTTTTTCTCATAATTTTTATAATTTTTGCCATTCTAGTTATGCACATTTCCTTTGTATTAATTACGAGAAAAAGAATTACTTCTGCTATCGTGTGATCTGCTTCTACTTCTTCTACAATCTTAAAAGTTTTTGTAATATCTTCTGCTATTATTATTGTTATATTAATAATTATTGTTATTATTGGTAGTGTTGTTATTTTCTCTCAAACTGCGTGTAGGAGAAGAATTTTCTTGAAAAGTATTGTTTTTATTGTATTAGTTCTACTTATCATAATTAAATTACTATTAATGCTAAAGCTCTCTACTTATTCCTCTATTATTATCTCTAAAATCTCTATTGTCTTTATAATCTCTACTATCCTTATAGCTCCTAGTATCTTTATAATCTCTATTATCTCTATTTTCTTTAACATCTCTAAAATCTACAATATCTTTATTATCTCTATAATCTCTATTATTATCTTTGCTTTTCTCTCTTAGCTGCTTATCATCTCTACCATCTTTATTTTCTCTTTGGTATCTTTCTGCGCTATAATCTTTTTTCTCTCTTCCACTCAGTGCTAACTCTTTTTATTTAGATCTACTTTGGTACTGCTGCTAAATTTAGTTTGATTCTAGTTAACAAGAGTTATTATTTTATTAGATTTTATCTTTTATATTTTTATCATTCAAGCTAGTTTAAAGTTATTTAGCCTCCGGGAGTAAATTATTTTGGCCAGACTATGGAGGAGATTTTGAAGGTTTAGAAATAGAAGAGAGAGGCTACTATAGGAAAAATTCTCTTTCTATTGAGAGAGATGATGATCTTTCTAACTTACTACGAAAATACTTACAAAATTGGAGGAAATCCATATTTCTTAAGTATTCTGGATATTATTTTTAATCATCTATATTTTACTGAGATTTGTGAATTTAATGACAGTTTATTCTATGAAACACATGCAAACAGTGGTATTTTTTTTTCTTCTCTCGCATATGTCTGAGATGAACAAGTTTTATTCTCTCATGGATGAGTTTATGTAATTTTTTTTTTTCTGCCTATATATCAACAACCTTTAGTACCTGACTAAAATTTTGTTAATGTTAGCTATATTACATATTTAAAATAGGTTAATTTAGATACTACTAATTATTAGAATTAAGCTACTAAGAATAATATTACTAATACTACTTTAAGTTATTTTAAAATTATTATGACTATTAAGACTACAATAACTGAGGCTATTACTGCTAAAGCTATAGCTGAGACTACTACTAAGATTGCTAAGATAATAACTACTACTACTAATATTAAATCTATTACTACTACTATAACTATTATTAACAAGAATTTTATTGCTACTGTTATTAAATCTAAATATTTATCTACTAATTTTAAGATTAATTACTGCTAATAAATAACTTTTATTTACTAAAATCATTCTAGTTCTAAGTTTAGTAATTTTAAATATTATTATTTATTAATTACTTTTGCTATTCACCCAATTGATTATAATTGTATTTCTCTTCATTATTATAATTAATTTAATATCTGTTTTTATAAATATCCTATTTAGCTTAGTACTCTCTTTTTTAATAGACATTTATGTTACTTTTATTGTTATTGCTGTTCAGCTAATAGTCTTTTTCTTCACCAAACGTAGAATTGTTTCCATCATTTTCGCGTTAACTGATTCTTAATACTTTTTAAGTTTTTAAGCCTCCATTATTATTGGTAGCTACTCCAGATCTACTAATAATTTAGCTATTTTAAATTTTATAGCTAAAATTAGAAGGATTTGGTTAGGGCTGCATCTGCTAAATACTTTAACTTTGTAAATTAACATTTTCTAAAGATCCAGTTGAAACAGTTGGTTTTTCTAAATCGTTTTAGGAAGGTTTTTATTTAATAATCAATTTATCAATCAGTTTAGGTCCCTGATCTTTCTTTTTGATAGTAATTACTCTCCCACCTCCTATTCCAGCTTAAGCTGGGTTTGGCGCTGTTACATTATTAGGTTGTGCAGCTGCTATAGAAATAACAACATTATTAATCGATTTACCATTAGAATTAAAATTGTTATTGTTATTGCTATTATTAACATTATTACTGTTGCTGTTGTTGTTATTAATTTAATTTCTGTCTTGCTTAATGATTGTCAAAGTTTATTTTACAACATTTTGCTGAGTTTGTGTTTAAGGTACATTAATTCTTTCATCTTTACTAAATTAACTTTAACTAAGATCATTATTTTACTAATCTCTGGAGCTTGAAGGAACTTCTCCTGATTCTATTGATTAATTGTCATTTGAAATTCTTTCTCTACTTTCTGATGATTTTACTTTAGATGCTTGAGCTTTTTGAGGAGAAACATCCTTAAAATGTTAGGAATTTGAAGAGTTTTATCCATTTATATCTTAAATCTATTAACTAAGCATAGAATTGTAGCCAAATTAATACTAATTTCCAGAATTTATACTATTATCCTTATCAACAACTATACTTAAACCATTACTATTTAACTAGATGTCTCCTTTATTTTTTAATGTGGAAAATTGAACTTAGTTCGATTTAGTGTTATGAATGTTTTTAGGACTGTTACTCCTGCTTCTACTTTTAGAGGAAGAAAGCTTTTATGAAGAAGAGTTGGGTGCCTAGTCTTACTAAACTACTTTGGATATCATAATCTAGTTTTCTTAACGGGTAGACGCATTTTAATCGTTTTGTTATTATTAAGGTAAAGCAATAAGTTCAGCAGAGAGATTTGAGTTTTATGATTTTATTTCTTTGATAGTAGCTTGAGCAACTTACAACGATTCGTACTGCAAAACGAGCTACTAAGAAGCATTTGATTTATTTGATATTTAATTGTCTTCGTACTTTTTAATTATCTTATATTTTCCATTGCTCCCAAAAAGACCAGAATACGAATCTACATCAATGTCAAGAGGTAATCCACTCACTCTTATTTGATATTATTGATTTTATTCCATTAATTAAATCAGTTGATGGACAAGAAACCTCTCTTTTTTATAAATAAATTTATTTCCACTATTTGTGCTCTGCCTTTTCTTGGAATGTATAGGTTACTAATATTAAAGTATCTATCTATCTGTCTATTTATACTTTTGGCACTTTTTTTCTTCCTAATATTAAGTGATATGCCTACTTATTTTTCCCTTCAATAATTTATTTATTTTCTCTCTAATTCAAAGTATTTTACTGCTAACTAGTTAACTTTTACTAAAGAGATTTCTAAAAAATTTGATAATTAATTAATAAATTAAATAATTAATTAGTTTGCTTTTGATTTCTTCTTCTTTTTCTTCTCCTTCTTCTTGATTATTTCTCCTTGTACTTAATATTGATTCTTCTAACTTTAAATGTTAATAATGCTTAATATGTTTATTTTATTTATTTATTTCTTTCTATTTATCTATCAATTTGTTGCTATTTGATTGATATTATCTATAAAGACTTCAATTTCCCTCACTATTTTTAAATATATATATATTTCAATTAACAAATCAAATAGCAGCTATACATCTATCTATCATAAATAAAAGCATGCAAATAAACATAAATTAATAAATACATGAATTTATGCATCAATGCATGTCTTTTTTCCTCTATATTGTTTTTGTTATTTAATTTTACAAATTTATCAATTAAAAATATATATTTAAATTTATCTAATTTTAGATAGTTTTTTTCTTTCCTTGCTACTTCAAAGCTATTTTGAAATGTAATTGATATTGAATGAATGCATATTTATTACAAATCATATAAATAGATCTTTATTTTACAATTGATTTATTCACAATAAAAATAAAATATATAACTTCATTACTGATTTATTTAATTATACATATTGTTGATTTTTCAAAAACCTAAATTCATTTAAAATCTTGTCTAACAGTTTTTTGTTGAAAAAAATACGTTTTTTAGAAAAAATTAAAATCTTTTTTTTAAATTTACTTTTTTAATTAATCAATAAAATCAAATAGGAAACAATATTTTCACAAAATTACTTGAATTGAATTTCAAAATTATATTTGTTATACGCTATACTGTTCAAAGAGGATTTAAATCTATATTAAGATTTATTATCAATTAATAAATTTACACAATTTTTAAAAATAAAATTGATAATTTTAATTTAGTTGATTAATCAATAAATTTATTAAATTTTCTCTTTTTTACTTTTCGGATATAAATTTTTAATTTTGATAAAATATAATAGTTTTTAAGAAATTATTAAATTAAATATAAAATAATATTCCAAATATATCTATTCAATTTAATCTTATTTTAATTTTTAATCAAATAATTTATTAATTTGCCGTATTTATAATTTATTTATAGTTTTTACAAGATAAAAAACTAGTTTTAAGAGTAAAAAAGCAGCAAGATATACCTCTAAATACATAAAAAGCTTTTACAAGTAAACATTTATATTAAAATAAATAATTTTAATTTAATAAATGGTTTAATTTGAAACAAATATAGTTTTAAAGACTAAATTAATCTATAATTATTTGCTCAAAGAAACTTATCAAATTTGATTACAAAGAGTCTCCTTAATTATCAATATGTGTTTTTAAATTTATTTTTAATAATTAGCTGTCTTAAAAGTATTTATATTAATTTAGGTAGGATTGATAAAATTTTGAGTAAGTAATGAAATAATTTTTGTAAATTTCAACTGAATGAAGTTAGTTACATAAAATTAATTATGGATTATAAAAATTTATATCAAGCCAATATATTTAAATTAATTTATTAAAAGAAAGATGATATAATATAATTCATGGAATTTAGCAAGATCTATTTAAAAATTTAATACATTATTTTTAAATATCAATTTAATTCTGATGTTGGAAAGTGCTTATTTTGAAGTATTTTATAGCTTAAAGAAATTTATATTTTTAGGCAAATTTGATCCTTAAACTGGTTGGTTTATTATAAGATTGTAGAAATGAAATACGATGCTTAAAAATGTAAAATCAAGAGTGTATTTTGTTGCGATTACTGAGAAATTGAAAAAATTGCAAGGTATTATTTTGTTTTAAGGATATCGATAGAAAGATTAAAAAAATACCAATAATTAATTGTAGGGATAAACAAAAAAATTATTAAAAATATTAAGACTTATTGTAATCTGCTATATTTGATTGTTTTAAGTAGTAGCTCATGATTCCTTCTATTGTAAGATAATCTAATGCAAATATAGCTGCTACTCAAAAGATACAAGAAGAGAGCAGCCAACAGACTTGCTCATCAATAAATTAACTAAACAGTGCAATAGATATAAGTCCGTATGTTCATTCATCAGTATTCGAAGTTCTTCAGCCTTCAAAGAATCTTCAAATTAAAGTTTGCAGCATTGCAAATTTAGAAACGATTGAAGATGATGTCTACCAAAAGCTCATTAAAAAAGAAAAATCTAATCCTCAAAGACTTACACCATAAATTAGAGGTTTAGATAATAAAGAGCTATAACGAAACAATAATGATTTTCGTTCTTAAAAAAATTTAAAATAAGGATAATTATTTGGTAATCCAAATAATAAAAATGTCGAATTACAAAAGGATAAACTAAGTTAGTAGGAATAAATTGATTTAAATAATTTGCTAAAAATAAGAAATTTGAGTGAGAATAACACTGCTAATTTAGTTGGAAATCAAAAAAAGGGTATTCTGAAGTAGTTTAATAGATAGGCATCAATTATTAAGATGAATTAAAAGGCTGAGGAAGAAGATGTGTTAATTCAATTGAATATGTTTGCAAAAAAAAATTAATCTTCACTAACGCCTAAAAATTTATAATTTTTAGCAGTAAAAAAAGATTAACTTGAAAATACATTGAACTACTTGGATTAATTAAATAAAGCAAATGAAGAATCTTAAAGAAATTCAATGTATATTTTAGAAAAGGATTTAGGAAATAAATACACTGTCAAAAGCTTTAATAAAATTCTTCCATCATCTGAAAATCACTAAATTGTTATCAAATCATTTGCTAATATTCCAGAGCAGCTATCAAAAACAGAAATTTCTTCTTAGACTAACATAGAATAATAAAAAGTACTTAATTTTTAAAAATAAAGTGCAAGCAAAGCTGCTAACATGGAAAATTAATCGCCTGCAAAAGAGTAAAATACCCTAAATATGGTAAATTAATAACCTTTTGTAGTAACATCTTATCATTCTAGAAACAAATCAACTAATTATTAGTAAATGACTCCAAAAGCATTGCTTAAAAGAAATTAATCTATTCCATTTTAAATTGATAATTTACATGTTTCAAATATTAAAGAGAGCATAAAAAATTATCCAGTAAACTCTCCTCAAATATCTAATCCAGATACATAAAGCAATAATAATACTATCAAATTAATTGGTAATAATCATAATTATAAACCAAATCAAGTAATCAATTAAAATAAACATGAATCTAGTAATTCAAAAACAAATATTCTTTTAAGAAACTCTTAAACGCTATAATTAGAAGAAATAAATTAAACTTAAATTAATCCATCCACATTAGATAAGATTGATTAGATATCATATGATAAAAGTGATAAGAGTATTGAAAATACAGATCCATTACCTAATATAAAGTGGAAAAATGAGCCCTTAGTGAGAAGCATCCAAAAGCAAAAGACATTTTCATATAAAAATGAAGGATAAAAAACTAAAAACATTTCATTCCTTAACCTATAAGAGGTTAATAATTTCAATAGAGATCCTCTTTCTTCAAGAAAAACAGCAGACACCACTCCATTCGATACAAAGCCCATATTAAATATGGAAAACCATGTTTAGCTACTTAAAGCTAAAGCTGAATTAATTTCACCTATTTCAAATAATATTTTTGAGTCTGAAGATAGAAAATCTACCTAGATTGATTCTTAGTTCAATTCTTTGCTTAAGAAAAATGAAGATGACAAATCTTAAAATGCCACTAAAGATACGAGACACATATCGCCATTCAGCATAAGCTAAAATCCTCATAAAAGCTAATTCAAAGAAAAGCATGAAATGCAAACTGTTAAATAAAAAATGGATAATTTTCAAAATTCTAAATTTGAATCTCCTATTAAAACTCCTACTGTAACATTTTTGGAATCAGAGATCAAAGACACTAAGAATTCAGCTTCTTAAAATCCTTTGGAAAACAGCAATTAATAGTAAAAAAATAAAAGATTGAGCAAATTATCTTCATAAGAGTTTGGCTCAGCGATTAAAAAGCTTTCATTAAACTAACCATTTAATGAAAATATAAATGAAAAATAATCAAATTAGGAATAAAATTTACATTCTATGAATATATCATATTTAAATTCTTTTGCTAAGCCATAGACAATAATAAACACTGCGGTTTTATCATAAACAACTTCAAACTCTCTAAAGAAGTAAACAGAGCTAGAATCTCCATTTAAATTAAAATTAAATCAAAATCCTAGTATTTCCTCTGAAGGATTGGAAAGCAATTAAACCTTGACATCTAAATCTAATAATAAATAAATAAATGAAAAAAATTTGGAACCAGTGAGTTAATTTATAAAAAATTTATGCCAATAAGATTTTAGTGATAACATAGATGTGCCTTAATCAATCTAGCAACTAAATAAAGAAGATATATATTAAAGTGAAAGATACTAGGAATTTTAGTCAAATTAGAATGAAATTTTTAATAAATTTATTTCTTAGCCTCCATATATTCAAGGTAAGGTAAAGTGCGGGTTAGCAGATTTCATCAAACAAAAGAAAAACTTAGAAATGAATAGATTAAAAACATATTATAAATTTGGGTTCAGTGCTACAAACAAAGATGAAAAAAGTCTCAAATTATAGCATGTTTTGGAAGGAGTAGTTCCAAGTTATGAAACCGGAAATATTTAATGTAGTGAGCTTTGGAGTGAGAAACATTTAAAAATTATTCATGATAGAGTTAATTTTAACTAAGAGAAATAATTTATTTAATCTTATATTTCCTATAAACAACGAAATCCTGCTAATAAATATGTTGTACATAAAAAAGTTAATTCCCTAGATTAGCAGTCTTTATAAGGGATCAAACATGACAAATTAAAAAAGCAATAATAGAGTAAAACTGGATGCCTAACAGATAGACAAAAAGTTGATCATAAAATTAACTTATCTCTTGAAGGATAAGCTGAACCTGCTTCAAGTCAAAATTTATCTTCTTCTAAAAAATTAAATACTAAATCTTCTTCAATGACTTAAACTAATTTCAAATAAATTTTACCTAGCAGCATGTAACTTATCATATTTAAAACACAAACTAAAACTAAAATATTAACAAAAAGGTTTATCAAAACAAACTCGATCAGCGACTTAAGACGTGAAAAGTAATTATTCAAAGATCTTATTTCATTTACAGACAGAGTCATTAAAAATAATCACAGAGAAATAAAGTAAAATTTATAATTTAATAAAACAATTATTAATATTTCCTAAATAGGGCATACAGTAATATAAAAAAATTCGAAGATGAAGATTGACTGATTGAATTAAATTAAATTTAATAATAAGACTCCTCTTTCTAAAATAATAAATAAACTTAGCATAAAAATAACTCTTTTTGAAATAATTTACTAAAATTTTACTACAAAAAAAAACCTAATTTTTTAATTATTTTAATGTAAAAAATAAATATATAAAATATTCAATAAAAAAAATGAAATTCTTGGAATTTGATAAGTTCTTTAAAATAAAAATTTTACATTTTATAATATGAGCAAAAAAAAAACCTGTATTAATAATCATTTCGTTTATCAAAATTAAATTGTTTTTATTTTCTATATAAAAATCTTGTTTATAAATTATTGTATTAAAAATTAATTTTTTCCATTAATTAGTTTGTGAAATATTTAATTATTTTGAAAGAATTAAAAAATCATTTAAATTTTAAAATATTATTTTTAAAGTAAGATTAAGTTCAAATAAATATTTTTCTTATTAATGATTAATAGGATCGTAATATTTAAATATATTTCTATATATTATTTTATTAAAAATAAATAAAGATTTCATAAAAAATATTTATAACAATTAAATTCCAAATTTATTTTACATTATTTGTGCAGAAATTAATATTTTAAATTTTTAAATCTACTTTAAAAAACTACAACTTTGAGAGTTTGTGTTTTTTCAAAGAATCTGCTTTAACATTTCTTTGATTCAATATACTAATTATTATTTTACTTATTACTAACGAAGTCGATTCAAAAAATCTTTAGAAATCAGAAATAATACCTCTATATATAATTATTTCAAGAGATACGTATTAGTTATGATATATCAAGATGATTATGAATTAGAACAAGAAAAGATTATTTTTGTATAAAGGAATGGCGATTTAGAATCTAAAAAAATAAGTAAAGTTGTCTTAAAAAGTGGTATTACATTTTTAGATATACAGATTAAGGTGCAAAGAGATCTTAAGTTAGGTTATACTGAAAATTTTAGACTTTTTAACAGGGAAGGAGTAGAGATGTTTGAAAACGATATTCCGTTTTTGTAGAATAACTGTTATCTTTTAGCTAGTATGGGAGAAGAATATGATTCAACAAGTGGATTTTCTCAATACGAGATTCTTCAAACTATTGGAGAGGGAGGATTTGGTAAAGTAGTATTAGCAGAGCATAAATAAACTAAAGAAAAATTTGCAATTAAATTTGTAAACACTTCTTTGATAGGAAATGCAAGCGATATTGATATGGTTTTTCGTGAAGCTGAAGTATTTTGTGAATTAGCTTAATATATTTTTACATATTTTTTTATTTAAAATCAAAAGTTATTACTTCAAACAATAATTCTACTAGAGAACTCATTCATTGCTTTTGTTTTATGAAAAAGGTTTTGAAGAATTTAAATCATAGAAATATTGTTAGGATTTTTAATTGCTACACTCTAAAGGGCATGGAAGTAGTGTTTATTATGGAATATTTACAAGGAGGTGAACTGCTGGAGTATGTAACAAAAAAGGGGAGGTTATCAGAGTTAGAAGCTAGACAGTTTTTTAGATAAATTGTAGATGCTATTTAGTATTGTCATAAAGAAAATGTCATACACAGAGATCTCAAACTTGAAAATATCCTTCTCTCATAATCTTCAAGCTCATCAATTATAAAAATTATTGATTTCGGTATAGCAGGAGTGGGAAATCTAAACACAAATAAACTGAATGTTGGTTCTTTAAGGTAGATTATTCTTCTAATAAAATAAAAATCAATTTTTAAGCTATTTTAATTGTTATAAATACATTTTACATTTATTTTATTTTTGTTTGTTCGTTTCTAAGGAGTAATATTTTGTTATTATTAAGGTATATGGCACCAGAAGTATTGCTCAAATAAGTCTAAAGTTTATAGAAAAGCATTGATATATGGAGTTTGGGAGTTATTCTCTACACACTTGTAGTAGGAAATTTGCCATTTAATGGTGAAACTCCAAGCGAAATTATAAAAAAAATTACAACAGGTAGCTATAGCTTTCCTGCATAAGTAGAAGGGATTCTTACTGATGAAATTAAGGATTTAATTACCAATATTCTAATAGTAAATCCAGAAAAAAGGTTTGCCTTGAAGTAAATAAGATAACATGAATGGATGAAGTTACCGAGCATTCAGCTTTATGAAAAATAACTTATTTATCAGCAAGTAATTTATTTTCAAAAATAAAATATAGATTCAACCTTTTTTATTTTAGAAATTAGAGCAAATGTATAGGGTTAGAGATAACAGAGGAGCAAAGTGTAAATCTATATTTTTATAGTATTTAATTATTAATTGAATCAAATATATATAAAAAGTTCATTAGTGGGCAAATAGTAGGGATGTGACTCTAAGAGGGACCACTAAACAATTTAATTTAGATAACATTCATCATAACTAGACAAAAGACCAAAAATTTTTATAAAATTAATCGCCAATAATGTCCCCATTAAATAATAATATGACAAGAGAGTAAACTAGACAAAATAATCTTAAAGAAATGACAAGTTAAAGATTTGGAAGTCCTCTAAAGGTTAATACAAGAATTAATTTAAGAGAAAATACAAGTAGCAGCTTAAGAGAGCCCACTAAAATGAATGGGACTCCATAGTAAAAGGGTTCTCCAATGAGGTATCCTTATGCTAAGAAATTGAATAATCAATATAATATGCCTCTTCTATAAGAGCAAATGATGTTTGCTCAAGATATGCTTGAAGATTTTAAAGATGAAGATGAATATTTCTCAAAATAAAACGCTGTAGAAGACTAAATTTATGAAATAAAAAAAGTGTTAGGATTACTGAATACACCAGCTAAAGAATATAATAAACCTGACCAAAATTAAAATATTAATTTGCCCTAACTATAGCCAAACAATAATATTAGCACATTCAATAGTATTTATTTTCATTTGTATTTATTTTGCAAATTTAATTAATTATATTTTTAATAAAGATTTGTCATTGCTTTAAAATAAGACTAAAGTTGTTGGAGTTAGCACTATTGATAAATAAGAAATATAAAATACAGAAAAATAAAATAATTAGTAACCTGAAAATAAGTTAGAAGCGATTGATATTGTCAATGAATAAACTAAATCAGAAAAATCTCCTTTCAATTAAAAAGATGTTAAAACAGACAAAGAAACTCAAGAAAAAAGCCCTAGAAATGACTCTTCGCCTAAGGCAGAGTTCAAAAATAATTAAGAAGACTTATTGAATGATCAATTTTCTATAGATAATCCCCAAGATTTGAAACAAGATAAAAAAAAAGATGAACCCTATTACAGACTAGTTTATATAATTAGGCAAACGTAAATTTTAAAATAAAAATGAAATAAATAAATAAACTTTGATTTTATTTAGGAAATAATAATAAACTCAAGGAGACCCCAATTTATAAATAAATAAGGGATACGGAGGTATATATATTCCCTAAGAAATAGGATTTGTAAAATATACTGCAAATACTAATTTAAGACAGTTACAAACCTCTCCTCATAGGTTTTCAATGAAACAACTATAATCTCCACCAAAAAAGAGGAGCTTATCTCCCAACAAAAATTCTCCTACAAACTAAACATCAAATTAAATAAACTAATCTTTTGTATTTCTAAACAAACCTGTAACATTTAAATTTAACTTTAAAAAAAAGTTGAATGCTTCATCTGATTGAAAGCTGTTCAATAAAAATTCAACTTAATTAAAGTAAGCTTAATCTTCATCCAATTTAAAGAAGTATTATAAAAACTTTATTTAATTTTTAAAAAATCAACAGCCAAGGTAATAAAAATAGAATTTTTAGATCTCTTTAAAACATTAAAATATTAATTAAATTATTTTTTTAACAAACTATTTATATAAAAATCACTAAAAGTTATTTATATTTATATTATTGCAAAAAAAAATTAAACAAACTAATAAGCCAATTAAAATTTATGTTTTTTTAATATTCGTGTGTGAACTTTAAAACTTTATGATATTACAATTCATTTAGCTTTCTGAATATTTTTATAAATTTTTTTAATTATTAAATTCGAGGAAACCTCAAAAATATCTAATATAATAAATTAAAGAGCTTCAAATAAATATTTAATATTGCTAGAATGCAACTTTATAAATATTTTTTAAATAAGGCAGACAAAACTAAAATTATATCTTAAAAATATTAATGTTACTTTACAAAAGACATATTAAATTATATAGATTAACAATTTTTTTAATACAAATTTAAAATAGAGATTGGATAAATCGAATTAAAGAGACTGTAATTGGTTTAAAAAAGATGATTTTTATATTCAGGCATCAAAATATCTGACAAATAATAATTTATTTTTTTCTGTTCAATCTTTATAATGATCAAACTTAGCTGCTTCTTCCTCATCTATATTTTGTATTTCATATACTTTTCCTTTCCATTCTAGTTACATAATATTTCCGTCAATCTAAAATTTTTAAGAAAGGATTTAATAAATTATTTTAATAGATTAATAACCTTTATATTTTTAGATAGCATCATTGATACATCAGTTGAAAAAATACCATATCCAATGTCATTTAGATCTACTTTGTGGTAGAGCAATCCTTTGAATAATTATTTAAAATAATTTAATACTCAGTATTTTAAAATAAAGCAGAAAATCTTATTCTTTTATGGCAAATTCAAACATGTAAGGAGCTAAATATGTGCATCCTAAAATATATTTTTATTTTGGATAAATTTTCTTATTACCTTATTCATCTTTCTTTACTTCAGAAGGATTGAAATTCTCTGTCAAATAAAGTGAATAGTGCTTTAGTAAATGATAATAAAAATTTATTTTATAAAACAAATATAATATAAGTAAAATTGATAATACTAATTGATCATTTTCATCTAAATGACTGAAAACAATAGGTTTTACACTGCTTCTAACATAGTTATATTCACCCCAACACTCACTTACATCTATTTCATTATAATTAAATATTTAAAAATTAATAAATTATTAGCTAATTTAACTTTACGTGAGTAATTAAGATTTCTCCCTGTTTTATTTTTAATTAGATTCTTGTAAAAGTTTTTCTATTTGAATATTTGAAGATTTTATTAATAAGCATAAATTTATTTGTCTAATAATCAAGTTAATATATCAAACAAATGTGTCAGTCTACCTACTAGTAGTTATTTATTATTTCAACTCAATAATTTACCATAAATCTTTTGTCTTTTAGACAATTGGTGAAATTGTAGGAATCTTAATCATCAAGATATAGTAAACCCTAGATAAATATAAAAATTGAGTTTATATTCTTGTAAAAATGATGTAGAAATGTCTAATTTATAATTTAAAAACTAAAAATGGAATCATAAAATCGACTAAAATAAAAATAAAAGAATTAACTTTATGATCTATAAAGAAGAAATACTCACGCAAAGACCCATCATTTTGCTCTAAATACTGAACTTTATTCTAAAATGAATACTTAGAATTAAATTGCAGTCTTTTAAAAGTTGTAAGTGGGATTTATTTACATATTTGAAAAAATTACATTCTTAACATTCTAAAAAATCCAATTCTAAATAAATTAATACACAATTTTTTTTTTTATAAAAAAGAATTTTTGATCAAAGCACTAAATTTTACTGGAATACTTAGTTAATTTATTGATTCATATATTTATAATCTTAAACAAAAAAGATTTCACAATTATATTACAATTTACTTTTTCTAGAATATTTTTGTTTACAATCTTTTACTTTATTTAAGTCATCTAAATATTTATTTTTTATTTCCTTAAAAAATACATTTAAATAATACCCTATCCTATTATTAATGGTCAATAAAAATGGAGGAATTAGGATAATTTATTTGGTTTTTTTAATCGATTAATACTTTTAAAATTATTAAAAATTTGATAAATCATCCTAATTTTGTGTATTTGTTTTTATTTTTATATTGGTTAATGATATATTTTTTAATTTTTAATTTTATTTGCCATAATATTTATAAAAAAAGAAAAAATAAAGAAGAAGCTTATTGGAGCTTAGAATGATTTTACTAATATATTTGAGTGTAATAATTAAGTCAATGTTTTCGAAATAAATAAATTCAAATATTTAAAAATTAGAATTTTTATTAATATGTGCTCTAAAAATATTGCTAATTGACGAATTACCTTTTGATAAGATTTTATAAATTCAGAGGTTATTTTACCTATGACAATTTTAATAAGGGATTGATTATAAACATTACTATTACATTAGGCATCACCTCTTAATTATTAACTTATTTTAATTAGTTTAATTTAATTTTAAATTTTAGAATTTTCTAAATTAAATTTTCTTAACTTTTTTTTTCTACTTTTGCAATACTAAGAAAAGTTTTTACATAGGGCCAGCATTTAAAGTAAAATAATAGCTCTCATTAAAAAATGTCATGATTTGATGTTTTTAAGCTTTTTCTATTTTTTAAATTATTATTCTGTATGATAATTTCTAAACAGTTATATATCTAAGTTTGATTTTGATAATTTATTAGATAAAATTTATTATTTTTTATAAAATGTTTATAAGTTTATTCTTTTTTAATTGAAAGGAATAATTGCTTTTTTTTAGAAAAATAACATAAATAAAATATGATGTAAAAATATGCTATTTAATAATACAATAAAATTATTATCTTTATTTTATTTTTGAGGTACTTTTTGCTGTTAAACTTATTGAATAATCATTTTATTAAAAGATTTAGATTCAAACACTTATTAATAAAAATTATAAGAATTATCTTGATAATTATATCATTATATTTTTATTTTGAGTACAATAAAAAATATAAAAGATGTTTCTTCATAAATAATAATAATAATTAAATCCTGTAAATAATGATCATCAATCAATCATATGAGAAATATATCTTGAATTTTCATTAAAAATTCTTAATAATGTTAAAATAAAAATTACAAATTTTTAACTGTAAGTAAACAATATATTAATGATTACACTGAAAATTGTTAAATAACTCTTAGATTGTTACATTGCAGATTATAATAACTTTAAATTAATGTAAAATTTAGAAAACTAAAATTTTAAAGAAGTCAATTTTGATTATGAGTTGAGTTTTATTAATGATGAAAATGATTGATAACACAAAAATCATAAAATAATAAAAGAAATTATTATATAAAGCCTAAATAAATAAATAAATTCTGAAGGTTATTTAAAGTTTATTGATAATATTATATAAATAAAGTTTAGTTATTAGAATTACTACAGATCAAGTTTAAGAAATATTAGGATTAAAAACATTAAATGAAGGATATTATCAATTCTACTATAAAATTTTAGCATTTTAATATATTGCTTTTAATTACAATTGAATTTATTATTTAGAAACCAATCCTTAATATATCTCTTATGATTTATATTTTGAGTGATTGATTGAATTGGTTTTTAATCTAATTTTTGCAATAAAAATTTAATAAATTAATTAATTTCATGATTCTAATTGATTTTAATGTCTAACAAATTTTAACATTATTTTTCATTATTTTTTAATACAAAATAAATAAATGCATTTGAAATGATTTTTTATTTGAGGTGTAATTAAAAATGAAATTGTATTTTATAAGTTAAATCTTAAAAATTTTTAAACTTTATTTTATTTTATTTCTTTCAAAAAATAGATATCTTTGAATACAATAAGTGTCTAAATTAGGAAATGAATATTTTTGATTTTTTTATAAAAGAAAAATAAAAAAATATATTTTTTAATGTTATCCTAATATTGTGGTAATTGATTATCAAAATAATAAATAGTTTTTAAATTGATTAAAAAATAGAAATTTAGTTTAGTTTATAAATAATTTTTCCTTCTAGTTTAATTTCCATCAACCAGTCTATGGTTTATAAAAGAATTTCAAGATTCAAGTAAATTATGATGATTTGTTTATTACCTTATTTAAAAATCCAATGGTGAAATCAGTTTAAAATACTATATTAGATCTTATATATATTAACTCTGTGATTGAGTAAACCATTTAATAATTTGCAGAAAGAGAAATTCAGATATTAATTTAAAATGGCTTAACTTCCTTTTCAGAATATATGAAGACTTAAATTTATTAATTACTCTTTAGATTCATTTAAGTGAGCTATCAAATTCCATTTTTTAATCAAAATTGAGCTGCAAGCTTTTGTTAATTCGGTTATTCCATTTTTTATTTGCATTTTTTTCATCTAATTTCAGTAATATTTAAAATAAAGATATAATGCAAATTTATATTCAAATTATTTATTTGATCAACGTAAAATCCAAATTATACTGATAGGCTACTTTTTTTATCAAAATAATTGAAAATTTATGCCATTCCTAACCTTAATATATTTTCCCCAATACTCAATAGTATCTATAACACTGATAGAATATTTAAAGAACTTTTTTAAAGATCAATTAGATTCATATGAGTAGTTAAGATTTCTTCATTTAATTTTTAACCAGATATCTTTTAAATTTCTTCTATTTTAGAATTAGAGACTAAACAAATACTAATTATCTTTTTATCTTAACTCTAATCAGATTGTATTTTTAATTGAAGATGTCTAATAAAAATACAACTTAATGATGTTATTTATTTATAATATCTCCTATATTAACTATAAAATTTATCTTAAAGCATTAAAGCTTGACCAAATAATTCAAATCATAGGAATTATTATTATCCAGATGTTTTACACCTTCAATAAAATTACATAACTATTCAATTATTTTAGTAAAATGAAGTAAAATCTTCACTTTTTGTTTTGAGTGTTTAAGAATTATTTCAAAATTAATCAAAATTTTTGTTTAATAAATATATAAATTCTACAACTTAAATGAAAAATTCATGTGAATATCCATTATTTCATTCTTGTAACTCACCTTTTTTCTGAAATAAATATAATAAATAGTTAAATTATAAATCTTCGCAAATAGCTAGAGGAGCTTATTTTATTTAATAATTGAAAAAATTACATTCCAAAGTACTCTAAAAATTCAATATCAACTAAATTAATTCAAGATTTTCTTTTACAAATCAGTGCTTCTATCATCAAAACTCACCACTTAGTTATATTGTAAAAACACAAATATTTATTATTAGAATTAAGATTCAAATATATTCAGAAACAAAACTGCTAATTATTATGAAAAATGATATTTTGTTATATTTGTAAATTATTTTATCAGTTGTAAAATATAAAAACTTGAAATAAAAAATGCTCTAGTTTTGTATGGAAACAAAGTAAATAAGTTAATGTTTTTTATTAAATGAGTAATAATTGAGTGGTGTTTATTTGAAAATTTAAATATAATTAATCAATTTTGTATTTTGATGATAAAGTAACTCTACTTTTTGATTGATAAGATACTAATTGATTGATTAATCGTATTATTAAAAAAAAATTATAAATATTGTCTAATAAATCTGATGACATACTAATCTTTCACTCATTGATAAATAAATCAACACAATACATCCATCTAAGCTTACAAAGCTCAAATAAATAAATTCTAAAATTTTAACTTTAAAAACACAAATCTATTTTGTATTTTATAAATCTAATAATAATAATAAAATTCAATTTTTTGATATTAATAAATAAAACAAAATTTAAAAATGAACAAATTACTTCTTGTTCTTACCGGAGTTCTAGCTCTCGGTAGCACTCTCTACTTACTTTCAAATTAATCTTCTAACCTAAGATTGAATATTGAAAACGATATTACCATTCAATGGAAGTTGTTCAAGAGCAGATTCAATAAGAGATACGCTGATCCTATCACTGAATCCTACAGATTACAAGTATTCGCCTCTAACTACTTAAGAGTTTTGTCTGATGTTACCGGTACTTTTGGTGTTACCTAATTCTTCGATTTGACTGAAGAAGAGTTCGCTGCTACTTACTTAACTCTTAGAGTTTAACGTAACGTAAATGCTACTGTTTCAAGCCCATCTACCCCTAAGGGACAATATGATGTTAACTGGGTTACTAGAGGAAAAGTCTCTGCTGTTAAGGACTAAGGCTAATGCGGTTCATGTTGGGCTTTCTCTACCACTGGTTCAGTTGAATCAGCCCTTATCATTGCTGGTTATGCCAACCAAACTATTGATTTGTCTGAATAATAATTGGTTGACTGTTCTGCAACCAACTACGGTTGCGGTGGTGGCTGGATGGACAACGCTTTTGAATACATCGAAGAAAGTCCCTTAACTACCAATTCTAACTATCCTTACGTTGCTGTTGACTAAGCTTGCAATTCAACTGAAATCTATGGAGTTCTCTACTCTCTTAGCAACTACACTGATGTTGAAAGTGGTAACACTGTCTAATTAAAGTAATATCTTTAATAATAACCCCTTTCTATTGCTGTTGATGCTTCATACTGGTATTTGTACAATAGTGGTATCTTCTCAAATTGCGGTTAAAACCTTAACCATGGTGTCCTTTTGGTAGGTTTTAACAGCACTGAAGGTTCTTGGCTTGTTAAGAACTCATGGGGTACCAGCTGGGGTGAATAAGGTTATATTAGACTTGCTGACGGTAACACTTGCGGTCTTGCTAATGCTGCCTCTTATCCCACTGTTGTCCCACCTATTACTTCCTACTGATTAAAATTAAAAATAATAAAAATTTATTTTTTAACTTTTATATAAAATACAACGCTTTAACAAAACTATAAAAGCTTTAATGAAAAAGTGAGTATATTGTTTTAATAAATTTTGTATTAAAAATATAATTATTTTTATTGTATTTTGATTTTAATTTATTTTAACAAAATCTTCCTATCAAAAAGTTTCAAAATATTTTTTTTTAAATTGAATATTTCATGTCTTTTTAAATCATCTAATTTAATAAAATGAAATCAAATCAGTTTTTGAATAATAGATGGTATAAAAAATCCTAACATAGGTAAATAAATATATAATATACCGTAGTTTCTCATATATTAAGGATATATTCAGATAAAAACTTTTGATCAAATTTAGTCCTTAATTCACAATTTATTGAAAAAAGTCCTTAATATATGGCGTCCATAATATATGAGAAACCACGGTATACCTAATTTTATGAATATTCTAATATATCCATATCATAGAAAAAAAAATATTTGAATTATAGCGTTTAAACAAAATAAATATATTCATCAAACTATCTTCTTTATGAAAAAATTATTATTTAACTCATAAACCTATTTTTTTCAAACATGAGGTATATTTAAATATTGTGTTTTAATGATAAATGAAAATAATATTTATTAATTATTCATTTATCTATTAAAAACTTTATTGAAAAAACCTCAACTCAAAAGGGATTACTAAATTATTTTGTGATTTGCTTAATTGATGAATAAAAAATATTTATTGGATTTTATCTATTTTAACAATAGTATTTAATTTATAATATATTTCTCATCTTTTTTCTAAAGATAATTATGGTTAATATCATATGTTTAGGTATATATATACATACATGCATTTATATATTAGTATACATGCCATATATTTCCTATATTAAGAATTATTATATCAGCTACTCTACTATAACCATCTAGTAATATTTTTAAAAGCTTTTAGATCTTTTAAAAAAAATAATTTGATATTTATATTTGAAAAAAAACATGTATGGATTTTAAACAAAACATTAATTTTTCAAGTAAAATAATTATAATAGAATTAAATATTTTTATTTTTTTTCACAAGAGAAATATTTAATTTTCTATAACTTTATTAGATAGTTTTAATACATACTCCTTAAAATAAAAAATTGAACAATTTAATTAGTTATTAAATTTTTTATTGAAAAAATTAAATAAAATATTGTAAAAATATTATTTTACATTACTATATCAATTTATTTATTATGAATTAATTTTTATGTATGTTGCTTATATTATTAGTGATTTCTATCACTTATTTATTATTCGTGTTTAATTGATCTTAGAATATATTGTGATTAAATTTTTTTGATTTGAAAATTTACTTGTTTTGATTGATAGATATGATATTAGTCTCGTCATCAAAGTTTATTGTAATTAATTATCTACATTAATTAGTTGATCATGCTGAGTAGATATTTTGTTTATCTGCTGGATGATAAATATTAGAGCTGATAATGCTAGTTATACTAACTTATACTTAATTTTAATTGGTCTAATAATTCAAACAAAATTTATAAAACTCTTCTTAATTACTTTTACACTGTTAAATTGCTTATAACATGAATTCTGAGATTTTTAAATTGTAGATAAGAATAAACATACTTAAAGGCTTAATTTAAAAAACTTAAATTTATAAGAATTCATTTTTTATTACCAGGTGAGTATTTATGACAAATAAATATTTTAATTACAAAAAAATCAAAATATATAATAAAATTAAAGTAAAATAAAATCAAATAATATTTTGAATGCTAAATTATAATTTATTTATTAAATTTTTCTATTAAAGTTATTATTATTTAAATCTAAGTAGAAAGTTAGTAAATATTAGGAATAAAAATACTAAATTAAGAATATAATCAAGAACTTTTCTTTGAAAACCTCGCCTGTTTTGGACAAAAGACGATGACTAAGGTTGGAGGGAATACTGTAATTAATATATCTAACAAAAATCTACCCAACTAAGTTCTTTGTATTTTTTCAAGCATTTATTTGAATTCTTTTCTAATAATTAAAAGATTATTATCGATCCCACATTACTTATTATAATTTCTAAATATCACTATTATCATCTTTTTTTCTAATAAATTTATCATATAATTTTTTAAATGTATATAACCGTCATCATGCTTAATACAAATTTTTTTGTTTTATATATTATTAATTTGTAAAAAACGTTTAAAAATATTTTAGTGTAGTAATAATAATAGAATATTTAAAATAATATGAATAATATGTTCAATATCATTTTATAAATTTGATTGATTTACAATTTATATTAATTTGAACTTGTGACATAATTATTAAATAGAAATAAATTCAAATTATTTAAATATATGTATTTTAATTCATTATGATTATTACACATGCTTTATTAGTTCTCTAAAGCTAAAGTTTGTTTTATCAGGATATTTCAGATTTTTTATATTGAGGGACTAATTTTAAATTCCTTTGTCTCCATTTTCTGCTCTACCACGGAATTGAGGTCCATCTATAAATCCATTACCATTCATAGCCATATATGTACTCACTAATCCTTGAACGGTAGATAGAGTTATACCAACTGGCAAGGCAATAAATCTTGCTAATGTCACTATACCTGCTGAAACTGCAGCTTCTCCAGAAGCTAAACTAGTAATTGCTATAGCTCCGTTAACATAATAGTTTGCTGCAGTGCCTTCATATTCTTTTAATTTATCAATAAAATCATTTGTTTTATTTTATTTAAATTCACTCATTTTTGATGCAATTCCTCTTAATCTGGGACAAATAAATTCATCTTTATAAATTCCATTAGCATTTTCTCCCCCTTCTCCTCCATATCCAGCTTGACCACATTTACCATCTATTCCTTTAAGTTCCACCCTTTTTATTTCTTGGATAAGGGAGCTGTGAATTTAGTTCTCATTCCAAGAAACAATCTTAAAACCTCCATGATTTCCTTAAAAACCACCAGATCCTCCTTTTCCACCATTTCCTCCTTTAAATCCTTTTTCACCTCTTGATTAATAATAAAGCAAATATTATTTGTTTAAGGAAAGTATATCTTTACAAGCACCTGTTATTTCCTATACAAAATGTAAATAGCATTCATTTCTCTAAGAAATACCTAACAGATCACCACTCTTACCTTTTCCTCCTTTCCCCCCATTTCCTCCATTTTAGCCATCATATCCTTAACCACCACTTACATCTACTTTTAAAATGTTTTTATTTTTAGAGATTATCCCTGAGACATTTTCAATAGACAATAAAAAGTAACCTCCATTTTCACCAGGATTTCCAGGTAAACCATCTTCTCCCTCTTTTCCATCTTACTGGTCTTTCCCATCCTCACCATTTTTTGCAGATTTTTATTTAAATTAATAATTGATATTATTATTTCTTTGTCCTGAAAGGTCTATTTTTTCAGCATACTAGGAGATGATAAATTTTTTACATTTCAAAGCTAGCTACCCTCCATGAAAAGAAAATGACTTTGAATCGAAAATAAATGCATGCTCTATTATTAAAATTAATTTTTTTAAGTTAGAGCTGCTATATTTTTTAAGAATCTTTTCATCCATTTCAGAGCTGTGTAAATAAAATGCTTTCAAGGTTAAAGTTTATCCATCAAGTTATTCGAAAGTTTAATTTGTTATTTGATCAATAAATTTAATCTTATTTAAATCAAATTAATCTTTAAAATCTTGCTAAAGATTGTTATACATGTCTAGAAACAGATGGAGTTTCTCTAATTCATTTATTTTCTGAGGGCTACATTAAATTTAGTGAAGCAAAGCTTTGTAGTTTTCAAATTTAGTAAGGTTTTATCTTTCCTGCTACAGTTTTTAAGTTTTTGATTCTTGTTTAAGCTCAGCTTCTTCAACTATTTTAGTAATTAAATAGTTAAAAATCAGCTTATTTGTTTCTTCTTTCAATGCTTAAAAACAATCAAATTTTTCTTTCACAAATACTTTCACTTAAGCATCCAATTAGTGCTAAGTATTTAATTCTACTTTATTTACAGATTGAATTTTGTCTTTCAAAATATGAAGGATGGTATCTTTCTCAGCTTTAACAATATTACATTCATTTTTAGAACCAGGTTTTGAAAAGGTTAAAAAATTATTTTTATTAACAGACTCGAAGAATTGTTAAACTCTGGTAAAATTGCCTTAGCTCTTCTAATCGCCTTAGTTATACATCAAATTTTTCAAAAAATCTTCTCTCAACTATTAAATATTGTCTTAATAATCTTCTGAATCTAATTAATATGGACGAACTTTTGAGAATATGACAAGGACAGAATCTTAAAAACTTTCAATATTTTAGAATAGTTGAAATAATTCCTCCATTAGTATACGAATTTCTTAGCCTCTTTTTGAATTTAGATCTGGCTCACTGACCAAAAATATGAACTTAAATTGTTTTTATTGATTACCCTCTTACTTAAAATATGAGTGTAATTTATAAAGATTGTTTATCCTGTCTTCAATATCAGTGTCTTAACATCCAGGTGTATCAACTAAATTCATATTGATAGTATTTAAGTAATATTCTTGATAATTTTTTGTTTAAGAATTTTAATCTCCAGAAACTTCAAAGATGATGTTCCTATTTTCGAAAACAAGTTTTTTTTTTTCACAACTAAAATTACTATCACATAAGATATTTAGTAATGAGCTTTTGCCTGATCCTGTCAATCCATACACTAAGGTATAGCATTTATTTGAGTTCATGAGTTCTAAACTTTAAGGAGTAATTATTAATTAGAAAAAACTGTGTTTTTTTTTTCTTTCTTATTTTTTATTATTATTTAATTTAATATAATTTAATTTATATCTCGTTTTTCTTCGATTTATAATTTTTACTCAAGGCATTGCTATTATTTAAAAATCAAAAAATAAATATTCTAATAACTAAGTACCACTAATACATATAAATAATTGGTAGGAAAAGCAAATGCATTGTGTTTAATTATAAATGAAGCTCTCTTTCAAGTATCAATTATCTAAAATTAAATATACCAGTAACAAACTTATTGTTTTAAAAATAGACTGTTTGTATATATATTTATATAATGAATATGATATATCTGTTTGTCTTTGAAGAATGAAGAAATCCCTTCCAACTTAATAAAAAAAAAATAAATATTCTAATATCAAAAAACGGATAGACGCTTTTCAAGTCATACGAATTCACTAAATTAAAATCTATACTTAGCAATTAAGAAAACTTATAGAAAGAAAGACAGGTTCATCTTCCTTTTTGTCAAAGGGAATTAACTTATCTTTCACAGAATATGTCCCTATTTTTAATTTTCTCACTAAAAATTGTATTGATATTAAAAATAGTTTTCTTTTATTCACATGAATGCTAATTGTCATTTCGATCTTTATAACCTTGAATTTAGAAATAAATATTCTAATATCCAAAAATGGATTCAAGTTTTACAAGAGAATTCACTAAATAACCATATAACTACATTTGAAAAATAAAAATAGAAGATTTTTATATTCGTTACTTTATATCATATTTATTTATATTTATTCTATTAAAATATATGCTTAGTATATAACAAAACTCATAAAAATAAAACCATTATCCTTTTCATTTTTGTTGACTATGTAGCTAAATTTAAAAAATAAAAGTGTTTTATTTAACATTCATTTAGAATATTGAATGGATTAATGCTTTTAATTAGAGTTAGAATACAAAAATTTTAATTTTATAGAATATAGAAAGTAGTTAATGGAAAAATTAATTACGTATTTATAATAGAAATGGAAGTGGAGTATATTCCCCATTATCTTTGACAGTTTATGCCTCTATATGGAATTTTATCCCTAAAAAGTTGTATTAATATTTAAAATAATTGCTCTTTTATTCGTCTTAATGTTAATGGTCCTTTGAATTTTTATTAATTAGAATTTAGAAATAAATATTCTAATATCAAAAAACGAACAAGTTTTACATGGGAATTCACTAAATACTCATACAACCATATTTGAAAAAATAAAAATAGATGATTTTATTTTCATTACTTTATGTCATAGATTAAATTTCAAAGATTGATGATAACCAAAGGCAAATCAATCATAATGTAAAAAATCCAAAAAATATTTTTTTAATATTTAAATTTAAAATATAAAAAAAAGGAATAAAATATAGGTATACATACCTTTTTGAAATAATTGCTAAAACTATTATAAAAATATTCTATATATAGAGTTTATTTAACTAAAAAATATGTTAAAAAATAATAAAGAAAGATTTTAAGAAAAACATTAACAAAAATTATCATAAAATAATGAAGGAAAAAATTAATTAATTAAAATGATCAAGCTTTTTTACATCTATTATTTTTTAAATTAGACTCTTTCAAGATTTTTTCAAGACTTGACCATTTTAAAAAACTGAGCTTGGTTTTGCTAGATTGAAGGCTTGCTTTTTGGCTCAAGCTTAAAAGCTTCATAACAGCCCTTAAAATTAGTATATATTAGTGCTCCTACCCCTAATTTCCTTCCAATATTTAATCAAATATAAATAAAAAATGTGGCTTTAATTTGATTTTTTGTTTAGCCTTTAATATATTTAACAAGAGTCTACACATATAAATACTTTTTATTTATTCCAGCATTTATTAGAGTTCTTTTTTTGTAATTAAAGGATTATCTCACATTCTTTTTAATAATTTCAAAATATCATTAAAATCTAATGCTTTCTTTTATAAAAAAGTTATCCTATTTTTTTTAAATATTTTAAATCATAATCATTCTTTATTCAAATTTCTTTTATTTATAAATTCTTCAATAAAAAAATATTTTTTATTTTCAAAGAAAATAAGAATAACCATAATACGTTATCAATTGGTAAAAAAAATTTTTTAAATATTTTAATGTAGTTAAAATAATACCATATATATTTAAGATAATATGAATAAGCTAAATACTAGTATAGTATAAATTTGTTTGACAACTTATTCGTTTGTATTTGCGACATAATCATCAAATAAATATAAATTCAAATTTATTTTGATATATGTATTTCAATTCATTTTTATTAACGCTTTTAGTTCACTAAAGCCAATGCTAGTATCAGGATCTTTAAGATTTTTTTTATTGAGGGAGTTATTTTAAATTCCTTTATCACCTTAATCTGCTTGTCCATAATATTATGGTTCTTTTATAAATTCAGAATTTTATGTAGCCATAAAAGCACTCATTATTCCTTGAATTATCCCAACTGGCAAGGCAACAAATCTTGCTAAGCTCACCACACCTGCTGTAACTGCAGCTTCTCCAACAGCTAAACTCCAAGCTACTGTTGTAGCTCCGCTTAAAGCCACATTTCCTACATCAACTAAATCATTATTATTTTAGGATTTCTCTTCTTTTAATTTTTTCATTTCATTTGTTATTCCTCTTAATGTGGGTAAAAAATATTCATCTTTATAAACTCCAAAAGCATTTTCCCCCCCTTCTCCTCCAGGACCAGCTTGACCACATTTTCCATCTTCGCCTTTAAGTCCCTCTCTTTTTATTTCTTAGATAAGTAAACTCTGGATTTAGCTCTCATTCCATGAAATAATCTAAAAACCTCCATGATTTCCTTAAAAACCACCAGATCCTCCTTTTCCACCATTCCCTCCATTAAATCCTTTTTAACCTTAAGATTCATAAAAAAACGCATATTGTTTGTTTAATGAAAGAACATTTTTAAGAATTCCTGTTTCATCTGCTACATATTTCAAATAGGATTGGTTTCTCTATTAAATACCTTCCAAATCACCATTTTATCCTTTTCCTCCTTTTCCACCATTACCTCCATTTTAGCCATCATATCCTTAACCTCCACTTACATCTACTTATAAAATGTTATTATTTTTAGAGATTATTCCTGAGATATTTTCAATAGACATTAAAAAGTAACCTCCATTTTCACCAGGATTTCCAGGTAAACCGTCTTCTCCGTCTTCCCCATTTTACTGATCTCTCCCATCCTCACCATTTTTTGCAGAATTTTATTTAAATTGATAATTGATATCATTATTCCTCTGTCCTGATAAGTCTATCTTTTGAGCAAACTCGGAGATGATAAATTTTTTGCATCTCAAAGCTAACTACCCTCCATGAAAAGAAAATAACTTTGAATCAAAAATAAATGCATGCTCTACGATTATTATTAATTTTTTTAAGTTAGAGTTGCTGTAATTTTTAAGAATTACATCCATTTCAGAGCTGTGTAAATAAAATGCTTTCAAGGTTAAAGTCTATCCATCAAGTTATTTAAAAATTTAATTTGTTATTTGATCAATAAATTTAATCTCATCATTTAAATTAAATTTTTCTTTAGGACATATCTCAATAGTGTTATATTTTAGTAAATTGTCATAGAGTTCCTCTAATTCCTTTCTTTTCTGAGGACAACAATTTATTTTTTCAAGCCAATCCTTATAACATTTAAATTCTTAAATTTCTTATTTTATCTGCTTCAGCTGTTGAGTTTTTAATTCTTGTTTATTCTCAGCTTCTTCAATTACTTCTTTAACTAAATAATCAAAAATCAGTTTATTTGTTTCATTTTTCAATTGTTAAAATTGATCAAATTTTTATTTCATAAATCCTTTCACTTAATGATCCAGTTTGTGTTCAGTATTTAATTCTATTTTGTTAACAGATTGAATTTTGTCTTTCAAAATATGAAGAATAGCATCTCTCTCAGTTTTTACAATATTACATTCTTTTGTAGTATGAGGATTTGAAAAAGTTAAAAAATTCTATTCAGAAATTGATTCGAAGAATTATAAAATCTTTTTGCTCCTTTAATCGTTTTAGTTATCAGTCAAAATTTTCAGAAAATCTTCTCTCAATTATTAAATTTATTCTTAATAATCTTCTGAATCTAATGAATATGGACGAACTTTTGAGAATACAACAAGGGCAGAATCTTAAAAACTTTCAATATTTTTGAATAATTGAAATAATTCATCCATTAGGATACGAATTTCTTAGCCTCTTATTGCAACTATTTCTGGTTCACTGATCAAAAATATGAACTTAAATTATTTTTGTAGGTTATCCTCTGCCTTAAAGTATGAGTGTAATTTATAAAGATTATTTATCCTCTATAAAATATCAGTGTCTTTGCATCCAGGTGTATCCACAAAATTGATATTTATATTATTCAAGGATTCCTCTTGATAGTTTTATGTTAATGATTTTTAATCTGCTGAAACATCAAAGATTGTTTTATTGAAAGCAAGCTTTTTATTTTTAGAAGTAAAATCCATACCACACAAAACATTTAGTAATGAGCTTTTTCCTGATCCCGTCAATCCATACACTAAGGTATAGCATTTACTTGCCATGATTTCTAAACTTCTAGGAAATAATTTTTAAATAACTATAGATCTTATTGAAAAATAAATATTATTATTATTCTACTTATTTATATATCTATTTAATTTAATTAACAATAGTTATCATTCATTTAATTTTTAAATAATTGTTATATATATACTGTTAATAAAAGAATTAATAATTTTTACAAATTTAAAAAGTTGTCTTTACCTATATAAAACTTGCTCTAATTAATTTATGACAAAACTAAATTTATTGATTTGTATAAATTTTTTAATTTGATTTTATATAAAAAATTTATTTAAATTGTTAAAATAATTTAATATATTTTATTATTATTTTTAAGTTTAAGTAAATTATAAAAATTAAAATATGTAAAATATAAATTACAATATTATTAATTTATAATACAAACTAATAAATTAATTCTTTAGTATTACAAAATTAATTTTGTCAATTTCAAGGATAAAAGAAAAGTATCCGCGATCATATAAAAACAATGCACCCATCTCAATTTTCTTAAATTGAAAATAAAAAATATTAACAATGTAATATTTACTTTAAGCCTATATTAAAAATAAATGTTGATAATCATTAAATAAATTATAATATTTTAAATGTGAATAAATAATAGCTTTAATTTAAAAAAAAATTCAGATTGAATTTAACTATATTTACCATATGACTATATGACTAGAATAATTTACTTATTTATTTGTATTTTTATTAAAATTTTTATAATACATAATCAATTGATATAAAAAAATTTAAAAATATTTTAATTTAGTTAAAATAATACCATATATATATAAACAAGATAATATGAATAAGGTAAATATTATAGTATAAATTTGTTTGACAACTTATTCGTTTGAATTTGCGACATAATATATATCTATTTCAATTCATTTTTATTAACGCTTCATTCAAGTGAACAAAAAACAATGCTAGTATCAGGATCGCTATTTTTTTATATTGTGGGACATTCTCCATCATTACCTTTATCTGCTCTTCCCTTATATTCTGGTTTTGCAACAACTTTAGAATCTTATGCAGCCATAAAAGCACTTGTTACTGCTTGAAAGATCCCAGCTGGCAAGGCAACAAATCTTGCAAGGCTCACCAAACCTACAGAAACTGCAGCTTCTCCAACAGCAATACTCCAAACTGCTGTTGTAGCTCCATTTAAAGCCACATTTCTTACATCAACTAAATCAATATCATTTTAGGATTTCTCTTCTTTTAATTTTTTCATTTCTTTTGTTATTCCTCTTAATGTGGGACAAAAATATTCGTCTGTATAAACTCCAATAACATTTTTCCCCCCTTTTCCTCCAGGACCAGGTTGACCACATATTCCATCTTCGCCTTTAAGTCCCTATGTTTTTATTACTAAGATATGTTTACTCTCGATTTAGCTCTTATTCCATGAAATAATCTTAAAATCTCCAGGATTTCCTTACAAACCGCCAGATCCTCCTTTACCACAATTTCCTCCTTTAAATCCTTTTTGACCTTAAGATTCATAATAAAAAGCATATTCTTTGTTTAATGAAATAATATTTTTAATAACTCCTGTTACATCCACTACATATTTCAAATATTTTTTATCTTTATTTTCAATACCTTTCAAATCACCATTCTTTCCTTTTCCTCCTTTTCCACCATTCCCTCCATTTTAGCCATCATATCCTTTACCTCCACTTACATCTACTGTTATTTTATTATCTTTAGAGATTATTCCTGAGATGTTTTCAATAGACATTAAAAAGGAACCTCCATTTTCACCAGGATCTCCTGGTAAACCATCTTCTCCGTCTTCCCCATCTTATTCTTACCTATCCTCACCATTTTTTCCAGATTATTATTTAAATTAATCATTGATATCTTTATTCCTCTGTCCAGATAGGTCTATCTTTTGAGCAAACTTGGAAATGATAAATTTTTTGCATCTCAAATCTAATGACCCTCCATGAAAAGAAAATAATTATGAATCAAAAATAAATGAGTGCTCTATGATTAAAATTATTTTTTTTAAGTTAGAGCTACTGTATTTTTTAAGAATCTTTTCATACATTTCAGAGCTGTGTAAATAAAATGCTTTCAAGGTTAAAGTCTATCCATCATGTTTTTCGTTAGTTTAATTTATTATTTGATCAATAAATTTAATCTCATTTAAATTAAATTAATCTTTATGACATTTCTCAATAGTGTTATATTTTAGTAAAATGTCATAGAGTTTCTCTAATTCCTATCTTAAATTAGGACAACAATTTATTTTTTCTAGCAAATCCTTATAACATTTAAATTCTTAAATTTCTTATTTTATCTGCTTCAGCTGTTGAGTTTTTTATTCTTGTTTAATCTCAGCTTCTTCAATTATTTCTTTAACTAAATAATCAAAAATCAGTTTATTTGTTTCATCTTTCAATTGTTAAAATTCATCAAATTGTTATTTCATAAATATTTTCACTTAAGCATCCAGTTGGTGTTCAGTATTTAATTCTATTTTGTTTACAGATTGAATTTTGTCTTTCAAACTATGAAGAATAGCATCTCTCTCATCTTTTACAATTTTACATTCTATTTCAGAGTGAGGATTAGAAAAACTTAAATAATTCTTTTCAGGAATTGATTTAAAAAATTTTAAAGTGTTTTAGCTCTTTTCACCATCAATAATTTCAAAAAAGTTTTCTCTCAAATTTTAAATTTAATCTTAATAACCTTCTGAATTTAATGGATATGGACGAACTTTTGAGAATACGACAAGGGCAGAATCTTAAAAAATTTCAATATTTTTGAATAATTGAAATAATTCATCCATTAGGATACTAATTTCTTAGCCTCTTATTGCAACTATTTCTGGCTCGCTTATCAAAAATATGAACTTAAATTATTTTTGTAGGTTACCCTCTGCCTTAAAGTATGAGTGTAATTTATAAAGATTATTTACCCTCTTTTAAAGATTAGTGTCTTTGATTCCAGGTGTATCCACAAAGATCATATTTATACTATTCATATATTTCTCTTGATAGTTTTCTGTTTATGATATTTTGTTTGCAGAAACTTTAAAGATTGTGTCATTGAAAACAAGTTTTTAACTTTTAGAAGTAAATTCCTTACCGCACAAGACATTTAGTAATGAGCTTTTTCCTGATCCCGTCAATCCATAGACTAAGGTATAGCATTCACTTGAGTTCATGAGTTCAAGGAATAATTATTAATAACTATAATTTGTAATTCTTTTTATCCTTTTAATTTAATTTACAGTAGAACTATTCATTTAATTTTTGATAAAAAAAATAATAAAAGAATTTTTTAATTTGATAGAAACCTAAAATTACTTGCAAGAATTAATTTTTGGCAAGATGACTGACTAAATTTATTAATTTGTCTAAATATTTAAATATAATTTTATAAGAAAAAATACATTTAAATTGTTAATAGAATTTAATATGTTTATAATTATTTTTAAGTTAAAGTAATTGATGAGAATTAAAATATTTACAATATTAACTGCAATATATATTTTATTAATTTAAAATACAAACTAAAAAATTAATTCTTTCATATTACAAAATCAATTTTATAAATTTCAAGGATAAAAGAAAAGTAACCACACCACACCACGATCATATAAAAAAAATAATATTTCTTTTGTGAATAAATAATAATTTTAATTTTTAAAAATTCAGAATGAATTTTAATTATATTTACCATATAATTAGAATAATTGACCAATTTAATTTTAGTTTCATTAAAGTTTTTATCCTTAACTTTACTCGCAAAAATTTTACAGTAAAATTTACGACTTAACGGATTGCAAATGAACGGATATTCTACAGTATTTGAATCAATAGATCATATAAACAAATTTTATTTAAAATTTAAACATAAAATAGCACAAAATAAAAATTTATATATTAAATTAACAAACAAACAATGAATTTAAAAACTTAAAAACAAATTATGAATAAAATTATTGTATCCATAATTTCTTTATATATAAATTAACCAATCAATTATTAAATAAAATAACAAAAGCAAAAAAAAAATATATAATTAATTATAAACTAATTAAAAAGTAAATAAATAGCATATTAAATAAAATATAAAAATTATAAATTAAAAATAAAAATATTTTTTATTTAATTTTACAAGTAGCTTGCTATCTATAGAAAAAATACGCCACAAATAGCAATATAAGGATGAAAATTTAAAATTATACCTACTATCAACATAAGTAAATTATTTGGGGTGGTAATTGAGTACAAAAAAAAAAACTTTCTCAAAATATTTAAATAAAAAATCAATTTTATTTGCATTCTAACCTTTAATATACTTAACAAGAGTATACCAAGCTAAGTTCTTTGTATTTATTCCAGAATTTATTAGAGTTCTTTTTTAGCAATTAAAGGATTATCCCTTATTGCTTTTTATAATTTCTAAATATCAACATAATCAAATTCATTATTTCTAATAAAGTTATCATACTTTTTTTAAATAAAATGTTACCATCATAATACTTCTACAAATTTATTTTATTTATAAATTCTAAAAAGGGAAATATTTTGCATTTAAATATTTTAGCTTTTTAATAATAATAATAGCATATTTAAATAATATGAATAAGTTAAATGTTATAGTATAAATTTCGTTTACAACTTATTCATTTGAACTTGTAACATTATTATCAAATAAAATTAAATTCAAATTTATTTAAAAATTTTTATTTTTCTAAATTATTCAAATTTTAGATATATTCAATTATATTTTCATTTTGATCATGATATATAAATCTTTTATTGAGATTGAAATTTCGATTTCCATCCTCACCTTTATTTGCTCTACCATCAGATCTTGGTCCATCAATAAAGCCATTACCAGTTGAAGCACTTATTATACTCGCTAATCCTTGAACAGAAGATACAGCTATCCCAACTGGCAAGGATGCAAGTTTTGCTAAGGTTGTTATACTTGCTTAAGCAGTTGTTGAACCAATCATACTAGATGCAAAAGAAAAATTAGTTTCATCAGTTTATTTTTTATTCATTTCTGATGTTATTCCTCTTATTGTGGGGCAAAAAAATTCATCTTTATAAACTGCAATAAAATTTTATCCTCCTTCTCCTCCTCTGCCAGGGAAACCACATTTTCCATCTTTACCTTTAGGTCTATTATCTTTTATTACTTTGAAAAAGGAATTATAGATTTATTAACCATTCCAAGAAATAATATCAAAATCTCCATGATTTCCTTATTAACCACCAGATCCTCCTTTTCCACCATTTCCTCCTTTTTATCCTGGTTCACCATTTGATTTATAATAAAGAGCATATTCATTGTTGAATGAAAAATATTTTTTAAAACCTTCTGTTATATCTATTACATATGCCAAATAGTATTCTTTTCTTTATTCAACACCATAAAAATCACCATCCTTTCCAGCTCGTCCGTCTCCACCATTTCCTCCATCTTAGCCATCATATCCTTTACCTCCACTTACATCTACTTAAATAGTATTTTTATATTTAGAGATTATTCCTTCCTAATTTTCAATACACAATAAAAAGCAACCTCCATTCTCACCAGGATCTCCAGGTAAGCCATCTTAACCGTCTTCCCCCTTCCCACTAGTATTTGGTCTATATTTAAATTTACTTTTGATATACTCATATCTTTTTCCTGAAAGGTCTAACATTTTAGCTTATTTTGCTATGATAAATTTTTTGCATTTCAAGGCTAGCTACCCTCCTCTAAAAGAAAATTCATTTGAATCGAAAATAAATGCGTGCTCTATTTTTATAATTATTTTTTTTAAATTATTCCCTCTGTATTAAGGAAGGATTTCTTAATCCATATAAGAGCTGTGTAAATAAAATGCTTTCAAAGTTAAAGTCTATGTCTCTTTATTAAAATCTATGGAAGGTTTCTATATTATTGTATTAATAAATTGAGTAGAAAAAGAATTTAAATTTTTTTTATAGTGATTATCCTCCTCAATATCATTATACTTATTTACAATGCTGTAGAGGGACTATAAATTATCTATTATATAACTATTAAATTGAATTAATTTAAGTTATTTAATATAATTTTCTAAGATTTAAAGTTATTATTTTTTCTCTTCAAGTAATGTTTATTTTTATTTCTGTGTAATTTCAGCATTCTCAACTATTGTAGTTATTAAATTTTAAAGAATCAGTTAATCTGTTCTATTAATTTACATCAACTCTCGAATTTTATCGAATTTTTCTTATATGAATATTTTCACATAACTATCTAATTTGTGTTGAGTATTTAATAATACTTTATTTACAGATTAAATTTTATTTTTCAAAAGATCAAGGATTTTTTCTCTCTCTTTTTCAACAATTTAACAATCATTTTGATCCTGAGGCTCTGAAAAAGTAAAAAAATTCTCTTAAGGAATTTAATTGAAGAAGTTATAACTATTATTTAATATTTCTCCTTACCTATTTTCAATTAAATCTTTCAGAAAATCTCTTCTCAATCTTTAAATTTAATTTTAATGTCCTTTTGAATGTACTTCATATGGACGAACTCTTGAGAATACAACAAGGGTAGAATTAGTAAAATCTTCAAAATTTTTGAATAATTGAAATAACTCTTTCATTAACAAACGAAGACCTTGGCCTCTGTTTGCCTTTATTTCTCCATCAGTGAACAAAAATATAAACTTAAATTATCTTTCATATTACTATTTAAAATAATTTTTTAATTTATAAAGATTTTCTATCCTCTCTATAGGATCAGTGTCTTAACATCCAGGTGTATCAACTAAATACATATTCGATCCTTTCAATTTTTCCTCTTGATATAGTTTTGTTTCAGACTATGTTTCACTACTAACTTTAAAGATTGTACCTTCTTAGAAAATAAGATCACCATCATCAGAAGTACTAAATTTCTTACCATATAAGATATTTAGTAATGTACTTTTTCCTGATCCCGTCGATCCAAAGACTGTGGTATAGCAGATTGAGTTCATGAGCTATAAGCTTCAAGGTATAATTATTATATATAAATAACAATAGGTCTTGTTGAAAAACAATATTTTTTTTTCTTCTTTTTTATTTATATTTAATTTAATTATATTTAATTAAAAAGGTTCCTCTTCATTTTTATTAAAAAAATAAAAGTGTTTTATTTTGAAGAGAATTTACAAGGTCGTTTTTAGATCAGTAGAGGTAAAAAAAACAACTATCTTGCCAATCTTTTCATCTCCAAATATTTCCCTATAAGGGCTACATTTTCAGATTTTTTTTAACAAATAAAAATTGTATTTTTAAAATATACCAATTGTATCTTTTTGTAAGGTCCACATTACTAAAACTCCCCCCACTGAATGAGTTAAACTAAGCAAATTTTAAAAAATACATTGGAGATTCACAAGGCTTAAATTTTCACAAAATACGTAAACAGAAAGAAATAATTTAAATTGGTGACTTAATTATCAAATAAAATTTATTTAAATTTTATATGAATGTAATTCATTTTGATTTATGCACTTTTAGTTCAATAAATGTTTGTTTTATAAAGATAGGGAATTCGTTTTCCAGAGTATTTTCTTCCTTCACTTCCACTGCCAAATTTATTAAATTTTTCATTTTAGCATTTAAGTTCCTCTCTTCTTATATCTAATTTAAAAGAGCTGTGAATTTGATGCTGGTCCCAAAAAATAAACTAAAAACCTACATGATTTCCTTAAAAACAAGCAGATCCTCCTAATCCAGCATATTCTCTTTTAAATCATTTTTAATCTTTTGATTCATAAATAAGAGCCAATTATTTGCATAATAAATAACTATTTTTTAAGGCTCCTGCTATATTCACTTCATAACTCAAATATCATTTGTTTCTTAGTAATACTAAATATAATAATTCTACTCATTTGGATATTGAATTTTTTGTTTTCTAAAGATAAACGATGATATCTTTCTCAACTTTAAATAGAAATTTCTTAGTCCTGTTTTTGTAAAAAGATCTGCTGAATATTGTACCTCTAATGGCCTTTGTAGAATGAATAAAAGTAATCCTAACATGATCTATAAAAAAAAAATGAATACTCTAATATCTTAAAAATGAAATTTATTTTTCAATGATACGAATTCACTAAATAATCATAGATTATTTTTGAAAAAATAAGAAATAAAGTCATTCTAATGTTTATTTTTGTCTACTTGGAAGTTAACATTAAAAAAATAAAAGTGTTTTATTTAATACTTAATTAGATTATTAAAATGTACGTATGCTTTTAATTGGAATCGGAATAATTTTTTATATTATAGCGGTCAATAAGATAATTAAGCAAGTATTTATAATAGTAATGGAAATGGAGTCTATACCCAATAGTCCTTTACAGAATTTGTCCATATATATTGATAATTTTCCCACTAAAAAATTGTATTGATGTTTAAAATATTGCTCTTTTATTCACAATAATATTAATGATTTTTTAGATTTTTAAAAGTTAAATTAAAAATTAAAGAAGTTTATAAGTGATAGTAATTCACTAAATACTCATATAACCTAACCATATTTGAAAAAATAAGAATTCAAGTTTTTATTTTCATTACTTTATACAATTTTTTATTTATATTTATTCTATTAAAATCTATGCTTTTCATATAAAAAACTCATAGATAGAAATTCTCCTCTTCAATTTTCTTGATTAGGAAGTTAACATTAAAAAAATAAAAGTATTTTATTTAATACTAAATTAAAAAAAATATAAAACATTAAATTTCAAAGATTGATGATAGCCAAAGCTAATCAATCAACCAATTTACTGTAATATTCGATTGACAGAGGAGGAATTAAAATATTGAAATTTAGTTTTTTTAAAAAATAATAATAAAAATATTTTTAATTTAAATTTTACAAGTAGCTTCTTATAAACAGAAAAAATACGCCACAAATAGTAATATATGGATAAAAATTTAACTTTGTAACTACTATCTACATAAGTAAATTATTGGGGGTGGTAATTGAGTACTATAAAAATAAACTTCTCATTATAAAAAGTCAATTTTATTTGCATTCTAACCTTTAATATACTTAAAAAGAGTCTACTCAGATAAGTTCTTTGTATTTATTACTGAATTTATTAGAGTTATTTTCTAGTAGTTAAAGAATTATCCCTTATTACTTTTTATAATTACTAAATAATAATATAATCAAATTCTTTGTTTCTTTCTAATAAAGTTATCATATTTTTTAAATATATCATAATGTTTTATACAAATTTATTTTATTTATAAATAAAATAGGAATAATCATAATAGATTATTAAAACAAGAAAATGTTTAAAAATATTTTAGCTTTTTTATAAAAATAATAGTATATTTAAAATAATATGAATAAGTTAAATATTATAATATAAATTTCTTTTACAACTTATTCATTTGAACTTGTAACATAATTATCAAATAGAATTAAACTCAAATTTAATTAAATATATCTATTTCATGACAAATCAATATCTTTTTTTAGATCATCAGATAAATAACTTTTATCAGGATTTTTCTGGGATCTTGTATTGAGATTGAAATTTCGATTTCCATCCTCACCTTTATTTGCTCTACCATCTGATCTTGGTCCATCAATAAAGCCATTACCAGTTGAAGCACTTATTATACTCGCTAATCCTTGAACAGAAGATATAGCTATCCCAACTGGCAAGGAAGCAAGCTTTGCTAAGGTTGTAAAACCTGTATAAGCTGCTGTTTCTCCAACAACCACAGTTCCTGTACCAATTATACTAGAACTAAGATCTAAATCAGTTTCATCTATTTATTTTTCATTCATTTTTGATCTTATTCCTCTTATTGTGGGGCAAAAAAATTCATCTTTATAAACTGCAATAAAATTTTATCCTCCTTCTCCTCCTCTGCCAGGGAAACCACATTTTCCATCTTTACCTTTAGGTCTTTATTCTTTTATTACTTTGAAAAAGGAATTCTATATATTTTATTTATCTTTCAAAGAATAAATCTAAAAATCTCCATGATTTCCTTAATAACCACCAGATCCTCCTAGTCCACCATTTCCTCCTTTTTATCCTGGTTCACCATTTGATTTATAATAAAGAGCATATTAATTGTTGAATGATAAAATTTTTTTTAAACCTTCTGTTATATCTATTACATATGCCAAATAGTATTCTTTTCTTTATTTAACACCATAAAAATCACCATCCTTTCCAGCTAGTCCGTCTCCACCATTTCCTCCATCTTAGCCATCATATCCTTAACCTCCACTTACATCTACTTAAATAGTATTTTTATATTTAGAGATTATTCCTTCCTAATTTTCAATACACAATAAAAAGCAACCTCCATTCTCACCAGGATTTCCAGGTAAGCCATCTTAGCCGTCCACTCCCTCCTAACTAGTATTTGGTTTTTTTTTAAATTCATAATTGAAATCCTCATCTCTTTTTTTTGAAAGGTCTAATTTTTAAGCTTATTTTGCTATGATAAATTTTTTGCATTTCAAGGCTAGCTACCCTCCTCTAAAAGAAAATTCATTTGAATCGAAAATAAATGCGTGCTCTATTTTTATAATTATTTTTTTTAAATTATTCCCTCTCTATTAAGAAAGGATTTCTTAATCCATATAAGAGCTGTGTAAATAAAATGCTTTCAAAGTTAAAGTCTATGTCTCTTTATTAAAATCTATGGAAGGTTTCTATATTATTGTATTAATAAATTGAGTAGAAAAAGAATTTAAATTTATTTTAAAGTGATTATCCTCCTCAATATCATTATACTTATTTACAATGCTGTAGAGGGACTATAAATTATCTATTATATAACTATTAAATTGAATTAATTTAAGTTATTTAATATAATTTTCTAAGATTTAAAGTTATTATTTTTTCTCTAACAGTAATGTTTATTTTTATTCCTGTGTAATTTCAGCATTCTCAACTATTGTAGTTATTAAATTTTAAAGAATCAGTTAATCTGTTCTATTAATTTACATCAACTCCCGAATTTCATTGAATTTTTCTTATATGAATATTTTCACATAACTATCTAATTTGTGTTGAGTATTTAATTATACTTTATTTACAGATTTAATTTTATATTTCAAAAGATCAAGGGTTTTTTCTCTCTCTTTTTCAACAATTTAACAATCATTTTGATCCTGAGGCTCTGAAAAAGTAAAAAAATTCTCTTAAGGAATTTAATTGAAGAAGTTATAACTATTATTTAATATTTCTTCTTACCTATTATCAATTAAATCTTTCAGAAAATCTCTTCTCAATCTTTAAATTTAATTTTAATGTCCTTTTGAATGTACTTCAAATGGACGAACTCTTGAGAATACAACAAGGGTAGAATTAGTAAAATCTTCAAAATTTTTGAATAATTGAAATAACTCTTTCATTAACAAACGAAGACCTTGGCCTCTGTTTGCCTTTATTTCTCCATCAGTGAACAAAAATATAAACTTAAATTATCTTTCATATTACTATTTAAAATAATTTTTTAATTTATAAAGATTTTCTATCCTCTCTATAGGATCAGTGTCTTAACATCCAGGTGTATCAACTAAATACATATTCGATCCTTTCAATTTTTCCTCTTGATATAGTTTTGTTTCAGACTATGTTTCACTACTAACTGTAAAGATTGTACCTTCTTAGAAAATAAGATCACCATCATCAGAAGTACTAAATTTCTTACCATATAAGATATTTAGTAATGTACTTTTTCCTGATCCCGTCGATCCAAAGACTGTGGTATAGCAGATTGAGTTCATGAGCTCTAAGCTTCAAGGTATAATTATTATATATAAATAACAATAGGTCTTATTGAAAAACAATATTTTTTCTTCTTCTTTTTTATTTCTATTTAAATTAATTATATTTAATTAGAAATATTTCTTTTCATTTTTATAGACTCGGGAGTTTAATTAAAAAAGGGTTTTATTTGATATATTTAAAAAATAAAAGTGTTTTATTTTGATATATTATAAAATTATAAATAGTTTTTTAATGCATTAAAAAAATATAAATGGTTTATTTAAAATACAGATGTTTAGGATAAAGTAACCCATGCCTTTGTGTTATTATTGATTTATAATAATTAAAGCAAATTTTAAAAAAGTTTTTGGAGATTCACAAGGCTTGAATTTTCACAAAATATGTAAAAAGAAAGAAATAATTTAAATTGGTGACTTAATTATCAAATAAAAATTATTTAAATTTTATATGAATATAATTAATTTTGATTTATCCACCTTTAGTTCAATAAATACTTGTTTTATAAAGATAGGGAATTCTTTTTCTAGGAGTATTTTCTCCTCTTCACTTCCACTGCCAAATTTATTAAATTTTTCATTTTAGCATTTAAGTTCCTCTCTTCTTATATCTAATTTAAAAGAGCTGTCAATTTGATACTGGTTCCAAAAAATAATCTAAAAACCTATATGATTTCCTTAAAAACCACCTAATCCTCCTAATCAAGCATATCCTCTATTAAAATCCTTTTTAATATTTTGATTCATAAATAAGAGCCAATAATTTGCTTAATAAATAACTTTCTTTTAAGGCTCCTGCTTTTTTCAATTCATAACTCAAATATCATTTGTTTCTTAGTAATACATTTGGAGATTGAATTTTTTGTTTCAAAATATAAACAATGATATTTTTCTCAACTTTAAATAGAAATTTCTTAGTCCTGTTTTTGTAAAAAGATCTGCTGAATATCCTACCTCTAATGGCCATTGAAGAATGAAAAAAAGTAATCCTAACCTGATCTATTAAAAAAAAAAATGAATACTCTAATATCAAAAATAAGAGATATATTTTTCAAACTAATTCACTAAATAATCATAGAGTATTTTTGAAAAAAATAAGAAATAACTTCATTCTAATCTTTATTTTTGTCTACTTTGAAGTTAACATTAAAAAAAATAAAAGTGTTTTATATTTAATACTTAATTAGATTATTAAATCTATGCTTTTCATATAAAAAACTCATAGAAAGAAATTTTTCTCTTCAATTTTCTTAATTAGGAAGTTAATATTAAAAAAATAAAAGTTCTTCAATTTTCTTAATTAGGAAGTTAATATTAAAAAAATAAAAGTGTTTTATATTTAATACTTAATTAGATTATTAAATCTATGCTTTTCATATAAAAAACTCATAGAAAGAAATTTTTCTCTTCAATTTTCTTAATTAGGAAGTTAATATTAAAAAAATAAAATATAATGCATTAAATTTCAATGACTGATGACAGCCAAAACTAATTAATCAACCAATTTACTGTAATATTTCGAATTCTCGCTCCTCATTTTTTCATCTTGATGATAGATAAGGGAGGAATTAAAGAACATTTTTTAAAGAAAATATTTAAAAATATTAGGGGTCACAAGGCTTAAATTTTCACAAAATAGATGAATTAATAGAAATCATTTAAATTTGTGATATCATTATCAAATATGAATAATTTAAATATATGGATTTAATTTATTTTGATTTATGTCCTTATTTTATTAGTTCACTCAAGCTAAAGTTTATTTTATCAGAATATTTCAGATTTTAAGTATTTATGGAATGATTTTTCCACAATATTTTCTCCCCTTCTCCTCCACACCCTTTACTAAATTTTCCATTTCGTATTTAAGTTCCTCTGTTTTGATTTCTTGGATAAGAGAGCTGTAATTTGGTGTTTATTCCAAGAAATAATCTAAAAAACTTCATGATTTCCTTAAAAACCACCAGATCCACCTTTTCCAGCATACCCTCTTTTAAATCCTTTTAAATATTTTGATTCATAAATAAGAGCATATTATTTGTTTAATAAGAAGCTATCTTTTTAAGGATCCTGTTATATTCACTTCATAACTCAAATAGTACTATTTTCTAAGAAATACTAAATATTTTAATTTTACTTTATTTACAGATTGAATTCTGTGTTTCAAATGATGAAAGATGAAATCTTTCTCAACAGGCAGTGCTCATCGACTCTGATCAAAAATTATAAATAAAACTCTTTCATTCATCTACAACCTAAAATTAAATATACAAATAATAAATTTACCGTGGCAAAAATATCCTCTTTATATAAATTTTTATTATGAATATGCTATTTCTAAAGGCCTTTGAAGAATGAACAAAAGTAGTCCCAACTATTAAAAAAAAAATAAATATTTTAATATAAAAAAATAGTAAATTTTTCAAATGATACGAATTCACTAAATAAGAAAAAATAAGAAATAAAGGAAGTCTACTCTTCATTTTTGTCTACTTGGATGTTAACATTAAAAAAAAAAGTACTTTATTTAATTCTTAATTAATATACTAAAATGTATGTATGCCTTTAATTTAAATAATAGTAAAAATTTTTATATATTATAGCAGTCAACAAAATAATTGAGTGCATATTTATAATAAAAATGGAAGCAGAGTCTATACTCCATAGTCCTTTACAGAATTTGTCCTTTTTGTAAAAAATATTGATATTTAAAATATTGCTCTTTATTCATTCTAATATTAATGACTATTTGTATTTAAAAAAAATAAGAATAGAAGACTTTTATTTTTATTACTTTATATATTTTTATTTATATTTATTCTATAAAAATCTATACTTTTCATATAATAAAATTCATAAAATAAAGTCTTTTCTTCAATTTTGTTTACTAGGAAGTTAACATTAAAAAAATAAAAGCACTTTACTTAATGCTTAATTAAAAAAAATATAAAACATTAAATTTCAAAGATTGATTATACCCAAAGCAAATCAATCAATCAATTAATTTAAAAAGGTCAAATAAATATTCTTTTGATATTCAAATTACCTAAGCATAAGCAGAAAGACAATATGAGTATTCATACCTTTTTGAAATAATTACAAAATTTATTTTAAAAATATTCTATAAATAGAGTTTAGACAATTAACCTTAAATATACTATTCTATTGAATAATTTATTTTAAATTAAAAAAAAAAGTGTTACTCCTAAAGAAATTTAATTATATTTTAATTTACTTAGTTTCAATAGAAAAACTAGATTTTATTGTCTTAATTTACAAATTATAAGCTTACTTCAAATTCAAAAATTTGTTTACATAAATAATAAAGCTATTTAAAAGTAATAAAAATTGAATGTTTTAAATTTACCCCTAATTATTTTTAACAAAAGCATTAAATATTATCAATAAATTATTTTTTAAATCGCTAATATGATTTTAATTTCATTATTTTTAATAAAATTTTGTATAAAAATATTTTCTCAGAATTATTAAAAAATAGACTTTTAATTCATCAGGAAAAACTAAATAATTTGAAAAATAATTTAGAAAGTGTCCTTAAATACTTATATAGATATAAATAAATACAAGAAAGATAAAATATGAATAGATTATTTACTAAATTGAAAGAATATGAATATTTAATTAGCTTTGATTTACATTAAAAGTTTATTTATATTTTTTATAAAAAATATTTATTAAAATATCTTATTCAAAATAAAAATATGATATTTTAAAGCTATTATGAATATGTTTTTATTTGACTATTTAAAATATTTCATTAAGTAACCTTAATAGCGATGAGATGTTATATTATTTATTATTAATTTAAATTTACTTCATAAAAAAAAATTTGAGGATTACATATTTTTCTTTTATTTTTAGCAGGTTTCTGGAAATAAAAGTAATTTATTTTAGTTACATATTAATCAATATTAATAAAGCATGTATTTTTTTTTATATAAGAAATTAAAGTATTTAGATATATGATAAATAGGCTACAAAAAAAAGCAAATATTTTATTCCAATATGTCTGTACTATTTATTTAATAATTATAGATATTTGATTGGTGACTATAAAAAATCTTATACAAAATAATCGCGATTTTTTATTCAGAAAATTTCTAATAATCATTTGCTTTTAATATTTGATTCCTTATTTAGGTTTTTATAGATTGTACAAAAAATGAAATTAAAAGAAATTATTTTCGTTTTCAGTATTTTTATTTTATGTTTTTAAAATCATTTAAAGCATTTTAATATTTTAAAATTGAAAATCATACAAATAAATTTTATTTTCTATTTCATTTTAAAACATAAAGTTATAAAATTAGATAAGAGTGACTCATATTTAAAAACATTGGTGTTTTTAACATAATAAAACTAATTATGAAAGAATTTAGTATTTGCTGGCTGCAAATGCAGATTGAATATTATATTTGCGAATTAATTTGTGAGGTAAATAATTGATTTCTAGAAATGTAGCCACTGCATATAACTAAAAAAAAATAAAATATTTTTAAGATGCTTAAACATACTGCACTGATTCTACTAACTTTTGTATGTTTTATAAAATTCTAAGTCTTAGATATAAAAAAATGATTTTTTTGCTATTTTTGTATTTATTAGGTGTAAAAAATAGATATTCATTAAGTAATTTAGAATATCTGCTTGTTGTTTTAGTATCTAATTGATATCTTAAGATAAATCAATTTAAGCTAATAAAAGAAGTTTATGAATAAGGGTTAAATTTATTTTAAATAGGATTGAATCTAAAATTGCAATGTCAAAAAACTACATGCATACATGCTTTGGTTTGAATTAGATTTAATGCATTAAAAGATAATATAATTTAAATTCAAATGGAATGCTATTTTTAGTTAACAATAAATTTATATTTATTTATTGAAAAGTCAAAATGTTGAAGAAAAAATTGATCATTTTCTGAAAAAATTCACAGGGAAAATAAGATAATGACCTAATAAATAACAAATTTCAAAGATTAATATACTGATTATTTATTAGTCATTCAATTTAATTAAAAAGTAAAAAACTTTTAGTATATAGGTGATGAATATATATGATATTTTAATAACTTGAAATTCATAAATTTCCTAAATGATTCTTTCAAAGTTCTAAAATATTAGAGTAAAATCTAGAAGATAAATAATGGATATCCAGAAGTGTTATCTAATAATTGATATTTCATAGTTTATAAAAGAAATTTATAGTGTTCAATTCTAAAAGGTGTTTGTTAAGTGTTGAGTAAAATAAATTCATCTCGCACCATATGCTAAAGCCTAAAATTTGCATTTATTCATTCAAATATAAGAAAAAGCAGGTAATTAAGCTAGTTAGTTTGTTTGTTTGGTAATTTGCTTGGATCCTTAAGTTAGAGCCTCATTACATTCATTAATACAAACATACAAAATGTTATAAAATAAATAATGAAAAGATTCTCTTATTTCATTCAAATAAATTCTTTTATAATTTTACATGTAAATTTTCATTAAAAAAATTCGCTTTTTTCTGCTCTTTTATTAGCCTTTTTATTATTTATTTTTTAATAAATCTGCTCGTATCTTTTTTTGTTTGCTTTTTTATATATTTAGACAAATTTCATACTTTAAAAACGAGTAAAACCAGTGTTAACTTCATAATAACTAAAACCTGTCTAGATAAATTTGTTGAAATAATATACAGCTTTCAGACTTAAAAGGATAAGCATACGCTGAGAGAATGATTTTAGAGAGATAAGTACTTAAATGGAAATTAATATGAGAGTGTGTTTTAAGTATATTTGAATATGTATGGTAATTTAATGAAAGATTTTTGAAGAGTCTTATAAATTATAAAAGAATACCCTTTTGAAGTATTAGATTGAATGATTAAATAAGAATTAAATCAGCTTGATAAATAGCTAATCAAACTTTGCAATTATACTAAATACTGAAATGAGAAATCAATTATTTTCTCCCCAGAATTTCTTTTATCTGTCTAAATGATTAATTAATTAGACAATGAATATATGAAATTTAATCAGCTTTATGCAAAATTTAATTCAAATTTGCATGACATTTAAAAAGAAGGAAATTTATTGTGAAAGAAAACTATAAAAGAATTTTTTATAAAGACCTTCTGAATATTAAATAGCAGTACTTTCTGAGCTAAATCAACAATAAATAATTAAACAAATAATAAATAATTAAATAAGAATAATAAAGAGAAATGAACAAACTCATCCTCCTCGCCCTCGCTGGTACCGTCCTCTTAGGTGCCACCCTCTTATTGGTCAACCATAAGAGAGTCTCCGATGATGTCCCCATCACCGAAGAAGTCATCCTTAAATGGAAGTAATTCAAGCAAACCTACAACAAGAAGTTCTCTGATCCCGATCAAGAAGTTTACAGAATGGAAGTTTTCGCCTAAAACCTCGAAGTCGTCAAGTAGGATACCACTGGTACCTTCGGTGTTACCCAATTCTTCGATTTAACCGCCCAAGAATTCGCTTCCATCTACCTCACCCTCCAAGTTGAAAATGCTGAAGAAGCTGTCCACGATGCTGAACTCAACGGTGACATTAACTGGGTTACCGCTGGTAAGGTTACTGCTGTTAAGAACTAAGGTTAATGCGGTTCATGTTGGGCTTTCTCCACCACTGGTGCCCTCGAATCTGCTTTGATTGTCGCTGGTCAAGCCACCAACACCATCAATCTCTCTGAATAACAATTGGTTGACTGTTCCACCAGCTACGGTAACCAAGGTTGCAACGGTGGTTTAATGGATAACGCCTTCAAGTACATCAAGGCTAACTAACTCACCACTGAAAGTAACTATCCTTACACTGGCAAGGACGGAAAATGCAACTCAGCTGCCATCAAGGCCCCCTTATACAGTCTTAAGGGTTTCACTGATGTCGCCAAGACCACCTCTGCCCTCCAAGCTGCTATCTAAAAGCAACCCGTCGCCATCGCTGTCGATGCTTCCAAGTGGTCTTACTACACTGGTGGTGTCTTCTCTAACTGCGCTACTCAATTAAACCACGGTGTCCTCTTAGTCGGTATCGTTAACGGTAACTGGTTAGTCAAGAACTCTTGGGGTGCCTCTTGGGGTGAAAACGGTTACATTACCTTAAAGGCTGGTAACACTTGCGGTCTTGCCAACGCTGCTTCTTATCCTACTGAGTGATTTAATAGGATCTAAGTCCAAAACTTATTATAACATTTATGAAAGTATTAAAAAATAATACATGTCTCTTTATATTCGTATCGTATGATACTATATAAAAAACAACATAATAAATTTTTTACCAAAATTTTAAATAAACTCCTTCTTACATTCTTTATTTCCTTTCTAAATTCATTCATCTACTTAAGCATAAATGCATAAATAATTAATTTTAACTGCTAGTTACTAACTATATCCGAATATAATTAACAGTTAGTAAGGTAGCAAATTAGCATGAGAGATTATTTTAATTTTTAAGCAAAACTTTTATTCAACCAAAATAAAGCTAAAAGTCTAAATCAACAATTTAACAAAAGATCCTAATTTAATTAGAAAAAAAATAATTGACGAAAATTTAAAAAATTATTCTGATTTTTGAGCATAATTTGATTAAAAAAATTTTTATCTCATTAAATTTATTCTATGAATTATTTATTTATAATAAATATTATTTGAATAAATTTTAAAATAAATTGATTAATTTTTTTAAATATATATTACATCTAGATTAATATTTTGACTAAATAAATTCAACAATAGGCATACAAAATAGTTTATTTTTTATAGATTTCATAATAATTTAGCTATTGATCTAATATTGAAAATAAATTTCTGATATAATTAATTTTTATTATCAATTATTTTTGTATAAATGTTTATTACTATTTTTGCTTAGATTAAAATGAATTCGGATAAAGATAAAGTAAGTTTAGAGGTTTAAAAATAAGCAATTAAAATAGATGGCTGATACCCTAATTCATTTATACATGCATTCATAGATAAATATTAGAAGAATTAAAGAAAAAAAAATGTTAAAATAGTTAAAATTTAAAACTGAAAACTTTTCTATCTTTGTTTTTAATGTAGATTTTTTTATTTAATTTATTTTCTATTAACTAAAAATAGAAGCAAAAAAAAAATTCTGATCTTTATTAGCTCTTGTGCTAATTGAGTATCAAATTTATTTTCTTAAAGATGGAAAAATATTTTTTTTGAATTATCCTCTTGGGATTATTAATCAATAATAAATACTAATATGCTCATATTTTTTAAGAAATAAGAGTGCTGTCCTATTTGGCTTTCAAATTATCTTCATAATACTAATAATTATATCAATTTTCTATTTCTTTTTATTGCTATCAAAGCTAATCTATTTCAAGCTAAATCCATTAAGTATTATAGCAACTAAAAGGTGCTAATATAAATTATAAATTTTGTGTTCAGTAAAGAAAATAAATTTATATTTTACTATTTCAGTTTAAAATGTATAATACAACAATTTAAATCTTCGAAAATTAAGAATTTATCAATAATTTAAACAAATATATATATATGGGCCTATGTTAATATTGCTTTTGGCTCAAGTCAAAACCTGTAAAAAATGATTTTATTGATTTTTAGGATTGCTATTTATCAAAAAATAAAGAATATAAAGTTTAAAAATTAATTATAAAAATTAATTTATTAGTTAGTTAGGTACCATTAAATGGTTAAATTCATTCACCAACAATAAAAACTTGATAAAGGAAGTGAGTCTAAATAATTTTTTTTGAATTAACATTAATAAATTGATAAAAAAACACTCCGTAAAAAAAAAATTATAATTTAGATTAATCGTTATTTTATGCTTTTTTTAAAGTTATCATTACAATAATAATTTTTTTTTCTTAACTCATGAGGCATCTCTATTACTTACTTAAAACAGAAAAGAGGAAAGATTAAGCTCTGCAATATTTAAATTTTAATATAGAGAAGTCCATAAAGGATGCAAATAGAAAGTAATATTAAACCTGTCTTACTTAGTCTTACTTTTAAAATGAAAGAGAAAAAGGAATTCAATCTTTCAATCTATCAATCAATGATATATTAATATTATTTAACTTAGAAAAAGACAATTAGCAATAATCAAAACCTTCTAAAAAAATTGGTAAGAAAAGAAAAAAAATATAAGGCAAAAAAATTAAACCTTTAAAAAAAATATTCAAATTAATATCAATAGAAAAGTAAAAATAATAGCAATGGGAAACAGTGAAAGCCAAAATTCTAACTTTCAAATTCAGCCCTACCTTAGATCAGGACTGACCAACGAAGAAATCATTATGATAAAGACTGTCTTTGACCAACAAGAACCAGAAAATGGCGTAATCAAGTCAAGCCGTCTTCGCAAGTTGTACTAAGATTCTTATGATAAGAAAAATTATGATTAAAAGATAGGTGATAAGCAATTTTTAAACTTTGATGAATTTTTTGAAATAATGGCAAGCGATATCTTAGAAAAGAAAGAAAAATATAAAGATATTTAATTCGATTCTTAAGGATAAGACATAGGCTGTGTTTTTTGTCCTACTGCTGTTGATACTAGATAATAGCAAAACACTTATTGAAATCAAACCTACTAGAATCATTCCTTATATAAACAAATAAATAAATAAATACACCTCTACAATTTTCTCTCTTCTGCTTGAGTTTAAACTTAAATAAATGTCTTTCTTTAAATTTTAAGGCAGTTCCTGTAAACGAAAGAACAAATTATCAATCAATTAACAAAAAATCAATTGTGCGCATTTGTGAATAAAAAAAAACAATAAATGCATATTTAAATATAAACATGTTATTTATTTGATTCCTTTGTAAAAAATTGACACCTTGTTTACTTTAAACACCAATGCAGAATCGAGTTAAAATAATTACTTAAATATATATAATAACAATTATAATCGAAATTATAGATTATCTACTATATATTTTAATTATAACACAGAATATCCTTGTACTTATTGATTGTTTCAAAGTTATTAATTTCAGAAAGCTAACAAGTAATAAAACAAGTAAATAAGCAATCAATCATTCATCTAATTGCTTTTAATTAATTTCTATCAAATTTTTAGATTAATTACTGCTGATAGCTATCAAAAATGATTATTAACTATGACTAATTAAATCATATATTAATAATTAATTAATTAATCAATCAAATATTGATTCACTCTCTAACTGGTCTATCTATCTATATAACTAATATAATAATCAAATTATTCTAAATTCAATTATTACTAATATACATAATGATGGATGATTCATAAATGATATTATTCTTTAAAACTAAAAATGTTTTTTGTATGAAATTTATTTTTATTGCAAATCTAATTTTTATTTTTTCTAAAATCATTTTTCCCTATCTTTTGCACTTACCTTGTAAATTAATCAATCATTTTCTTTTTAAATAAGCATTCATTCTTAATTACTAAAAATTGTACAAGTCTTACTAAATCAATAATAACTCTTAACATTAATTGCCAATCAGGTTTAACATTAAATCGCATTTCTCTAAATGAAATTTTTTTATATTTTTTGATAAAATTACATAGGTTTTACAAACTTTTGAATTCATGAACAAACAATTATTTACCCTAAAAATCTATAAATTGCATAATACGCATATGGTAAATTTTAATTGTAGAAAATACACTTTATCCTTAAAATATTCTTTGAATTTGTAAAATACAAAATAATAAAAGATTAAGCCAAACAAAATACTCCAATACTGGCTGATTTTTAATATTATTACTTAAAGATAAAAAATTAATATTTTTTCTTAATACATCTCTCTGTTGCTCTTCTAATAATTAATTAAAAATTTGCAACGAATAACTACAATTTGCATAAAAAGTTAAAAATAATTTTGGCATAGTAGCTGAAGTATATCGACTAATTTTAAGTTTTTAATTTGTTGAAGTTTTTTTATATTTTTTAATCAATTTTGATTTTTATTAAAATATTTCATTGTTTATTTTATTTATTTATTTTTATTTTTTATGTTTTATTTATTTTATTTCTTTTTTCATATTTTTTAATCAATCAATTTGTTTTTAGCTTTAGTTGTTAGTATCGCTTAAAATTTATTTAGTTGTTTGTTTTTTTATTTGTTAGTTTTTAATTTATTTTTATCAAAAAAAAAAATATCATAATTAATGGAATAACTTAAAAATGGAAAAAAAATCTTCTGAATTATCAATTCTTCATCTCCTATTTTAATAATTTTTATTTTTTAATAATTTTATTTTTTTATAAAGTGTGTTTTTTTTTTTTATAGTGAATACGCAGCATCAAGATAGTTCTACAATATTCGAAGTTTAAATGGTATGGATTAAATTTGGGGATTGGATTTTTTAACAGCAGTTGAATCTATCCGGTTATTAAAAATTTCCGATTAGTTCGAATATTTTTGTTCTACTTGAGCTGAGGAATCCGCGTAACGGAATATCATTATTTAAAATGATTATGGGAGTTTAACCGAGCCTTAAAAACTTTTCCCATATATTTTGCATGTATTTTCTTGTTTTTCAGATAGGATTGTGCTTGATCCTACGACATGCGTCAGCTGTCCAAAATGAGTTAATTTAACTACATTCAAGTTACTTAAATACAGAATTTTCTCTTATTTTCAAATTAGATTTCTTTTATTCATTCTTAGTTTAGATAACGTTTAGACTGTTGTCAAATCTTCATTTCTAAGCATTAGCTTTCAGGAAATTATTTCAATTCGAGTCGTCTCCATCATATAATTTTATAATATTTGTGAGTATTATTGGATTATTTCAAGGTCTTCATTCGTTCGTTCTGAGTATTCTTCAATCACCTTTCAATTTAAGTAGAGTTTCTTTCTTATCAAAAATGTTTTCATTCATAATATATTTCCAAATCCTCTCATTTTCAGATCAAATATATTCTTTCATATTTCTCAAAGAATTTCCTCATGATAATCAAATATTCCAACTAAATTTACTTTAAAAACGAGCCTGAACGGTGGGCTGGATTTATTTATAGAGCGGGATTTCTCTAAATAAAAACTTAATTGTTGAAACATTTAATTTTTATCATTTAATTCTAATCAATTTAATCATGAATATAATGATTTTCAAAATCAATTCATTTTCGTATATTAATTATTTAAACAGATTTTAATAAGTTAATGAGTGCCTCAATGATAGTCAATATCCTATTTGAGCATTCAGTTTATTTAGAGAACCAAGTAAAAAGCTAACTTATCAAAACTTTTTCTTCCTTATTACCCAGTAGAATTCTAAAAAATCTTAACTTAAAATGACATTAAAAACTTGCCTGAATGGTGGGCTGGATTTTTGGAGCGCGGTTCTCCAGATAAAAACTCATTTCGTTAAAATTTTTTAGCTTAATCCTTTTTGTAATAAGTAAAAATTATAATGAAGGGTTAGTTTTTAGCAATTTAGACAGGCACTTCAGTTTTCTTTTCAGTAATTTTTAGCATCATTTCTATTAGGTCTAGAAATTCTTATCCTTTTTAGACAGACAGACAGCACTTTCAGTTTTAGAGAAAAAGAAAATCCATAATCTCACTCATATTATTTGATTATATTTTTTCAACTATCTTATCTAATCTTCTTTCCATCAACTTTTGCGTCAAAAATCCAACTCTCCTCAAGTCTAAACATCCTATTTCAGAAATCCTATCAGATTTCCTCATTTCCAATTCGATATTATCTGTATTCTTTCATTGAACTTGATTAAATCAACTTTCATTTTTTCATAGCTGCATTCAATTAGAACTATGCGCAATTAACAATAAGTTTTTATTTATATTAATTTATTTTTCTTTCGTTAGAAAATTTCTTAATTAATTAATCAAACCTAAAATTTAAAATCAAAAACAAAAATTAAAAATTTTTAACAGAAATATCCAATATTAATAATTAATCAAATATTGGTATATTTAATAATAATTGACTCTTGCAACTAAAGAAAGCTCTAGTTAAATTTTTTAGATATTTATAAGATATTTATTGGAAATTAAGATATTGAATTATTTATAATCAAGCTAAAATAAGCATTAATTTAGATTTTAAAAATAAATTTAAAAAATTATTATTATTATTTTTAAGTAAAATCTTTATTTAAAATAAATAAATGTATTTTTTAGATTATATATACTTTAATTCATAATATAATAAATATCTTTGAATATAAAAAACCCATTTATATATTTAATATTAAAAAAATAGAATTTATTTTTTATAATTTAAATATAATTTGTAAATTTTAATCAAATTAAATATATTTAAAAAAGATTTAAAATAAAAAAATATATTATTTAAACCTTATGCCAGACTGTATTTAACAGAAATTTTAATATAAAAGCAAAAAATTTATTAATTATTATTAATTTAATAAAATTAAGATTTTAATCAAGATCAAGCTTACTTTATAAAATCTTAATAAAATATTTTTTAATTTGTGAAAATTAATTAAAGATTCAAAAGAATTCATAAAATAAATATAAGTTAAAATGGTCATATAATTATTTGAAATTAATAATCTATCTATCTATTTTTAATCATTTGAAGCAAAATTCAAATAAAATAAACTAAATATAGATTAAATAAATACAATTAGTTTGAGTATTGATAAGTTGCTACTAATAAAAGATTTCAATAATTAAGTATTCATTATTTGATATTAAGACATACATCTATATTAAATTTTAAGTAAAATAAGAAAAGAAGTGATTCAGTAAAGTATTTGTTAGTGAATGGAAGGAATGGGTAGTTAATTATGTATTAAAAAAATTTTTTATTCATTTGTCTTGTTGTTATTACTAATCGTTTTAACCTTCAATTAAATTGATAGTTGGTTCTTTAGATTTGCTTTTCTTCCTCTTTTTATTTCTCTTTTCTCTTAGCATAGTAAGAAACTCAGTAAAATCAATCTAATTAATTTTTAATATGTTCATCAATTTTAATTAAAAATTTCAATAATTACTTCTCCATCTCCATTTGTGTCAGCTTCTTTTATGAGCTCGTCGATATCAATTTCTCCGATCGATATTATATCAGTTCCTAGAATATCTTGCAATTCTTGCCTTGTAATTTTGCCATCATTATTTTTATCAATTTTTAAAAAGGCTTATGTGATGGCTTTATCAGTTTAAAATTCAGGATTTGCTAAAAATGTTGCTATGAATTCTATAAAATAATGTTAATTTCAAAAAATTAATAATAATTTTTAAACCTGAATAATCTATTTGTCCACTATTATCAAAATCCATTGCTTAAAAGATCTGTTTCACTTCACTCTCTTGAAAATCTAAATTACATTTTTCTTTAAATAACTGAAGACCTATTTTTATTATGTTTATGGATATAATATTTACTTAATTTATTGATTAATTAATTAATTAATTACCTCCTTTTAATTCATCTAAACTAATACGTCCATTTCCATCCTTGTCCATACTAACAAATATCTATAATTAGATATTAAATATTTAATTTAAAGCATAAATATAATTATTTCACCTATTTCAAAACATCTAAATCACTGTCCTATATCTGAGATGCCATATAAATGAGAATTGTCTTTTTTATACTTAAATTTAAAAATAAACAAAATGATTTGGAATTTCTAAGAGATTTATTTATTTACTTTTTAAGTTCTACTATTTTCTTTAAACCTGCTAGAGAATCACTTGAAATAATTAAATTTTGATTTTCTCTGCTCACTTACTATTACACCCATGGATGGTTATAACAATCAATATCACAGAGTCTTTTTTTAGGATTCTTCACCAGCAATCTTGATATTAAATCTCTCACCTTTGATTAAAATATATTAAAATCTCACAAAAAAAAAAATTGATTACTTCATTGCTGCATTCTAAAAATGCTTTTAAATTTAAATTATAGTTGCATTTTCTTATTGAATAGAATATTTCTTAAGCATTTTTTCCATAAAAAGGAGGTGTTCCCGAAAGCAAAATATAAAGTATTACTCCGAGTGCCCAGTTATCAACTTACTCACTATATTATCCTTCAATAACTTCTGGAGCTATATAATAAGGCTTTTTAAAGTATAATACTCAATTAATTACTTTATCGATATAAATTATCTTACTGTACCAGATTATTGTCTCAAAACTTCTCCTTTTTTGAATTTTTTAGAAATTCCAAAATCTATCATTTTTATTGTTGTTGGATCTGACTTCTTTTTAAGCAAAAAATTTTCAGGCTTTAAATCTCTTTTTATTAGATTTTTCATTAATATAATTAATTTTTCAAGAATATTTACCTATGAATTACTCCATTATCATGAATATATGATACTGCTGAGAAAAGTTATCTCATAATTAAAGCAGCATCTTTTTCTTAGAGTCTTTTGTTTTAAACAACATACTAAAATAATTCACCACCTTCACAATACCTGTTATATTTATTTGATAGGATTATATTTTAAAACGAATTAAATGATTTAGATATTTACTCTGTTACTAAATAAATTGTGGACTCGCTTTCATATACTTCATAGAGTTTTATAATATTAGGATGATCCTTGTATTTTAAGAATATTAATAATTTAAAAAAACAAATAATATATTTGCTATTATAAAAGTAAATAAAATTTGTTATTTTTAAGAGAGAGCTTACAAGTTCTTTTAAAATATTTATTTCATCCTAAAATTATTGTTTATCAGACAATCTATCTTTTGCTACTGCTTTTACAGCTCTTTCATCTCCTATTTATTTTATTTTTCAAAATTAATATAGATCAAGCAATTATTTTTTATTTTTATATGATTATTTAGCAAATTGCAAAAAGTAGAAATTTATATTTATTAAGCACAAACCTGTAATTCTATGAGTAGCTAAGAATACTACACCAAAGGCTCCTGATCCTAGCTCTTTTAGAAACTTATAGTCATCTCTTATTTTTTCTAAAAAGTAGAATTGGTATTAAAATTAGCTGAAAAAGTAATATTTTTGTTACTTTTATTAGAATATCTAAAAAACATTTATTTATTTACAATAAACTGTTATTTCATTTGGTATTCCTCATTTTACGAACAATTAGTTTTTACTAATTTGACATTTTATGTATCACCGCTAATTATATCACTCATACTTCAGCGGAATGCAATGAAATTGTAGTTAATTTAGTAGATTTTATTACTTTTTGTAAGCCAAATAAAAAGAAAACAGTAAATAAATAGGTCAAATACAAATAATAACAATTTATTAGAAATAATTTAACTATTTCTAATAATCAACTACAGTGATTAAAAACATAAAAATTATAGCTAAATTATAATCCTGTTTAACAAATATAAATGAATAATCAATCTATCAAATATTCGAATTTAATATACTATTTTAATTTTTAAAAGAACAAATATATAAATACTAATTTCGACATACATTCGAAAGTAAGATATTTTACCAACAAATAATAAATTATCTACAGTAGCTGCATTCAAAAGAAACAATCTTAAAAATACCTTATTAAATAATTTGGCAAAAAGAAAATACTTTTTTATCCTAGTATTATTCAAATAGAAACTTTAATCTTATAGGATAGTTAATATTACTGACCTTATAAATGTTAATTTTCTTCAGTTTTAAAATCTATAAAACTGTTTATAATAAAGAACAAATAAATAAAATAATCAACATATCAATGAATTCAAGTATGACAAATGTTTTTTTCAAAAAGATATTTATTTTCTATTCACAATTTTACTAAACATTTAAAAAAATCACTTTTTAACTTAATTACTTTTCAGAATTATCAATTTGCTTTAGCTTACTGTATTTACTCATTTCATATTAATATTTAATTTCGCTTGCTATTTTTATTTTGCTTTTAAAAAACATAATTACAAAAATATTCTCTTTGCAACAAAAAAAATATTTATAAAAAATAATACAGTATATTATTTCCTTTTATAAAATTTATCTATTTTAAATTTTAGATTAGCCATTTTTAAAATAATTAATTTTTAGTATTAAAATAAAAAAGTATGTTAAAATAAAATTAATAAATATAAAAAAAAAGCTCCGAGACCGGGAATTGAACCCGGGTCTCCTGCGTGACAGGCAGGAATACTAACCACTATACTATCTCGGATTTGATATAATTTAACTCATTATTTATGTTATTTTATTAACTTTAAATATAATAAATACATGGATATATGTTTTTTTTCAATTTTCAGAATTTTTATAATCTTTTTATTAATTAGATATCCAAATCAAATCGATTAAAGAAATATACGTTTTCAAAATTAATTATTTAATGATCAAATTGCCTGATATAAAAGTAGACTTTGCTCTTAAGACTCACGACTCGGAAATAGACATTTAATATTTTTTTGAGCAGTACAAAGGTTCAACGAAATTGTCATTTACTTCATAGCTTAGCTTACAATTTTCTATTATCTTGGGCAATTACTTGAAATTTGTTAAGAATATCACTCATTTAGATATCAAAATACTACCAAATTAAATCAGTTCAGCTGGTATAAGTGGTATCGCAAAAGGACTTTGGTTTCTTGAAAATCTAAATTATTTATCTCTTGAGATATAAAATAATAATATAAGCGAATAAGGATGCTGGGGTTTATGCTAGGGTTTGTAGACACTCCAGGGTTTAAAGACATTTTATTTAATTATTGGAGAGTGTAATTATATTAAAGATTAAGGAGTAGAGGCAATAAGCTAATCAATAAAACATCTTTTTTAATTAGAAAAACTTGCTTTAGTCTTTTAGGAAAACTAATTAGGTTCAGATAGTGGTTAGCATTTAGGCCAAGGTATTAAAGACTTGAAAAAACTTAAAAAATTTTTGTTAACAATTGAACCAGGAAATTAAATTCTTTCAGAAGGAGCCTAAGGAATATCTAAAGGCTTAAGATAATTAAATAATTTGGAAGTTTTACAAATAATAATAACTCACAATAAAATTGGGAAAGTGGGATTTGACAGTCTTGGTGAAGCTTTATATAGCTTAAAAAGTTTATAGAAACTATCATTAAGCTTAACTTAAGTAAATATTAAATTGAATGAATCAAATGCGATAAGCTAAGCAGTTAAAAAATTAACAAATCTTAATTATCTCTTTTTAGATATATAGAAAGATTAAGAAATAGGTTCATCAATTTCTAATTTAGTTAATTTAAGTTACTTAAATATCAAACTCTCTGATAAGATTGGTCTTTTAGGAGTAATAAATTTTGGCTAGGGTTTAAAAAGGCTAAGCAATTTAAATGAGCTGTATATTCTAGTTGAAAAGTTTAACAATACGTAGGTTTAAGGTGTTTAAGAGATTTGTGAATCTCTAAAAAACTTGTAAAATTTACAAAAACTTTCTTTTATAATTGAAAACAATAATTCCATCTAATCTGAGGGAGCTGTGCATATAGGAAATTCACTAAAGTTTTTGAAAAAATTGAAGTATTTAAAACTTCATATTCTTAGAGATAATAATATTTCATTCGAGGGTGCTCAAAAAATAGGTGAAAGCTTTTCAGAATTATAAAATTTATAGACTTTGAACTTAGAAATAGGAGATCTGAATCATATAACCTCATAAGGTTTGATTTCAATTTCTGAAGGGATCAGTAATTAAATGAGCTTGTAAGATCTTAAAATAATAGTCAAAAGCTAAAATTAAATAAATAATCAATAAGGATACAACACCTTTTCTAAGAATATAAATAAGCTAAAATAATTAACTAATTTTCATTTTGAAATAGGCTGTGAAAATTTAAGTTAAATAGGAGAAATTTATACCGATATGAAAAACTTGCAGAAACTATCTATTATTATTGCTACAGAGAATCATATTAGAAATAGTGCAGGGATTGGATTAGGGTTTCATAATTTAACTAATTTAACAAATTTAACATTATAAATTGATTCTGGAAATGAGTTAGGCGAAGATGGTGTTTGCAAAATTGCAACAGGTTTATCTCATTTGTTAAATTTAACTCATTTAAGACTTACATTTGGAAGCAAAAATCATGTAAAAAATGGAGGGGTTATTGGACTAGGAAGAAATATTTCAGCGTTAAAAAAATTAGAAGAATTGTATTTATAAATATTTGAAGATAATTAAATTGGAGAAGAAGGAATACTCAGCCTCAGTAGCGAACTGTCAAAATTGCAGTCACTAAAAAAGCTAGATTTAAATATTTATGAGCCTTATGTAATTTCTGCAATAGCATTATTAGAGAACAATACTAGTCTAACTAATGAAATGTTTAACTTAAGTAATATGACCAGAAATGAATTTTACTTTTAGCGTAGCACGAAAGAAGAGCTAGAACTATTAAAAATACCTTATTACTTTAATATGTTTTTGAATTGCAATCTGTCAGGTGTTGGCTAAGGACTTAAACTCCTTTCAAGCTTAACAAGTTTAACAATTTAACAATATAAATAAAAACCTAATATATTAGGATTAACAGATTTGTACCATTCAATATAAGAGCTTCCAAATTTAAGGTCTTTAGAAGTATCTTTTCTAAATTGTCCATTCCCTTGTGAACTTATTAGGAAGTTGTGTGAATGTTTTGGTAAACTTGTTAATTTAGAGAGCTTAACATTTATAATTAACTAACTTGTAATTGAAGAGAAAGAGAAATGCTAAATTCCTTCATTAGGAACATCACTAAAAAAATTAGTAAACTTATAAAAACTTTGTTTTAATATTAATTATGAATTTGCTGAAGAAAGTTACAAAAAATTAGGTTATGGCATTAACTCTTTGAAAAATTTGTAGAGCTTAGAGTTCCTAGCATACGATTATAAGCAAGTATAAGGATGGTTTTCAGAAATAAAAAATCTAAAAACCTTAATTTTGAATTACAAATTCGAAACTCCTTCTAGAGCATAAAATACGACAATGTTTTAATAAATTTTCAATGAAATATCTCATATAAAAACATTGAATTGTTTCAAAATAATAAATTACAAAGGTTACATTATGGGAATTTTTTAATTCCCTGTTCTCAATATATTAAATGCATTAAGATAGCTGAGATATTTCGAAATAAATAATTCAACCTTAAAATAAGAAAAGCAACACCTATTGAACTAAGCATATAGAACTTAGAAAAGATTGATTTCACTTAAAATATGAAGAAGTTAAAATCAAATTTAGAATTGATTTATTCTGAATAATTTTCTTAAAATTTCTATCTAATCTTCATCGAAATAAAATAAGTTAGATCTTTAAAAGCATAATATAAAAAAAAGATTAAAATTTTTCTTTAATTTTTAGCTTATAGATTTGATTAATAAAAGTTTAAAAACTTATTCAGAATTTCATTTCTAGATTTGCGCTTTTTAATTTTGAAAATTAAAAAAATGGCTTAATTAAATTAAACTAAAAACTTTGATTCTATGTTTTATGTTTGAAGTTAAATAAATTGATTTATATATTTTACAATTAATCTTTTTGGTTATTAATTTTCTTTTAATGAATTGAGTAGCTTGATTACGTTTTCGAATTAATATTAAAAATTAAATAAATTATGAATCTATTAGTAAAGTGGAATTTCAATTCAAACACATAATTTAAATAGAAAAAAGTTTATGAATAGCTTTTAATACTATATAGATAAATATTATGAATAATAAGAAATTATTACTAAATAATAAAACATTTTAAGCTTTAAATTGAATATAAGCTAGACTCTTATTTTTAAAATTAAAAATTTATTTTTTTATTATAAAAAAACTTTTTTTATATAAATTTATTAAAAAGCATACAATAACTTTGAGATATCTTCTATATTTCCTCTATTATTATCAATTTGTATTAGATAATATTAAATCAATTTCTACAAATAGTTTTAATCAAATAAAATATCTATAAAAATGTATCTTTAAAAAACAATTTAATATTTTAAATTTTGAATTTATTAATAGTAAGAATATATATATTTATATATATTTACTGTTAAGTTAATCTACTTAGTTATTAAGTTTCTTTCAACAATAAATTTAATGACTTGGTTAACTTTTTGAATTAATTTAATTTGAAAATATAATTTGAGTAGCAATATTTTTATGAATAGTTTTTAATAGTATACAAATATATATAATAAATAATAAGACATTATTATAAAATTACGCAAAATTAATTTAAGTGTTTATTTATTTATATTAAATTTAATAGATATTGTTAACATAAATTATTCTATATAGGTTTTGGTTAAGCAAGCAGAGCTAATGTTTGTTTTACAATTGTTTTTTTATTTTTAATCAGTTTTCGTCTTCCAAGCCATCATCGAAGTAATCTAAATAGTTAGGTTCTTCAGCAGCTTTATATTCTTCTATTAATTATTGTACTACTTCCCTATTTAAATTAGTAATAAATATATTAATTAAAAATGATTTTTAGAGTTTATTTACTTGGAATCATCGAACTCCTCTAAGTTAAAAGAATCAACCTTTTTAAACTATTCTATATAAGCATTCTTTTTTCTCATTATGTCAAAGTTAGAGATAATCTTCTCAAAAAGCTTTTAATATAAGGCAAAAAATATTTTTTTAATTTTAGAATAATAATAATAATTATTACTGTATGGATGCTTGTGTGGTTGGCGAGCATAAGACCACTTACTTTATGAGATGTTTCTATGTATGGTGATTTTTTAGATAATGCAACTTGTATGGAGGCAGGTCCCCAGTTAATAAAGTTAGCTTTTTTTAAAATATTTTTATTCATTCAATTTTTATTTATTTAAAATTTTACCTAATTTTCTTTCTCTAATACGCTAAAGTGATTTATGAATTTGAGATGCATCAACTTCTCCTTGAATTACATTCATAATTGAAATATATTGTCCCTTTTTAGTTGAAGCACTAACCATGATATTCTTTGTTTAAAGTAATCTTCTCATAACATCAAGTACAGTAGTCTTTCTAATAGTTTTTATATGTCTATCAATAGAGATAGGAGTATATCCAGTCATTAAGAAATGACATTTAGGTGTAGGAACAAGAGATGCAAGTAAACCAACTAAATCGTTATTCATATAACCAGGGTATCTGAGTGTGGTAGTACATGCTGCCATAACTGTTGAGACAAGTGAGTTTGTGGTTTCAATTGTAGGATTTTCCAATTTTAATCTGTCTTGTGCTATTTTTTCTAAAGCGTTATTATCTAAAACAGTGGTTGCATCTGCATTCAAAGCAAGTCTCTTTAAAGTTAAAAGAGAGTTATAAGGATGTACGACACCATCTGTGTGTCCACTAGGAAAAACAGAGTAAGTCTTAATAATTTTTTTAGGGAATCTATCATTTAATTTCTCCAATAAATAAGAGCCAACACCTGAACCAGTACCACCTGCAATACTATGAATCAAAAGAAAAGCTTCAAAACTATCAGATGTATCAGCTTCTCTGTCAATCATATCAAGAAGATCATCTTGGACTAATATTTTTTAAATTATAATAAAGCATCACATATAAATGAGAGAACATAATTTTTTTAAAAATTTGATAAGCTCAATTATTTTTATTTGTAAATTATAGATTAAAATCCATTATATTTCTATGCAATTCTTTCATTTAATCTCAATCTTTAAATCGAATTTCCTTAATTCTTTCAATAAATTTTGATATAATTTTAAAAATTTTGCTTATCTAAAACACAACATTTTTAGTAATTTTATAACAATTTTTAATTTATAAGTTTTAAAATTTACTTTTATTAGCTTCTTAATAACCGTATGCCCACACATTACCAGCACCTGATCCATCAGTTCCATAAAAAATATTTTCTGGGTTATATAGTGAACTATAATCAGATTATTTAACTATTCTCTTTAGAACTCTGTCTTCTAAATCAATAAGACAGGCCCTTGGAATATAATGCTAATCATCTGCTTAATAAAAGAAAACTTCTTTTCTGTCATCAGTGTTTGTTGCATATTCTTGTAAAATACCTTCTTGGTTAATACCATGCTCTAAACAAAGCTATTTCCAAAATTCCATACCAACTTGAATTTTTAAAAAAATTAAATTATAAATCCATCCATTCCTATAAAGCTGATGAAGTGCTAAAATAATAAGCAAATCTCCATTATTTAAACTCTAATCTCAAATAAATCTAATACTTTAGTTTCCGCATTGGCCGACTTAAAGTGTAATTATATCTCTAGGCATTTTATTTATAAATTTGCTAATAAAAACGGTTCTCTTGTAATTATTGACTTGCTTTCCTTTTTATAAGTTTCTTAGTATTTATTTGAATTTTTATCAAATTAATAAATCACAAACAATAAATAAGATCTTCTTTCTACTTTTGATGTCAATAAAATTTGAAATTTTTTCTTTTTAAATTAAAATTTGCGCAAAACTCTCACTATTATATTATTTATATCAATTCACTCACTCACTCACTCCTCACATTATTTTTCTAATCTAAATAACCCCGCTCATTTTTAATTGATTATTTCTTATCAAGTATTTTTTATATTCATAAAATAAATGATATTATCTTTTAAAGTAAATTAATAAGTAAATTATAATTAAATCTAAAACATAAATATTAAATAAATAAAATCATTTAAAAAAATACTTTTATAAATAAAATGAACAAAAATACTCATTTTAAAAATTTAATTAAATAATTATTTTGCAAAATTATATTTTTTTAATAAATTCTAATTAAAAGTCAATCACAATTTATATAGTTAGTTAGTATTTTATATTATTAGATGAATAAAAGTCAGCTATTTTTATGTAGGTTATGATGAAATGCTTTGAGGTTTTCAATTCAAGATAAACTTTTAGAATTTATCTCTATAGTTAAAAAGTTTAGGATTGATTTATTCAAAGTTTTGATGTATCATTTTGACATTTTTGATGCAAAATGCAAGACTTGTCATTAAAGGATCCATTTCATAGCTAAATTCTCCAAGTAAAGCTTTTTACTATTAATTTTGTTAAATATTAAATTAAAAATATTTAATAATAATTTACAATTGAAGAAAGCTATGTATCTATGACCTGGATAGTGTCTTTACTATTATTAATTAAAAACTCTAAAGCTACAAAAATAGAAGCAAGGGATATAATCCTAGGTTGATAGCTCAGCTACTCTTAAAAATAGTGAGATTACAATATGTAATAGTAGGATAATTCAGTCAACTATTGCAAGAATTAGTTCCCTAATTTCTAATATTTCTTGAGAAATGCGATATATTAATTGTTAAAGTCAGCAACTGTAGAAAAATTTAGATCATAGTCTATTGTTTACAGAATATGCATTTTCATATTTATGATATCTTTCTTTTCGAAAGCTTGATGAGCAATTTCACGACAGAAGTGATTTAAACCAACTTCAACTCTTTATTCAAAATGATTGCTAATTATCAAACAACAAACACCTATTAAGTGAATATCGCTGTCTTAAAATCTGTTTTATTTACAATAAGATGTAAAAAAAGATCAAATAATAAATATTTTATTACTTTTTTTAGGATTTTTTTAAAAATAGATCCATCAAGTTTATTGTTTTAAAAAATGCTGAGATGTTAGGTTTTGTAAAAACAAACACAACTACTTCAATCATCCAATCTATCATTTTTTAGCGTATAGGATCAGTTATTTAGTGCCTGGCAAGAGGTTTTGTTAGATTCAACTTTTAATAAAAAATAATTTTTATATTAACCAATAAATTTTCTTTAACAAAAAGCAAATAAATAATGAATTTATAAAAATCAGCAATTAAAAAATTGTTTTAATATTAAATTTAAAAATTAAATGCTTAAAAAATATATATTTAGATTACTGAAATCCAAAATAGAATTTAAATAAAATTTACTTGTTGCTTTACAAGAGAACAAAAGTATTCATTAGTGAAAACTCTTGGAGAAATAGTTTGAAGAGCAATAAAAGGCTCTTTGATCAAGGGATTCTCGAGCCTTTCTTACGAGATTAAGTTTTCTTCTTTTTATGGTGAAGATATTTTTTGTGTCTCTTATTAGGACATCACTTTTTTAAATTAGATATGCTAGTTGTTACGAATGTCTTAACTGGAATTTTTGGTGTGTCTCACTTTTATGTTTGTAATTTCTTTTAAAGTATTTCTTATTTACTTTGTGTGTATGTTTTCTTGCTATTACATCTTATTCATGCTATTTTAATCATTACCATTCTTCTACAGGCTACCATTTTATTGCATCAAGATTCCAACTGTTATTTTTTTATTGCTCCTTCCCAAAGATTGATTTTTTTACGAGTTGCTACTTTCACTTCTTTGCTTCCTACTTAGATTGCTTCTTACATGATTTGAAGGTGCCCCTTTGAAGTTTTCTTTTGAGCTTTCTCTAGATGCTTTAGCATTAAATTCTCTCTTGTGAATATTAAATCTATTGTAATTAATAAGATCTTGTTTCTATTTTTTTTCTCGCTTCTTTTAGTTTTTTAGTGCAGCAAAGCAATGAGAAGCTAGTTGAGATAATAGATTGCTTTCCTCATTCATTTGATTTGCTACTTAGTTTGGCTTATGCTCATAAAATTCACTCTTTTAATTTACTACAGCATTTCTTTAAATAACTCTGTCATAATGTCTTGCAGTATCCAAACGATCCAGTGAAGATTATTAAGTGTCTCTACTTACATTCTAATCAATTTATTTTAAGATCCCCAATTATTTATTACCAAATTAGCTTGAGCAACTCTTAAGAGCATAATTTTACTAGGTATGCTTTTCAAATGTTGAGCCTTATTGTAAGTTCTACTTGTTTGGATTGGACTACATCTTTTATACTAGATTTTAACTTATAGGTTCTTACTTAGCTAGAGGAGGATTAGAAAAGTTAGAGTTTGTGACATTCGAGTAATTAGAGCTGAACAAATTTTCGCAAATAACTGATTTACCACTTATGTACATTTTCAATCTTGCAATTTCTACTTTTGAAGAATTTATTTTCTTTTTTAATAATTTAGATTTACTAATTTATTAATTGAAATTTTACTAATTTAGAAATTTTAAATTAATGTTGAGCTATATTTTTGCTAACAATATTAATTTGACACACTTTTTCAGTGAGTAATTAAACTAATTTTTTAAAAATTAAATCTGATGTATTCATTCATGCTTCAAGACAAACGACTAGATTAATTAGTAAATATCTTTTTCATTGTCTTTCATGTTACTCATTTTTGATAAAAATTAAAAGCCTTATTTGTTTGATTTAAAGTAATTTCAATATCAATTTTTTTGTCTAAGAAACAAGGCATGCATGCTAACAAATTAAGCTAAATATTATATATTTTATCAAATTATCAAATTTAAATTACATAAGAAATAATTCAAATAAAACATTTTAAAAAAAATAATTTATCGATCAATTTACTAAAGAAGTTAAAATTCTAAGTAAATTATCTTCTTTCAATTAACAATTGCACACAAAAAAAATATTTTCGAAAGAATTTTCTTAAAAATAAAAAAAATAAAAATATATAAAATAAAATAAAATAAAAATTTTCAAATATTTTAATTTATTTTTATCATTGATTGATTTTTCAAAACCAAAATAGTTAGAAAATTATTTTTATAATTTTAGATTTAATTTTTTTTAATGATGCATAAATAGACAATAGAGGGCATTTGTTAATAATCTTCACAATTGATGATTAAAGTTGTTTATTAAATCTATTAAATAATATTTAAAAGTAAAGTTAGAATATAAGGTTTAGATTTATTAATAGTGAGTAGCTGTTTACTATCGTTCATAATACCAAATTTACATTTATTAAATAATTTTTTATAAATTTAAAATTTTTGGAAATTAATCAAAATACTTTGTAAAATCCTTTTGAAGTAAAAATTTATATGATTGAACTAAACTAAATTAATTTATAAAATACTCAAAATTTTATATCATAAATGATCTAATTTGGTGGAGTCCTATGATACATGTAACATTTTAGATATGGTGACATATTATTACGCTTTTAGTAAAATGTCATAGAAAATCTCTGCGAAAAATCTAATAACACTTAAAATAAAGAAATATGTCTGCTTATTCAATGTTTATTAAAAAAAAATAAAAATGGTAATTAATTAGTCTCTATACTTTTACAAGGGAAATATCTTAGGTCTACATGAAAATAAATATAAAATAATTAGCAATAAAAAAAGAAGAAAGAAAATTAATTAAAAGAAGAAGAAAAAGTTCACAAATTCTTTGAAATGTTCTTATCCAATTTATTAAAAAGATCTGCCTAGTTCTTGCCTAAGTCATCCAAGCTCTCTTTCAACCCCTAATACAATATCATCTTGCATGAGTACTAGGTTATGGATCTTTTGCAAAAGTACGACCTTCCTGTTATTAGCGTAAAACAAATTTATTATTTATTAAAAAAGCCTTCATTTTTAAATATTTTTATCTACTTTTCTTTCTCATACTTTCTTTACAAGCTGATATTTTATTTTTACAAACAAATAATAAGCGATTTTAATATAATTTAGGGTAGTGTTGCCACCAGTGCTGAATAAGCATTGAACGTTGCTTAGTAATTAAAGAACTCAAAGCCCACTAACCAAAGCTAAGGTATCACATTCACAGATTTTGTCGTTAAAGCTTAAGTAAGTATTATTGATTTATTTTTTATCTTGATTATTTCTATTATCATAAATTAAATTTAAATGTCATTTAAATTTAACAGATTCATGCTGGTGGAAGAGGAAAAGGTTTCTTCAAAGAAAATGGTATGTAGAGTGGTGTTTAATTCGCTACCTCTCCTTAAGAAGTAAAAGATATTGCTGAAAAAATGCTTGGTAAAACCCTCATTACTAAGTAAACTGGCTTAAGAGGTAGAAGTGTCAATTCAGTTTTGGTAGTTGAAAGAACTTTCTTGAGAAAGGTAAAAAAAAGATATACAATTTAATCTAATTGACATTTTAAGCAATTATATCTTCATAGCACATAGTATATAAAATAAAAGATTTTAGCTAAATAGGTCATTTGTTTTAGAAATAGAATTGTTTATTTGTTTATACCATAATACAAATTTATGAGAAAGTGGTAATAGTGCGTTAGATTAATGTTTTTAAATAAATAAAAATAGGAATTATATTTGGCTATTACTTTAGATAGAAAGCAAGGAGGTGTTGTTATTATCTGCAACGAACGTGGTGGTGTTAACATTGAATAATAGGATGAAAGTTCTGTCAAAACTCACTTTGTCAACGTTCATGAAGGCCTCACCTAATAAACTCTTGATGATATTAGCAAATCCCTCAATCTTGGATCCCAATACAACGATTAGCTTCATAAGGTATAGGCTTTACTTTGAAATATATAAAAATAAAAGGTTAATTTATGTGCATGCATTGAGATTCCTATTTATAAAGCAAGAATAAATATTTGAGTTTCAATAAAAAGGAAAAATGCATCTCAGATAAAAAAAATTATGTTTGAGGCAAGAAATATCTGAAATAAAATAAAGATAAATTGATTGATAAATAAACAATAGAATTTTATTTATTTTGAAAAATAAATTGAAATATAATAAATTATTTGATGATATCAGGAAATAACTTTATTTTTTTTAAATAAATTAATCAAAAAATTAGATTGTTAAAGGTTTGTATAAGTGTTTCAGTGAAACTGATTCTACTCTTTTAGAAATTAATCCTTTAGGTTTGACTATTGATGGCAAGCTCCTCATTTGTGATTAAAAAATGAATGTTGATGATAACGCTGCATACAGATAACCTGAAATTGCACAAATGGAAGATATCACCTAAGTAAGTTTTAGTTTTTTTAGCTAAATTTTTTCAAAAAAGCAAATAAAAAAAGTAATATAAATATATATAAATAAACTTCTACTTTTTATAATAATTGCAGAAAGACTCAAAGGAAATCGAAGCTGACTAAAATGCTTTGAATTACATTGCTTTGGATGGTAATATTGGTTGCATGGTTAATGGTGCTGGTCTTGCTATGGCTACTATGGATTTAATCTAATCTAAAAATGGTATGCCTGCTAATTTCTTAGATTGCGGTGGTAAGGCTGACGACAGATAAGTCTTCGCTGCTTTAAAAATTATGGAATAAGATCCTAATGTTGAAGCCATTTTCGTTAATATTTTTGCTGGTATCACAAGGTAAATTTGATTTATATTAAACTAAATAATAATAAAAATAATAATTTAATTTAGATGTGACATCATTTGTTTAGGTTTGATTAGAGCTCTTTCTGAATTAGGTATGAAAAAACCAATTGTCCTTAGATTGAAAGGAACTAATGTTGACGAAGTAATAAAAAATATCTTTAACAAATAAAATTTAATCAAATCAATTCATTATTTTTTTAGGCCAAATAAATTATCCAAGACAGTGGTTTTAATATGTTAGTCACTGAAGATCTCTCTTAAGCAGCAGAAAAGGCTGTTAAGATGGCTGCCATTCTTAGAATGGCCAGAGATGCTAGAATTAATATCCTCCTCACAAGTTGAATAATAAAAATAAATACTTTATAAATACTATTAATTGTTTATTTAGATCATAAATCAAATTTAATCACTTTATATTTATTTTATAAAATGTATTTTTATCAATTAAAATTTTTCACTTAATTGCTAAAGCAGTTTCAATCAATTATTTCTATTTTTTATTTTATTTATGTTTTTAATTAAAATATATTATAATCACTCTAAGACTTTGGTCAAATCCTAAATGGGCTTTTGAAAGCAAATCTTCTTTATATGCTTGGAAATATTTTCCTCTCTCCTCTCTCAAAACTAAAATTATAGTATAAATTCCAAAAATATTTTTTAATAACTATTGGTAGATGTAAATAAATACAGTTAGAATCTGTAAAAAATAACACAGTAGATTACCTCAAATTTATTAAATTATTTGTATGCCCATGTAAATGAAATAAAAGAGGAAGATGATAAAAAGAAATTCAAAGGGAGAGCTTCAAAGTAAAATAAGGTAAGGAAAATAATTACCATAATCAAAAAAACTAAAATTTCTTATGTTTTGAAATATTCTTTCATATCTAGTTACGTTTAATGTAATGATGTAAATAATATTAAACAAGGAACTGTTGATTTATGTGTAGCGCTAAGGTTTTAAAAGAAGAATTAAAAGATTAAATCATACTTTCAATTATCCTTCTCTTACTTACTACCTTAAGGTTATTCCAAAAGTAGCCTAATAGATTATTATAAAATAATTTGAGGAAGATTAACTAAATTCCAAATGATCAAACTACTTATTATAATAAAAAATATAGCAGTTCGAGGTTTTAAAATATTTATATAAAAAATGATTAAATGGCAGTCTACTTGTTTTTTTTATTTCTTATTTAAATCAGAATTTATGATAGATATACCTTTGCTTTATAGCCAAGCAGAGTTTTTTTATTTTTTTGCAAAAAATTCTTTTTACTTTAATGATTTTTTGTTTGAAAAATTTAGAATTTTTATAAATTTTAATATATACTAAACAAAATTCCAGAAATAGCAATTATACAAATCAAAAATTGTTTCTAAATTTCAATTTTTACCTAATAATAAAAATAATTTTTATCAATTTATTAATTAAAAATTACTTTGCCTTTTATACATGAATAATCCATCTCTATTGGAATAAAAGGGAAAGTTTGGGATAAATAACTGATAATATGTTAATTTCAACAACTAGAGTCTAATTTATAGTTTACTAAAAGTATTTTAACAAACAAATATAAATATTTAATTTTAATAATTTATTAATATTATTTATTGAATTATGAAAAATAATAAAAATATCTTTTAAAATTTGAATTAAAATCTTAATTAAAAATTTTTTATATTTTGAAAATTAAATTTCATATTCTAAATTTATCTTTTAAATGAACTTAAAAATTTTATGCCAAGTTTGTTTCTTTTTTATTAAAATTATATTGATCTAATTGGTTCCACTCTAATGATTTTATAAAAGCTCACTCTTTGAGTTTTATCTGATGACTACTATAAAATTTTAATTTGAATAATTATCAAAAACTTGTCTAATATCATTAAAATGTAAAAAAATAAATAGCTAAAATCAACATTAGTTCAAAAAGCAAATTTTTAATTAAATTAATATGTAAACTTAATACAATTATAAATTTATTTACTTATTAATTAATTACAATCTTAAAATATAAAAAAATATATTATTTATTTATAAGTTATTTAGTAAAATCAAGAAAGAACAATTAAATTATCAAGTAAAACACCACAAGTGTTACCAGCAGCTAATCTAATATAACCATCTTCACCCCATGAGGTACTCCAAGAGTTTCTAATAATCCAGTTACCATCTGTGTCATAACCAACAGCAATTACAGCATGATTAAGTTAATCTTAAGTAGTTTCTCCACAGTTATCAAAAATACCACTTTCGTAAGAATTCCAGTTTGAGGCATCAACTGAAACGGTAACAGGAGAAAAGTTAAGACTAGCCTTTAAATCATCAACAGTTTGTTGGAGTTTTCTATAGGTCTTAGGGTAGAATCCATCAGTAGTAGGATTGCTAATTTAACAATCACCACCAACAGCAGTGTAAGGGTATTTGTCTTCAGTAACAATACCAAACTTGATAGCATATTCAACACCATCTGATTAGAAACCACCATTGCAACCATCAGAAGAGAAACCAGCTTGATGAACACAGTCAACAAGTTACTATTCAGAAAAGCTCTTGAGTACTCCATTAGTAATAGCATTGAAGGATTCCATGACACCAGCAGCACCAAAAGTCCAGCAAGAACCACATTATCCTTAATCCTTAACAGGGTTTAAGACATTCTTAACATTTCTCCAATCAACAGAAGCAGCAACAGTTGTGTTAGTGTTGTTTTGATTATTATTGTTGTTATTGTTATTGTCATTGTTATTGTTGTTGTTGTCGTCATTGTTGTTATCGTTGTTATTGTTATCATTGTTGTCATTGTTGTCATTATTATCATTGTTATCATTGTTATCGTTGTTGTCAGTGTTATCATTGTTATCAGTATTATCTGTGTTGTCATTTATGTCTTCTCCATCAGTATCTTATAGTAATCTTGAACCTCTAGTTCCGAGTTTCTTGTTAAGGATTCTGTGCTTGAATTCTTCCTAAGTAAAGTCAGAAAACTTGTTTAAACCAATAGTATAAGTTGCATTTGATTTTTGGTTGTGTTCATTAACCTTAGCAAGATTTTCTAAGAAGATAAGTTATCTGAAGAGTTGTTCATGTTCATTCAAATAAACTCTTTAGTGTTTATTTCTCCATTAATTGTAGGTAAGTAAGTCCTTAACTGAAACATCAGGCTTTTTTGGAGAGCAGAGAGCAGTAGGTAAAGCTACAACCAAGCAAATTAAAGTAGCCAAAAGCAACTTGTACATTTTTATTTGATATTTTACTTTTTTTATTAAATTATTTTTATTTGATTAATTAATTATATTTAAATTTTACTAAAAGTTTGTTGATTTTTAAACTAGAAGTCATGTGAACATAAATAAGTAATTAGTAAATTAAATTAGTATGTTATTATGTTTACAAAGAGAGTTTTATAAGATGAAAGACAAGTTATAAAGGCATCCATCCTAAAAATTTGTAGGATTAAAAGGGATTCTATTTTAAAGAAATTTTAAAATGAATTAGACTAAAATAATATTTTTTCTATTATTTGTATTTCATTTGGAGTTTCATTTTGTTTTAACTTATTTGATAAATTTGAATAAAATAAAGATATAGAAAGAGATTTAACTAATTTTTTATTTTTAATTAAAATTTTTTAAATAAAAACTAATTCAAAAATTATTTTAAAATAAAAAATGCTTGAAACCATTTTAAAACGAATATTTTTATAGATAGTTTAAATAAAGAAATTCAGTGTAGAAGTTTATAGAGAGACTTTATTAAAGGATATTCTGAAGATATTTTTATTTAAGACAGCAATATTTTCAAAAATGTCTAGTATCAAATTAGATTTGGTCCATTAATTTGATATGAATGGATTGCGTTGAAATATTTATCCTATAAAAATCATACTAATTTAAATAATCTCAAATTTTGCAAATTTTCTATTTCGGCTTTGAGCTCAAACGATAGCCATTTGAATAAAAAATTAAATTAGCTAAATTACAGTCTGATTATAATTAAAAATAAATGTAAAAAACAACTATTTACTGGGAAAAGCTAAAATGTATTGTCATACATTCAAGTAAGTATAATTTTTAATTTTTAATAAATAGATATGAACTAGAAGAATAAAGGAGATTTTAATAATCTTTATTTTTTTTAGAAAAAGTCTCAAAAATATTTTTTTATTTATAAATAAAATCTTAAATATCTTGATGTAATATTAATTTATTTACCATGAGTTAGAATACTCTTTAATTACATTTTCAGTAAATTTCTTTTTATGGTTATTAACAAGTTTATCAAAATCATTTAAGATTCACTTAAATTTGAAAGCAAGCAAATTGGAATTAAACAGAAATTAAAATTTGAAAATCAAACCATTAAAAATTTGGCAATTAATTTTCAAGAAATATTCATTAAAGACCAATGATATTTAATTAATAATATATTACGTTACCCATAAATATGATTGATTGTCTAGAACCATTATAGATATTGATGTAATATTACATATTGATCTTTATCCGATTTCACACCAAATTAAATATTTGTTTCTTCTATGATGCTTAATCTGAAAAATCATCTTTTTGTTGTAAATTGTAACAATAACTTAGAAGTTAATCATTAATTTATTTTCCATCAAAATAAAATTAAGCCTTGGAAAATTAATTTGTTTTTTATTTTATTTGGGATTTATTTAGAATACAATATTGATTTTATATGGTAATAAAATTTAAATACAATGAAGCAAATAATTGCTTCATCGATTGCTGAAAATCTTCTAATGAAAATTATTTATATATAATAAAAATATCCTTAACTTGATCATAAAAAATTTTTATTTTTTCCATTTCAGTTATAAATTTTAGATTAGAAAATAATAAATTAGAATTAATTAATTAAAAAACAATTTGGTTTATATAATTATTGATTTGTTTTAAGTGAATATAATGTAATAATAATTCTATTAATAATTAGATATATGCATCTATCTATCTATTTATTTAATTTTTAATTAATTATTTAGAAACTTAATTTGTAAAATAATATATATAATAAACAAAATTTTAACTAAATTTATTTCCTAATTTGCTTGATGCCTCTGTTTTTTAACATAATTTATTTATTTGTGTGAAATCTTTCCAAAATCATTTCTATCCTTGTAATTCTAAGTTTTCCTCTTCTTCAATTTTTTGAGCTTGCTGGTTTATTTCTGCTTGTATTTGTTCTTCTATCTATTTTCTTATCTATTAGTTTATTTTTTTTACTGTTAGAGTATATGATGAATAGACAGGTCTATGGGCAGAATATACAATTTCTCTTCTGTTATATACATTAACATCGAAGTTGTCTCCCTATCTACTCCAAAGCAGGATTCTATCAGTCCATGATGGAGCGACAGACTAGACATAGTTAGGAGAAGATAAATCGTATTTGAATGTTGGTAAGAAATTAATTTTTGGCTCATAGTACTTTTAAAGATAGTCTGAGTTCTGCTTTTAAGAAATAAATTCATCTTGTAAAAGCAATTTAGCAAGAACTTTTTCTGCTTTAGATACATCTCCTTATTTTAAGTAATTAAAATTGTCTATGTTTTGGACTATGTCTTGAGCTGGAAGATTGATATTAAATCCTATATCACCCATTAAGAAATTGAAATTCAAATTTATTATCTTTTCATCCTTTTTCTTTCCAGGCACACCTTCTTGCTGATAGCAATTTTTATGTATATCATCAATGCTTGAAATCTTGCTCTTAGATGAATAATCTAAATTAACATTCAAAAAATTGATGGAGGTGTCATCAACATAAAGCTTAATAGCTACTGCACCCATATAAGATGTGTATCCGTATTTAACAGTATCTTCATTTATTTTTGAAATACGATTTTACAGAGATTTCTTAGAAAAAACAAGCAATACCATGCCATATAAATCTCTTGATTTTGTGAGAATGTAATTGTCGTATCTGTTCAATGCATTAGTAATGGTTTAATTCCACTTTCTAATTTATGATTCATTATTCACAGAAACAAAGCTCTTAACATTATACTATATAATTTCCTGTAAACCCACTGCTACAATGTCTGGGGTGTTTGATCTATCAAATCCGAAGAAATTTCCACCTTCATCTAAATCTGCAGGACATTCAAAGCCACTAACATTCCATATTATTGTGAAGACTTTAATTTTAGAAAAAGTACAAAATTCATTTTGTCTCTTAATCAATTCATTTTCAACACTTTCATTAAAGATGTTAACACAATCTGTTGTTTAGCCAACAACAAGATCAATTGTTTATTGTTTTATGTCATCTTCGAAATTCTACATATAAAATCTATTCAATGTTTTATAACCGTGCTAAATGAGACCTGCAAATGTTCTTGTACCATCTCTAGTAACATCAGTGTGAGTAGATCCAGTTCCTGTATAATGCTTTGATATCATATCACCGCAATTAGCCCATATTTCTTTGAATTTTTGTGTGAATGCATCGCATTTACCTTTCTTGCTCTTGTCAATGTGGTCCAAAGGGTCTTCACCGAACTCTTCTGCTAAATTTACTCCTAGCATTTCCAGCTGCACAACCAACATATCTAGAGCTATCTTACTCTGGAATACATTAGTTCTATCAAGACAATCTAAGCAATTAGTACGAATAATTCCTTTTTAAGTCTAAATAACAGTCTTATTCTACAAATCTTCAGCATAAAATAGGAAATTTTAGTTGTATTTATGCATTTCTCTAATTGTTGGATTAACATTTTCATACTTCTCATTTTTGCATACAGTGTGGAAGTCAAAAAATTTATATCTGACATGATCTAGATTATTATTTTTAACATGTGCTTCAAAGCCTTCAGTAATCAATTATTCAGAAGGTTTTCCTCTTTTCATCAAATTAACACAAATTACAAAGTTGTAATTCTTTTTGACATCTTCAAAGTGCTTTAAAAATGAACCATTTGTAAATTCGAAAGTTCTTGTAATTTGTGTATTTGCTGTAATACCAGTTTATTTCCAGAAGATGGGTACCGATCCTCTAATTTACAAATGAGAGCAGCAATATTAGTTAAAGATAAAGAACTGCTCCACTTCATTATAATTACCAACATTTCCCTCATCATCAACACCTCTGGCATTGTATCTTGTGCCTGCTTTTTTGCATGAACGACGAGCTATCAAATAAAAGTCTAACTTTTTACCTACCATGTATACTTAAAAGTTAGAGACGAAGCCTTAAACTACAGGAATAGTCCAAATAGGCTTTACTTTTGCTGCAATTAAGTCTTTGCACATATAGCTATTCCAAGCGAATCTCCATTCTCTATCAGCCTAAAAAGCTTGCTTTTATCTTGAAAGACTAAGATCATAAGTATAAGAAAAATAATACCCTTCTTAAAAGAGATTTCTTATATTTGTTATTTACTACTCTAATCTAGTTCCTTTTTCTCCAACAAATAAATCTCTACTTTTAACGAAAGAGACGAAACATAATGATTATATTTCAAAAACATCATGCTTTTAAATTGCGCAAGTTTGTGCTACATTTTCTGCAAAAACGAGAAACTTTTCATCCAAAATATACTAAATACCCATGAATAATGAAAATCTTAATGTTTCTATTGGTTTTTCGCCTTAAAACTTATCATCAATCCCAATTTCATAAATTCTTCCTGCTTTTTCAATAATTAGCTTTTTATCTACTTTTGGGTTCTTTGATTTAATTTATAACTCAAAGCATGAAGTATATCTTGTTACAAAGACAACTTGAATATTCTGCTTTGGCTTTTCAGTGTTGTCTTCCTAAACTTTTATAGCACTCTGCACAGCGTCAACCATTTTTTTTCCTATTAATTTTGTACTTTTATTTAAAAAATCTGGCTTTATAATATAATTTATTCAGTATTTATTTGATTTTTTAACTAACTTTTAATTTATTTGTATTCTAACAATATAATTTATATAACTAATAAACTAAACATTTAATTATACTCCACATAATTTTAAAATTTATTTAATATTTATCTATCAATCTAATATATCTATTTATCTATTTATCTATCTATCTTTTTTTTTTTAATTTTTAAAAATAGATTTCTTCATAATAAATTAAAATAGACTAAAAATAAGAGCCAAAAATTGTTTTTAAATTTTTATTTAATCAATTAATTTAATTTACTGAATATATATATTATAAATTCTACTACTAAAAATTAAATAGATTATTAAATTTCAAGCAGTGACAATTAATGTATCAAGTAAAACACCACAAGTGTTACCAGCAGCTAATCTCATATAGCCATCTTCACCCCAAGAAGTACTCCAAGAGTTTCTAATAATCCAGTTACCATCTGTATCATAACCAACAGCAATGACAGCATGGTTAAGTTGTTGCTCAGTAGTTTCTCCACAGTTATCAAAAATACCACTTTCGTAAGAACTCCAGTTTGAAGCATCAACTGAAACGGTAACAGGTGAGAAATTCAAACCACTCTTTAAGTCATCAGCAGTTTGTTGGAGTTTTTTGTAAGATTTAGGGTAGAAACCATCAGATGTAGGATCAGTAATTTAGCAATCACCACCAACTGCAGTGTAAGGGTATTAGTCTTCAGTTACAATACCAAACTTGATAGCATATTCAACACCATCTGATTAGAAACCACCATTGCAACCGTCAGAATTGAAACCAGCTTGGTGAACACAGTCAACAAGTTATTATTCAGAGAAGCTCTTGAGTACTCCATTAGTAATAGCATTGAAAGATTCCATGACACCAGCAGCACCAAAAGTCCAGCAAGAACCACATTAACCTTAGTCCTTAACAGGGTTTAAAACATTATTGACGTTTCTCCAGTCAATAGAAGCAGCAATTGTAGAGTTAGTATTATTTTAGTTGTTGTTATCATTAGTATTACTGTTATCTTCCCCATCAGTATCTTGTAACAATCTTTAACCTCTAGTTCCGAGTTTCTTATTAAGAATTATATGCTTGAATTCTTCATGAGTGAAATCAGAAAATTTGTTCAAACCAATGGTATAAGTAGCATTACCATTTTAATTGTGTTGGTTGACCTTTGCAAGATTTTCGAAAAAGATTAACTATCTGAAAAGTTATTCATGTTCATTCAAGTAGACTCTTTAATGAGTGTTTCTCCATTTGTTATAGGTAAGTAAGTCCTTAACTGAAACATCGGGCTTCTTAGGAGAGCACATGACAGTAGGAATAGCTACAGCCAAAACCAATAAGCAGACAATTAGCAATTTTTACATTTATTGAATATTTTTTTAGTTTTATTTTTATTTTTTAATAATTATTTAAAATATTAGCATAAAATACTTTGGTTTTTAAAGACAATTTAATTAATAATAGACAAAAATTTATTTTTAATAACATGTAAAAATTTATATAAAAAGTAAGAAAATTTTAAATAATTTTCAGAGAATTTAAGATTAAAAACAATGGAAAAATAAATTTAAATTTTACTCTGCTTCAAATAAAATATTTTTTTAAAATACAAAGTGAATTTGACTTTTTTTGTTTGTCTTACAAATTCTGATAACACAAGATTTATAATTAATTGTTCATTAACTTTTTATTTTTAGAGACTTTTGATAATTAATTCAACATTAAATAAAAATGTCTCTTTTTGTATTTTTATCTTTAAATAATTATTGCCAACTCTGAAAAATAATAAAAACATATTTCTTGAAAAAAATAATTTTCGCAAAAACCCAAAAAAAGCAATATTTTTGATATAATTAAACTCTTTCATTTTTAACTAATCTAAAAATATAATTAATTGAATTGAAATTGGAAATTGCGTTACAAATAAAAGATAATTAAAATAAAACATATGGTTGAAATTTTCTTTTTTAAGAATAAATATTAATCATTAATTTTCATCTAATGATATTTAAAGATAAAAGATTACACAAAATATTTATTTAATATCTTATTAATTAATATGATTAGATCCATCTATAATGAAGTGTTTTATTTTTAACTATAAAATATATTATTGTGGCAATCATAAAAATATTTATAAAGTTAAAGAAAAAATATTTGCATATTTAGATTTTCTAAAATATTTTAGCTCAAAAATAATCACTTAGTAGGATTTTTATAGATAATTATTAATACAAATTCAAATTTGAAAAATAAATCAATTTACATTAAAATATAAATAAATAAAGTGTAATCAAGCACTTTAGATATTCTTAAACAAAGAAAAATATTTAAACAATATTTAATTCACCAACAAGTATTTTTAAAAATTCTAATTTAACTTAATTACTAAATAAATTTAGTGCCTTAGAAAATTTCACTGAGCTACATCTTGCATTATTAAGTAAGGGTTAAGAATATCTTATTATTTTAAACTAAAAAATATAATTTAATAGCAAGATATAAAAAGGATATTTGATAAAAGTAACAAAAAAACAACTGAAATAATTTTTATTATAGAAAAAAGAGATAAAATAATGATTTAAATTATTTCTTGCAAGTATAAAAATGTCTTTTTTCTTTCTTGTTGCTTAAAATCTTTAAAGAGTATGCATTCAGACTTCACTACTGATATAAATATTTTTTATGTGATATTTGATATACCTTTAATAAATGTGAGGATAAAAAATAAATAAATACTATCCTTTCTCTATCTAATTGATATTGTCCTAAAAGAATATTAATTATAAGTCATAATTACAAACTAATATATAATATTAATCTATTTTGATTTCAAATTTTAGCCAAATAAACTTAATTAAAAAAATCCACACAATACTTTCTTAAGTTTTAATCATGAAAATTTTGTATATAATTCTCAAATACTTTCTTCTTTGGACTTGAGTGATACTTACTTTTTTAAAATCATATTTTTGATCTAAGATTACAAAATATAATAATTAATTTATAGTTATAAGATAGATAGATAAATTTATGTAAGTGATTTAAAATAAAATTGAGATAGAATTTTAAGTTTGTAAATAGTCATTCTTTTTTCATAAAAAACATAAATTTAAAAAAGTCAATTAAAGATTTAATCAGAAATTAAAATTTTGATTTTTAATTAATTCATTCATGAATATAAAATTAGTAAAATAAATAATATTTTTCCAACTGTGTTTCTAGTAAGATTCTATTAATTTAATTCACTTTGAATAAAAATCTATCTTCAACTCAAATAGAAAAATTTATTTTAAATTGAAATAATACAAACCTTTCCAAGAGTGTTTCCAAACATATTACTTGCCATGAAACAATTACTTTATGGAGAATACTATTAATCAATTATAAATACATTTTAATTAAGAGAAAAATTAACAAAAAAACAATAATAATACATTCTACTCTATCTTACTAAAATATTTATGAATTTATCAAAAACAAAAAAAAAATAATTTGATAAGTTAAGAAATAACAATTTTATTTATTCAAATCATTAAATTATAATGGATTAACATATACAAACACATAAGATTGATTTAGAAAGAGATTTTTTTTGAGAATAGATTATATAAGTCTTACTATATATTTTAAATAAAATTAACTTATAAAAAATAAATATCTTTTATTATTTTTTAATGTAAATATGTAATTTTAAAAATAATTTTAGCTATGTGGTTAAATTAAAATCAGTATCATTGAATTTTTAAAATTGAAAACAGATTTTGGTCAAAATTTTACTAGTGGACTTAAGGTATTTTATTATTAAATTTATTTTCATAAAAATATGAAGGAAGGTAGATAAAAATATTAAAATCAAATAAAGTTTTTAGATTTTTATTTAAAAAAATAGATTATTTACTTAAAATATTAATTTTTTTGTTTATTTGTTTTCTCAATCAAGTTTTTAAGAAAGAAAAACTTCTTTGTATTTTTATCTTTATTTATTTAAATAATAGATGCTTTTACTTGTATTTAAAAATCTACTTACTTATTTGTTCTCTCAATCAATTTATTTATTTAAAATAATAGATGGTTTTATTCGTATTTATAATGTCTACTTGCTTATTTGTTCTGTCAATCAATTTAGTCTACTTGCTTATTTATTCTTTCAATCAATTTATACAAAGGAAAAATACTTCGTATATCTATGTTAAATTACTAAATATGAAGTTTTTAGAATTGAAGAAGGATATTTTATTTTTTAATTATTTTTTTATTGATTAATAAAAAGAGTTTTTTATTTTACTAAAACTAAGTCAAAAATAAACTTAAAATATAAATAATTATCTGAAGTAGATAATTTTTAAAAGATAAAATAAACTTCAAAAATATTTTATTTAAAGTTTATGAGTTCTTATTACTAACTCGCTATCAATCTAGATATTGAATTTGAGTAAAATATAATTGGATATATATAAATATATTTATTTTTTTTTCAAAATATTTGTGATTAATTACTAATTATTGCATTTTTTATTTATTTTAAATATTATATTTATAACATATTTAAGTGATCTTTATGATCAATAAGACTTATCTAAATTATCAACTGCTCTTTCTAGCCGCATAAATCTTAGAAAGTTAAAATTGATGTTTTCGTAAAATTTAATCAAAATTATATTGAAAATATCTTAATTTTACTTATTAAAATACATTTTTATTTACTTTTTAAAATTTATTTTAAAGTAACTTCGATTTTACTGAAAAAGAAGAGGTATTTAGATTAGATCCTAGTCTTACTTATTATTAAAATCTAGGATCTTTAGAAAATAATCTAATAGAGTAAATATTTTTCTTTCTTATTTTTAATTAATAATAAAGATCATATTTATTTGAATAAATATATAATAATCTGTAAATTTAAATAACTAAATATCAAATGAAAAAAAAAATTCTATCAAAGCAATTTCAAAAGTTTGAAGGGATGGATAATTCATATAATTTTGAAGTGAATGAAATTAAATATAGGCATATATATAAATTAAAATTTTTTTATTTAAAAAAAATTAAAGTGAAGTGTGTGTTTTAATAAAAATAAATGTGAATTTAATTTCTTATTTATTAAAACAAATTTATTAATTTACTTTTAAAAAATTTTGATCAAAAATATTTATCAATATATAATCATAGGATATTTATCATTTGATGAATGATTTATTCAAATTCTCTAATAAAATATTTTAGTCTTATATTATAAAATATAAAAATTATTATTTAAATTATTCTAAAAACATATTTATTTAAAACAACTAATAGTATAGGTAGTTAGTATGTATCAAATATTATCTTGGGCTTAGAAAAATGTGTAAACCTTAAGAATTTGACAATTTTCTTAAGGTAATTTTAAGCTTTGAGTTTTTTAATTAAAAACTTTGCTAGATATATTTATACTTTTTTTAATGAAATAGTTTTAAATATTAGGAAATATCTTTAATATTCTTTACCTTTTTGAATTAATAAATTTCTTTTAAAATATGCAAATAAAATATTAATCAATCTTTTTTATCGAAGTGCTCATCACTTAAAAAAAAAAGCTAATCTTGAAACTTAGGAATTAGATTTAGAGTAAGATTATTGTTATTTATTTATTTATTTATCTTATATTTTCTTTATATTATATTATTTACTTTTAATTATTAGTGTAAAATATTTTTTAAATTAAATCAATTTTTTTAGGTAAAATAATATCGGAGATAACGGAATTGATCACTTAAGATAATATTTATCAAGATGCAGCAAGCTTAGAAATAGCATACTAAATATACAGTAATTAGATCATTCATCTAAAAAATATATTATTTAAATACTTTGACTATTTTTTTTCAACTTTTTTAATTTTTTAAGTAAACTTTTCATCAATATTTTCGAATGAAAAAAATAACAATATTATTCGCTAAAAGATTAGATTATAAAAGCTCATCAGCCTTATTTTCTAATTTGTAATATCTTAAAAATCTCCAAACTTTGAAACTCGTGTTGAAGTAATCCTTTTTATTTGAAAATTATTTTTTCAGTTTAAATAAGAAAATATAAACTGAATTTGGTTAGTTATAAAATTAATTTTTAGATTTTAATTCATATTAACTTTTTCTCAAAGTTATTTTAATTAAATTATTTTATTTAAAGTTGTTAAGATTCAAATACATAGTAAATAGGTTAAAGTTTATAAAGCCTTACAAATTTATCAAATTTTGAGCTCGAATTTAAGTAATTTTATTATGATTTTGACTTATAGAGTTGTTAATATTTAATTTTTGATTCATGGCAATGATTTTAATTCTAAGTTAAATTTTATTTTTACAATTACTTATTATAAACATTTATAAGTTCTAATAGATTTGATCAGCAAAAAACTCTAGGAATTTGCTCAATATTAGAAAACTGTAAGAATTTATCATCTTTAAAACTTAAACTGAAGTAAAAAAACATAGTTTTTAAGAATTATATAAAATCGGTATAATGTTTATAAAAATAAATTTAATTATAAAAAGTAACAATGAAATTACAGATGATATGTTATCTTAAATGTGTTAGTCTTTATCTTCCTGCAAAAATAATAATCTTTAAATTTTAGTTTTAGACTTCAGGTAATACTATTTTTTTATAATATTAAATAAAATATTACTAAGTAAAGTTTAAATTTTTTGATTTGACTAATTAGACATTTGTAAAAAGAAAAAAAAATGTTCCATTTCAAATACTAAAATATTTATTTCATAAAAATTAACTTAAACTGAAGTAAAAAAACATATTTTTTAAGAATTATATAAAATTAGTACAATGTTTATAAAAATAAATTAAATTATAAAAAGTAACAATCAAATTACAGATGACATGCTATCTTAAATGTGTTACTCTTTTTCTTCCTGCAAAAATCTTTCGCATTTAGAACTAATTTTAAAGTAAAAATATTTTTTTTAAATTTGGAACTTTATTAAATTGAATAATAATAAAATTTTTTTAACTTTAAAAATTATATTTTTATACAGGAATAATTATTTATAGTGTATTTGTGGTATCTGTAGTCCTTTGTTGGTCTTGAACAATCTTTAAATTTTAGTTTTAGACTTCAGGTAATAGTATTTTTTTATAATATTAAATAAAATGTTACTAACTAAGTAAAGTCTAAATTTTTTGATTTGACTTATTAGACGACATTTGTAAATAAAAAAACATATGATCCATTAAAAATATTAAAATATTATTTTCATAAAAATTAATTTTACTAAAAGTAAAAACATTATCAAAGGATTAACTGTATCTGAATTAGGCTCTGCTTTATCAAAGTGCTTTAACCTTATATCTTTAGAATTTTGGCTTGAGTAAACTTAATTTTATATTTATTTATATTACTTTTTTTGAATTAAAAATTGTTTAAATAGATTATTTAATCCTTAAATTACATGAATTGCATTTTATTTATGATGTAATTTTACATTTAAATAATTATTTATTTTTAAAAATAGCGATGTAACAATATTTGTATTTGCCAAATATTTGCCAAACATAATAAATTTAAGAAATCTAAAGCTTCATCTAGAGTAAATATATTACTTAAAATAATTAGAAAGTTTTTGATTCAAGCGATATTAATTATACTTCTTTTTTTAATAAATTATATATATTTAGATTTTTATATTTTATATTAAGTTAAACTCTTTAGCTAATTAATTTTTAAATAATTAAAATAAAAACATAGACATAATTCTGTTTCTGAAGATTAAGAAAAATAGTTATCTATTTTTGTTCTAAAATTGAAGAAATTAGTTTAAAAACAAATTTCCATATTTTGAAAATGAGTGCTTTTTTATAATAGAATTTGAAATTGCTTTTTTCTAAAATTAATTAAGTTTTTCTGAAAAACTAAAGGATAATCTTCATAATTATAAACTTTGATTTTTAATTGAAAACAATAGTATAAAGAATTTATTGAATAAAATATTAAAATAAATGTTAAATTAACTATTCTTTTTATTCATTTTATTTTTAATCAAGCTAAAAAATTTTATTTAAATTTCTCACAAATTTTATTATTTTCTTATGTTTAATTTCATTTTAAATTGAAGAATATACTGTAAATTCTCAAAAAAAAGACACATATTAAGTAAGAATCAATTTTTAAAATTTTATTTAAAAGCAAATAAATTTTCTGAAATTCGAGAAAAAATATCCTGAGAATTAAAGGTGGTTTACGGTAATAAAAAATAAAATAGAGAAATTTGAATTCAAATTATCTGTATTCTCTTAATTAAAATAGAAAAATCTGATATAGAAAAGTTTTTAATATATTTTAAAAGTATTTACACAATTATTTTCTAAAAATCGTCAAATAAAAACTAACAAATTTCTAAGAATCATTAATATTAATTATTAAAATAATTTTTAAATATTTTTTAATAAATTAAAGTATAAATGGGTTAAATTCTTCCTAACGATAAAAGGAGATAAGTCAAAGGAGGTATTTAAATTTAATTGAATAAACTATCTTTTGTGAGCAATGAAGTTATTTAAGGCTTGCTTTATATTAATATTGAGGAGCCTTTTTAAGGGCGCTTTCTTTAAATCAATCTTTAAGGCTATGAAGATGTTCATTACACATATACCTAAGGGAGCGATGAAAGTGAAAGAATCATTTATGCAAAAGCTATGAATAGTTTTTTAAATTATAGTATGCCTATTTATGATTTCTCTTAAGGGACTGCTAATTAAGCCTTTGTAATACAACCTTGCTAGTTATTAATACCATTTTAGCTTGTGATCGCATAGTAATTACCTTCTTCAATCTAATATTTTGAAAATGAACATAATAAATGCAGTCTGAAATATTTATTAACTGCTTAAATTCTCTCCACAGAACCTAATGTAAAGCCAATTAGTGGAAGCTAAGAGATATTTATAGGTTAAATAAGATTAATTTAAAATTTACCTAATTTCACTAATTCAAAATAGTCACCTACTATTTGCTGCTGCTTTAAATCAGGTGAAATAAATTATAGTATGTCTTTGAACAGCAGATGCTTTATCCCTAACGAGATTATAAACATAAAAATCAATGCAGATCTTGGTTAAAATGGAAATAAAGTAAAAAATTTCAGTATCAAGATAATTGGTTTGCTTGAGATGAAGGCATGTCGTCGTTATAGAGACTAAGTAGTTACCTAATTTGAAAAAAGCACTACATTTAAAATAAATAGCAAGCAGGTTTCTTAAGAAATCTAATTACAAATACCTAGTAATGTTTTATTAAGTTCTTAAGGTTAACTAATTTAAATGAACTATTACTTATAAATTATACCTGATGTTAATTCTTGTTGCTGTGTAACAAATGAATCTCCTCATGAAATGCTAATTTATATAAATCCTAATTCAAACGAGCTTTAGCCATTTAAAGGCCTACAATAATAGTTACCCTATCCTATCCCTTAAAATTGGCATCCAATTTAATTGCAATAAGCTTAGTTTAATCCTATGCAATTCAATCAAATATAATAGTTACACTTGTAAAATGTAGCTTATGAATAAAAATTATTTGATAATTACATAGCTATAGAACCAGCAAAAAGGAAAGTTGACTATTAACAAGAAATGTGCAATATTTAACATCAAAATATAAATGAACTGCAAAAAAATTACTAATAACCTGCTTTTTGTTGCCAAAGCTAAATCTAATTTAATGTTGGTTCTGGTTAGCAATAAAAAATTTACCCAACTTAAAATTAAAACTAGTAAAATAATTAGTTCTTAGGATAAGATAGTCTTCTAAGCCAACCTGTAATGAAAGATCAAAATAAAACTTATCTTTGATCATAGTTTGTTTGTAAATCAAAAATAAAGGTTCATTCATATATTGAAATCAAAATTAATTTTATTTTGTTAAATCACAATTTTAAAAATTTTTCTAGTAAAAAAATATTTGTTTAAAATAAAATAAAATAATAAAAAAATCATATCATGATTTATTTCACTTTTTATCGTCTATTTTAAATTTAACTTATAATACAAAACTTTAAATTCATGTTTATAATTTTTAATTCTCATAAGTCTAAATTTTTTTTAGAGAAGATAACAGAGAAAAAAATCTAAAAATTTATTGCAATTATCAATTTATGAAAATATATCTGAATTTAAAATTATTTTTTTAATTTATTTCAGTAAATTCTTTTATTCAAAATTGATTTCTAATTTAGACATGGGTTTTTCTCTAGAAGTTTCTATTAAAAAGAGTATTGCTTGTATCTTATTTTTAAGTTTCTTTTTTGGAAAATTTTGTAAATTTTATAAAAATAAATATTCAGGAAAATCTGCCTAAATTAGGAATTGAAGAGATTCATTTAATTTATTGCCCAACATTACATTATTTACCAAATCTAAACTTTACTAATAAGATATGCAAAACATATATTTATTCTAATTTTACCTACAATAAATTCTAATAATTAAGGGTCAAATATATTAAGGGAGATAATTTTTTTAAGAATATTTTATCATAAACACTGATATTTTTTAAAATTTGTACTCTATTTAAAGAAAGAATAAGTAATTAATAATTTTTTCAATATTTATTAATATTATGATAATCTGACTGCTTCAAATTGTATTCACTGCTTAAAATAGGTTATTTCATTTAAAAAAGATTGAGAATTTTGTTACTAATAATCAAAGAAATTTGTTTTGGCAATATGCATGAAAATTATATATAGCAATATTTTTTTTTAATAACTTGACAACTTTGAATCTTAACTTAAAGTGATCTTTTATTATTTAAATATTTTGACTATTTTTTTCAACTTTTTTAATACCTTAGACATACTATTAATCAATATTTTCAAATGAAAAAACTAACCATATTATTTGCTAAAAGATTAGATTATGAAAGCTCGTCGATCTTATTTTCAGATTTGTAATATCTTAAAAATCTTCAAGCTTTGAAACTTGTGTGTTGTAGTAATTCATTTTATTTGCAAATGTATTTTTATCAGCTTAAACAACAAAATTAAAGCTGAATTTGGTTAATAAAAAAAATTATTTTTAGGATTTTATTCAAACTAACTTTTTCTCAAAGTTATTTTAATTAAATTATTTTATTTAAAGTTGTAAAGATTGCAATACATCGAAAATAGCTTAAAGCTTATCAAGTCTTACAAATTTATCAACTTTTGAGCTTCAATTAGTGTAATTTTATTATAATTTTAACTAAAAGAGTTGTTAATATTTGATTCATCAAAAAAATGTTATGATAATTTTAATTCTAAGTTAAATTATTATTATTACAATTATTTTTTATAAACATTTATAAGTTTGAATAGCTTTGACTAACAGAAAACTTTAGGAATTTGCTCTGTATTAGAAAACTGCAAGAATTTATCAACTTTAAAACTTTAACTGAAGTAATAAAACATAGTTTTTAAGAATCAAAAAAAATTGGTAGAGTGCTAATAAAAATAAATTAAATTAAAAAAAGTGACAACGAAATTACAGATGATATTTTATCTTAAATGTGTTAGTCTTTGTCTTCCTGCAAGCATATTTTACATTTAGAACTATATTTAGAGTAAAAATATTTTTTTTTAAATTTGGAACTTGATTAAGCTTAATAACAAAAATTTTTTAACTTTTATTTAACAAATTATATTTTTATATAGGAATAATTATTTGTAGTGTATTTCTAGTATCTGTAATCCTTTGTTGGTCTTGAATAATCTTTAAATTTTAGTTTTAGACTTCGGGTAATAGTATTTTTTTCTAATGTTAAATAAAATGTTACTAACTAAGTAAAAAGTCTGAATTGATTGATTTGACTTATAGACATTTTTAAACAAAAAAAAAACATATTCTCCATTTAAAATTTTATTTTATTAATAATTAATTTTACTAAAAGTTGTAACAGTATCAGTGAATAATCTGTAACTGAATTAGGCTCTGCTTTATCAAAGTGCTTTAACCTTATTTCTTTAGAATTTTGGCTTAAGTAAACTTAATTTTATATTTATTAATATTACTTTTTTTGGATTTTAAATTTTATAAATAGACTATTAAGTCTTTAAAATATATGAATTGTATTTTATTTATCATATAATGTTGCTTTTAAATAATTGTTTATTTTTAAAAATAGCGATGTAACAATATTTGCGTTTGCCAGATATTTGCCAAACATGATTAATTTAAGAAATCTGAAGCTTCATCTAGGGTAAATATATAATTTAAAATAATTAGAATTTTTTGATTGAAGATTGATTATACTTCTTCTTTTTTTAATTTAGATTTTAATATTTTATATTAAATTAAATTCTTTTAAATTAATTTTTAAATAATTAAAATAAAAACATAGACATGATTCTGTTTCTGAAGATTAATAAAAATAGTTATCAATTTTTGTTCTAAAATTGAAGAAATTAGTATAAAAACAAATTACCATATATTGAAAATCTGTGTTTATTTATTTAATAATAGAATTTGACTTTGATTTATACTAAAATTAATTAAGCTTTTATGAAAAACTGAGGATAATATTCTTAATTATAAACTTGGATATTTAATTGAAAACAACAGTATAAAGAATTTATTGAATAAAATAGTAAAATAAATGTTCAATATATTACTCTTTTTATTTAAAGCGTTTTTTATTTAATCAAACTAAAAAATTAATTTTAATTTCTCACAAATTTTATTATTTTCTTTTGTTTAATTTCATTTTAAATTGATGAAAATACTATAAATTATGATATAAATAAAGAAAGACACATTTTAATAAAGAATCAAAGATAAAAATTTTATAAATTTTAATAAAGACAAAAAATAAGAAAGGGGAGAAGGGACCTTAGTTAATGAGAATTTACAATATTTTTAATTCTACTTTTAAAAGAAAAATATTTGCTTCTGTAGAAAAAAAACATAGGAAATTTATAAAAAAATATTAAAATTTAGAGTTGATAATAAAATATTATTTTTATATTTTAAAAATATTAAAATTTAACAATAAAATTTTAGCAGACAACGTCTATCTATCTATCTATCTATCTATCTATCTATCTATCTATCTATCTATCTCTCTATCTATCTAGCTTATTTTAATTATCTAAATATTTTTTTATATACTTTTTACTCTTTCTAAATTTAATATCTGAAATAATTTCAACAATTTTACTCTATACTCAAAAGTAATTAGTAAATAAATAGATGCTCTATTAAAACTTTTAATATTTATTTTTAAAATGAAATTAGAAGTTTAAATCTAAAAATTAATTAATTAAAATAACTATTTTGCATTCACATATTAAAATTAATATAAAAAGGTTTAAAAATATTTTATAAACTCATAAAATATCTAAAATATATATAATATATAATATTTATGGAAACAATCTATCTCTTTATCTGCCTGTTAATTTGTTTCAAATTAAATTAATTATTTTATATTAATCAAGATAAAACTTAAATAACACTTGTTAAAACTCCACAATTGTTATTAGCTGACAATCTCATGTAACCCTTTTCACCCCAGCCTGTTCCCCAATGATTTCTGATAATATAATTACCTTGGGTATCATAGCCAACAGCGATTACAGCATGATTAAGCTGTATATTGCTATTGCAACCATTAAAGATACCACCGCTGTAAGAGCTCCAAGTAGATGCATCTACAGTTACAGAAATAGGTCCTTGAGAAATGGCAGCTTTAACATCAGAAGCGTTTGGGTTGATAAACTTGAATGATTGAGGGAAGTACTTTGATAAGTTTGAGGTATTTTTGCATGTTGTCTGATATCCTACATATGGATATGAACTTCCTTGAACAATACCATATTTTATTGCATACTTAAAATATTCTTACTACCATGCTCCGTCACACCCATAAGTATCAAAGCCTGCTTATCTGGCACAATCAAGAAGCTGTTACTCAGAGAACTTTAAAAGCTATTTGCTTTTAAGGTAGTAAAAAGATTCAAGAACTCCAGCAGTACCAAATGCAGCACAAGAACCGCATTAACCTTAATTTTAAATAGGATTTAGTGCACCAGAATTTCTCCAATCAACAGAGGTAGGGTAATTGACAGCTTTTCTAAGATTTCCATTTGGTTCTTGTTCTTTCTGAATATCAGCATCTGATCTTGAGATGTGCTTGTTTAATATTCTTTAGACAAACTCTTCTTAGGAATAATCAGAGAACTAATTTAAAGAAACGGTGTAAGTTGCTTCTGTATTTTTTTCATGAGTTTTTAGCTTTTGTAGATTCTCAAAGAAAACAAGTTATCTGTATGTTTCCTCATCTTCGTTTAAAAAGACTCTTCTATAGCTGCTTCTCCATTTGTTGTAAGTCTTTAAGTCTGAAATAGTTAATTATTCTGCCAAATTAGTTTAGCATTGAATTTAAGAAATCAAAGCTGCAAGAGCTATCACAATCAAAGATATTTTTACCATTTTTTAATTATTTTAATGTTATTTATTTATTTATTTTTTAAATTATATTAATTTTTGTAAATTAATTTCCTATATTTCAGTAAGCAAAAATTAAGGTAAATAGATATATAGATAATAGAATTTTATTTTAGATATTTAAATATAAAGTTTCTAAATTAGAAATAATAAATGAATGAAATTATTGTTAATATATTTTACTAGTAAGTTTACATACAGACAATACACATTAGGATTTTATACAAATAATAATCGAAAATAGTAAAAGTAGATAATTTTTAATCAATCAATATTTATACTTTTAATTAGTATTTTTATATTTGATTTTGTTGATATTAAAAAGTGGTCAAATACTAGAAATATACAATTCTTTTTATATCAAAATTTTTCTCAAGCCAAATCACAAATGATGTAACAGATATTAAATGGATGATTAATAAACAATAATTACGCCTAAGTTGCAATGCTGATAAAAATTGCATCATGAAATAATTCAATTCATTTTACAATTTTCTTAAATATTATTCAAAATATCTTTAAAATAATTTGATATTAAATTTAAACTAAAGAGAGTGAGAGAGAAGCATAAATATAAGTAAGATATTATTCATCTACAAGTTTATTTTATGATTTAAAATTAATTCCTATTTTTAGATTTCATTTTAGTTTCTATGTTTAATCTATTTAAAGTTACATGCTTTAATTATAAGCTCACTAACTAACTAACTATTTTATCACTTTAATTAAACTAGTATTTTACATTTCCAAATTGAATTTTTCTCAATTAATTAATATTAAGTAACCAAATAATAAAAACCATAATTGATAATTTAAACAATTTCATAAATTAGCTATCTATATTATTAGCGTTAAGACCAATAATTATTGATATAAAGGAAATAAATTAGTTATTTATTTCTAGTATTATTACTTTTTATTAACGATAGATAGATGAGGTTTTTATACCTATTATAAATAAAAAAAGTGTGTAAGTTTTTTGCAAAAGTTGAAATATATATTGCGATGTTTGTTTTACTGAAAATCTTTTTGATTTCTGAATTTTTATACTAGTTTTTATTTTAGTTAGATTACTCTAACCAGATAAAAATAAATGTTAAAAGTTGAAATATTTATTTATTGTAACTAGAATAAAATTTATAGCAAAATAACTCAAAATTTTTGCATTTTTTAACATAAATCAAGGCTTAATAAATTCATTAATTTTTATTTATTTGGATTGATATTTTGAAGGTGGTAAGATTATTTAATTAAAATACGTTTCCAAAATTAAATTGTATTTAAAATTATTAGAAATACAATATTAAATTTATAAATAAATAATATTAGGTTTAAAACTACATGAATTCGAAATTATTGTGTGATTAAAAGTTTGATAAAAATAAAAAAATTAATTTTTAAAATAATTACACCACAAACACACATTATTTATACGTATCAATTATAAAAATCATACTTTTATTTTGAAAAGTATAAAACTAAATTCATTAATATCTAAGTAAGTAAAAACAAATATTGTGAGGATTTTAGAGATAAAACTAGTCAATAAACTACCACAACAATATTTCCTAGTTTAATACTATATGATTGCTATTAAAAAAAGAAATGTTCTTCTATCATAATTTAACAAAATCTTTAAAATAATGCTTTTTAATCTTTTAATAACTTTTTTAAATTGTAGGTGTTTTTTTGAAAATCAAATTTTGAAATATTCATCAAAAGCAATTTCTTCTGATTATCATTTTTTTAATATTTGTTTTAATTTATCATGTTATATGATAAGCTAATTAATTTTAAAAAATATTTTATGAATATTAAATTTTGTTTTGCAAAAAAATGCAAGAGTTAAATTTAGATTTTATAATCATAAATAATTTTTGTAAGAAACTAAAATTTAATTCAAAACCTTACACCTTATAATTGTAATGCATAAAAATTTATTTCATTAACATAATTCTTTTTAATTAGCATTACTCTATACCGTATGCATAAAGCAAACAAAAAATGAGCAAATTAATAATTTTTAATTTAAAGAAATAATAACAATTTGAGGGCGGTTGTAAAATGAGGGTTGGTTCTTTTAGTGAATGAGGATTTATAGTATATTAATAATAATAAGGTAAACTATTTATTTTAAATGAAAATTCTATGTTAATTTTTGTTATTTTTGCTAGAAATACTAAAATAAATTATATATGGTAAAATTGTGATGACGAAGCTTTGATTTATGATAATCTTAATCTGAAGTCTATAGACTCCATTAAAAATAATTCACTCATTGGACACTTACTTGATATTTAGATTTATCTTTTTCATACTGAAAAAACAATTAATATAAATAATTATTTCCTTCTTTCATATAAACTCTTTTTCTTAACATTCTATTTTAATTAAAATAATTTATTTTAAAAACATAACTTCATTTTTGATTTTTATAACATTTTAAAAAAAGCTTTAACTAAAAAAATCAAAAAAGTTAATAAAAAACTCAATACACTACTTGAAAGAAACGCATATTTATAGATACTAGAAATTTTTAATATAAATTATAAAAAAAATTTATTAATGAAATATTATTTCACTAGTTTATTCAAGATACAACTTAAATAGCACTTCTTAAGACTCCACAATCATTTTATGCTGAAACTGTTATGTAGCCTTTATCACCCCAGTATGGTCCCCAAGAATTTTTAATGATATAGTTACCTTGAGCATCATAACCAACAGCAATAACAGCATGATTAAGTTAAGGATTTCTAGAGCATCTATTGAAAATACCTCCTTAATAACTTCTCCAATTAGATGCATCGACAGTTACTGAAATAGGTCCTTGAGAAATAGCACTTTTAATATCAGGTATATTACTCCTAATAAACTTGAAAGACTGTGGGAAGTACTTAGGTAAGTTAGAAGTATTTTTACATGCTGTTTAATATCCTACATAAGGATAAGAAGCTGCTGAAACTATACCATACTTAATAGCATACTTAAAATAATCTTACTAAAATGCACCATTACATCCATGAGTATCAAAACCTGCTTATCTAGCACAATCAAGAAGTTACTGTTCAGAAAATTTAACCATGTAATTGTACCTAAGATAGTGAAAAGACTCAAGTACTCCAGCTGTACCAAAAGCAGAGCAAGAACCGCACCAGCCTTAATCCTAAACAGGACTTAAAGCACCAGTATTTCTCCAATCTACTGAGTCAGGGTAACTGACAGCCTTTCTGAGATTTTCCTTTGGTTATTACTCTTCTTAAATATCAGGTTAAAATCTTTAAATATGCTTATTCAAAATTATTTGTTCGAATTCTTCATCAGAATAGTCAGAAAACTTATTTAAAGACACAGTATAAGTAGCCTCAGTGTTATTTTAGTGAGCCTTGATTTAGTTAAGATTTTCAAAGAAAATAAGTTATCTATAAGTTTCCTCTTCTTAGTTTAAAAAGACTCTTTTATTTTTGCTTCTCCATTTATTGTAAGCCTAAAAATCTGATTCGACCTCCTCATTTTAACATTTAATTTAAGAAATCAAAGCAAGAGCAATCAAAACAAGTGAAATTTTATTCATTTTTATTGATCTTTTTTACTAAATGTATTGTTTTATTTTTTGTTTTTATTATTTATTATAAATTTTGAAAATACTTTTTAATATTTAAACTAAAATAAATAAATGAAATAGTTTAGATAGATTTTATTAGTTTTTTATCAGTTCTAAAATTTACAGTGATAGATTATTATAAATATAGTAAATATAAATAAATAATCAAAAATATATTTGATCAGAAAATAAAAAGGTATTTTAAGAAATTTATCTCATATGCATCTAATAAAATATAACATTCTAATTATGCTAAGTTTTAGGAATTATCATAACTTGATCAAAGCAAAAAAAATTTTTAAAGAAAAAAAAAATATTTTACAGTTTTTAAATTAATCATTTTTAAATCCTAAAAATATGTTAATAAATATTGCTTATTTATTTATAATATAATTCATTTAAAATATATAAAGTATTTAATTTTAAATAATCAATAAAAAAAAGAAGTTTTTAAATCTTAAGAAATTAATAATTTTTAATTATATTGAAATAAAATTAATGGATGGATAATTAATTTTTTAATCATAATACTCCTTATCTGTCAAAATAAAACACAGAAATATTTAAAATCTTAAATTTAAAAAATAATTTCTATTTTTTTTTTATATAAATTTAAGGTGAATGTCATGAAGTAAGTACATTTGATAGTAGAGAATATTAAATAATTGATTTAATAGAGGAATGCTTAGTATGATAATTCATTTTAGTACTAGTTTTAATTCAAAGTGGTTTTTATCAACTAGTACAAATTGGTATTTATTATGTATTATCCTTAATCAATCAATCAAATTATTGAAATTTTTATTAATTACATCAAACAAACATTCAGTTGAATTTTGGTTTAGATAAATTCAAATTTAATCGTTTTAATAAATGAAATATAAGTATAGATTTATTTATAAATTTAAATACTAAAAATCTCTTAATAAAGACCATAAAATATTTATTTTAAATATGATTTAAGTGTAAATAAATAATTTTGATAAAAGATATGAGTTTGCTGATTGATGAAAATATTAATTTATTTAGTTGATAAATAAATAGTATGTATGATTACTAATATTCTACTAGTTTTAATAAAGATTAGTTATCAACTAGAACACAATTATTTATATTATTTACTTACATTAATCAACCAATCAAACTTTTGAATATTTATGTGATTTCCTAAACAAACATTCAGTTGAATTTTCCTTTTTACAATTGAAAAATAATAGTTCTATAAAATTAAAAATTAATTAAAGTGTGGTTTTATTTATATAATATTATATAATTAAATAGTAATAATCTCCTAAATAAAAACAATAAAATAATTCTTTTAAATTTACTTTAAATATGTAAATAATTTTGATAAAAGTTATGAACTAGTTGATTCGTAGCTAACATAAATAATAAATTCTGAAAAAGTTAGTTTTAATAAAAATACAAAAATAAATCTAGTTATTATAAAAATTAATTAAATTTTAAAGAATTAATTTGAAAATTCTTTAAGATTTTAACAAAACAACATTTTTCAGTGTTAAAAGCTAAATTTAGAATAAAATATTTCAAATTACACTAAAGTTTAAATACCAATTAATATTTGATAATTATTTGTCACTAATATATTATCTTTATTTTTTAAGTCATTTAAGTTAAAATATTTTAAAATTTTTTAATTTTAAAAAAATTAATTTGAAAGTTTTGTGTAAGTATTATTTTTTTTACTTTGTATTTAGAATAAATATCACTTAAAAATTGTGAACATTTAACAAAATTACTTATATTCTTTTTATGATATTAAAGTGTATCCATTTATCTTTTTGACTTTTATTGCTATATATAGTTAAAATTTTTAAATTATAGATGACAATTTGAGATTTAATGAAGTGTTTGAATGTTTATTAATAAATCATTCATAATAATACAAAAAATAAATATGTGAAAATAATTATTTTTATTATTTTTAACAACAAAATTGATTAGAAAATGTAACACGTTTAAAATAATTAGAATGCACAAATTAATTCGTAATCTTATCTTGAATGGATTATATTTCTAAAGTACTACAAACTTGATGAATTAATTGTAAAAAAATAATAATAAATATGTAATAAAACAGTAATAAATAAAAATTAATGAGAGTAAATAACCAAAAAATTATATACAAATCAAAGTAATTTAAAATGAAAATATAATAACCTATTTAAAGATTTAGTTTTCTTTTTTGATAATTATTTTTATATAAATTTGAATTGAAACTAATAGCAATGTTTCAAACAAAAAAATAATTTCCATATTTTTATTAACATTTAATTTTTAGAATTCAATGATATTTTTTGTTGTAATCTCTTACTTGTTTAATGAATTATTTCAAAATATTAAAAGGAAACAGTTAAATTTTATCTCATTTTAAGCAAATATGGTAAGCCACCAACTCATTCCCACCAAAACCTTTAAAATTTGTTTAATAAAGGTTAATGAGTATTTTAATTAAAAATATACTATAAAATAAAAAAAATTATTTATAGTATATGACTAATTTAATATTTAATTGATAAAAAATATTTAAACAAGTATCAAATCAGTATTTCAAATAAATTAAATTTAGTAACTTTTTTGTCTTCTACCTATTTCATTAAGTATTTTATAGATATTAATAAAAACTTTATTAGAATCAATAATTTGTTTTTAGTTGATTTTCTTTTTAAGAGTAGATTCATTTTAAGATAATTAAGTCTTAGATAATCCTTCTTTCCTTTGATTAATTAATTATAAAGTGTCATAATTATCAATTTTTAGATAAAAATAATGCTTTTATGCTCTTAATTGATTCTAACTTTGATTTATTTTTTAGATATTTAAGGATTTATTTAATACCATTTTACCAATAATAAAATAATAAAAAATTTTAATGATTTATCATACTATTAATATAATACTTAATTAATTATTATGATAAATAAAAAACCATTTAACATATAAAGTATTTAACATGTTTTTGACTTAAAATAAATTTATTATTTAAATAATTTTAATTTCATTATGTAACTTAAATCAAAAAATTAAAAAAAGTTCATAAAAATTCAATACAATACATGAAATGTCACATATATTTATTTATATATGCTAAAAAATTTTTTTAAAAATTATAAAAAAACTTACTTCTAATTATTATTTCAATAGCTTATTCAGGATACAACTTAAATAGCACTTCTTAAGATTCCACAATCGTTTTATGCTGAAACTGTTATGTAACCTTTATCACCCCAGTATGGTCCCCAAGAATTTTTAATGATATAGTTACCTTGAGCATCATAACCAACAGCAATAACAGCATGATTAAGTTCAGGATATCTAGAGCATCCATTGAAAATACCACCTCTATAATATCTCCAATTAGATGCATCAATAGTTACTGAAATAGGTCCTTGAGAAATAGCACTTTTAATATCAGGCACATTGCGGTTAATAAACTTGAAAGACTATGGGAAGTACTTAGGTAAATTAGAAGTATCTTTACATCTTGTTTAATATCCTACATAAGGATAAGAATTTGCTGAAACTATACCATGCTTAATAGCATACTTAAAATATTCTTACTACCATGTACCATCACAGCCATCAGCATCAAAACCTGCTTACCTAGCACAATCAAGAAGTTACTGTTCAGAAAATTTAACTAAGTTATTAAACCTAATAAAGTGAAAAGACTCAAGTACACCAGCTGTACCAAAAGCAGCACAAGAACCACACTAACCTTAATTCTAAACAGGAGTTAATGCGCCAGTATTTCTCCAATCTACTGAATCAGGGTAATTGACAGTCTTTCTCAGATTTCCCTTTGGTGGTTACTCTTCTTAAATATCAGGTTATAATCTTTAAATACGCTTGTTCAAGATTACTTCTTAAAATTCTTCATCAGAATAATCAGAAAACTAATTTAATGACACAGTATAAGTAGCCTCAGTGTCGTTTTAGTGAGCCTTGATTTAGTTAAGATTTTCAAAGAAAACAAGTTATCTATAAGTTTCCTCTTCTTAGTTTAAAAAGACTCTTCTGTTATTAGTTCTCCATTTATTATAAGCCTAAAAATCTGATTCAACCTCCTCATTTTAGCATTGGATTTAAGAAATCAAAGCAAGAGCTATCAAAACAAATGATATTTTATTCATTTTTATTGATCTTTTTTATGAAATGTATTCTTTTATTTTTTATTTTTATTATTTATTATAAATTTTGAAAATACTTTTTAATATTTAAACTAAAATAAAAAATGAAATATGTCAACTAAATTTTATTTGTTTGTTATCTTCTCTAAAACGTACAGTGATAGATTATTATATAAAGTAGTAAATTTTGATAAATAATCGAAAATATATTTGATCAGAAAATAAAAAGGTATTTTAAGATTTATATCCTATTCATCTAATAAAATCTAATACTCTAATTATACTAAATTTTTGTAATTAATTATCATTATTTGATTAAAGCAAACAAATTCATTTTTAAAGAAAAAAAAATATTTTAGAGTTTTTATATTTAGAATTTTTAATTCTTAAAAAATAATTAATTAAATATTATTTATTTATTCTAATTTTATTCATTAAAAAAATATAAATTATTTAATCTTAAAAATCAATAGTTTTTAATTATAATCAATATAATTTAATGGATTATTCATTTTTTAATCAGAATACTCTTTAGTTATCAAAATAAAATACAGAAATGTTTAAAATCTTAAATTGTTAAAATAATTTATTATTTAACAAGGAAAATATGATGGAGTACATTTGATAGTTTGAAAATGTAAAATAATTGATTTAGTAGATAAATCATTAGTATGATAAATCATTTTTGTACTAGTTTTAAATAAGAGTGCTTTTTATCAACTAGTACAAACTTATATTTATTTATATTTAAACATTAATAAATTAGTCAAATTATTGAATGAATATTTAATTAATTACATAAAAAAGCAAACATTCAATGTAATTTTCATTTATATAATCTCAAATTTTATGATTTTAACAATTAAATATTATGTTAGATTTATTGATTAATTTAAATACTTTAAAATTTTTTATGAAATTCATAAGACATTTATTTTAAATTTGTTTTAAAAGTATTAATAATTTTGATAAAATTATGAGTTTTTTATCCTTAAAAATATTAAATTATTGATTTAGGAGATAAATGCTTAGTATGTATGGTTACTAATTTTGTACTAGTTTTAAATAAGAATAATTATCAGCTAGAACATAATTATTTATAAAATTTACTTACATTAATCAACTAATCAAACTATTGTAATTTTTATGTGATTTCCTAAACAAGCACTCAGTTGAATTTTCTTTCCCTTTTTTAAATTCAAAAATGATAGTTTTATAAAATTTAAACTTATAGAGTAGATTTATTTATATATTATTTTATATATAAAGAGTAAAAATAAAGGAAAATAATAATTATTTATTTTAAATTTAGTTTAAATATGCAAATTAATTTGGTAAATGTTATGAAGCAGTTGATTTGTAACTTACATTTATCTGATAAATTACTATATAAAATCTTCAAAAAATTTATTTTAATAAAAATTCAAAAATAAATCCAGTTAAAATAAAAATTAATTTGAAACTCTGTAAGATTCATATTCAATAAAATTTTCACTGCTAAAAGCTAAATTTAGAATAATATGTTTCAAATAACTCTATAGTTTTAATACCAATTAGCATTATATAATTATTTATAATTAATATCTTATCTTGTATTAAGAAGTCAATTAAGTTAAAAAACTTCAGAATTTTTTAAATTTTAAAAAAGCAATTTTAAAAGTTTTCTGTAAATTATTTTTTTCCTTAAAATATAAGACTGTCTAATTAAATATAAGAAATAAGTTACTATTAAAAACTGATCAATTGTTAAAAATATGTTAAGTGCCAATAAGATTCTTAATTTATATTTTGAATATTACTATTTATTTTTAGAACTCAAATAAAAAACATAAAACAAACTCTAAAAAAATAAATATTTTTAAAAGATGCTAATGATAAATAAAATATTATTTGAAACACTTTGAATCATTTACATTTTTATTTTAAATATTTATTAAAAATAGATTGAGATAATTTTTTATTTTTACAATTTCATTTATAAAAAATATTTTTAGCTATAAATTGTTTTTAAAATGATAAAGTCAATAAAGAAGAAATATTTTTTAAGCTCTATGTAAATCAGATCTGTGTCATTTAAAATTAGGAATTGCTTGATCAATTTTTTATTCAATATAATTATTATAAGCTAAGTATTTTTAATGGGCTATTTTATATCATATTTTAATAGTATCATTTACATAATTAAAAACAACAGTATAGTTTTATTGATGACTTATTTTCAGGAAAATTCATTTCTCAAATTGATTCGCTTATATTTATTAACACATTTTGTAATTCAGATATTATTTGAGTTTGGCAATACATTTATTCACATCTTCAAAATACATTTATCACATAGGTCATTAATACATATTTTCGTTATAGAAATTGAGTAACATGTTAGAAAAACTTATTTTGAGATTGAAATATAATAAAATTCTATTTTAATTATCAATAATTTCAATTTATTAGTTTCTTCTCCTTTTAGTGCTTCCTTATTAGATAAATTAGTCTTAATTAAGAAAATATAGCTATATCTAATTTATTTTTAATACTGTGTTTCATAAAATTATCATTTAAAATAAAAAAATTTTTATTTTAGAATATATATCACTTAAAAATTGTGTACATTTAACAAAATTAGTTATTCATTTTATCATATTAAAGTGTTCAATAAATTTATCCTTTTGGCTTTTATTACTGCTTATCTTAAAATTGAAAGCCAATATCATAGATGATGATTTAAAAATTAATGAAACCTTTAATAATAAGTTATGGATAATAATCCAAAAAATAAAAATGTGATAATATCACATTTAATATTGTAAACAAAAAATAGATTAGCCGCTCAAAACATAATAACTAGATTCCAGAAATTAATTAGTAATCTTATCTTAAATGACCTCTATTTTTTTTGATAATAAACTAGATAATTGATTAATTAATATATTAGTGCCATAATTTGAGTTTTTTAACACAAATAAAATAAAATATTGCCAATTTCTAGTTAATGTTTTAATTTATTATAATAATTAATTAATTATTATATTAATAATATGACATTATAATTCTAATTAATTAATTACTAAAGTAATTTGTTACTTTCATTATTTGATATTAAGGTAGTAATTTAATCCTAAATTCATAAAAATAAATAATGAACTTGGAGATTTATAAAATTGTTTATATTATATAGATCAGTAATTATTGATGAAAATTAGAGTTAATTAAAATTATTAATACATTCATTTTATACATGTTATGTTTTGAACATGTTTAGTTTTAAAATAAATTTATTATTTAAAAAACTTTTAAAACTATTTTTTTAAGATTAATTAATTAGATTCATTTTTTATAAATGTAAATATTTCTTTAATGTCAGATATCTTTGGTAGAAATTTTATTTTTATTTCTATTGTTTAGAGCTATATGTTTTTTTTTTTAGTTTTAATTATAAAAAATTTAATTTTACACATAAAAATTATTTTTAATTGAAAATTTTAGTTACTAAATTAAATTTATAAAAAAATGTAAAATATGTTTATATAATATTACTCAAATACAAATTTAAGTTTAATTTTTTAATGTATCTAGTCTACAAAATCTAATTAATTAATTATGTTATTTAAATCAATATTAACTAAAATTGGATTAGATTAACACCAATTTTTTTATCAGTCAAATAAAAATGATAATGGTACTTTGTTCAAAATTAATGGTGGACAATAATCAAAACAAAACATATTTTCTTATCCTTTTAACATGTAATAATAAGAATTTTTTATATTTTTAAAATGACTTTAATATTAATTCACATCTTTTTTAAAGATCATCAAAGCATTTTTAATAATATTTTTAAGGGGCGTTTTAAAATAAGAGGTTATGGTGTTAATCAATCTGAATTTATATTGTATTAATGATGATAAGATAAACTATTTATTTTAAATGAATATTTTATTTAAACTTTTTGTAATTTCTGCTAGAAATATTAAAATTAACTAAATGGGATAAATTTTTTTGAGGAAGCCTTGATAGATTAAAAGAATCTGAAACATTCCAATCAGAGGTCTATTGTCTCGATTAAAAAATAAATTTTGAAGTAAATCAAAACGCTTAATAATAGACTGATAATTTAATTCGTGAGATCATTATTTTTTATTACAACTGAACAAAATAATTAATTCTTTTATTCTTTGTATAAATTCTTTTTCTTAATATTTTATTTTAATTAAAGCAATTTATTAAAAAGATAACTCTTTACTTTATGTTTTTGATAAGATTTTAAAAATTGATTTAAAAAAAGCAAAAAGTTTATAAAAAATTCAATACAATACATGAAAGTCATACATATTTATTTATAAAATAAAAATTTTTAATATAGATTATAAAATAGTTTTGTTTCTGAAATATTATTTCAATAGTTAATTCAAGATAAAACTTAAATGGCGCTTAATAAGATTCCACAATCATTTTATGCTGAAATTGTTATGTAACCTTCATCACCCCAGTATGGGCCCCAAGAATTTTTGATAATATAGTTACCTTGGACATCATAACCAACGGCAATAACAGCATGATTAAGTTATCGATATCTAGAGCATCCGTTGAAAATACCACCTCTATAATATTTCCAATTAGATGCGTCAATAGTTACAGAAATAGGTCCTTTAGAAATAGCATCTTTAATATCATCTGAATTACGGTTAATAAACCTGAAAGACTGTGGGAAATACTTAGGTAAGTCAGAAGTATTTTTACAGGCCGTTTAATATCCTACATAAGGATAAGAATTTGCTGAAACTATACCATGCTTAATAGCATACTTAAAATATTCTTACTGCCATGTACCATCACAACCATAAGCATCAAAACCTGCTTATCTAGCACAGTCAAGAAGTTATTGTTCAGAAAATTTAACTAAGTAATTATACCTAATATAGTGAAAGGACTCAAGTACTCCAGCTGTACCAAAAGCCGCACAAGAACCACACCAACCTTGATTCTAAACAGGACTTAAAGCACCAGTATTTCTCCAATCTACTGAATCAGGGTAACTGACAGTCTTTCTTAGATTTCCCTTTGGTTATTACTCTTCCTAAATTTCAGGTTAAGACATTTAAATACGCTTGTTCAAGATTATTTATTAGAACTCTTCATCAGAATAGTCAGAAAATTAATTTAAAGAAACAGTGTAAGTAGCCTCATTGTTTTTTTAGTGAGCATTGATTTAGTTAAGATTCTCAAAGAAAACAAGTTATCTATAAGTTTCCTCTTCTTTGTTTAAAAAGACTCTTCTGTTATTGCTCCTCCATTTATTATAAGTATCAAAATATGAGATAGATGCTGGTTTTACCTCTTCAGCTTAGCATTGAATTTAAGAAGTCAAAGCTAGAGCTAACAAAACAACTGATATTTTATTCATTTTGAGTGATCTTTTTTATTTATTAAATGTTACTTTTATATTTTATTTTTTTATTTATTAAATTTTGAAAATACTTTTTAATATTTAAATAAATAAAAAAATGAAATACTTCAGCAAGATTTTATTTGCTTGTTATTATTTATTATAAAAAGTATAAAAATAGATTTTTATATTAGACAATCAACATAAAGAAATAATAGAAAATATACTTGATGTGAAAATAAAAAGGTAATTTAAGAATTAATCCCATTTGCATCTAATAAAATTTAATACTCTAATTATACTAATTTAAAAAAAATGATCTTTCCTTTATGAAAGCAAAAACAAATTTTAAAGAAAAAAAAATATTTTACAGTTTTTAAATTTAGAATTTTTAAATCCAAAAAAATAAAAAAACAAATATTGTTTATTCATTCCAATTTAATACAACAACTAAAAAATATTTTTATTTAATCTTAAAAAATCAATAATTTTAAATTATAATTCATACACATACATGGATTATTAATTTTTGAATCATAATATTCCTTATTTATCAAAATAAAAAGCAGAAATATTTTGAATCTTAGATTTTTAAAATAATTTCTTATTTATTTTTTAATACAAGGAAAATATGATGTAGTAAGTACATTTGATAGTTGAAAATAGAAAATAATTGATTTAGTAGAAAAATACTTAGTATGATAATTTATTTTTATACCAGTTTTGATTAATAACGCTTTTTATCAACTAGTACAAACTTATATTTATAATGTATTACCATTAACCAATCACTCAGTCAGTAAAATTTTCTTTTCTATTAATTCAAATTTTATGGCTTTAATAAATTAAATATTAGTATAATTTTATTAATTCATTTAAATTTAAATAATAAAAATTTCTTAATGAAAACCATAAAATATTTATTTTAAAATTTGATTTAAATGTGTAAATAATTTTGATAAAAGTTATGAGTTAGTTTATTATAATAATATTAAATAAATGATTTTGCAGATATATACTTTGTATTTACATTGGATTACTAATTTTTAACTTTTTTAATTAAGACTAATAATCAACTAGAACACAATTATTTACATTATTTACTTACATTTATCAATCAATTAAACAATTGAATTTTTTATATGATTTCCTAAACAAATATTCACTTGAATTATCCTTTTTATCAATTCAAAAATTATAGTTCTATTAAATTCAAAAAATAAATTAAAGGAATTTTTTATTATTTTTATTTAAATTGTAAATTCTCCTAAATGAAAAGAATAAAATATTTATTTTAAATTTAGTTTAAATATGTAAATTATTTTGATAATAGTATTCAAGTAATTCATTTGTAGTTTAAATATCTATTAAATTACTATATTGAATTCTGAAAAAGTAAGTTTTAATAAAAATACAAAAATAAATTGAGTTAGAATTAAAATTAATTAATTAATTTTAAAGAAGTAATTTGAAAACTCTGTAAGATTCCTATTCATTAAATTGTTTAATGTTTAAATCTAAATTTAGAATAAAATGTTTCAAATAAATCTAAAGTTGATTAGATAATTATTTATCATTAATATATATCTTTAATTAAAAAAATCATTTAAGTTAAAAAAACAATTTAAAATTTTATGTAAGTAAATAGAATTTTTTTCTTTCAAGTATAAGATAGATTGTATAATTGCGTAAGAAATGTATTACTAATAAATATAGATCAATTTTTAAAAGCTGTTTAGTACCAATAATTGTTTTTAATCCTTGATTTGTTTATTGAATTATGTTTTTTTATAGACTCAAATTAAAAAATAAACAACTCTAGAAAAAATTTAAATTTCTTTAAAAGATGTAAGTGACAAAAAATATCTACAAATTTATTATTTTAAACACTTTCATCTGCTAACATTTTTATTTTTAGTATTTATCAAAAATATTTTTAGATAAAAATTTATTTTTACAGCTTCATATATTAAAAATATTTTTTATCATTATTGGTTAATAAAAATTGTTTTTAAAATTATAAAGTCAATAAAAAACAAATATTTTTTAAACTTTATGTAAATAAGATCTGTAACTTTTAACACAAGGAATTTCTTGATCGATTTTTTATTAAAATTATATATTTGCTTCATTATAATTAATGTAAACTAAATATTTTCAATGGACTATATTATATAGTATTTTAATAGTATCATATACATTCATAAATACAATAGTATTGTTTTATTGAAGACCCATTTTCAGGAAAATTTATTTGTTAAATTAATTCTGCTCATAGTTTTACATTTTTTAATTCAGATATTATTTGAATTTAACAATGCATTTATTCAAATCTTCAAAATAAATTTAAAATACAAGCTATTAATATTTATTTTTATAAAAGAAATTATGATGAATGTTATAAAACCTTATTTTGAGATTGAAAAATAATATATAAATAAAATAAAAGTTCTATTTTAATTATAAATAATATCAGTTTATTAGTTTCTTCTCCTTATAATATTTCCTTATTAGAATAATTAGTATTAATTAAGAAAATACAACAAAATCTAATTTATTTTTCTTACATATTCCAAAAATTATCATTTAAAATAAAAAATTTGATTATATAAAAAATATTGTTTATAAATTATGAATGTTTAATTAAATTAGTATTTCATTTTATGATATAAAAGTGCATCCACTTATATTTTTGGTTTTTATTACTACTTATCTTTAAATTAAAGCCAACATAATGGATAGCGATTTAAAAATTATTTAATATTAATTAGTAGGTAATGAGTAAAAATATAAAAAATAAATATGTGATAATTACCATATTTGTTATTGTAAATAACAAAATAGATTAACAGCTTTTTAGAAAATAATTAGAATCCACAAATTAATTAATAATAATATTTTGTATGGTTTCTATTTGTTAAATACTATAAACCAGATATTTAAATTGTAAAAAAATGTAATTAAAAAAAATATGTGATAAAGAAGTAAATTAGACAGTTAATGTAAAAGTCCTAATTAAATATGTACACTATTAATTAAGAAGCAATAACCAAAAAATTTGTACTATCAAACTCATTGAAAATGATAATATAATAATCTACTTAGGGGTTTATTTTTCTTGTTTCGTACTTATTTTATATAAATTTGGATTGAAACTAGTAGAAATTTTTCAAACAAAAAAATAATTTTAATATTTATTTTTACAATCGAATGATATCTTTTGTTATAACCTCTTATTATTTAAAAATATTTGAAGGAAGCAAGTAAATAAGGTAAACGACAAATGATTTCTAACTTATATCTTTTAAAATTTTTAAATAGTGGTTAATAAGTAATTAATTAAAAATAAACCATAAAATATAAATTGAAAATTAAATATCTAATTGATAAGAATTTTTGAAAGAAGTATCAATCAAATGAAAGAATATATTATTAGACGGTTTACTTTTTATTTGCATAATATAATCATTTAATAAGTTTTAGATTTAAAATAAATTTATTTTATTATTTAATTTTTTTTTAAGATTAATTATTTTTGTATTGTAAATTTTTTATAAATGATATTTTTTTGAAATTGTTAATTTCTTGATTATAATTTTTACAAAATATAATATTAAGCTTACTCAAATACATATTTAAGTTTACCTATTTAATGTAATATTATAAATTAATTTTTTTCAAGCAGTAACATACAAGTTATCTAATAGAACACCACAAGTGTTACCAGGAGCTAATCTAATGTAGCCAGCCTCTCCCCAATGAGCACTCCATGAGTTTCTTATGATCCAATTTCCTTTAGTATCATAACCAACAGCAATAACAGCGTGATTAAGGTCTTGTTCAGTAGTAGGACCACAGTTGTTGAAAATACCACCAGAGTAGGAACTCCAGTTAGAAGCATCAACAGATACAGTTACTGGATATAAATTAAGAGCTGCCTTTAAAGCACTTGAGGTTTAAGCAACCTTTTAGAATGACTTGGGATAGAATCCAACTGAAGGAGAAGTGGGAGAAGTAATCTTGCATCTTCCACCAACACCTGTGTATGGATAAGAAGAACTTTAGACAATACCGTACTTAATGGCATAGTTGACACCATCTTCTTAGAAACCACCGTTGCAACCATCAGAAACATAACCAGCTTAGTGAACACAATCAACCAACTATTGTTCAGAGAATTTTTTAAGAACACCATTCTTGATAGCATTGAATGATTCCATAACACCAGCAGCACCAAATGTCCAACAAGAACCACATTGTCCTTAGTCCTTAACAGGGTTTAAGACATTAGGCTTAGTTCTCCAATCAACAGATGTAGCAATAGAAGCACCTAGTAAATGGGGTTATTCGGCAACAGCTTCTCTGGGAGTAGATCTCTAACCGAGCTTCTTATTGAGGATTCTATGTTTAAATTCTTCTTGAGTGTAGTCAGAGAATTAGTTCAAACTAACAGTGAAAGTAGCTTCGGTATTGGAAGCATGAGAGTTGATTTTAGCAAGGTTCTCAAAGAAAACAAGTTGTCTGTAGAGTTGTTCATCTTCATTCAAATAGACTCTTTGGTGTTTTTGTCTCCACTTATTGTAAGCTAATAAGTCTTGGACTGAGATATTTTGTTATGAATCGTCACAAAGGACAGTGGGAGTGATGATTGATAAGCAAAGTAGGACTGCAATTAATAACTTTGACATTTTTTTATGATTTATTTTTTTATTTTTTATTTTATTTATTTATTGCTTTATTTTTGGGGTTTGAGTTGTTGGGTTTTAAAGAAATACTATTGAAAGGTATTTATTTCAAGTAATCTGATAATTTATAAAATCATTAATTGAAATCTTTAAACATATCTTGTAAATAAATACAAATAGTATTTATTTAATAAAAAATTCAAAGATAAATATGATTCAATAAAAAAATGAACTTAATTTAAAATAATCTACTTACTTTTTTTATGATTTTTTATTTGCTAAATTATTTTAATTCTATTTAAAATTTAAAAAAATGGATTTCATTAAAATTTTATGTTAAACATATTATGGGTGGGTATAGTTAGTATTTTGATGATGTTGTCCAATCATAAAATGTTTCATAAATTTATTATAAAACAAAGATATACTTAGACTATTTCAAATCTTTTAATTTTTTGGTAAGTGAGTAAAATACTAAATAAAGGCTATTTATTTTTATATTATTGAATTTCAATGGTGAGATTATAGAGTTTCAAGAGAAAATATTATATTGAGTGCTAACGATAAAGGAATAGTATTTCAAAAAATTAAAATCATAATTCATAATTTGTCAATCAGGTTTGATAAATTAAATGGCTTTAAATTAGCAACTTAATAACTTTAATATTTATCTTATTTTGATTACACAAAGAAATTTTACATAGAAATAACATAAATATCTTTTATTTATTCATTATATTTGTTAATAATTTTAAAAAGCGAAATGAAAAATTAATCGCTTTTATTTAATTTAATTGTGAGATAGTTAATGAAATTTCTTTACCTACACTTTTAGAAAGATTTATACTAATTAATTACACTGCCTACATATTGACAAATATTTTTCACTTAATTTGTTCATAATTAAAGCTTAAAATTTTACCATAAATATAATACCTTACCCTATTAAGCAAATAATTAAAAAAAGAGTTTCTCAAATGAAAAAAACTAAATATTAATTTTTAACTGATTATATCTAGTATTTATCTATTGAAATTATTATTAGGATTAATTATGTTTACATACAAAATAATTCTATTTCATTTAAAGTTATAAATAAAATAAATGAACTTGTTGGATTTAGTTTTTATAAAGAAAATATTAATAAATTAGTTTAAAGCTTAACTTAAAAATGTTTGATTATCATATTTCATTTATATGATTTCAAAACTGTGGTAACAAATGAAGATTTTACATTGTAAGATTTTTTTAATTTAAGATTAGGAATACAATGTAAATTTATTTAATAGGATATTTCTTTAAATAATTCATATTTGATTATGTCATTTCTAAACAAATGTAATTTTCTAGTAACTTAAAATATTCAAAACCAAAAATGTGTTAAGAAAAATAAAATGGCTTACCATAACAATTGAATAATTTTTAAATATTTATTTCACAAAATTATTATTGAAAATTAACATTTTATTTAATAAATATATCAGTTAGTTTTATGTATGTTATACGAAAGTAGTTAATTTTTATGATATAAAAGTGCTTAGCAGGTATTTTTTTTAGTTTTAATAACAATTTCTATTAATACAATTTCAAACGAAACATAACATTATTGATGGCAATTTACACATTTATGAAGCATTGAAAATTAAATGATAATTAATTTTATTAAAAAAAAATAATTATTGTTAAACCTTCTTAAAATAAATTTTAGCTAAAACAGAAAATATTTAATTTCTTTCAGAAATATGTTTTAAATATTAGTCGAGTGTTAAATAAAGTAAGTAATTAGAGGGAATACATATGTGGTAATTATAATATTTGTTATTGTTAAAAATAAAAAATGATCAATTTATAAAAAATAATTAAAATCCACAAATTAATTAATAATCTTATTTTGAATGGTTTTCTTTTTTTTAAAGGCTATAAACTTGTTCAATTGGATGCAAAAAAAGTAATTATAAATATGTGATAAAGAAGTAAATCAGACAACTAATTAAAAAATCCTAATTATTTTTAACATTAATTAAGAGGACATAACCCAGTTATTTAAAAACGAATGTTATTTATTACACATCAAAGCCTACTTTAAATTTATGCAGATTATTTGATTATTAGCATATATAAATGGACGAGTTTAAAATTTTTAAAAAGGAAATTAATAAATTATATTTTTTATGTTAAACACATTATTGAATATACTATGAATTTATGTGATATTATTTTAATAGAAAGATATAATATATTTAAGTATATTTTTTGTAAAATAGAATGATTCTTATTCTAATTTATAATCTTATCATTTTTGGTAAGTTAATAAAATATTTAACAAAGGTTACTTATCTTTGTATTATTGACTTTTAATGATGGGATTATTGAGTTGCAAGAGATAATATTATAATAGCGCTATCAATATAAGAATAATATTTCAAAAAATAAAAATCATAATTCATAATTTGTCAATCAGCTTTGAAAAATTAAATGGTTTTAAATCAACAACTTAATTTCTTTAATAGCAATCTTACTTTAATTAGATAAAGAAAGTTTACATACAGATCACATAAAAATCTTTGATAAAAATTATTATTTTAATGGTTTTAAATCTTTTTATCTAATATATTTGTAAATTATATAAAAATAAAATTATTGGCTGCAAATAAATTAAATAAATTTGAAATTTCCTAATTAATGTTTGAAATTTTACCTTAAATATAATCTATAAAATAATAACTTACCCTATCAGGCATAATTAAAATAAGAATTTTTCAAAAGTAAATTTAGTTATTAATTTTTTCAGAATTTTTCTAGTATTTATATATTGATCTTCTAAATTAAGTTGAAAAAGTATTGTTGTGTTTAATTATGTTTATAAATAAAATCATTCTATTTAATGTAAAATTATAGATAGAATAAATGAGTTTGTTGGATTTAGTTTTTATGTTGAAAGAAAGTATAAATTAGCTTTAAGTTTATTTTAAAAATGAGTGATTTTCTTATTTCATTTGTATTTTTTGAAAGCTATGGTAATAAATTAAGAGATTAAATTGTAAGATCTTTTTAATTTAAGATTAGGAAAATTGTATTTATTCTTTAAATGATTCGATATTTGACTCTATCTTTTCTTAAAAAATGTAATTTTCTAGTAATTTAAAATATTCAAACCGAGAAATATATTAAAGAAATAGTAAATGAGTTGCAATTAAAATTAAAAAATACATGCGTAAACTTTATAAAAGATATTTATTTAGCTTTCAGTACTTATATTTCTATTTAGTTTTATATTTTTTATCAATATAAAATATTTCGAAAAAATTAAAAGGGAGAAATATATTATATTATATCTTATTAAAAAAATAAAGTTTGTTGATAATTTATTAGGTTCTACATACAAATAATTTTTATTAATCACAGTAGACAAAAATAAATATTTCATTTTTATAACATATATCAAGCTTTTGTTTTAAAATGCTTATAAATTTTAAATTATTTTTTTGTTAATTTTCTGAGAAAATATTTATTTATTTCTATTTATGAAAAAAATAATTTAAAGTTGAAAAGAAAAATTAAATACATATCAATAATAATAATTTTATCATTAACACATTAAAAATTTAATTTTTGTTAAATTAATTTAAGATTTTTATTAAAAAATGTAAAAATTTTAAAAAGAAATAAATAAAAAAAAGAAAGTTAGTTTGTAATTTAAATTATTGTTTATAAACATTTCATGTTTTGTTTTTTTTTCATAAAACTTTATAAAATTAATTAATTTATGAAATTCCATAAGTTTAATACTTTTATGCTTCTAAGCAAATATAATATAAATAAATAATGCTGATAATCCATTATCATAAATAAAATAATTAATTACTCTTTTTAGCTTTAGATTTTTATAATTATAAATATGTAAATAATTATGTTGAGGAGATAAAACATTTCTATCCTCTTTTTTCTTATATATGAACTTTTCAAAATCATAGATAATGTCTATAAAAATACTAAAATAAGTACCATTTATTTAGAATTCTTTTAAATAATTTGTTATCAAAATATCAAAAGTTAGGAATTTTTAAAATATTTAATCCCCATTTTTAACCATACTTTAATAATTTTTAATATTTTATTTGATAGAGTATTCCTTTGAAATTAATATCAAATCTTATAAATTTATTTTAAAGATAATATAAAATATAAAATACTAAAAATATTATTCTAATATCTTTTTTATCTTAAATTCTTTCTATCAAAAGAAAATTATGCTTTTTCAAGCAGTAACATACAAGTTATCTAATAGAACACCACAAGTGTTACCAGGAGCTAATCTAATGTAACCATTTTCACCCCAATAAGCACTCCATGAGTTTCTGATGATCCAGTTTCCTTAAGCATCATAACCAACAGCAATAACAGCATGGTTAAGATCTTGATCAGTAGTAGGACCACAGTTGTTAAAAATACCACCAGAGTAGGAACTCCAGTTAGAAGCATCAACAGATACAGTTACTGGATATAAGTTAAGAGCTGCCTTCAAAGCACTTGAGGTTTAAGCAACCTTTTAGAATGACTTGGGATAGAATCCAACTGAAGGAGAAGTGGGAGAAGTAATCTTGCATCTTCCACCAACACCTGTGTATGGATAAGAAGAACTTTAGACAATACCGTACTTAATGGCATAATTGACACCATCTTCTTAGAAACCACCGTTGCAACCATCAGAAACATAACCAGCTTAGTGAACACAATCAACCAACTATTGTTCAGAGAATTTTTTAAGAACACCATTCTTGATAGCATTGAATGATTCCATAACACCAGCAGCACCAAATGTCCAACAAGAACCACATTGTCCTTAGTCCTTAACAGGGTTTAAGACATTAGGCTTAGTTCTCCAATCAATAGATGTAGCAATAGAAGCACCTAGTAAATGGGGTTATTCGGCAACAGCTTCTCTGGGAGTAGATCTCTAACCGAGCTTCTTATTGAGGATTCTGTGTTTAAATTCTTCTTGAGTGTAGTCAGAGAACTAGTTCAAACTAACAGTGAAAGTAGCTTCGGTATTGGAAGCATGAGAGTTGATTTTAGCAAGGTTCTCAAAGAAAACAAGTTGTCTGTAGAGTTGTTCATCTTCATTCAAATAGACTCTTTGGTGTTTTTGTCTCCACTTATTGTAAGCTAATAAGTCTTGGACTGAGATATTTTGTTATGAATCATCACAAAGGACAGTGGGAGTGATGATTGCTAAGCAAAGTAGGACTGCAATTAATAACTTTGACATTTTTTAGTTTATTGTTTGTTTATTTATTTATTTTTTTTATTTATTTTGTTTTTATTTTTAAGGTCTGAGTTGTCGGTTTTTAAAGAATTACTCAAGAAAGGTAAATCATATATCAATTGTAAGAAATATAATCCTTAAATTAAATCTTTAATGTTTTTAGTTAATTAAAATAGTATTTAAAAAAAAATTTTAAGATTATTGAATAGAATTAAAAAAATAAATGTCACTATATATATATACTGAAGGAGTATATCAGTATTTTATGGGGGTTAGTTTACAATGACATATATAATATTAGAGTTTTAAGAAAGAAAGAAATAAATAAATAAATATGTTTATATTTTGTAAAATTATAACATTAAAGCTCTTAGTTGTTGTTTATATATTGGTACTAAAATATTTATCAAATATAAAGATTATTTTAAAATATTTTCTAACCAAAATATTGTATTTATACTTTAAAATGTTTGTATCGTTCTTCCGATAAATAAGTCAAACGCTTAATATTTAAAATAGATTTTGTTATATTAGGTTTTAATGGTGAGACTATTTTGTTGTAAAAATTATAATTAGCTATAACAATAAAGAATAGTATTCCAACAAATAAAAATCATGAATCATATATAATGTGTTAATAAGAATTTAAAAACTAAATTAAATCAGCAACATAATTACCTTAATATGTATGTATCTTACTTTTATTTAATAAAGAAAACTTACATATTCATGATATACTTTGACTTAAATTGATTGTTTTAATTGTGTTAATATGTATTTTTTTCAATTAATGAAGTAAAAAAAATGAATAACCAACCAATGGTTTTATTTTATTTAATTTAATTGTAAAATAATTAATTAATGATAATACTCTACATACTAATTATGTTGAAAAATTGTAAGTTTTACATAAGTGATTGTTAATATCTTCAACAGATTTGAAAATTAATATTTAAAGTTTTAAATTTTACCATAAACTAAATAAGTACCTTACCCTATTCATCAAACAAACAACTAAGCAAACTAAATAAATATTTGAATTTTATTAGGGATATTCCAAAACAAAAATTAAGAAATAAATTTTTAACACATTTTATCTAGTATTTATCTATTAATCTGCTAGATTTAATCAAAATAATGTATCAATAATTTAAATATTTTTTATTTAAAAAATTCTATTTCATCTAAAATTATTGATGAAATAATGGTTTTATGGATTTAGATTTTTATACTGATATAATAAATTCCTAAATAATTACTTATTTTATTTAAATAATTTGAAAAAGTGCCATTACGATGAAGTTAAGCCCTTAATTTGTAATATCTATTTAAATTTTAGAATTAGGAAAAATAGAAAATTGTAATTGATAGGATATTTCTTTAAATAATTCATACTTTATTGTATCTTTTCTTAATTAATGTAATTTTCTAGTAATATAAAATAATATAAACCAGAAGTAAAACAAACAACAATAATATGCTTAACTATAAGTAAATAGTTGGGAACTTAAAAAGATATTTATGATTTTTTTCTTTATATTTTGTTTTACCATTTTATTGTTTTATTAGTTTGTGTGCTGATAAAAAATATTTTAAATAATTAAAATAAAAGAAGTAATTATACTTTATCATATAAAATTGCAAAAAATTTATTTATTATTTATAAGGTATTGTAAAGAAAAATTATCATTTATTTTGTTGTATTTATTTTTTATAAAACAATTCAAATATCAATAAATACTTATCAAATAAATAATCACAATAGAATTAGAACTCAATTTTTAATTATTTTATTTTTTATTTAAAACTGCAAAAAATTTTTTTAACTTAAAATATTTACTTTCAAATAATACATATTTAATTGTTTGAAATGTATTTAAGGATATTAAATATTAAAAAAATACATTAATTTTCTAAACAATTAAAAAGGTAAGTAGCATTTTTAAATTTATTTCTAATTCCTATTTTTAAAAAAAAATGGTTCAAAATTAATAATTTACAAGTTGGGAATTAGATTAAATATTAATATAAATTTATTTTATAATATTTTTTTTGTGGTAATTTATTTTATTTAATATGCAATCATACAAAAATTAAATAAAAATATTATAGTGACAATATAATTGTTGTTTAATATTTTATAATTGATTGAATGAATAAACGATTCTCATATTTTAAGGTTTTAAAGAAATATATTAATGTTAGAATATGATAATCGTTTTTTCATAAAAATGTTATATTAATTGTTTAGTTAAAAGTAAAATAGAAATAATTAAAAAAAAAATACACTTACTTACTCATTCTTTAAATTTTATTTTAAAAGTAGATTAAATTTGAAAGTCTTTTAATTATTAATATCAATTAAATTTGAAATCTTATTTTAATAAAATCAGTTAAAAATAATAATTTTGGATAAGATTATGAGATGAAATTAAAATTATAAAGAATAAAAATAATATGATTTCTTTAAGATAAAATAAAATTCAAAAAAAATTAATTTATCTAAATTATTTTATTTGTTAAATAAAAATGATTTTTTTATGAGTAAAAAACTATGAAAATATAATATCATTTTTATTATGTAGATTTGTAACTTAAAATCAATTAATATAAATATTCTTTACAAAAAATAACTTAGTTTTTTTTTCAATTAGCATTTAAAAAAGGGTATATTTTTTATGCAATTATTATGGTCTTAAATCTTAATACTAATTTGATTATAATTTTTTTATTTTTTTAATGAATTTCAAATAAAATGTTCTCTCCTATAAAGAATAAATTGTATATATAATTAATATATATCTGATTTTATTTATTTACTTACAATAAATTTCATTTAATATTAAAATTAACTTTTGAATTTGATATTTGCATCAAAAATTTTGAGATTTTATTTATTTAAAATAGTTTGCAAAATAAATGTAATTAATTATATAAGATTTTATATTAATTTTTTTAAGAAGTTAATATTCAAGGAAGACCAGCAACAATTTGAGCTTCGATACCACATTCATTTCTTCCTCTTAACATTCTGAATAATCCCTTCTCACCCCAATCTTCATTCCAGGAGTTAGCAATAAGCCAGTATGGAGTATTGCCTTCCTTACCCCAACCAATAATCTTAACTGAGTGACCGCCTTCATATTTCAACTTGGGATTTCTAATGTATACACCACTCTTATAAGTAAGGAAATCAGCAGCAACCTTGAAGGAAGCTTAGACAGGACCATGGGCCATTATTTCTCTTTGAATGGCTTAAACGTTTTGTTTAATGGAATAAGTTTAAGAAGCCTAAAATATAAAATAAGGGTTATTAATTAATTTGAAATAGAAATATAATTTTTTAATTAAATTATTAAATATTTTTGATATTTTTAATTACAAAGTGAAGATCCTTTTCATAAGTATTTTAGGTATATTCAGAGTTGCATTCTTTAACACATTAAGGAGTAGGTTAGATAGGACCGCAAGGTTGGTATTACCCAGTGACATGGTGATCACAAGGAGGGAAAATGTAGGGTTTGCAGGAAGTATCATCTCCATAAAGACCACCAGTTGAGACACCTTATCTTTTCATGTAGCCCCAAGCAGCGCTAGGATAACCACCTTTACAACCCATACCACAATAATCAGCACAGCATTCCAATAAATCTTCAGAGGAAATTGAAGTTTATAAAGTTTAATTACTTGCAATACAAATTCTATCAGAGAAAGTTTCAGTTGCAGCAAAAGCCCAGCATGAACCGCAAGTAGATTAATCTCTAATAAGCTTAATGCTTTAACAGTTAGGCCATTATTCACGAGCATCGAAGAATTCAGGGATAGGATCTGCATTTGCGTTAGGATCAAATTCTTTAGTAGGGAGTTTAACCCAATCAGGTTCATCAAGTGAACCAAGATGACCAAGGAGTTATTCACGAGTCATTTTTTCGAAGTGAGGATAACGAGCAGCTTTCCAAGTAGAGTTAGGATTTGAGTTGACTTCAAATACAATAAAGGGAGACATTTCTCCGAATTTGAAGCAGTTTGCTGAAGTTGAAAACAAGCAGCCTAAAATCAAAATTGAAAGAATTGATTTTCTCATTTTGAATAAAAGTTAACAAATTAAATGTGATTTTTTAATATTATCAAAAATAGAAATCTTTTTTAATGAAAAACTAAATTGTAATAAGTTGAAGCAAGGATTTTTTATTGTATTTTCAAATAAGATTTTTTTTTTTTTTGTGGTGTTAGTAAAAGAATTAAATTTGTATTTTATAATTAAAGTTCTGTTTTTGCATTAGAAACTTGATTTCTGATATCAGAAATATTATTGCCAATTAAAAAAATAAAATAGCATCATCTTAAACTGGTATTTAAAATGTTTTTTTAATTTGTTTATAAAAATATTGGATGGAATTTCAATAAAACAATATAAATGGAATGGATTTTGTGTACATATTAAAATGTTAATAATAAATATATTGCTAATGTAAAGAGAGTTAAGCAGCATCTAAAATTAAATTTGCTATCCTAATTAATTCTTTTACATTTTAATAAAAGAAAAAAAAATTAATTTGATCTTATTTTTTCAAAATTAAAATTTAGATTGAATGAAATTTTTATTGATCAATTACAAATACTCTTATGGTTTTATTTTATTGACTTACTTAATTGTCATTCAAATTTTGTTTGTTTTTTTAGATAAATTTTAGTTAAATTAATTCAAAAATATAAAAAAATTATTTTAATTTGTTAAAATTTGATGAAATACTGAGTTTTATAATTTTATTTTATAATAGAAATAATGATTAAATAAAATGGATATTTTACTAATATTATTTATTAATTCAAAATAATCATAATAATTAAAGCTTCTCTTTATATTTTCAAGGAAGACCAGCAACAACTTCAGCTTCGATACCGCATTCGTTCTTTCCTCTTAACATTTTGAACAAACCATTCTCACCCCAGTCTTCATTCCAGGAGTTAGCAATGAGCCAATAGGGAGTACCTTGTTCAACACCCCAGCCAATAATTTTTACTGAGTGACCACCTTCGTATTTCAATTTAGGATCTCTGATGTAGACACCACTTTTGTAAGTAAGGAAATCGCTAGCAACTCTAAAAGAGGCCTAAACGGGACCATGAGCCATAATTTCTCTTTAGATAGCTTCAGCATTGTTAGGTAATTAGTAAACTTTGGAAGGCTTTATTTAAATTATAAAATATTTTTAAAATAAAACTCAGTAAACGATCAAATAATTTAAAAAAAATATATTTACATGATGGAGATCTTATTAGTAAGTTTTTTCGGTGTATTAAGAGTTACATTATTTAACACACTTGGGAGTTGGCTTAATGGGTCCACAAGGAGGGTATTGTCCTACGACGTGATGATCACAAGGGGGGAAAACATAGGGTTTGCAAGATGAGTCATCGCCATAGAGTCCACCAGTAGAGACACCAGTAGCCTTCATGTATTTCCAAGCAGCACTTGGATATCCACCTTAACATCCATTACCACAGGTGGCACAACATTCTAATAAATCTTCAGAAGAAATTGAAGTTTAAAGCTCTTGATTGCTAGCAATACAGATTCTGTCAGAATATGTTTCGGTAGCAGCAAATGCCCAGCAAGAACCACAAGTAGATTGATCTCTAATTGTCTTAATGCTATTGCAGTTAGGCCATTGTTCACGAGAGTCAAAAGATTCAGGAATAGGATCATTAGTTTATTCAACATTCTTAATAGGGAGCTTTGCCCAAAGAGGTTCGTCAATCAAAGCACCGAGATGTCCTTGAAGAGTTTCAGGATCCATTTCTTCAAACTTCTAGTAACGAGCAGCTCTCCATGTAGAATTGTATCTTTTGTTAAACTCTTCAACGAACTTTTCAGAAAAGGAGGTAAAGTTGAAACAGTTTACTTGAGCTGATAGCAAGCAGCCTAAAAGCAAAATGCAAATAACAGATTTTCTCATTTGAGTGATTTGTTAGTAAATTTAGATATTTATTTAATAAAAAATTATAATATCAAATATTAAAATTTGTTTGCTGCATATAAAACTAAAAAGTAAATGAATGAATCTTCATTTATTATAAAAGTTTTTTTTTAAGTACGTTTATAAAAGAAATGATCTATTTATTCGTTTATTAATTAACAATAGTCGATGTTAAAAATGAAATTATATGTAAAAGAAATATTTTTCTCTTAACATGATTAACAAATATCATTCAAAAATCTTTTTTATATTTTTATTATTAAATTTACAAAATTATAAAATGAAAATTCTAATTTAAGCCATCTATACAAGATCTTTAAAAATTCATCAATTTAATAAAAAAGAAAAATGATGGATCTTAAATTTAAACCATCTTTACGTATGTGATTGTAGATATCTTTAAAATCTTTCTTATTTGAATTAATAGTTTTATAAAAGAAAATTTAGTTATTACCTCATAAATAAAAGATAAAGTAAAAAATAAATACTATTAATATAGTTTTAAATTAGGCAAAATTAAAAATATAGACTACAAGAAATAAAAGATAAATGGATAAGAAAATTTTTTATTTTGATCACTTTTAATTAAAAAAGATTCTAATATTAATATTTCAATTTACCTTTCTAATTAAATTTCAAATCTATTTCTGTTAAGTTACTCTCATAGTGTAATATGTAAAAAAAAAAATAATTTAATTTTTTAAAGTTAAAGCAAGAGAATAAATGTTAAAAAATGAGTGAGTTAAAAATTGGATAAATAAAATTTTCATATATGTTTTTATTTGAGAAAAAGCTCTAAATTTTTATTTATTGAAATCTGATTTTTTATTCAATATTTTGTACTTTTGAAATTTATCAAATAAATAATCTTAGATAAATCTCCATTTAGGATATTTAAGATGATTTATTAATAAATGAGCATTTAAATAAAATAAATAAGTTTGAAGTGATAATTTAAGTTAAGGACATTATTGTAAAAAATAACTTTTAAAATAAAAAATGATAATAAAATTTTTTATTTTTGAAATTTATAAATATTTTATTGATAATAAAAAACTATTCTCAGAATTTATTGGTTTTTAATGTAAATAGTTGCACCATTATTTAAGAACTAAATTTATATTATTTTAGACTAAATTTAGATTATTTTAGCATATATTTAATAAATAACATTTTTAAAAATGTAAAAATTATAATAAAATTATTTCAATTATTTAAATTACAAATAATATTAAATCTAGCAAGAAAAACATTTTAAAAAAAGAGATTATTTTTTTTAATTAATACAAGTAAGTAGAGTTATTAATTATTTAGTTAATTTAAATTATCTTTTTATGTACTTGATAGTGATAGTTTGCAAATCTTAAGAAATATTTATTAATATTTCTAATTTTTGGCATACAAAACTATTAAGTAAGAAAATTAATTATTGACTCATTGAAAATTAAGATAAAAAATGACTAAGCAAAACGCAGATTTTCAATATTAAAAGTTCTAAAAAAAATTTTTATTCCTAACAATAGTATACTATTTGATTAATGTACTAAATATATTTTTGGCTGCTGTTATTATTGAAGAGAGTATAGGATATTCTATCTCTTTTTTGGTACTATTTGGCATTGAAAAGTTGATAATGATATTTATATTATATGATGGAGTTTAAGGAAAGAAAACAAAATTGTGGCTTCTAGATTTATTTTAATTAGGTTTTCTTTATTTTTTAAAATTCAAAGGGTTTTCAATTTAAGACTTTGAAAAAATTATGATTGAGGTTTTAGGTGTAAGAGTAATCCCTGTTCTCCTAACTTAACTCATATTTTATTTTGGATGTGGATTTTTATAATATAGCAAATTATCAGATTATATCATTCTGTTAAGCTATGTTAACTTTTTAGCTTTATTTGTATATGCTATTACTATAATAAGCATGCTAGCTTATAATGAGCAAAGATAAAGTTTGAAAAAGGTATTCTTTTCTTGTTTAATCACTCTAGGATGTTATTATTTAATGATAGGCTCTCTCAGCTAATTTAATGATATGTCTGGAATGAATTTAGGTTACTATGCCTTCATTCTTTGCTCAATCAACTTTGTATTTTTCTTGATATTTTCACCTCCAATTTAAGATCTTACCATATTTTTAGGAGAAACTCTTTTTTATATATTTTAATGTTGTGTTACAAACAATACTTTAAGCTATGAGCGAGTTTATGCTCATTAATTTTCATGCTCTGTTTAAAACTCTACTGTTATTAGTTATTATTCTTCAATAATAAAGATAGGATTATTATGTACCTTTGGTTATAGGGAAGTATGGGATATTTTAACAAGCAACTCCCTTTATAATGCTAGCAAGATGGTGATGGCTATAAATGCAATTATGGCTGTCGCTCTAAACATAATATATTTAATATATTTTTTTAAATATATTGTAAACTAAATCTTGCAATTAAAGAAAATCGTCATATCTAAAATCAAAGATTTTGATAAAGCTTATATAATTATGAATAAAAAACATAAATACTTGAAGGTACTCTATATATGCATATGCATTAAATAAAAAGCTGTTGATCCTATTCAAAGACAATTAATAGTTGAGAATTTTTGTTCTGTTGAATGCAGTAAATTTTTTGAGTTATATCAAAGCTATTCAAATTGCATTAAGTAAGGGTTACAGATAGAATTTTAAAAAGAAAAATTTGAAACTTGCAATTGTTTCGTGCTCAAATTGGCTCAGGAAGTAGAATTTTTGCATAATAGCTTAACAAAGCAAATAACTAAATTCTTAGATTCCTAGCCAAATAAGTAGTATTTCTTCTTTTAGACTTTATTCCTCAGATAAATGAATGGGCTAGGAGAGTCAGTTTTCTCTTAATAGTTAAAAAATTAACATCATTAAGGCATCATTCAAGTTCAAAGAAAGATATAAAAATTATAGTCTGAGTTCTTGTAAGTGATTGCTTTTTTAAATAACTACCAGGAATATATGCTTTACTTTCCTTCAAGAATATTGTATGATCTTTATGAATGAACTTAATACAAACAAATTAAATTTTATTAAAGTTAAGTTTATTCCTTATCATATTAATACAAAATATGTAATATTTAACAAAATAACAAAGGCAATCATAAATTTATGAATGAATTTTATAAAATTATATAAACTAACAAATCCATAAAATTCATTCATTTAAATAAAAAAATTTTTTTTTCCTTCAAAATCAACAAATATTATAATAGTTTATTTATTTATTTATCTATCTATCTATATAATTATCTTTATACTTCAGATTTATCTTAAAAATAAAATTTAGGTAAAAAAATTGATCATAATTTTATTTGTTTAAAATCATTAAATTAATTTTTATTAAAATAATTTGAAAACCATATGAAAAATAAATAAACAAATTTAATTATTATCAAATATTAATTGTTAATTAAAATATAAATTTCATTGAAGAAGAGGCTTTATTTGCTTGTATGAAATTAATGAAACACATAGCAATATGATTAAAAGCAAATGGAAGCTAATAGGCATTATAAATATATTTAAGATTACCATTGATAAAATACCTATCCCGTAGCAAAAGTTAAAAAGACTGTAACTTTCGATTGTACCATCCAGTAGATATGTGCAAATGCTGTAACTTTTGTTTAGGTATATACAATCTGCTAATCCCCAAAGAAAACCGCTTAGATAGCACAAAAAGACACTCTCAACGGCATAAGTTAATCCTATACAAATCAAAGAGCTCCAAAGAGAGAAAAATGAGAAATATATAATATACTTTCCTTGAATTATCTTTTCTACATATCCAAGAAAGAAGTAAAATGCTATCTCTGTAAATCCAAGTAATAACTAAACTTAAGTTGTTTTAATATTAAGCTCTTTTGCCTATTCTTCAGTTAGCAAAGAGGAATCTAAAGGCATACCTAAAGATTTTTAAATTGAAGGATAGAGCAAAGTCATAATAAAGCCAACAGTAAAACCACTCTAAATAAAAAATAGGAAGATTTATTTAGTTTTTTCGTTTTTTAAATATTATAAAAAGTGAAGAATACTCTTTTTAGTTTCTTAACTAAAAAATATACTAACTAGACCCACTTCTTCTACTTTTTATTACTTAATATTTTCTGGCATCATATCTGGGAGATAGAAAATCATAAGAAATCCAACAAAAGCGAACAAAGCTAAACCAAAGTAAAAAGCAAATAAAGAAGTAGTATAAAAACTGATTTAAGCAAAACCCATTCCAAATACTAAAACGAGCTAAAAAACACCAAAAAATGTTGAAAAATAAAGCTCGTTTTTCTCTGGATACTTTTTGCAATAAATATCTATATAACCGCTAACAGATACCCACATTTAGCCTTCAACACTGCCAGTTATTGCTGCTACAAGGATAAAAAAACTATATAACAATGATTTATTGCAAAGCAAGCATTGATTAATTTAATCAGAGCATGTTTAAACCCACATACCTGTTGAAACATTCACTGTAATAGCTGCAGCACTTACCCACATCATTTATCTGTAGGTAAAGAATTATTAAAGGTGCTTTGTTAGTGTACAATTCAAGCTTTCAAATAGAAAGAAGGTAAATAATGTTATATTTCCTAAGTATGAAAACTATTATTGATCATAAATTTGTGATGACAGAGCTTAATAAGTAAAATTAGCGCTAAATACAAGGATAAAAGCAACTGAAATATAAATAATTCTAAGCAATACCCCGAAAGTGCTCATTTCCTTTTCTTATAAATGTTATTTTTTGTTGTCATTCGATTAAATAAGCTCAATTTATAGATTTTCCATCGTATTTTTTTGATGTAATTTAAGATTAAAACTTTTTTATATTTTTGTTTCAAATTACAATTTTTTTTACATCAAATCCTTAATTTATGGTTGATTACATCTTACCAACATTAAATAAGTAGTGACAGACAGATAATTTTTTAATTTATGTTATTTTTCTTTTTCTCTTAAGAAACATATCTTTGCATAAAAGATATTTAGCTAAAAAATTCCAAATTTATTAATTTCATAGTTAATAATTAATTATCAAATATGAAATATGTAGAGAATTTTAATTAAAAGTTTATATTATAATTCTTCAATGATAATCTTTATTGATTATTTTCTAATTTTCAATATTAATATTTTATTTTGATAGTTTTTTTGTTGAATAGTTATTATTTATTAACATTTGTTTTTAAATTCATAAATAATTAAAAATTTAATTATAAAGATAATAATAAAGAAATAGTGAAGATTAAATTTTTTTGTTAACGTTTAATTTAAAATTTTATTGAGTATTATAAAACTATGATATTTATAAATAAAAAAAACAAAAAATTAAAAAATATTTTAAAAGCTAGGAAAATAGTTAGAAGAAAAGCTATTCAATATATTAAAACAAAAAAATAGCCAACCAGTTTTTGATAGTTTGAAGAAGTAAAGGAGAATTATTAAATTAAAAATCATTTAAAATTCTTAAAAATATAAGTTTTTCGATCATTTAGTTCATATTAGTAAATCTCCAATTATTTAATAGACTCTCTTTAGATATTCATTTATTTATTTTTTAATACAAATACAATTTTTTTATTATTAAATAATAATTTAAAAAAGATTAGTAAGTAAAATACATTTAAATTTAATTAATTAATTTTGTAGCTTAGCCTTGCTAAGCTAACTATATATAAGAAAAATTCAAAAAATTAATTAAATTTGACTGAATAATAGTAAATAAATTTAATTGAATAAAAGCATATACTTGAATGTCTAGATAAGAAATTCTAAAACAGTATTTTATAGAGAATTGGTATCCATGATAATTTAATTTTACAACAGTTATTAGCATTGATTATTTAATCAGAGCATGTTTAAAGTTGAAACATTCACTGTAATAGCTGCAGACTAACCCACATCATTTATCTGTCGATTAATAATTATTGAAGGTGCTAAGTTAATGTACAATTCAAGCTTTCAAATAGAAAGAAAGTGAATAAATTTATATTTCATAAATACGAAAACTATTATTGATTATAAATTTGTGATGACAGAATTTAATAAGTAAAAATGGCTCTAAATACTAGAATAAAAGCAACTGAAATATAAATAATTTTAAGCAATACCCGAAAATGCTCATTTGCTTTTCATATAATTGTTATTTTTTGTTGCCATACGATTAAATAAAGTTTATTATATCTTATATATCTTACCAAAATTAAATAAGTTAAATAAGTAGTGACAGACAGATAATTTTTTAATTAGTGTTATTTTTATTTTTCTCTTAAGAAACATATCTTTGCATAAAAGATATTTTGCTAAAAAAATTCCAAATTTTCATTCAGTAATGTTTTTTCTAATTTTCAATATTAGTATGTGAAAATAAATAGTTTTTATTACTATTTGATTTTTGTTTCATAGTTATTTTGTTGAATAATTATTATTTATTAACATCTGTTTTTATATTCATAAATATGTAAAAAAAAAATAAAAAAGATAATAATAATTTTGATAAATTATAATTAGAATTAATAAAGAAATAAAGTCGATTTAATTTAATTATTAACTTTTAATTTAAAATATATTTTTATTAAGATTTTATTTAGTATAATAAACTATGATATTTATAAATAACAAAAGAAAAATTTAAAAATACATAAAATTTACAATATTTTTTATATTCAATAAAATATTCGTTTTATTTATTTTTTTAATTTTTTATTTAAAATTAAACAAAGAGAGTAAATTAATTTAAGTTTTTTAAATTTTTAGAAAAATTTTTCAGCTTTTATCTTGTTTTTTTTTTGTTTGAATACTTTCTATTTTTGCTTCCAAATCTTATAATAGTTTATCATCATTTATTAATGTAGCTATTTATTTGCATTAAGTGTAAATGGGAAGAACTTCTTCTATATCTACTTTTAAATTAACAAGAACCTCTGATATTTCATACAGAGCATAAAGAGTTTCCTTTGACTATTAGCCATATATTTACCTCAGCTCAATCAGATAATCATTTATCAGAACATTTAATATAGGATGGTTAGGCTGATTTCCTAGTATACAAAATGATAAATTTAGCTTTGCTTAGAAGTATTACTTTTTAATTCTTTAGCTTTCTTGCTCCACATCGCCTCTAGTTTACAATATTGTTCTAAACGTTTCTTCTCCTTTTGAAAAGTTTTTTTTCTTTAAATATAAAGAACCTATTTTGAAAATCAAATTCAATATCTTGCTTTAATCTTCTCCATTTTCTGACTTTATTTTCAAAGCAATTTCAAGATCTTTTTCGTCTTCATTCAATATTCCTAAACATAAAATAAAAATTAGTTGTTAAAATAATTATTTTTCTTATTTTACCTGATAAAAGATAAGGAGCTGCAAGATTAATAGAAGATTTGCTAATTGATTTCGAGACATACTATGCTTGTTAAAGATATATTAAAGCTCTTTACTTTTTTTACTTTAAATTAGCTAAGATACCTAGGTTTAAATTTAGCTAAAATAAGTCTTATACTGTCAAGTTAGGTAGAGTCAAAGACCTGTCAAAATATTTCATAGCTTTATCGATATTATTTTCTATGAGAAATTTAAATGCAGTGACAATCATAAATCTTAGTGGTTGTTAATTTTTAGGGATTTAAGAAATAAAAACAAATAAATTTTCTTTTTCAATAAAATCTATTACAGAAGCTACTCTATCCTTTTGATTATGATGTAAAGCTTCAAAATAAAACTCTACTAGATTTTCTAAATAAATAGCTGAGCTGAGTCCATAAGTTTGTCTTTATGTGTCTAAAATGCTTTAGTAAGAATTAAAAAACTAATTTATTTTGCAGCAGTGCTCATAGCATTTTTTAAGAACTTGGAGTTCTTGAATTTATTGATTTGAAGAAGTTGTTTGCTGTTTTTATTCTAATCCTTCAAATAAATTCTATTCTTCAAAAATATTCTATCTATGTTTATGATCAATTGGCAAACTCTTATTAATTTCTTAAAGCTAGCTATTCTCAGACGTTTACTATTTCTGCTATTGAACCTAGATATCTTATTTTATTTAATCGTTTGGTTAAAAAAATTAGTTTAGATAAGTTTAAGCAATTTCCTAAAATCTGAGAACTTGCTATTATTCAATTAACTCAATGATTATTTTGTACAAAAGAGATTTATCCTAGTTTTATTTCATAAATTCAATTTTTTCATTGATAGTATTTTTGTTTATGCTGAAATCTGTAAGTTGGAATTTAGCTATAATAGAACATATTCCTAAAGCATAAATATCTCTTTTGTATTAGTTGAACTTTTACAAGCTGAAGTAAATAGGATTTTATTAGTATTTTTGTTCAACTTCTAAAGGATCTCTAGGTGTCAGGTTATCTTCGTTAAGCTAGCTGTGAGCATAGCTTAACAGTTTGAAAGAATTACTTTCCTTTGAATATACAATATTGTTAATATTAATATTATTTATTGTAATATTCTTAGAGTGGAGTTTAGAAATATTTTCAAGCATATCTTATATCAAACTCAATATTTATCTTTCGCTATATTATCTACCCTGCCTTTTGAATAGTAAATTAATTTCTTCTAAATCGATGTATATTTCATTTTCATAAGCAATAGTATTGTAGCTTGGGAAAAAAACAGGAAAATTATTTATTTACACACAAGGGTTTTTCTCACTTTTGGATAACGTATTTGAAAAGTGAGTATTAATACACAGTGATTTGATAATTTTCATTAACTCTTCACTATAATTAACATATTGATAATCAAGGTCTTTCACTTCAAATTTTAAAGTCTGCAAATAAACAATAGAGAAAAAACATTTCAAGCTAGTTAAGCTATTTTTTCCAGACAGCAGATATCCTTCACTCTCTTTTAAAGGTAGACATTTTAGACTATCTTTCAGTTTAGTAAAAATCCACTGATTAGTGATATTTGTGTCTTCGTATTTTAAATAAATTTTAGCTTCGTCTTAATTTCCAATCCGCATCTTAAATAGCATTTAATTTTAAAAACTGCAATCTATTTTAATTTAGAAATTATCAATCCAAATAACATGCTCAGCTTTTTAAAAGAAAGGTTCCAAACAGCACTCTCTTCTCTTTTTAACTGTAAATTGTACTAATTTTTAATAAATTTCCTCAACCTCTTGTTAGTTAAAGTTGATATTCAACTAATACTAATATAAATCGTTCACCTGCTTATTATCTTTTACTGAGTCTTTTCTTTTTTAAGGTTAATCCTTGTTATTCTTATTATCTTCATTCTTTTAATTCTCTTATTTAATATCTTTTACTTAATTTTAAACTTCTTTCATATCTTTACTTTATTCATCTTTTTTCTCTTAGCTTTCATTAGCCTAATTTTGGCTATTTTATTAGATTTTTTCTTCATTTTGATTTGATTTTTCAATAATTTTTTATTTTTAATCATCATTTTATTACTCTTTGTTGAAATTTGCAGAATTCGAATTAGATCTATTTTCTATGTTTTTTTCTTCCTATTTAACTGTAATCTCTTCATTGTTTGTTTATTAAACTCCTTATTAATTGCTTTCATTTTAAACTTAAATTGATTATTTCCTTGAAATTTTTGATTAATCTCCATTATTTTTATTAGATAAATCTTTACTTTATTCTTTATTATTTTATTTTAATTCATTTTAGGTATCGGTCTTATTCTACTCTTCTTAAGATGATTTTTACTTCTATGATGACTGCCTTCTCAAAGGAGGTTTCTAATCTTTATTGTCCTTTATTGAATTTTATTTTACAATAGAATAAGGTTCACTTTTCTATTGGTCATTTATTTTATCTTAGGTGGGGTTTTATTGAGTGCTCTTTATTTCATTTTACTATTTTTTTTAATTAGATAAAGATGATCTATTACTGCTAAGCTTTGATTAATTTTCTCCTTCGCTTATCTCTTAAGTTTTAATTTTTTTCAAAGGTTTTACTTAACTTTATTATTAACTTTTATCAGTGATTTAAGGTTAGGAACTTTTTCTTTAAGAGAGCAAAACTTTATTTTTATCAGAAACAAAAGATTTTTGGCTGTTCAATCTAGAGTTTTTGTCTTAATTATTTAAATTAGCTTATTTATTAACAGAATTTTTATTCAAAATCTTTAGTTAATCTGATTAAAATTTACTTTTGTTTTATGATCTATCTGAAACTAATGGAGATTCTTATTTTGACTTTTAGTTTTTTTATTTATTCATAATTGGAGAATCCTTTTCGACCATACAAGAAGCCTCTTCGTTGCTGTTTAAGTTATCTGAAGATTACAATTAACTTTTTATTTGATCTGTTAAATATTATTAATGATCTTTATTTGAAATAAATTACTGCTATTCATTAAAAGTGTTTGAAGTATTTGCCAAATTAAAACTATTTTAGTTCGATCTCTTTTAATAATCAGCATAGCTTTAAGAGTATTAAAGTTGGCTGTAAACCTTTGTTGTTGGACTAGATATTTCTTTATGAGCAATTTTGTTTGGAGATAGATAAACAATTTCTTTTAAAGGATCATTAACTAAATGGCAAGTGCATTTACTATCTAGTGTTATTTATTATCTTGGCAGGACCTTTATTTGAAATTTTGGTTCCTTCTCAACTATATATTGGTATTTATCATTTATAATCAAAGAGTTGCTCAATTGCTATTTATTTAGATTCACATATGGTAAATTAGGAGAGCGTGAGCGAGATGGAATTTGATTTTTAGAAGCAGTTTTATATCTTTAAATAATTTACTTTTTTATTGATTATTCTATTTATCTCTGATATTCAGCATAGTCTTTCAGCAAATTACTTGAATATTCTCTTGCTTACACATCTATTTCATTGACTTATTACAATTCTTCTTAATTTTATTTTTTATAATTCTAACTTTTTCTAATAGGACACAAAAGATTACTAGGAAGTTCATGTGAATATTTTTATTGAAAAATTTCATTTACTTTATTATCGTTAATTTTGTTTAGCTCGTTATTCGCCAACTTTTAATTATTATTTGTAGATTTCGCTCTTTATATTTCATTTCTATTGAACATTAAGCTTTTATCGAAGCTCTATTGTAGAGAAGATTGATGCAATTTTTTATCATTATAGTTTTTATATGCATAATTCGATAAATCAGGACTCTTAGATCTTTAAATAATTAATGATTGATTTAAATTTTTACCTGAATCTCTCTTGGAACTTAGCTTATTAACCGTAGTATAATCATTCTAATTCCCTATATAATATTACTTACGATGAGGAGTTATATTTTTATCATGTTTCTTACATTAAGTCAGATTTTCTAAATTATTACTAGCAGTATTTTAATTCAAGCTAGGAAGAATATAATTTTTTCTAATCTATGTTGGTGATATCTATTTATTTTTAGATTGCTCTCTTTATTAATCTAATAATAATTATTATTATTATTGCTAAGAATTTGAATCATTGCTTTTTTAAAGATTACTCTAATCTTATTGTTCTTAAAATTCGCTTGAACCATTATTATTTGAAAGATTAATATCAAAATTTTTCAAATTTTCTAATTTATTTTCATTATTAGCATTTTATTTTTATCTACCATTAAATTCTGCTCCATTTTAATACTAATAAATTGGACTGCTATCTCTATTATTATTATCTTAATAGTTCGAAATTACACTCTAACTAACTCCTTTGTCTTCATCATTTTGATTTGCTTATAATTATTAGTTAGGAGAGTAAAACCTTTTTAGGTTTTTTTTGGACTTAGATCTTTTTTTCTTTCTTTTTCTTGAATTAATAGTGTCTTCCCTCCCTTTTTTAGGTGTAATGCTTTAACTAGTTGTCAAAATATATTCTTGCTTTTGCAATATTTTAGTATTTGTAAGATACTGCATTAACAAATTTTATTATTCAGATCTATTATTATTCGAATTAGTATCGACTCTGTTTATTAAAGGTGTAGAATTCCCAAGTTAGTTGAATTAATTTAAATCAATAGTTTGCTTATATTTGTTATCTTTTTCGAGAAAACTGTTATTGTTGTGCTCTTTATTTTAATAGAATGGAAGCAGAGTATCTTATTTAATGGACTAAGACTAATTTTATTACCTTATTTAGCTATTATCTACAGCATTTTCTGTAATAGTTGTATTATTGTTAGTATAAATTTAATTGTTTTTTCTTAGCTCTTTTATAACAGAATTAGGAATTATTCTTTAATCATCACCCTAAATAATGCTTTGGTCTACTGCAAGTTTCTATCTGGAAATTTATGGATTCAAACTGCTGCTTTTCATGTAAGAACTTGATTGTTTATAATCTAAAAAATTGGCAAATCTATTTGATTATTCTTGTGGAACACCATAAATCAATTTAATCCTTAATTTTCTCTATTCGCACTCTATTTCTCTCCATTTATCAGGATTAAAGACCTTCTATTAAGCTGAACGCTAATGACTAAGCATTGATTTACTTCCTAAATTAATCCTTTTGTTTAATTTAAAATTAAAATTTTGAATAGGATTAGTTGGTGTTGGCAGGCTGTTTGATTGACTTGTTTGCCTTTTGTTTTTTCTTTGAATTTATAAATTGACTTTATATATTGAGTATACTGAAATAATTATTAATTATTTAATTTTTGATGGTAAATTAAGCTGTATACTATCACTTACTCTCATTTACTAGTTGAATGATTTACATTTTCAATCCTCATTAAGAAATATTCGATTTCTTTGATTCATTCTAACAACTATTTCTACTCATCTATAACTATTTGAGTCGAGCAAAATATCTTTGTGCAAGCAAATAGATATTTTGTTATTAATTAATTAATTTGCCTATAATAATTTTGCAAATAAATGAAGTGTAACTTTTAAATATCAAAAAACAAGTTCTGATACATTAATAAAATTTTATAAATTTTTTTGCTTATTAAAAATATTTCTGTAAATATGAATTATTGATTACTAAGCAACCTTTTGATCTCTATCTTACTAATATTAAATAAATTATTTATAGATCTATTAATAGTAAGAGCACTATTAAAACTTAATTTTGTAAAGATTTCTAGTACTTTAATAAAAATGTAATGCTTTAAAGATAATTTAGCTTATAAAATGATATTTTTGATTTAAAATAAATTTAATTGCATAAAAATACTTAGAAAAATTAGAATAATAGTTCTATAAATAAATATATATAAATTGAATGAATATTTCAAAATTAATTATAACGATTATCCTTTAAAATATATATTTATTTGCAAAGTAATTCAGAGATAATTTATATATTTAATTATGAGTAAATCTGAAATACAAAACGTCAAGAAAAGTCAGTATAATTTCACCCTAATAAAATAATATTTATAATTTTGCTTAATAAATTATTTTTAGCTGAATTTGATCCTCCTAACGTTATTGTTGGCAAAAATAAATCAGGATTTTTTTAATAGGCGACATATAAAAGTAGAAATAATTAAATAGTTTTTAAAGATTAATATTCATTAGCGTTATATTTATAGTAGGCGATGTTTATGTAGACCCAGACTAAATCAAAAGAAACTATGAAAAAGAAAAGATAAAAAAAAGGATACATGAAGAACCATTTAGAACCACAGGTTATAAATAAATGTAATTTAAAATTAGTATTTCAAGTTTAAAAGATCAATTATTTAATAATCTCAAAGAGTTAGCAGTGCCTACAAATACTAAGAATAAAACAAATAAAAGCTAGATTTTAGAAAATTAAGAGATGAAGATGGTATTAAAATTATTTTTGGTAAATGCTAAAATATATTTTATTATTAACTAGGCAGGGTAATAGTTGGATATGCTAATATAAAAACTGGGTAACATTTATTGAATAAACTTAAAGTTAATAATATTAATAATAAATAAGTCCTGTGAATATGTATTTCTCAAAAGTTGAATATAAAGAAGACGATTTCTCAAGAAAAGAAATGTTTAAAAAGGTAGAATATAAAAATAATCAAAAGAAAACATATTCAAGAGGCTTGTTTAAAAATAAAATAACAATTGAGAAACCTACATTTTCTGCTAATAAAGAAATATTTGGTCCTTCTGAGCCAGATCCAGTAAATATTCTTTTTGGTTTTATAGTTATACTTGATTATAAGATGATAACAGAATAGATTAATAAGTTTTGATAAAATTTTATAAATAAAAAAATATGTTCTATAAATATACAGTTAGAAGTGATGAAAAAAGAATACTTAAGAGAGCAGTTTTTACTAAATGTTTAGAATAAAAGAAATAAATTAAAGCCAGAAGAGCTAAAAAAAAGGAGAGACATTTAAGATCTAGATATGTACACATATAAAGCTCCAGAATATATAGTAAATATTTTTATTTGTTTAATTATTTATTTTATATTCATATAAACAATAGTCGAATGGCTTTGATACAAGGATATTTGATAGAATGGATAGACTAAAAGAAAAGCTTACATCAAAATCAGAAATAAAAAGACCATCTACTGTTAAGAAATGATTTACATAAAAAATTATAATTTTAAATAAATTTTGGTACTCAAAAATTTTTAGATTTTAAAAAACAATCAATTTTAAATAAAAAGGATAGGATTTCATTTTATTTATATATTTATTTGTTTACTTATCTAGCTAGATGTTTAATTATTCTAAAGTTATTAAAATTATGGTTTGATTTATTCATTTCTTATAAAAAAAATGTGTTTATTTATTTATTTTGTAGTAATTTAAAAATAAATTGGAATAAAATCAATTCCTGTTCAAACTATTTTAGAGCCAGAATAAATTTTGTCGTAAATATTTTGATCAAAAATATTGAGTAGAATATTATATTAAAATATTACATAACTTATTTTAAATTACAAATCAAAATATCCTCCATAATTAAGAGATTAATTTCTGAAAAGACAAAAGATAAAAGAGAAAACTTTATTTTGATTATAGTTTATATTTTTTTAAATGAATTAATATTCATTTTTAAATTAAAATATGAGCTTTTTAATTTATGTTAAATTTGTTTAATAAAAATTTTTTAAGCTTTTTGCTAAAATTTAAAAACAGTAGTTTTTAAAGTGTGTAATTTTAAAAATTTGTAAAATTTGTATTTGTTTTTTGGCTGATTTAAAAGCAATATGAAATAGAATAAAATCTTATCAAACTTGTTTCAATATTCAAATTATTTTTTGTAGTAATTGTTTAGCTAGGTTTCAATATTAGTTATCACATAAAAAAACAAATCAATAAATATTAAATAATTTTTTATCAAAACAGGATATTGGTTGATAGATATTACTAGTTTGATAAGTAAGAATCGTCTCTGAAATTAAGAAAAATTAGATTTCAATAAAATATCTTATTTATAAATAGCAGACAAAAAATATAGCAAGCATAAAAAACATAAATGGAAAATTAAACAAATAATCAAGGGATATAGAAAGAAAAGTATAAACCTTTCTCTATAAATAAGCACAATAACTATTAGATTACTAGTCCAGAATACAACAAGCATAAAAGACATGTTTATATTATGACAAAGGCTGGAAGACCTGTTTATGTTAGATATGGAGATGAAATCGAATCAAGTAGTTTTATTGCAACTATGGGAGCTATATTTGAGAAATTTCATATTTATTTCTCATCTGACAAAAGCAATTCGAAGTGGCAGAAAATGATTATTAAAAATAAAGAAATACACTTCCTTTACAGGAAACAATTAGTTTATATCTGTGTTACTGCTCTTCCCCAAAAAGGCTCAAATTTATTAGAAAATAATTCAAATAAGACAGCATATTAATAAGTAAATGCTTCAACTTTGTTTAAGCCTCAAGGAGAATAGCAAATAGTTCAATATACTGATTTTTAGATAGGAAAGATGCTTGATTTTTTAAACATTTAGATGATATCGATTATGACAGATGCGGTTAACTAAAAATTAGAACAACGTTCAAATTATGATCCATTATAAAACTTAGGTGACAGAAATCAATTGATTGGAATTTCTATCAAAAATGGACTAAATTCACCTTCAATTCTCTTTAGCAGCTACATGGCTCTTCCTTTATAATCAGCTCATCGTAAATTAATACATTCGGCTTTGGGAGAAGGAGTTAAAGAAACAGGAGTTGTTGTTGCTTGTTTAATGACACCCAATTATATTATTGATTTATTCATTCAGAAGGGATATGATTTCAACGTTCATGACATTTTGCTGATACAAAACTTACTTCAATAAATGAATTCTTTGAGAAACTCTGAAAATTGGATCCCACTTTGTTTACCTGGTTTTTCTTGTGAAGGATTTATTTACTTATATGTATCATATATTTAAGGAGATGTTGCACTTGTTATGATCAGTACATAAAATGAAGACTTCTTTAAATGTAAAGATGCTTCCAGTCAGATATCCCAAAAGCTAATTTAATAAAATATACTTTAGAACATATTTTAATCAATATCATAAATGCCTTATTCTCATAAAATATAGTCTAATTAAAACTCTTCTATTATCAAACATTTTATTATAATTCAACAAGAATCTAACTAATACACATAGCCTAGCTTTGTGCCTTTTGGTAAGCAGCCAACCTTATTTAAGCATTACTTATCCAGTTATTCTAATTTGTATGCAAAGTTTATTGCAGCTGAAAAGAATTTAAAAAATGAATATTTATCAGTAAGTCGTGATTAACAAGAATATACAGGAATTTATTCTAATTCAGATTACATAATATTATTCACCTTAGATAAATTCATTTCAATCCCTGAAATAAACTCACAATTAAATCTGTTGATAAAGTGGATAAAAGTCGAAGAACAAGTCAAGTTTATTACTAAATTCTCATGATTTTTACAATATAAATATTTAATTATTTTTTTATATTTTTTTTTCGTAGAAATTTATATAATATATCAAAAATCTTCAAATATTAAGTTTATATCTCTCATTTTCTTTAATAATTAAATCATTTTATTAATAATAATTATGATTAAAAAGATTTTTGTTTAATTCACTTTAGGTTGTAAGCAATTATTTATATCTTTTGTAGTTAGAAATACTCAATTCAAGATTTTAGTTTTTAAAATTTTTAATAAAATTTAATTAAATTTCTTTGTTTCAAGTAAAAATTTCTAGAATGAATTTAAAATATTACAGACTTTTTCTTTGTAAGGTGTAAAAATTTGTTTTAAACTTTTATGTATTATAATTTTGAGAATTTTTATGATAAATAAAATCTTGATTGAAATATATTTAAATTTTGAAAACGTACTCTATATCTACATATTATGAAATAAAATAAATACTTATTTAAAAATTAAGTAAGTAAGTTAGTTAGTAAGTGAATTTGTTAGTTTTCCAGTTAAATTTCTTCTCATATATATCAACGATTTAAATTTACTGGTTTTTGAGCCATAGAAATTAATGGGATATCATTTTATAAAAATACAGATTCTTCCTCTTCTACTTACTCTTTAAGAGCCTATTCAAATGTTTCTCTTAGTTTAGTTAACATGGGTATACCTATAAAGAAAAATATGCTTAAAGGAATAAATGGGTTAGTTCCAATAGATTCACAAAGTTAGACAAAGGGAGGAGCAAAAATAGCAATGAGTTTTGTTGCGAATCCGAAGTAGCCAAAGGCGTAGTGACGAATGGAAGTAGGATATACTTCAGCAATATAAACATTAAATACACAGTTTCCGGTACTTATTGCTAATCTAAGAGCTATTATTGATACAAAAGTGATAATCTTAACAAATGAATTAGTTCTATCTAGTGCTAAGAAGACAAAAAATGCCAAATGGATAACTCCTGCAGTAAATAAAATTCCTCTTATGATATCTTTTCTTGGGTATCTCAAAGATATGTAGCCTGAATAGAGGTAAGCAATTAATTCACCAATACCCATTCCAATTAAGTTAACATTGATATTTCCTGCAAAATGCTCAATTGCAAATGCACTAACAAAGTAAGCAAAACTTAGTAGGCACCATAAATATGTTAAAATGAAAGTTCTTATACGAAGAGAATTATACTCGAAAAGACATTTAAAGGAATGCACTTTTGTTTATATTAAACCTTGATTTTACTATGTTTGCTGCATGATTTTATTTCCTCCTAATATTTTATCTAAATTATTCTTGAATGCCTACTATTTTATCTCTTCTTGAAGCATAAGGTTTTCAGGCAAAGGTCTGAAATTGATTTTTGAAATAGAAATTATTGCTACTTTCGCTTCCTAGAATTTTTTTTTCATAACTAAATACCTGGGACTTTCTACAATAGTTCTGGAGAAAGTAATAAGAACCAATAGAGGAATGGCTGTGTATATAAATGTGAAATAGTACCAGCTGGTATTGATCATTGCCAAAATAGCTATGATAATTTATCCTAATGCCCAGCCTATTGATAAAATATTGGGAGCCAGCTAACGAATTGTGTTGCTAGTTGTTTCTGTCAAATATATTATACATGCATTGAAAAAGGCTCTATATCCTAATCCAAAAAAGAGCAAGCAAAGAGAAAACATATAAATATTGATGGAAAAAGTTGCCAACAAAGAACTTATTGCCATGATCCACATGCATTCTTTAATTACTTTTTATCTACCTGCTTTTTCAGTAGAATCTGCATAGTACAAACTTCCTATGCATCCACCTAATAAAATTAATGCGCCGCTAATTCCCTCATAAGAATCTTCAGCACAAATTAAATCGAACTACTCAGTGAGAGATTTGTTTGAATTTTAATCAGGATAATAATAATTTGTATTTTCAGAGCAAGCATTTTCAATACTACAATAAGTTGCTTCTTCTTTTGTCTATGAAGAATTATAGCATGCTACTTGAGGTGTATCAAAAAGATAGGGAAATCCCATATTTAAAAATGCTGCTACTAAACATGTTAGAGACATCAAAGTAATAACCTTAAATTAATATTTGTGTGCATTACCGCATAAAAATAGTGCTGCCTCTATAGTAACTGTGTAAGGCTATGCAGTTTTATGACTGTTATTACTTTTTTAGCTTTAATTGTCTCCAAATGGCTTGCTTAAAAGCTTTTAGCTTAAATCAGCTGAATAATCCATTTAGTCCACTTTGCTCTATGGTTATTTTGTATTTTATTCTTTTAAAATAATATTTTATTTTATGATATCTTTAGCTTGCTGGTTATTTGTTATATTCCGCTTCCTTTCTATCCTATATTTTGAATTTATTTAAGTATTTATTTGATTAATTAATTAATCTCTATTTATGACAAATAAATAAATAATTATTTAATCACAAATTGCATAATTTATTTTGAATTAAATTAAAACAAATATTATCAAAAATATAATATAGAATTGTCTGAATTCTATTGGAAAAGAATGCTACATTCTTTCAAATTATTTTTTTAATATCCAAAATTCAGGTATAAAAAATTTATTTTATATTCATCTCCTTGCTCAATGCTCTAAAACATAACATTTCTAATTAGCTTAATATTCTATATTTTTTTTCTATCTTAAAATTAAGTATGAAATTTATGAATAAAAGAGAACCAATAAATAATCTATTTTATTTAGACACTAAAAGAATAGAAAAAAGAGATATATATTTTACTTTTATTTTTGGTTATAAATCATTGAATAAATTTTTTATTATGATAACAAAATAAATTAATTAAAATATTTAAAAGTAAAAGAAAAAAAAAATTACAAACGCATCAAAATTCAGTTTTTGAATATTTTTTTAAACAAAATTTTGAAATTAATGTATGAATCAATTGTATATATAAATATATATATATATTTTTATATTAGCATTTGTTACTGTTAGTTTGTGTTAATTTAAATAGAAACCTATTTTAAAATCTATTTGTAAGAAATACCATTTTATGAAAATCTTTATTTAATTTGGGATTTTATTTTTATTTACTATATATTTTTCTTATTTTAAATAAATAAAAAATAAATAAATAATTAAAATTTTACAATACAAATAAATTCAACATTTAATAATATCTTAAAACTTGAGTAAAATTAATTTTTTAAAGATTTATTTTAAAAATCAAATTTTCTTTATTTATTTATTTAGTTAATTTTATTTTCCATTTAAAGATAATTGATTTTATGCACTAAATCATATTTAAAATTATTTTTTAGCTATCTTAAAAAAGACTGTTTGCTTTGATTTAATAGGGATGATTTATATGTTTTAAAAATGAAAAATTTTATATATTTATTATATGGTTATCAGAAATATTAAAGATTAATAAATTCTTAAAATTTTTAGGGTTTTTTTGTTTAAATAAAATTACTGATTATTTAGCTAATTTTAGATACTTAAATATGATTTCCTAGTTTATTTCAAAATAAATTTAGAAAATATTGAATCCAATTAACATAAGATTTCTAAAACATGTAAGATAGTTTAAAAGAAAATAAGTAAACTTCAGTGTCTTCAAAGTGATATTTTTTATGATATTTATTTTGTTTTTCTTCCATTTATAATTGCAAATGAAATACATACTCTCTTTTAAATTTAAATTAAAACTATTTAGACTTTAAGTTATTGTACATATCTATACAGTATTTCAAAGAAATAATAAGTTTATTTATAAAAAATATAGTAAGCAGTAATTTAAAATTTAAATTTTAAATATCCAATACAAATGAATTCTAAAAAATAGGAATTTATTACATCTTATACAATCTGATAAAAATTTCAATTTTGAAATAGATGATTTTATAAGTAATATCTCATAACTTAAATGTTTAAATGAAATAGAGAAAAAAATTTATTTCAAGAATTTTGCTTGATCTTTATTAGCAGATTAGGTCCTCAAACATTTGCTGGCAAGAAAAATTTTAAAATTTATTATTCTAATTAATTGGCACAAGTAGTCAAACAAGATTGATTATTGATCGATTGATTTATTTATTGATCTATCCTAAATTTTAGATACACAGAATACAGTACAAATTTTAGATACTATTCTAATCAGTCAATAAAAGTTGTCAAAAACAATAATAAATCAAAGTAATATTTTAACAACAAAAATAATTCTTAACTTTAACATAATCAAAAAGCGAAAAAATATTATTAAAGATACAATTTAAGAAAAATGAATAGATTATTTGGTGCTTCTAAGCCAGCTCAATAGCCTGTTTAATAACAACCTCCTTAACCTCCTCAAGAGGAGCCTAAGAAATAGGAGTAACCACAAATTGATTTGACTGAACAATCTAAGAGAGTAAAAAGAATATTGATTCACATTACAAAATTTAATTTATTTATTTAATATAAAGATGGAAAATAGAGTCAAGGAAGTTGATGAAACTATCAAAAACCTTGAAAAAGAAATTGCTGACTTGTATAATAAAGCAAAAAATTCTAAGGGATCTACATAAAAAATGTATAAGTAGAGATGCCTCAACCTTATGAAAAAGAAGAAATTGTAATTTAGTTAAATGTGCATGAAAAAATTTATTAAATAATCTAAAATAAAATAAAAAAAGGTACGATCAATAAATGGCCAACTATCTTAACTAGCAATTCACCTTAGATTAAATAGCTTTCACTAAAGAAAACATTCAAAACACTCTTGAAATGGTAATTAATTTAAATTTGTTTTTATCAAATAAAGGTTAATAAAAAAAACTTTATTCAAAAAGGGTACTGCTATGAAATAAGCTGTTTCTGCCTAAAAGCAAATGTTCGAATAAGTTAATTTAGATGAGTTAGAAGACTTAAGAGATGATATGGATGACATGCAATATGAAAGCGACTATATGAATGAAATGCTTAACAGAAACTATGCCATCGAAGTTGATGAAGCTGAACTTGATGAAGAATTCGCATAAATAGATAATGAAATTTTCAAAGAATAAATGTTAGCTTAATAACAAAAACCTTAATAATATGTTCCCTAATAAATGTAATCTATGAATCAAGGATAACTCTAATAAAACCATATCTGATTAATAATATATAGAAAGCCTTAATTTAAGAACTATAAAAATAATAAACCAACGAATTAATTAATAAATTAAAAAAACTCATTAAAAATTTAATAAAAATAAAATTAAAGTTAATCTTTTTATTTTATTTGTAAAATCATATTGTTAATAAAATAAAAATCTTTGTTTATTTCAATAATCTTTATTTTCTAATATTCTAAATGATAAATGTGTTAATAAAATCATATCTAGAATATTAATTGATATTTCAGAAGAATTAAAATTAAATAAGTAAATAACTATTTATTTAAATCTAATTATTTTTATATGGTTTTTAGGATACAATTGTTAACTTTAAGGTAATAAACAATAAAATTTGTTGAATATTTATGTATGTATGTTCTTTTAATGATAGAACACCTTTAACAAATTATCTTTTTCATATATTTATTTAACAAAATAATATTTAGAAGATAATTAATTATCCACACAGAATTATTTTTAAAAGATTTCTATGGTAAAATTGCTTACTTTAATATAATAAAAAATAAAATATAATTAAATTATAGAAAATCTTCAATAAATTATCTTTTACATTGATTTATTTATTGTTTGATTAAAGCATTTATTTTTATTTCAATAATCAAATTTTATTCCTTGATTAAAAATAATATTTTGAGAAAAAATATTCTTAAAAAAGATAAAAGTTTATAGAATAAAAAATTATTTTTGATGTAAGCATGTTTAATTAATAAATTGCTTTTAATTCATTTAAATAAGGAAAATAATGGATAATTAAACTTTATACAATTAATTAATAATTTAATTTAACAAATATTTTTTTTAACTTAATAAATTAAATCTAAAATTGATACTTTTTTAATTTAAATCATAAACTAATAAACTAGATACTTAATTTAATCTTATGTATACATAAATCACCTTTTAATTATTTAATTAAGGATTAAATAAGTGTACATGTCTCATATGTGAATTACAATTAGAAAATATTAATTTCAAATAAAATTGATTATTATTTTTATTCTAAAACTTTTTATTTTAATTAAATAAATTTAATGATTATTTGTTTTTAAAGGAAAAATTTAATGTTCAGAAATTTTGAAAAGATCATAAAAATATTTTTTTCATTGAAGTTAGACAGATTGATAAATAAACAAACAAACAAAGAAAATAATTATAAATTAAATTTTTCTTACCTTTTTTAAATGTAAAAATAGTTTTTAAAATAATTTAAAAACATTTTGATTTTCAAAAAAAGTTTTATCAATGTTTAGTAAGATTTAAAAAATCAAACAATTAGCATTTTTAAAGATAAATTGGTATTAATACTTAAAAAAAAGATATTATAATTGAAAAATTAGAAATTGTTTGTTATATTTTCGCTGGAATAATTTGGAATTACATGATAATAAATTATATAAACAAAGTTAAAGTAAATTTTATATATTATTTAAATTAATTTTTTAGTTGCTCAGAGAGATGGTTTCATATAGGAAACATCTCTGATTTTTCTTAATTCTGCTTGTATAGCTTTTTATACTGGTATATCATTCAAACGGTTTTAATTAGATGCCCATTCATATAGGGTTTCATAAACTTTTCCATCAGATCTTCCAAGAGCTCCTAAACAACCATCGCTATAACAGAAGGCTTCTACTAAACTCAATGCTTCGTTTCTCAATTCATATAATAGGTCTTCTTTTGCTGATTTGATCATTTTAAACTATTCACCAGCCATATAACCGTTTTCAAAGAAGCAAGATGGGTTTGTGATGAGCTTTTAGATTCCATAGAGTAAACATAATTTGATAAGTACTTCTTTTACCCTTTCATTACTAGCTTCGACTATCATTTCTAGGAAGGAAGTATATGTGAAATATTCTACATGAGCAGTGGAAGCGTCAACTAAGTTGATTCCTGCATAACTGTCCCAGGTCTCTTTCATGCTAAGACCTTTTTCTAAACCTTCCATAATTTTTTATGATGCTATGCTTACCAAATAAGCTGCCTTTATTTAAAAAAATTTTCATTTATAATTTACACTTATAAGCATTTCTTTTTTTAGATTTTAGTTATATTTTTCAAAAGTGGTTATGCTTATATATAATAAGATGTAACCTTAATTAAGATGAGGTTTTTTATTTGACAATTTCAGTAAAAAAAATTAATTAAAAATTATGTTTTTTAAGAATAAATTATTTCTTAGCTTAAAAATAGAACTAATTTTATTGATCAGAGCTTAATTTATCAGAAAGATTTTCTTTTGTAAAAAGATATTCTAAATTCATAGAATATTAAACATTTTATTGTTTTTTTGGATTGCTTTCATGGTATTTTAAAATGTTTAATGAATTTTTGAAAATAAATTACTTTGTATCTAAGACATTTTCTTATTAAGTCTATGTTAAGGACTTCCCTTTTAGATTAGGCAGTAAATTTCTCGTTTTCAATTCCTACAACGCATTTCAAGTATTCAATGAAGGGAGGAATTTTTTCTCCTTTTAATGACTTGTTTAAGCCTTTCACTAAATAGCTTGCTGTTTACAAAGATAAAACTGTATTTTCACCTTCATAAGTAACAAAGGGAGAGAATTCATGGTAGATGTCTACGAATCTTGAAAATGCTGAAAATCCATGACCACCACAAGCTTGTCTTACTTTTTCTATGGCTTCAAGCATTCTTGCAGTGTAAACAGCTTTTTAAAATTAAAAATAATTTTAAAGTGATCTTGTAATAACGTTTATAATATCATAAATATAATAAATATAAAGAGTAGCGCATTATTTGTTAAATTGCTATTTATTTATTTTTTTTTCAATTGTAGATTACTTAGTTCTTCTTTGTTTTTATCAAATTAATCTTAGATAAAATTTAAATGCTAATTGTTAATCTAAATTGATTTGTTTATTTGCTGTTTGTTGGTATAAATTTTTTAAATTCAAAATGTACCTTTGCATCCACTTGCGATAGCATGATAGTCTTTAAATAAAGAAAAATCTTCTCTTTCAAAAATGTTTTTTATATTTTGTTAGTGAAGACGTGTTATTTTTCTTCCACCTGCAAGGAGGGCGTATGTTTCAGCAATATATGGAATTATTTTTTCTTATTGCAATTAGTAATCTAAGACTTTTTTTTCTATGCCGTTTGAATCCTTAAATTATGTTCTAAAGAGAGAGTATCTTGTGCCTATTGTCAGAGTCCTTGCCATAATTAGAGAGCAACTCGTGATAATATCAGTTCTGATTTCCATCATGCAAGCATAGCCTACTTTTTCATTTTTTGGCTTAGAGAAAATACCACTCTTGCTTACCTTAGCGTATCTCATAAGCATATTTTCTCTAGGTATTCTAACATTGTTCATTCTTAGGTACCCATTATCCTTAGCATTCTTTGTAATAAATGAGAATATAAATATTTAATGAAAAAAAAATCGATGGATTTGTAAAATTTTTTCGAATAAACTCGTCATATCTTTAGATTTAGAAAAATGATCATTTAATTACATAACCCATCTTGACTCCTAGATCTCCAACAGTTATTCCAGGAAGTGGTTCATGATTTTCGGTGTCTCTTATTTAAACTATAAATGCTTGCACTCCGTAGTTCTTTCCATCAATTAAAAGTTAGGCAAAGGCTACAACATGTGTGCTAGTAATACCCTATATTACAAAAAACATTAAACATCTGTTTGAAAAAATGAAAGAATATTGATTGAAGAAGTAGAACCTAGAGGATAGAACTTTTCCTAATTTACTTACAATTTTTTTTATAAAAGGAATAAAAATAGCTTATATAAATTAAAGAAGTTCTGTGGAGATTACTCGAGTTATTTTTAATTAATTTTTTTTATTATTGAGAAAATCTTCTGTTTATTTCCGATACAGAGTGTAAAGGTCATTGTAAAAAATTAATTATTAAAAGGTTTTGAGCTTAAAACACAGAAACTTACTTCATAATTCTTCAATAAGGATATCTCATATGAAGGACAATAAAATATACAAAAAATTTAAATACTCTAAAAATGCTAATTTGCTATTTTTGATAAACATTTTCATCCTTAGGAAGGACAATTTAGCTGTTAAAAGCATTTATTTGGAAAAAATTTTGAATATCCAGTAGGTTCTTAACTGTATCAAAAATACTAAAATATAAATAAAAAATATGTTACCAATTCACCAGGCCACCATTTGGTTGAAGACAAGGTAGGACTGTTGATAATAAATTCTTGGTTATCTATGTCAAAAGTAGCTGTTGTTTCTAAGCTCTGGACATCCGATCCGTGCCCGAGTTCAGTTTGAGCATATGTGCCGAAAATTTAATGAGATTCAGCTAAAGGGATCCAGTACTTGACTTGTTTATCTGTGCCCAAATATTTAATAGTTGGAATGAACATCTTCCAATGAAGACCACAAAAAGGCTGGTTATCAATGTGACTGCTCAAAACGTAATTAAAATCTTCCTTTAAACATTTTAAAAAATAGTAAATTCATTAATGTTAGTTAGTTTGTTAGCTTTAAAAACGATTTAAATTTTTAAATGAAAATATTGATTGGTATTAGAAAAATTATCATTCATTCGTTCATTCTAAGATAATTAATAACCGATTAAAAGCCAAATACACCTAGAATCAAGCCAAATTCAAATTAAACTGAATTAATTTAATTATTTTAAATAGAAATTTCTGTTTACTGTATTGTGAAAGCCTAATAACTCATGCATTCTTCTGGTTCTCTAAGCCATTAATATGAAGATTTCTTCTCTAGAAGCTCCAAGGTGCTTAGGATCATACCTGATCAAAGGATCTTCTTCACATATTCTTTGTAATTTATTGATCCTATCAATTTTTTCTTGTGATCCCCAAATAACAAGTGATAAGTCATTGACTTCAAATGATGCCTTGGATCTCTCTTAGGCATAAAAATCGTTTGAGCTGTCTTAAATATGTTGAGTTCTTCCCATATTTTAATGTAAATCTGAAAAATGATGCAAGTGAGTTAAACTGTTTACCTTTATGATAAAAAAGCTTTAATTATGAAAATTTAGATTTATTTATATAATTAAATTAAAACAATAGGCGAATTTAAATCGATGCTAAGTTGTATTAAACAAGCGTGTTAAATGATGTCTATTTCGACTGTCCTCATTTCATAGGTTATTCTGTGACGTAATGCTTTGTCATCAGCTTTTGTCTTGCCTTCTGTGAAACTTTAATTGCAGTCTGAAAAATTACGTCATTTACTGTAGCTGTAAAACTTAAATTCTATTTTCAATACAATTTCCCACTTTTTTAATAGATTTTTAGCTGAAAAACTGTAAATTTTAAAATTTTTAGGATAATCAAATATGTTTTTCAAATTCATTTTTACAAAGATGCATTAGATTTAAAGTTAAATTTAGATAAAAAGGAATATTTTTATGAAATAAATACATTTATCTATGTTTTTAAATAATAATTAACTAATTTTTATAATATAAATGAAACATTTGACAGTTTAGTTTATAAACAGTGCTATTAATCGATTTAAAATTAAAATGATAATTTTGTTGACGTAAAGTCAAAATTTAATTACATATTATTTTTAAAAAGGATTTAAACGGAAAGAAAATGGATCTGTAAGATCATAATTCAATTAAAATTTTACTGAACTATAAATTTCTCAAGATAAATAATTAAATGAATCTAAAATTTGTTTTCCTTTCAATTTATTTTTTAAATATTAAATTTAAAATAATCAAAATAAATAAATTATTTTGTATGAATTAAAAATTATTTTTACTTTTCACAGTAAAAAATTTAAAAAATTTGACATTATTTTAAATTTAAAATCAATTTGTAATAAAATTGCTAAAATTTTTATTTGATATGAATAATTTTTTAAAAAGTAAAATAGCTTGTTTTGAAAATTATTTTAATAGCAACAATAAATCTTTAGATTTTGGAATTTATTTAAATTTATAATAAATATGAATTTTAGTTAAATTCAATTGATTTGTTTTAAATCATTTTTAATAAGCAAAATAACTTATTTTAAAAAATATTTTAATAGTTAAGTAATAATAAAATCTTTTAGATTTTGGTATTCTTTTAAATTTAAAATAAAAATGTAATACAACTTCTACAAACTTTGATTTGAATACATTTTTATTAATATAAAATAGTTAGTTTCAATAATTTGAATTTTAATTAAATTGATTTGATTTGTTTTGAATCATCTTTAATAAGCAAAAAAACTTATTTTAAAAAATATTTAATAGTTAAGCAATAATAAAATCTTTTAGATTTTGGTATTGTTTTAAATTTAAAATAAATATGTAATACGATAATCAGTAAAATTTGATTTTAATACATTTTTATTGATATAAAATAGTTAGTTCAAAAATATTTTAATAATTAATCATAAAATCTTTTAGAATTTTGTATTATTTTAAATTTATAATAAATTTTAATAAACAAAAATATCTTATTTTAAAAACTATTTTAATAAATAAATAATAAGACATTATACTAAATTTAAAATGAATATGTTATAGAATTTCTACAAAATTTGATTTGACTTGAATACATTTTTATTAAAATAACCTCAAAATTATATGGATTTTATGCGATTTTTAATTTATAAAATATTAAATAGAATTTATAAAAAATTAGATTTGGCTCAAATAAATTTTTATTTAAATAAAATTGCTTGTTTTCATAATTATTTTAATAATTAACCTCAAAAATTATTAGATATCATTTTAAATTTATAAAATATTAAACATGCAAAAATATTTATTAAAAATTAGATTTGATTCAAATAAAATTGTATTAAACAATTAATATCACAAGAAAATTAAATGGGTTTAAATTTTGATTGATTGTAATAAATTTTTAAAAGTTAAAATAATCAAAAGCTTTTTTTATTTATGTTAGCTTCATTTTAATTTTAATAACACTTTACTTTTTAAAATCGTTGGTCTTTCAATGAAGATTTAAGAAGCTAAATTAGCAGGTTAACTTTCTTGTTATAAATATAAAATCAGTTAAAATTTAATAAAAATATTTATTATTTATCATATTTAAAAAAAGCTAGTTTTTAATTTGATGAAATTATTTTAAGAAATTTAATTTAAAAAAATACTAAATACCATTATAGAATTAAAATAAGACAATTAAAACAAACAGGTAATTTATTTCATATAAACATAAAAGTAGATAAAGCAAAGCAATAAAATTGAAATTTTATACAACTTATTTAGTAATTTTTCAAAAAAAGATTTGAAGAAATAGTATTAAGAAAACTAATCTTATAAAAAAGAATTTGTCTTAGAATTTAACTTTATTAAGAAATGCAATAAATTATTTTAATCAAAATAACTCAAATAAAATTGGCCTAAAAATAAAGTCCATTAAATATTAATAGAACTAAAGTTTATTAAAAATACCACAAATGAAAATAAAAAAATTTTTAATTTTAAATTAAGAATAATTAATTTGCACAAAAATAAAGCTACATTATAATTTTATAAACTAAAATAATATTTTATTTGCTTTATGTTGTTTTTTATAAAGTAGATTATTTAAATTTAAATACAGTTTATATTTATGAGAATATTTTGAGTAAAATTAAATTTATGAATTTGTGGGTATTTGTAAGATAGATAGATAGATAATATTTTGATTATATTTAGTAAAATAGTAAACGAATTAAAATTCTTTTTACTTTGGATTAGCAATATCAAAAAACATAATTTTCTAATAATGTTGATTTAAAATATAAAAGAAAATAGATTTGAATTAAATCTTTGATAATCTAAATAATTAATATATAAAAAATAGTAAATTTATTGTAATAGATTATCAAAAATTATTCATTTTGTCCTCTATTACAGAAGAAATAAACTATACTTTTAAAAAAAGTGCCTAGAAAGGAATGGATTATTATGATTACGATTATGATGAAACTTACCAAAAAAATTCTCCAACAAGTGAAGAATATGTTTTTGAATAAAGTCAGCAGTAAAAACTTCCATATTGCGTTACAAACATTGTTGAAGGGTAAATTGAAAATCCCTATTTATATTTAGATTATGAGGAGGAATAATAAAAGGACGAATAAGAATAAGAATAACGTGAAATATCTTATGAAAATGTTTAACTGAGTTAAAAAAATGTTGTTTGCAGTGGAAATTTAGGTGAAAATAATAAAATTGTCTAAAATTAAGATTAAGAATTAGGTAGCACCACTGCTAATACTAATTTTGAAATATATGAAGAGAATTAGACTAATGAAGATGGTGAAAGAGCTAAAGTACTTTAAATAATATACAAGAGACAAGACCAATAGATTGATATCCTATAAAATTGAAATTTTAAAGAATAGTAGGATATTATAAATTATTAAATATTTATATAAAATAGAAATAAGTATACATGCTAGGATTGTAAAACAATAGACTAAAGTATAAAGTGAAAAAGTATTAAAAGAGCCTATACAAGGTACCAATAAAATAAAGCATATTTACAATAATTAATTAATCTTAGCATAAAGAAAATACTATTTAATATTATAAGTATTTTTACAATAAGTAGAAACACTTATATTATCATAAATCAATCAATATATTTATTTATTTATTACTCAGATTAAAATAATAAAAAATTATAATAATCATCTAATGGCTTCATGCAAATTATATACTCAAGACAAATAATAATTAAATTAATTTATTTATCTAACTCAAAACTTACAAACAACCAAAATGAACTAACTATTTAACTAACTTATTAATTAATAATTAATTAACTAACTTTCTCTATTTTAAGAATCTATTATAATTCTTATTTATTTTTATACTATTATTCTTTAAAATATATTCATCAAATATTAAAGAACTAAATAGCTTATTGAATCTTATTTACTTATATATAGATTTTTATTACTTCTTAATTTTTATTAGCAATTATTAATACTAAAGTATTTTTAATAATTCCTCAAATTCAAACCTTTTTTTAAATTAAACTTATTTAAGTAATAAATAATAGTTATCTATCATCTTTTTTATTTTGAATAGTTAATCATTATTTCAATCCAAATTAAGTTATGAGAAAAATTTATTATTTATTAATTGTTAGCTATCTATCTATTAATTTGTTTTACTTCAAATCCAAATATTTTTTAAATAAAATCAAAATATTATTTATCAATTCCATTAAATTGTAAATTATCTACCTTTTTGCTTTACAATAAATATATGTATGAGCCAAATTTTAATCTAATTTACAGGATGTTTTGTTTATTTATTTATATTCTTTTAAATATATTTATTTAAAGCTTTTTATTTGAACATTTTTAACATTAATATGTATTTTAAAATTAATTAATAAACTTTCAATTGATTGAAACGATTTTAAAATTTTTTTGTTTTCTTATTAGATTTTATTTAAACATAATTAAAATAATTATTATAATTGTCAATAAAAAAATTAACTTTCACTTTCAAATTTATATTTTTACAAAAAAGTAAAATAATATTATTCTCCCATTAAATTGATCAAGATTTAAAAAATAATTTATTTAAAATAAACATTATTTTAAAACATTTAATACTTTATATTAATCATTTTTAATTATTATTTTATCAAAAAACCCTTTTTATTTAATTTATTATATTTAAAATTTTTTTATATGATTGATAACTGTCAAAAAAAATGTTGTTTAGCACAATTAAGAAATAAAAAAAGTAAAAAATTAAATAATAATATTATTAATTTAGAAATATCAGAAGTGTATAATATTATAATAAATCAGAATAAGTTTTTAAAGCACACATATTCTTCTGAATTAATTTATATATTTTTTAAATTATAGATAACAAATAATCCAGAGTAAACAGCATAATATTAATTAACTTACCAAAATAATAAGTAAATAAATAAATAGTTTTTAAAAATGAAATATTTGATAGACGGACTAGACTATTAACAATTTCCTATTCCAAAATATGATAAGTCTGAGATTATAGGTAATATTCTAGCTACTGGGTTGTTTGTGATATAATGGCTGTACTTCTTAATTAAATACTACCATTTGCCAGAAAGTATTCCAGTTTAATTTAATTTAGAAGGATAGCCAGAATAATATGGGAATAAAACAACCCTATTTGTTTTTCCAGGCGTAATGACTTTAATAGTTGTAATATTAACCATCTTAGAGCGTTTTCCTGATAGATTTAAATATTCTTTGCGCTTGGATGAAAATAATGCTCCTACAGTTTACAAATATGCTCGTAAATTCATAATATATATGAAAATAGTGACCTGTGCATTGTTTCTTTTTTTGATCAGCCAGATGATTAGTGTTGTAAACTTAAAAAGTAAGCCTAAGGAAATGTACTTTTGTTTTTTATTTGTGCCAGTCTATTTATTCGGAGTCTTTGTGTACTTCAGATACATGAAAATAATTCAAAATAGACAAAAAAAAGTAACAATTTGATATATTTAGAATGAATGATAGGTAGAATATTTTACTTTAGGTGAGAGAATATTTATTTATTAATAAGAATTGCTTGCTTAATAATACAACTAGCAAGTTATTAACATACAAACAAACAAATAACTAAATAAAAAAATAAACTAGAAATTAATTAAAAACAGATAAAATTTATATTGAAAATAAATAAATAAATAAATAAATAAATATTATGAAAGTATATTTTTTAAACATGTTTTTAGAAGTAGAATAGATTAATTTATACTATTTAATTAATATATGTTTTTTTTACTTATTCATATCATTAAACAGATTGTTATTATTTATTATAATGGGATAACTTAAATGGCTATGGTTTCGTTTTGCTTTATCTGGTTTCAGTATCATACCTTTTATGAAGGTTGAATACTTGATCTTCTTTATGGATACGCTCTTATTTTTATCTTTCTGCTCTGTCCTTATTTTAGAGGAAATTTTCAAGTCCCTTTACTCGATCAATATTTTGCTTTTTATCCACTTTCTTGTTTTTATTTATTGTTGGAGTGAAAGTGCATTCCTTGAGCTCTTTATTAATGTATTGTTTCTTTTACTCTCTAAGTTTCTTTTCTTTAATTTAGACCTCCATTTTTACACTCTTATGGCACTTTTCTTAGTTATAATATGCTGGGACGTGCATATATTTAATACTTTGAGAAGTTGAGGGATAAAATGAACATTCCTTCATTTTTTCGAATTCTTTTTCCTATTTTTAAAAATAAAATTCGATTTTGAAAAATTAACAAAATAATTTATTTATTTATTTTTACTTCTTAAAGCATTTTAATGTGCATTTTTCCTGTGTAATTGTAAGCTAGCTCATCAAGATCTCTTGATCTTTTAATAATGTATATAAAATATTAATTTAAACACAAATAAATATTACTTATCATTAACAATATATCTAGAGACTTCGTTAATAGATGGAGTAAAGGTCATTTAAGATTCATATTCCTTTTATCTTTAATCATTTTTCATTTTTCTCATTTCTATTTCTTTTTTATACATTCTCTCTATTTTTTAATCTTATGTTTCTGTTAATCTCCCTTAGTTTTCATACACTATAATTTCGCTGATTTAATTTATCTCAGGTTTAAAAGAGCATTTGTCTTTTTCTAATTCTTATGCTACTCTTTATTTTTTATCTCTTGACTACTTTTCAAGTACTTGCTAACGTTAAACAACGTCTTTTTATATTAATTTTATTTTATTATTGGTTACTAAATTCTTAACAATTTACCAGCTCTTCCATCGTAAAGTGGAAGCTATTTTGCTATTTATATGCTTGCAGGATTCGTCTAAGGATGGAACTTGCACTCTTTGTTCACTTCCTCGTAAATCTAAGTCTACAATTTCTCCTAAAATAATTTAAAAATTTTCAATTCCTCAGCATAAAGTAAAACAAATTAATACAAAAAAATCTAAAAACTACTTTTCTTTTTTATTATTCAAAAAACTCCTGATTTAATCTTTCAGCTACATCTTTGTTATTTATCTTTGTTTCAGCTATTTCTGCACTCTTAGGATTGATCTAAGGCTAAAACATAGACTACTCCTTTAGTTTTAACTAATGAATAATATCCTATTTTTTCTTAGCTATTTCTGTAAATCTCTCGTAAATTGGAGGTTTTTATTGTAAAGGCTGAGAGTAAATTTAAGGTTTAAAAGTTAAATCTTCAGTTTCCTTTACTTGCTTTTCTTATTGTTATTTTTATATTTTTTGTCTGTACTTAATTGCCTCTAAATTTAATCTTTCTTCAACTGGTCTATAAATAATTTTTTATGTTTACAAAATATTTACTAATAAATAATAAAATTTACAAATTATTTTCTTTGTTTTTGTTTTCTGCTATCACCTTGCTTAATAGGTTTATTTCAGGACTTTTTTAGCAATTAGTTATGATCTGAATTTAATAATTTATATTAAAAAAATTCTTTATTTTTAAAACTTTGAATTTAAAAATTACTCTGGTTTCTTCAATTCTCTTCTTTTCTTACTCGTTTTATTCGTGAAATTATTTTTTGTCATCATATAATCTAAGCCAGGCTGAGCATCTTTCCTCCTCTGTGAGAGGATCTTTATGTATATTTTTTCTGAGCAGTTCTTACTCGTTTGATAGTTTGCACTAGGCATGGAAAGTATGTTCATGCTTTTTCTTGTCTTAACTAGTATTTATATTTATATGAATTCCAAAAATATTAAAAAAATGTGTTACTCTTCAATTCTGTGCTATATCAGCTCTTTTTATTTTTTATCTTTTTATTCTTTGAGATTAAGAAGTTTACTCTTTAAATCTTTGACTGTATTTTTTGCAGTTTTAACTTATTCATTGCTGCCCTTTTTGTTATGAGTTAAATCTTAATGGCTTTTATTTACTCTTAATGAATCTTAATTTTTTACTGGTTTATCACTAATAAAGTACTTTTATTAATTATTATTATTTCGTTGTTAACTATTTTTATTCTATTTATTTTAATTCTATGATTTTTATCTATTCTAAACATTCTCTACTTAGAAAAAGTTATCACGTTTAATTTAATTGTAGTTTTACTCATCTTAATACTAATCGCCATACTAGCTATATTATTGCTAGTTTTCATACTCTAAATGTTAGTTATTGCTTGTGTTTTAAGAGTAACTGTTTTAATATTAATTATGATCATCCTCTTAGGAATATTGCTCTTAGTTGTAATGATTCTAATTGTTAACTTCGTTTAATTCATCTTCATCATCATCTTCTTCTAATTCTTGATCTTATTCTACCATGTCTCTATTCAAATATCTTTAGTTTTCCTCAATTTATTCTTTAGACAACTTCATTTAATCTAACAAAATCTAATTGTGATATTTGTTAAAAGTGTAGTTATAGTTTTAAGCACTAAAGTTATTGCTATCGCTATTATGCTCTGAACCTTGTTAATTCTAATCCCCTTCTTCACTAAGAATGCTATTTCTTTTGCTATTAGAATTGGATGGTATCTGATTAAACAGGTTTTATTATTAAAAAAGATTGCTTTATTCCTCAGCTTAATCTTGAATCACAATTTATTCTTTTTGCTTATCTTATGAAATTCTCTTCTAAGATCCTGAAGACTTCTATTTCAACAACTTTTATATTTCATTCCTTTCGTTTCTCAAAACATCTAAAATATGCTTCCTACTTTCTTAAGTAATTCCAGACATTTATCTGTAAGTCTTTAAGTAAAAAAGTAAATTACTGATACAAATATTTTAAAAATTATAAGATTAATTTTGAATTTATTAATCAAAGTTTTTATGAATAAGCAAGCTAACAATATAAAGTTATGTATTCACTAAAATCTAATTTCTATGCATTAAATATATAAATAAATTATTTATTTATTTAAATTCGCAATAAGCATATCTTTAAAAACAAATGAATCTTATTAATTTAATACAAATAAATAAAGCAATATGCTGTAAAAATCATTATCATATAAATAAAATATTATCAATTTTAAATGTTAATATTGATTGTTTCGTTTAATTAAAATAAAGTAAAAACTTTTTTCAAAAAAGATAAATAAATGTTAATCCAATATCATAATTTTATTTCCCTGATATTTGTATAAAAATTTAAGTTGCTATTAAAAAAATGATTCAATAAAAAAATCAAAAATTATTATTGTACTTATTTATAAAAATTAATTTATTTGAGTGCTTTTGTTGCATTTATTTAGTTAATAAATTAATTTAGTAATCATCAAAATAAAAAGGTTTATTTTTTTATCAAAGCTATCACTTAAATACAAAAAGTAAGAATATGAGATCATTCAATATATTCAATATGATACAATTTGAGTATTTGGGCTATGTAATTAGAAGATCTATACAAAAAAAACATAATTTTAAAAAAACAGATTTATTTAAAACATTTCTTTCAAAATTCATTTTAAAACTTATAGTATCATAAAACAGGCTAAGAATAAAAAAAGATAATTATAATTATGCTATAATTCTAATGTGAAGGTTAATAACCCAATTCAATATTAAATTGGGTTGATAATAATTGCAATAATTAATTATAAATCAAAAGTTCTTGCAAATTTCATAAACTTAAATAAATTAAAACAATTTGATATAATACAAAATAAAATTAATTTATAAAATATGAATTTTTTACTTAAATATATTTCTCCTTTAAATCAAAATTAAATCAAAATAGTGGGTTAAATGAATTTTAATAATAAATTAATAAACTTGGAAATAATAATAAATAACTATCTTAAATAAATTCAAATAAAAAATAAAGATATACAAAAGTGAGCAATCAGAGAAGTATTAATTAAGATTATGAGTAATTATTATAAAAATAATTTACATACTATGTTTGAACTTCATACTAAAAGAAGACTAAAAATCAACAATTTATTTATATTAAAATTTAATTAATTTAAGAGGAAAGTTTTAAAAAATTATTTTTATGATATGCTTGAAAAAATAATTTTAAAAAAAAAATTTAAACTGAATACTTGAATTAAAAAAAAAACTTAAATTATAATTTTAAATTATACTTAAATATTTATGATTGTTTTTTTAAAAAGTTTAGTTTAAAGTTAGCTTTTAAATATTTTTAATTCATTGAAAAAAATGGAATATTTTTAATGAAGTGTATTAATTAAATCTTTTTTCATTTATTTAAATTTTGAATAAGGCCAGTAAGTAAATTGTAAAATAAATAAATAAATAATTTAGATTATATTTTATTTAAATTTAAAGTAGAATGAATTCTCTGGTAGTTAACACTGATGGGATAATAGTGATGAAAATAAATCCAATTTTTGGATTTTTATTTGCATAAATAAAGTAATATGTAAATTAAGGGGCTTTAGATTAAGTTATCAGGCAAAAAACTATTGATTTACATGATTGTAGTAAATTTATTCAAATTAAAAGCCATTTTTGTTTAAAAATAAAAATTCTTTTACACATTTACATTGAATAAATACAATAAATTATAAAACAAATATTAGACTTTATTTTTTGATACTCCTAATTGATATTGAAGCTGCATATAATAGATATATAGATAGATAAATAGATCAATTGATTGATTGATCGAATACATCATAAACAAACAATAAAAGATTAGAAGAAGACTAAATAAATATATTTAGAAACCAAAGAATTCTAAAACATAATTTGCAAATAAATAAATAAAAAACAAATAAATAAATAAATAGAGTTACTTACTAATATTTATAACAAAAAGTGTTAAAAATAACAGTAGAATGGACAACAAAATGAATGATATAATAGTAGGAAAGACATTTAAACTGACTAAGAAAGTCAGTTAAGGTGCATTTGGTGAGGTTTTTCATGGAATTAACTTAAATACTAATATGGAAGTTGCAGTCAAATTAGAGCCAGCTAAAACGAAACACCCTCAACTTTTCTTTGAAGTTAAGCTGTATTAATATTTGCAAAGAGATGCAAACGTAGCCGATAAAGGTATTGCAAATAATTCTGCTTATTTTACTGAAATTATCTCATTCTATGATAATTGCATTCATTAAATGTTATTTTTCGATAGAATTAACAAATTATTTTATTTAGAAGCGAATTAGTCAAGAGTTTTTAGTAGCAGCCATAGATAAATAAACACACATTTTTTAGATTAAATTTTAAATTAGATTTGAGAAAAATTCTATCAAGTATTTTTTAAAATAATGAGTGCCAAAAAATGAAAGCAATTAATTAATTTTGAACATTAGTTAATCTAATTTTTTTTTAAATTATAGGTATCCCAAATGTATATTACGCTGCTACTGAAAGAGAATATAACATAATGGTTATGGATTTGCTTGGTCCCTCTTTGGAAGATTTATTCAATATGTGCAATAGAAAATTTACAGTTAAAACAACTTTAATGTTAGCAGATTAACTTATATAAAGAGTTTCTTATGTCCATAGTAAACACTTCTTGCATCGTGACATCAAACCTGATAATTTCTTAATTGGGACAGGAAAAAACGCCTATAAAGTATTTATCATTGATTTTGGTTTAGCAAAAAGATATCTTAAGAAAGATGGAAAACACATAGAATATAAAGAAGGAAAGTCACTAACAGGTAAAATCAATAAGAAAAATTTTTAATATAAATAAAATAAAGATTAGCTAGCAAGATCTACTTTAGAAAATATATGAAAAAATTAAAATTAAATCCAATTATCTAGAAAAGCACTTAACAAACAAAAAGCATCTATTTAATGAATATCCAAAACATCTTTTAGTAATATTCTAGATAAATTAAAATTGATACTGTGTAATTTTCAATATTTATCATAAGGGAATGCGAATAACTATTTACATTACTAACTTAAATAAAAATGAGTTTGATAAAATTGTAAGCAAAATAACCAAAATTAATAAGTTGTCTGTTAGTGAGTTCTTTGAGTTGATAAAAGACTCGATTAAACAACATTACTTTCTTCATTCAAAATGAATGTTAATTAATCTGTTTAGATTATTAATTTTTATTTAAATATAATAGGAACTGCTAGATATGCTTCTCTTAACACTCATTTAGGAATAGAATAAGGAAGAAGAGATGATTTAGAAAGTTTAGGATATATGTTTATGTATTTTTTGAGAGGATCTCTTCCTTGGCAAAATTTAAAGGCTACAAATAAAAAAGATAAGTATGAGAAGATTATGGAAAAGAAACTTTAAACTTAGGTAGAAGAACTTTGTAAAGGATTTCCCTCAGAATTTGCTACTTATTTGGCTTATACAAAGAACTTGAGATTCGATGAGAAGCCTGATTACGAATATTTGAGAAAACTTTTTAAGGATTTATTTAAAAGACAAGGATATGAGTAAGACTACTAATATGATTGGAAATTGATAGCAGAAAAGTAACAGAATAACGGCTAAGGATAGACACTTTTATAAAATTATTAAAATCAACCATCATTATAATAATCATCAAATCTTCAAGGAGGTGGAGTTGCAAGAACAGAGACAATGGCTTCTAATCAAAAATAAATGGGTAACTCAAAAATAGCAGAAAAATAGCCATAAAAATAGTCAAGCTTCAATGAGTAAAATAAAGGAGAAAATAAATTATATGGAGGCGATGATAAAAAATTCTGAAAACAAAAAATAAGTAAATAAAAACTAAGTGTAAAAACGAAATATTATTTGTAGACTTCAATCACATCATGTAACAAATAAACCAAAAAGCAATTAAATAAATAAATAAAATTGACTGTGCCTACCAAAAAAGTATTATATGCATATAATTAAATTAATGAATAAATAATAAATAGTTATTTTTCTAGCCAAAAAAAATAACAGTTAGTTAGTTAGATAGTTAATTAATTAATTATTAATGTCTAATTAATTTCAATCCATTTAGAAAATTATTTAGTATTTCAACAATCTCTCTTTAATACTCAAAAGTTAGTATCTTTGTTACTTCTTGTTTTTTTTGGAAACTGTCTCTATATAACATATCATAACTATCTATCTATCTATCAATGAATAATCAAATCAATCAATTAATAACCTCTAAATAAATAAACAAATAAAAAGATTCTTCCAAGATTATCTATCTTTTACACACACATTCATTAGAACTCTCATTCTTAGTTAATTACTTACTCACTTAAATCATTCTCCCATTTAATTATTATATATTATCAAATATTCTTTTTAACTGTTTTATATATTTCTCCAGTCTTTAGTTTATCAAACCTTTTATTAAGTCTTATATTTTCACTTTACACAATTTCAAATAATGAATAATTCTAACATTTAAATCATTATTATTATTACTATTGAAATTAAAATAAATAATTTTTAAAATAAATTTTGTATTTTTCAAAGGTATCTAAAATGATGATTGAAACTTTCATTTAAATAAATACTTTTAAAACATTCATTTTCATTTTATTAATTTTGATGAAAATTATAATTTAAATTTATTTTTTTTCTAAAACTTGCTTATTAAAAAAAATAGCTAGCTCTTATAATAAATACAAAATAATATATTCACCTATCAATTAATATGTTGATTTTATTTTATTTTTTAATTAATTTTAAATAATAATTCAATTAAATACTTCTAAAACATCAAAGTAAATATATGTTTTTAAATGAAAAATATACCTACCATTCACTCATATATTCACAAAATTGTTGTCAGTGTCAAATTAAGAGGCCAACTCTAGATCATTATTTAGATAGATTTTAAATGCATAAATTCAAAATAGTTAACATAGGTTTGAGTATCAATCTATCTATATTTATTATTTGAATAGTCAAAACTTGCTTCAAAAAATTTAGAATTTAAAAAAATGTATTTATTGTTTTTTCGTTTGCTTTTTGTTTGATTTTTTTCAATAAAATACAATACTATTTTTAAGGTAGAGATTGATTTATGCACTCCCATTCATATTTTTAATTTTGATAGATTTTTTCTTTTTAATAATAAATAACATTTTAAATCATTAGATTTTCAAAAAATCAACTAAAAGTTAATTTCGCAAATTAATAAATTGAAAAAATCAACAAGCTAACAAATAATTAATAATTCAACATCATTAACAAATACAAACTGATGAAAGATTAGAAGGGAGATAAATCTGTTGAAATTACAGTGCTTGTTGAACTATTTTCAACATTTTTTGAAAAAATTACTTTCGTCCATCCTGACAAAGAAATATTAATGAAGAATTTATCAAAATTCAAAAATTTTTTATATGGAAATCAATAAAATTTAGAAAAAGGATATGAGTTCTTATAAAGCATGAAGGAATAGTATCAGTAGTACTTAGTGTAATATACTTTTATTATAAAATATACCAGTTTTCTCTATATTTTGTTCAAATTTAATTGGTTTTATTTTTAAATATCTTAGTGAAAATTAGTCAACTGCCTCTGCAAGTAATTAAAATGGATCTAATCTTGCTTCAAATAATCCATTGACAAATTAGGGAACCACTTAATAAAGTTTTTAGCAATATCAACAATAATATAATGCTTAATAGCGTTCATAATAGGAATAATAAAGACAACAAATTTAATAGGCAACTAGTTCGTATTAAAATCCATCTATAGCAGCTTAAAATAATATAGTAAAGACATTTAAATTTGACTTATCTTCGTTAAATGAAAATGCCAACCTCTTTAAAATTTAATCGATATAAGACTTCTCAGGAGTAAGAGGAGAAGGCATAAACCCAAAAATTGCATTAAGTGGTAGCTCCTTCAATTATATCAGAGAATTTGTGTCAGAAGTAAATGCATTTTATAGATGCATAGGCTTTAGATATCTTGAGTAATTAATTAAAAGTTAAAATTTAGCAAAGCTACAAGACATATTAAAGAGTGTGTAGAGTAAGAAAATTGTGCTAGAATAATACTATAGAGAATAGACATCTATTGAAAATGATGCAGAAGAGAATATTGCTAGATAGTAAAATAATGATTATTTGAGAAACACATTTTGCGGTTATTTAGAATATATCATAGAAAGCTTAAAAAAAGATAAAAGCTCTGCTGAACTTTAAGAAATTTTATACAAAATAGTCAACGGAGACAGTGCTTTTGATACTGCTTTAATTAGCTTTATTAAGGAATAATCTGTTAGATTTATCTAAGAATCTGATCCTCTATACATCGATTTCTTACTTTCAAGCTAAGAATTAAAAAATGATAAAGAATTAATCCAGCATATTCGCTCTTAAGATGAACCACTAGAAATTACAATTAAAATAGTTGCTCTTGCTCTTGAAACATTAATTAATATTTATACAATAGAAAATAATAATGCTCTCACTAAAAAAGATTATAAATTTAATTCCCTTCCAGAATCCAGCAACATTACTTTGGATTTACTCAAAATTAAGCAACCCTATATAATTTACTATCTAATTTATAATCAGCTAGAAGGATAGTAGTTAGTTCGTGTTTCTTCTCAAGCATTTATTAATCAACAATAAACCTTATAGTAATAATAAGAGTCTTAGTAAAATGAATAAAATATATATGGTTAAAAACCTAGACAGCAGAATAGTGTACAAACTAATAAAGCTAATCTTGCTTAAAATAATGCAGAAGTCAGACCTTCAGTAATAAATTTCTACTTTTTCAAGAAGATTTTTGGTATATTTATTTTTTTTTATTTAATCAAAGTAAATTGAAGACTTGAAAGTAAGAGGTGGCTATCTAAAGAAAATGCTTAAAATGTTTGATGATAATACAGAAGATTTGATAAATAAATTAAGTAGTTTCAAAGATGGAATGAATGAAGATGAAGAAGATGAATAAGATGAAGAAAATATTGAAAAAGTTCTCAAAGAATAAATTAATTACAGTAAATCAAGAGCCCTTAATTTTTACAGTAACATTTAAACTTAAGATAGAGGTTAAAACTGGGTAAATGATGGAATTAGCAATTAATGAACAACCAAATGAATCGAATATATAAAAAATAAAATAAATTTACAAAAGCCGAAATTAAATTAAAACAAACCAATAAATAAATAGATTTATTACATAAAATTGCATAACACAATTAACAAACCAACCAACCAATCAATCAATAAATATATAAACAATTAAGTAAGTAAATAAATATTTTTGGAATTTTATGAAAAAAGTTAATTTGCTTAAGAAAATAAAAGAAACTAATTAATTTGAATAATATTAAAGATTTATCTTCTATATTTATATATAAATATTAATTAACTGTATATTATTTACTATTTCTTCATTAATAAAATTTACTTAAAGATTTTACTTCTATATAATATATAAAAAGAAAGAAAAAATGAATGGATATTTACAATAGAATTAATAAATTTGTTTATTAGTTAGTAATCAATAATTTTAGTTTATATATTCTTTTTATTTTGAAATACTTTTCTTGATTAGATTAGTTCTATAAAATAATAATTGCAATGTACTGATTTAATGCATTTCCCTTATTAATTGCATAATAATTTAATTACATTTTAATTATCTTTATAATTAAATTTCATATTTAGCTTCAAATATTGACTCTATATTTGATTACCAATTATTTTCATAATAACTCTTTAGTAAGAATTGCTTTCTAATTAGATTTTCAAATAAATTTCGTTATTAAATAAATGTTTTACTCATTTTTCTAATGTGTTTAAATAAAAAAATAAATGTATATTATTAATTATTGACAATAAGAAAACCATCATATAAAAAGATGAAATAACTTTAGATAAATGAATAATTAGAATTATTTAAATTCAAAAATATTTTAATTTCCAATAATAATATTTATCATAAATATACGTTATTTGTATTTTTTTGTTGCTCGTTCTGTAAGATACTATTAATTTAATTTTACTAAATTGTTAAAAAGGACTTTAAATTTGCATACAATAATATTTATTAAAAAATTAGATATCTTTTGCCTGTTTTTAGATTTTATAAATTTAGAAAATAAATACCATAAAAATTATAAATTGCGTTTTTAGAATAAGAAATGTCCAATTAAGAAATTAAGGATTTGAGCGCTGGCGACATAATGGAAAAATATGTAGCCGCAACTACAAAATTTGTAGAAAACAATTCAAAAAGTAAAACAAACCTAACCAATAGAAATGGTTTATTTCAGTAAATTTAAATATATTAATTTGTAATATTGTGAATAATAGTTAGCAATATGAAATTATATACTCTCAATAAAATGAATGAAACTGCTCATGCTCATTTTAAAAAAAATTAAGAAAAAGTTGACGCTATTGAGTAAGAAATCAAAGCAGCCAATTAGCAATGTAAAAAGAGTTCGATAAATTAGCTTTTTTAAGTATTGATTTAATAAATTTAGATGATATTCTTAGATAGTATTTTAAATAAATTGACGATGTCGGATAGAGTATTGAAGGTATGGAATCCTCTGTTGAGTACTTAGATGTAATTCTATCTAGAATAGGTAAATTATTTAACAATATAAAGAGCTCAAAATTAAAAATTCTAAAAATTAAATAGAATCTAAAATAAATGACTTAGAAAGTATGAAATGAAATTTACTCAAAATATATTATTACTGATGAATAAATAAACAAAATTTTAATAAAAATGTATAAAATATCTATGTTGATTAAAATAATAAATTAAGTATATTAAAACCACTCAAACTCTTTATGTTTATTCAATAAAATTAATTTATTTATTTATTTATTTATTATAAAATTAATACATATTATCCAACATAACAATAAAATAAATTAATTTAACAAATTTTTTACTTTAGCATAAATTTATAAAAATAAAATATTCTAATAAATTAAAATAGCACACATGGACATAGATAGGATATAACATAGATAGAGTAGAAAAATACTTAAAATACTATTTATTTTTCAAAAAATCTAAGAAATTAATTAGATTTATTATATATATACAATTTATAAAATTGAAGAGCTTTTAACAGTATTTTGAATATAATAATGACAGCTAATTGAATTATAAAAATATTTTTTTTGAAAGAACTTATAAACTTTTAAACTATTCATCATTATAATTTTTAGAATTTAATCCTAAAAATAGTAAATGTATTTAATTTGATGAATGAAACCGAATAAAGTATTTATTCTTTGTTCATAATTAAATTATTTCTTTGAATAAGAAACTAAAAATTATTTAAAATGTGAAATAAATATAATAATTAATTTTGATTAAAAAAATAAATAAATATTCTTATTAAAAATAATCAATTATTATTATTATTTTTTGTTCCATTAATTTATAATTTGATTATAGTTTTAAAATCTTAAAAATATGTGTCATAAATACACAATTTATTAAAATTAAATAAATACAAAAATAAATGTTATAATTTAAGTGAATTAATTTTACTTATTAAAATTTAAATAATTAAAAATTTTGGCTTTTATTTTAAAATTAATTAACTAAAATAATCAATAAATTAAAATAAATAACTAATAAATAATAAAGAGTTTTTTTAAACAAGGAAATATTTTTAATTTACCTAAAATATTTAACAATCATTCAATTAATCAATCAATGAATTCATTGAGGTGATTATTATTTTTATTACTATTTAAGTAGAACATCTCTGATTTACTACTTTGTTTTTTAATTTTCTATAAATAAATCCTAATTTTATAAAAATTTGTTAATTTATTGCTTCATTTTATTTGAAATTTCATTTATAATTTTATAAAATTCTTAAACTTTAAAATTAATTTAATGTAAGAATAAAATAAATTATACCTCTACCAATGAGAACAAATCGTCCATTGAATAAGATTTAAAGCTTTAAATTACCTCTTTATTTATCTCAGATATCTCCTATCTTTTTTTATAAATAAGGTTTATTAACAAATAAATATTTATTTATTTACATTTTTTATTCAGATATTTGAGGATATGTGTTTCTTATTTCTTATATTATGTTAAGTATTATTTGTGATTTTTATTTCAGTTTTTATTCATATTGGTTGTTTATCGCTGATTAGTCTTAGATCGATTATTTTAAATTTTAATTTTCTTCAGAAAGATCTTAAACTCTAGCACTGAGTGCTTCTAAAATCTTCTTCTCTCTTTTTAAATTAGCTGGATCTATATTATTACTATGGCTATTACTTGCAGGAGGAGTTTATTAGGGCTATTATTATTGCTGTTGTTAGACTTAGCGTAATTTAATTAACGCACTCTATTAATCGCATTTATCTTGCAGTTGCTTTATCTAATTTTCTTACTCTTCACATTTTTTCACTAGAATTTCTTTTTCTTAAATTAAATCTTTTTATATTTCTTTTAAGCATTTAAGTTCCTAAATAAATTATTAATAAAAATTATTTAATAATGAAATATTTCTTTAAAAATAAACGAATACATTATTGTATTTATTAGTTTAGATTTCTTTTTCTATTTGAACGTCTTCAAGCTTTTATCTAAGTTCCTGAACTATTTCACTGTCGCTTAAATCATTTATTTTGGACTACTCTAAATCAAATTAAATTTTTTGGTATTATTCTAATTTCTATTCTTGCTATTTATTAGCATTTGATAAATCCCTTATTTTATCAACTAATTTTTCTATTTCTTCTTAGAAGTTGCTACACTCATACAAATGATCTTCTCTCAATTTTTAAATCTAAATAATTCAAATAACAATAAATCAATTAATTGCTTTTTTTTATCATCAAAATTTTTTTCAAAGCTATTGCTTCATTTATATTAGCATTTACTCTTTAATCGCACTCCTATTTGAAAAGTAAGTTCTACTAATGAAGTTCAATATTGTCATCTTTCAGCTCTTGCAGCTACTTTTCCAACCTTAAGATATTGCTTTTCTAAAGATTAATATCCTCATTTAAAATTTAGACTACTTCTTCTTTCGACCTAATTGTATTATGCAGTTAAAATATATCTTCCTCTAAATCTAGTTTGCCAGAAATCTTGCTCACTATTTGTTTAAATTAGATCTTAAATTTACAAATAAAAAGTTTGTTTTTGAAATTGATTCTATCCATTTAAAAATCTATCTAACAAGCATCTTAAAAACTTAAAGTCCATAAAAGTGTAAAATAATAATAATTTTTTTAATAATAAATTAAAGTAAAATACTCTTTTTTGATTATCCTTGAAGCTATTTAGTTAATTCTGACATTTAATCTTCATATTATTTCTTCTTTGCTTCATAAATTTAAATTAATTCTTTCTTTTCTCTTTTCATTCCTTCCATAACTTGTAACAGTTCTTAATTTTCTTGCTTGTACTAAAGAGATTCTTTATTATACAATTCTTTTTTTTCTAATGCTTATCGCTCTCTTTCAGAGAACACCTTAATCAGCTCTACTTTACTGCTTAGTTCGAGTGTTTTTCCCTCTAATTCATCTTGAAGAAACTGTATTTATCTTTTTACAAAATGAGTTTTGGTATAACTAAAACTTTTCTTAAATCAAACTTATTCAAATAAATATCTTTTCTTTTTACTTTTGCAATTCCGCTATTTAGCTTTCTTGCGAGTTCTTCCTTTTCATTATTCCTAAAAAATTTATAAATAAACTATAAATCTATAAAATTTTAATTAAATTATATCAAAATATTATTTAATTAATTTATTAGTCTTTATTTGATCAAGTCATAGACTCTAAAAATTTCAATTAATTTTGATTATATTTTATCAGCTAAGTTCAATAAATTGTTTAACTGGAAAGGATATCTTTCTGCTATTGATTAAAAATAATTGAATCCATTATTATGTAAATTTGCTATTAGTTGGTTTTAATATAATTTTTATGGCAATTTTATTGTTTAAGAAAGCATTTCTTTTTTTTATTAATTATTTAAATATGTTATTTTAAGTATAACAGTCAATTAATTAATTAATTAATTTCTTCTCACTTACTTGACAAGTTCTAAAAAAAAAAAGTGATTTGCTAAAATTTAAATTGGTGGTAAAAATTAATACTATTTTAAGAAATTAGATAAGGCCTTCAAAGACAATTATCAAATAAATGAGTAAATGCTTTTGTATAGAAAAGAAGAAGATTCTACTTACTTTGTTTTAGAAATATAACAAATATTATTAATAATGTTCTATTTTATATGTTATAAACAACTAATTAATTATCTTGCATTTGTCTGTCTTTAATACTAATAAATACAAAAGAAATTTTTAATTTTTAGTAAATTTAAATAAAGAAATTCAATTTTTGCAGATTGTTTCAAATTTTCAGTAGTTGAAAATATAGCAGCAATTATAGAGAAGATATAACTTTAGCATTTTTCTAACACCATTATTATATTAACAAAAGTCCTATCAATTAAGCCCAAAATAAGTATTATAATCTAGCAAACATGTCTAAATAGTAGCAAAATATGCAAAAGCTTGCTTATAAAATAAAATCTTGCTCTAGCGAAGAACAAACTCATCGCGTAAGTGAGCTTTTAATGCAATCTCCTTAATCAAAAGGCTGGTAATCGAGTAGATTTTGTGACTATCCTTAAGAGATAGTACTTCAATTTCATTCACCAGTGAGAGTTAGACAAATATAGTTTCTTTCTCACTAATATAAAATAGCTTCTCGCATAGAAATATTCGTTTACATGCCAGACCAAAATACTCCATTTATCAATACTGAATTCAAATATAAAAAGCTCGGATATTTAAGTTTAGATTCAAATGAAAAAACAGGATTTAAATCGCGTGAACTTAAAAGCGTTTATGTAGACTCTCCTGCTTTATACTTAAAATTATCTTTTCATAAAAACCATAACAATAAATACAACACTTTCAATCAAGTAAGACAGACATTTGCAACAATATAAATAAATACATTTCATATTTATAAATTTTATTAAATAGATTGGTGTAATTGCTCTCAGTTGCTTTGGAGATGATTTAACTAACATGAAATAAAATATAGAGCCTGTTAAAGAGTTCTACAATCAAATTTAATATTAAACTTAGTTTGACCATGTTACTTTAGATAGACTTCGTACTTTAGAAATGGCAAAAGAGAGAGCTGTTAAAAATGATGATTTCGATGAAGCACAAAGATTAAAAGAAGCTATTGATAAGCTTAAAGCAATTGGTATTTAATTGAGGTAATTTACCTACTTTAAATAAATTTAATTTTAAAATACATAAAATCCTTTTATTAATAAATAATAATTTTATTTTTATTTCTCTCTTAGACAATTAAATGAAAGAAAATAAATTGCAACAGAAAATGAAGACTATGATGCTGCAAAAATTATCAAAGCAGAGATAGACAGACTTAGAAATGCAGTTGCTCCTGAATATTTAATTTAAAAACCTTAGCCTTTATAATATAATTCTAATATTCCTTACAATTCAAACCAGTTTTAACCATTAATGCAAGATCCTATTATTCCTTCAAACTAGCCTGATATGTGGAGCAGTAAGCCTGTTAGCAAGCCATCCAACAATAATTTTAAAGCTGAAAACGATGAATATGGCAATTAATTAAATAAAATCGAAGAAGCTCCTTTAGTTGAGTAAGAAACTACTGAAATGGCCAGACAACATAGATCTAGTGTGTAGCAACCATAGTATGAGGAGTCAAAATAAGATAAAATTTAAAAATAAAAATTCGAAGAATAATTTATGTTCAACAACAGAACTAATCAGGGAAGTAATCACGATGAGATGCAACTTCCTGCAAGTAAATATTAATTTATTATTTGAAACAAATAATTTATCCCATTAAAAAAAATAGTGAAAAACAAGTAAAATAAAAAACCATGGGAATTAGATGATGCTTATGCAAATGGCTAGGCACCTGAATCTGTTCAATAAAACTCTGTAGGAGAAACTGAATAGCTTTCAGGAGCAGCAAAATAGTAAGCGGAACCTTTAATTCCAGTTATTGGTGATGAATGTGCAGCAAAAATTTTTTCAAAAAGCTGGTAAATAAGAGAAGAAGGCTTAAAATGGTTAGAAGCTGAGGCCCAGAATCCAAGAAGTATAAATGGAAGTGATCCATAAGCACTTTTTACAGCAGTCATTGGTGTTTGTTCTGCAACAATAGCAGACAAAGTTGCTTAGGTCTCTCAAGCTTCTATGAATTTATTACAAGCATTATGCAATTCAAGAAGTGCAAAACCAACTTCAGTTAAAGGTGAAACAGGAAGGTAATTCATTAATAAATAAATAATGAAATATTTTATAAAATTAATTTAAATTTAATAGTTATGTTGATAATTGTATTGGACTGTTAATGGAACAAGCAGGTCATCATGTCCCTAAGGTTAGAGAATAAGCTGAATAAGCTTTGTTTGCTTTGGGAAGTGTTCCAATTATTGGAAATCAAACAATAGTTTAATCTCTAAGCAAAGGATCTGGACTAAAACCTAAAATGCAATCTTCTATCAAGCATATTGTAGCAAGATTGAACATTCTTCAATAGTTTTCAAAAAGATTTTCAATTGGTAAAAAAGATGTTCCTCTTGCTCCTGTTATGGAGTACGCTGCTAAACAAATGGTTCATGCAAACAACGAAGTTAGAACATCAGCTATTAATTTGATAACAGAAGCATATAACCAAGTTGGAGAAGGATAAATTGAGCCATATATTGCAAGTAAATAGTTTAATTTAATTTAAATTCATTTGTTAAATATATTTCTTTTATTTTACAAAATAATAGATTTACCTGAATAACAAAGAGATATCTTATCAGAAGCTTTCTCACAAAATGGTGGTGGAGGTGGCAAAAATAGTTCACCTTAAAAATAAGAAAAAAAAACTGTTGTCACAACAAATATATAACACTAAGGAGCAAGACACGATGATAAGGGTCCTAATAAGAAAGGTAAACAACCTTCAGCTAATGATAAATCTCCCTCGTAAAAAGATAGTAAAAAATAAAATAATTCTTCTAAAATGTAAGCAAGTGATGTCATGGAAGTTTGTGAATTTTGTCATGTTCATAACCCAACATTTGCAGATAAAAAAGATTTAGATATTCACTTATGGAGAGAATGTCCCATGCTACTACTTTGCCCTCATTGTGCTCAAGTTGTTGAGGTTTCAGCTTATAATCAACATTTACTAGAGGAATGCAAGAAGGCTATGAAATTCCGCCAGTGTCCTAGATGCAAAGAAGCTATTTCTGTAACAGAATACAATGACCATGTAAAGGAGAAGTCTTGCTTGCCTCATAAATCTCCTAGTGTAGCTAATAGATGTCCTCTTTGTCATTAAGATATTGAGTAAGGACCTGAAGGCTGGCGTAAGCATTTAGTTGTCCAAGGCTGTCCAAATAATGAACGCTCTACAGGCTGAACTTTCAGAACTTACCAATAAATTAAAAAAAGATTAGATTTATATAATAATAATAACAACATTAATTTTGAAATTTCCAGTAGATGTATTTGATAAATAGAGACAAACAAACAAACATACAGACATAAATAGATTGATTGATTAAGGATATAATATATCTTATTTAAAAAACTCTTTATCTTAAATTTTAATTCTTATATATTTATATCATAGATAGTATTGTGTATTTTTATCATTTTTATAATTATATTTATCCATTAGTTTAATAACTATTTATTTTTATATCTAATTTAGCTAGATATTCTAATTTAATTTACTGTTTACAAGCATATATTATATCCATACTGTGATTGCTTTATTAAGGTGCATTTTTTAATAGTAAATAAAATATTATGCTTACTTTTTATCAGAAAGTTTATTTTTCAAAATAAAGCTATGATATAATTTTGAAATAAATTTAAACTACAATATATAATAAATAGGTAAAAATTCAGTAGATTACCTTAAATTTTAAATTAAAATTAATAAGTTTTAAGATCTTTTATGATATTAAATTATATATATTACCAAAATAAATTAATAAATAATTGAAATAAATTTTTTATTTATTTTTAAACTAAATTTAGGGTATTAATATAATTAAAAAAAGGAGTGGTTTAAAATAGAATATAAGTATTTAAATTAAATCAAATTAAATTTAAAAAGTATTAATTATGCTTCATATTTTAGTTTAGATGCAACAAAATATAACTAGCGCTGATACCTTTTTTAAAGAAGAGAAAGAAATAATACAAATATATGCAAACTCTAACTCAATAGTTTAAGATTTAGAAAAATTTTTGGAAGTTTAAAAAATTGATTAGGAGAACATTTACATGTTAAACATAAAAATGTAAAATAAAGAATAAACCACCGATCAAAATAGCTCATAAAAGTATTTCAATAATATTACTAAGATTTTACATTTAATTTTTCATAATATTTAATAATTAGATAAAATTTTTTGCCTTAGACAATTGACTTGCATGACTTTAATCTATTTAATCCAAATATTTAAATTTTGAATTTAGATTTTCAAAAGTAAGTTCTTATTTTTTGCAATAAATTTAATTCCTTTGTTATAAATAAATAAATAGCTAAAAAACTATGCACCATTAAGTACTTAAATCAATTCTAGAACAATTGAAAGTATTTTGCTTCATTAAATGTGTTATTATTACACCTAGAGAGTAAGATAGCTAAACAAAAATGTTTTCAATATTAAACAAATTTTAAAGAAAATAAATAGCTTCAACAAGTTTACTTCATATTTCGGGTTTTATTGAGTAATTAATATACCTAGAAAGTATTGAAGTAATAATACCACAGTAATTTATTTGAAGATTGATCTATACTTAAAATAATATAAACTATAAAAGGAACAAAATAGATAACAGTGATGTAAACAAGTTGCTTCAATCAATCTAGATGTAGGTTAATTTAAAATAAATTAAAGTAGTCTTCCAAAAGTAAATTTATCATTTAAAATCAAACATAATTTAATTTTTAAATCAGATTAGTGAAAATTGATAACATTAATTTTAAGCTATTATCTTAGATACTAAGCAGCTGCACTTTATTATAAAATTTGCATTTAACATTTACTAGGTAACTTAAACAAATTCATTTCAAAATTTAAAAAAAAATAAAATGATTAAATATAAAAACATAGAAAGGGGGAAACAATTAAAAACTTTTTTTATCAATTTTGATTTAATATTTTTTTTCATAATCTCTGCTTAATTAAATAATATTTAGATTTAATACAAAATTATAATAAAAGAGTTTCTTGACAAATTACTTAATTTATTTAAATTATTAAAATGATGATCATAAATATAAATATTTTTTTTACATAGGATACAGCATTCGTTTAGTGATATAAATTTATTTTTTATAAATTTGTAAAATCTTAAATTCTTAAAAAACTGGGAACTCAATATAATTGTGTAATATTGAAACATTTATGATTGATTAGTAGTAAGATCTTTTATTTTTAAAAGAATTCTATCAAATAATTTCTATGTTGCTGTTAATTATCAAGAAGAAGTTAAGATAATGTGTCTTGGATTAAGTGAACCTTTAGTAAAATCGAGGTTTGTAGCCAAAATTGATAAGTAAGCAGCTTTATATTTAAAATTACTTTTAGATATTTATCAAATATTAAAAAAAGCGGAGGTATTTATCTTCAATCTCACTAAATTGAAAATAAAAATGATGAAAGAGATATATAAATTACAATAGGAAGGTATTTTCTGATTAAAAAATATATTTAAGTATTTTATAAATTAAAATATTAAAAATAGAGATATTGTATTAGGTTCTTAAGGTAGTTAATTAATATGCTAATAACTAGAATAAATTAAGGGAATAAAAATGCTATAGCTTAATATCTTAGAGTACGCATTGATTAAATTATATAAATAGGAATTAAGTTATGCTATATATTATTTATAGGAGAAACTATGTCAATGAAAAGGGTATAAAATATTTCACAGATTGTATTTTATCATTGAAAGATCAGTTAAGCAGTCTCTCTTTAAATTTTGATACGTAAAATAAACAAATACAAAAAGATAAATATTTAAACCTTTATTTATTTCAAGAAATAATTAAATTGGAGAAGATTCTTGTGATCAATTTAATCAAATTTTGAATCATCATTAAAATCTAAAGCAATTGCAACTTTCTATAGGGAGGTAGATTATATTTATTCATTTATTTCAAAAAAACTAATTTATTTTAAATCTGATTTAAATATCAAAAAGTGGTGAAAATGTTAAGGATAAAACAATAAGTATATTTGAAGGAGTCAAACAGAACAAATTTCTTGAGAAGCTTTAAATTAAAATAGGAGGGTAAATAATTTAATTTTGAAGACATTAAATAATAGAAAAATAATTTAGCTATAATTATATTGGATCTCAGAGTTTATTACCTCTTGAATCAGATGAATTTAAATTATAGAATCTAAAAGAGCTATCACTTATAATTGGGATGTAATTAATTTTTTATTAATAAGTAAATATTTTATTTCAAACTTCTAAAGAGAAAATATTAACAGGGCTGCAATAAATCATTTAACTAAATTTATTGTAAATCATGAGACTATTCAGAATCTCTCTATTATCATTTAAGAGTAATTTAATTAAAAAATCATTTATAAAGAAATAGTTTTATTTTAAAATGAAAAAGATCATTTGTTTACGAAGATTTAAGGCAGTTAACCATGATCTTAGCAAAGTTTAGGCACTTAATAACTCTACATTTTAGATTCATGTAATTTTAAAAATTTATAACAACTAAATGAATTTTAAAATTTATTTAGGATAGGATATGAAGATTCAATAATAATTGAAAAGAAGTTAAAGAAAAATAAATATTTAGTAGAATTATTTGTATGAAAATAAATATATTTAATACAATTATTTTTAAAATTGCATATTTATTTAATTTATTTTAAATTTATGTTGTAGTAAAATAAATAATTTCACTTTAATTATTCTTTTTAATTTATTTAATTTTATAATTTTTTCTTTATTGCTAAGATAATTTTTTTAAATGCTTGTTTTATTTTTGAAATTATTTAAATTGTGAATTTATTTAGAAAGATCATTCATTCATTTTTAATCCATAAATTTTTAAACATCCTAAATTGATTGATTGATATTGAAACAATTAAAATTTAAATTATTATTTAGAATAAATTTCATAAAATTAATTTAATTATGTGGTTTTAATCCATTTATTTTTCCTTTTATTTGGCTAAATTCTTTTCTTATTTCTTTAAAAAAGGTTTTCTTTAAATAATAATTTTCTTTTTTTTGATTTAATTAAGAATTTATATGAAAAAATTAGTTTTAATTTATTCATTTAAATATTAAGTGTAACTTAAATGGATGTTGTATCAATCAATTTATATATATATACAATAAATAAAGAATTAATTTAATTATTAGATATAAATAAATGCTCCATTTTATTTGGTGAAAGCATTCTCTTTGATTTTAAATATTTTTATTTTTTAAATAATTGTTCTATTTTTTGTTAATTTAATATCTAATTTAGAACATATGATTTTTAACTTATTTATTTTAATGTATCTTAAACTGATGTTTTAGCATTTAATATTTAATAATTATTAAAAGAACAAATTTAATAACTATAATTAAATTTTATATATTATCGTGATGATTATTTTAAACTTTATTCTTAAAAAGACTTTCATTAAAAAATATATGAAAAAATAGGTTATTTAACTTAATTTTAAATTTGAACTTAATTATAATTAATGAATGCTTTTTAGATTATTGAATCTAAATTTATTGTTGCCAGAAATAGATAGAGTAAGTCCTTTGAAGAATTATAAATACTAAGTTGGTTACAAGATTATTTATAAAGGTTTAAATAGAAAGAATATGCTTTAAAATATTTAAATTATATTATATAAAGTGAGTTTAAGTAGTATAAAAAGTGTTAGTGAATTAGCTTTAACTATATTTTGTTTAGTTGTTATTAAAATAATTTATTAGTATACTTGTTAGTTAGTATTTTTATTAATTGAAGTATTTATTTATTTTTATTATCAAAAATTAGTTTTTTTTTCTGTTTATTTTTATATTTATTTGATCAGTTAAATTTAAACTTTAAATCAACCATTCTTTTCATTTTGTAAATTTTATTTAGAATATTCATTTTTTTAGATTAGACAACATCTACTTCTTCTTCAGAATGTTTATGGCTTTAGTTACAGTAAAAATGCATTAAGTAAATAATTAAAAATTTTTTTAATAATTAATTAATTACTAGATATTGAATGATATCTTTCTTAGCTTTTGGCATTAGTTTAGTTTTTAAAAAACTTCCTACGTTCCATCCAAACCGAAATTTGAACTATTTTATGATAATATTTTAATTTCATAATTTAAATTAAAATTTATTTACTCATTAATTGTGAATTTTATTTCTTGCAAAGAACCCAATTTTTCAATTCCTTTTGACAACTCTTTTGCACCATCAATATTTAATTCATTGCTATTAAATTTTTTTTTTTAAGATTAATTAAAAGTAAAAATGATTAATTACTTTTGTATAATCATGTCTAAAGATTTTAGGTTGATACAGTTCTTTAGACCTTCTCCAATAAAAGACAATCCATCTGGTCCAATTTAATTTTTACTAAATAAATATTTAAGAATGTTTGTTTTATTTTAATCATTTACAAATAAATTTACCTATCAATTTCAAATTTTAGCTTTTCAAGTGAAGGACATGTTTTCAAAGCATCTCCAAAACCACCAGCACCACATGATCTTATATTGTTTCTATTCATATTGAATAAATCATTTATAATTGATAAATAAATTTTAATATACCTTCCAAATTTCAAATTTAGGTTTTTTAAGTTGAAGAAATTAGAAATTGATTCTCCAATGATTTTAGATCCCTCAGACCCAATATTATTTCTAAATATTTAAATTAATTATAATTCCATAAAAAAATAGGAAATTTTTTACTCTTCTATTGAATATTAAAGAGATTCTAGTTTTGTGCATTTCTTAAGAGCAATACCAATCTTAATAGCTCCTTCATTTGTTATGATATTTCTAAATTAAAAATTGTTATAAGAATAATTTTAATCAGTTTAACTGATTTACTTTCCGATTATAAATTTTAAGCTTTAGAGTTCAGTTAATTATTCAAAAGTATTCTCTAATGAATCAAATGCTTAATCGTTGATATTATTTTACTCATCAAATTAAAATGAAAGACTATTTAATTTAGTTAAAAAACCCATGCTTTGAATAATTTAGTGACAGCCTTAAGATCCAATATCATTTTTACTATTTTAGAAATAGATTAAAAAAGTTATTTTTGTTGAATGAAAAATAATTATTACGATCCAACAATGAGATTCAATTATTTAAGAGTTTGGCAACATTTAATTCCATTTGATATTTCAATAGCAGCATTTTCACCAATTTTGTTATTCCTATGAAATTATTTTTAATTAGTTAATATCAATTAATCAAAAATAAATATTTACTTTTCGATGATTATTTGTAAATTTTAAAGCTGGGACATATTTTTGACAGCTTTTTCAAGTTTTTAAAAGCTTTAAGACTGCAAATTATTGGACCTGTTTATTAATAAATTTATTATATTTTAAATTTATTTTAAAAAGTTCAAAATAAAAGTTTAATTTTAAATGATAAATTTGAAATTGGATTTACTCTCCAAATTATATGCTGAGATTTTTAAGCTTTTAGCATCTTTTTAAAGAATTTAAAAAACCTCCAAGCCCAGATCCAATATTGTTGTTGCTTTATTTGTTTAATTTTATTTAAGTAAATTATCAAATTTAATAATTTAATATTACGATCCAAATTTTATTTCTAAATTCTCTAAGCTATGGAGAAAGCCTTCAGACAATTGCTTGACACCATCTGGCAATATGCTCAAATTACTGTTAAAAGAGTATAAATTTTAATCGACTTCAAAAATAATTCATTCTTACTTGTCGAAAAAGAGTTTTAAGCTTTGGAGATTAGTTAAGCTTTTTAAAGAGCTGCCTAAGTTAGAATAGAGAGTATTTCCAAATCTATTGCAACTTTATTTAACAAAATTTAAATAAAAATTTTGTTATTAAATTATTAGTTTTACTTTCCAAATGACAATTAAAGATGAGTCAGTTTAGTGCATTTTTTCAATGTCTGGCAAAGGGATGCTGCACCTACTTCGCCAATTGAGTTATTCCTAATTAAAATATTTTAAGTGTTATGTAATTCAAAAGAAAACCTTACCTTTCAATAGTAATGGATAGATCATTTAAGTTATGAAGAGATTTGATGCACTTTGATATACTAACAATCCCCTCTTGGCCTATTAAATTATACCTTTTTATTAAAATATTTTTACTTTAAAATACATCAAATTTAATATTTTTATATGAAAAATGAGACAAAATAATTTCTAATATTTAGATATATTACTAGCCAATAGCAAGGGATAACCTCTCTAAATCTTAGCATTATATAATTGATTAGCTAAGAGCTTCTGCTCCTTCTGACTGCAAATTAGCACTAAGCAAATGATTTTAAAAAATAAACATTATTTTAAACTACAAACAATTTTATCAATAAATTATTTTAATAATTGATTGAGTAATATTTTAATAATAATTTTTAGAAATGTTTACTCTTAAACATCGATTTCTAAGCTTCTCACACTTGAAATTTATTTCATTCCTTCAACCAAAGTTTGGTAGTTATTTTCATTAAATTCGTTTCTTTTAATTCAAAATAAATCATTTTACAAAGTTCTTTGTGTTAAAAAAGTGTTAACTACTTTTTGATGGTGAATTTTAAATCTTTTTGTTATTCTTCTTAGCAAGGCTAACACAAAGAGACACTTTAAATTTAATTCTACTTTTTTGAATTTTTTTAAATTTCTTCAGCGCAAGCACGTCTAATTAATTTTAAATATATTTATTATTTGTTTGTTAGTTTTGTAGTTGTAAAGTAAACTAAAAAAAGTATTATTTGTTTATTTATTGATTTATATTTATATGTTTGTTTATTATTGTATAAAAGAGAACTAATTTGTAATCAAACGTAAATTTAAGTATCAAATTAAGTTATTTGAAAGTTTACCTTTGAGATTAGAAGACATTTAAATCTGATTCAAGTAAGTGGTTTTAAGTTAAAAAGAGATTTTTTAGAGTATTTTACCAATTAATAAGAGTGCTCATTTATTTTAAAAACGACAATATTATATTTTGAAGGAAATTTAGTATTTAGTTTTTTTTCGTGGATTGTATTTAATTTTATCTAGATAGGGTTTTTATGGTTGTATCAACAATTATCTTCAAAGCGGATATATTTTTGTACAAAATTGTGTTAAGTTAACAGTAATTTTTTCTGTAAAATTGAATTTAATTAAGAAAATAATAATTATAAATTTTATAATTTATAGTATCAAAAATTTATATGCATTAGATAGAGTATTCTTATTATCAACTGACTACTCAATTAAATCCGTCAGAATTTAATTAAAAAGTGTTAAAAATTGTCGTCAGTCACTAAATTGTCGCAATCTCAAAGGAAGTGATGATGGCATATTTGGAACCTTTGTTTGTCTTTTTAGACATCAAAAAAATCTTAAATAAAACCAAATAGTAGACTTCAATTTTCTCTATTAGTTTATCACCATTTTTTGATAAATTTATCTTTTAAAGAATAAACATAAAATATTTGAGATCGATCAAAAAGCCCCAAGTATTTATTATAGTAAGCAGAGAAGCATTATAATTTGGCTTAACTCTCCTAATTTAAATATCCTTAATTAGCATTTATATTTACCTTCTTGAGTGTAATAAACTATACTAATTTATATGAATCAAGTATTCAAATAAATATATATAATAGATTAGCAAATTTTTTAATTTAAGAGTGCATAGCACAGAGAAAAAAATGTTTAGTTTTAAGGAAAAAAAAGATGTAAAAGAGTTAAAAATATTTAAAGAAAAGTTTTTCTTTTATAAAGTTAAATTGATTACGAAAAAAATAAGCATTTAGAATGAAATGTTATATATTAATAATTTATAGATTCATAAGTAATAAATATTATTTATTGTTCGAGTGAATTAATCTCTTTTTTGATATCAAAATTGAACATCAAATTGAGATTTTATCATAAAAATGGAAATGGGTAAAATTTTAGTCCATTGAAACGAGGTTATACTTCTATTATAAACCAGCAGTTGTGGATTTACTTTTGTAATCTAATTTTTGCTTTCAAAATTAAAATTTAACTTCTTTTTAAATGAGTTACGCGAAGCTTGTAAGACCTAATAATTACGGAAGTCAATATTCAGATTTTATAATTATGAATTAGTTTTTATTTTTATTTAAATTATTGCGAATTAATTTAACCATAAACACTTATTGTGATGCAAAAATTTTTTAATTGTGAAAACAATTATGATGCTTTTTTTTTGATTTTGATTGCTGACTCATTTCAAGAAATAATTAAAAGCAAATTTTGTATTATCCTAAATCTACTCAAAACCATCAAATCAAAGCAATGACATACATTTTTAAATTATTTCAGCACTTCATGTCTAAAATATTTTTTTCTTTTTGAATACATTTTGGATTTCTAATGGTTAATAAACCTAAAATTTAAATTTTTCTATATTTGATTTAGTTTGGCAAACTATATATACACTTCAAAGATTATTTGATGTTTATATTAACATATTTCTTTTATATCTATCAAATTAAGAATTACTTGAAAGATTTTTAGAGGAAAAAAATCAATAGCTTTTGCATAAATTTGAATTCGGTTACAGTTCAATCAATCAACTCCCAAACCATGCATGCATCATGCAGGATAAATTTATTAAATATTTTTAGTAAAAACTTAAAACAATTTCTGGAAAAATTAAAATAAAATTAGGAAAATAATCAAATGATTTTTATTTTTTAAATTTTATATAAAATAATAATTTAAGTAAAATAAAGTGGAGTTTTTTATGAAATTTAATATTTTTAATTTAGATTTTATTTCTTATTTTAATAAATACGAAAAATAATATTATTATTTAATTAACATTATTTATTATTTATTCTTAAATAGAAATATAGAGAAATTGAATGTCATTAAATAAAATAATTTCAATATTTAAAACATTAGATGTAAAATTTTTACATAAATAAAAGATTTCTTATTTTAGAATAATCTAAATAAATAAAAAAATTATAAAGATTTACAAAGAATTTATTATAAATATAACAAACAAACAACATATAAAATTATCTAGTACCTTTTTTGAATATTTTTTGAAAAATTGCTGTAAGTATTAAACGGAATACATAGTAATCAAGCTAATTTTTGTATTTTGCAGATTTATTTAATTTTCTAAAGAGATTTACACGCATAAATTAATATAGATAGATACATACATACATATATACATATAAATATAATTTGGTAGTAAAGATATGTCTAATATTTAAGGTTATAGTAAAATAGAAGAACTAAGAAATTTAGAAAAGATCTACACTCAGTCTAAGCAATAATAGAATAAAAACACGAAATTTAAGGAATTTGATTTATCTTACAAGGATTTTTACTAGTATAATGACCTTGTGAGCAAGTAGAAAATTTTAGATGAGAAGAACTTCTATAAAAAAATACAAATGGGACAATCTAAAAATAATAAAAGTGTTGAAGAGGATAGCAGTTCAGAAGAAGAAGAAAAGGAGAGTGAGAGCCTTTTTGAACAAGAAAAAGATAAATATGAAGAGCATATTGATAGTACTTAAGCAGAATCTCTTCTTTAAGATTTTTATGAAGAGGAGGAAAATAAAATCGATCCATTTACTCATAAATGCAATGACGAATACAACATTGTAATATTTCAGCAATTCTTGATTCTCTTAAATTTAATATTTTTATTTTATTGTTAAAGAACCTTAAAAAACAAAGGATTGCCTACTATTCTTTGATAGCTTTGATAGGATTAACTATAATTTAAAATTTAGTTTAGCTGATTGACTCATTTCTTCAAGTTGACCCAAAAGATGCTATTTTGTAAGAAATGAAATACTACAGTCCTTACTTAAAGTTTTTAGAATTTAGCTGTCTATTGATATTTGCTTAATAAATTGGGTTAAAACTTAAAGAATTAGTGAATAAGAGAAAAATTATCTACGCTAATGTAAGTTTTAAAAAAGAAAAATTGCTTACTAAAATAGTTGTCATAGTTGAGATTTGTTACTAAATTGTAATATATTACTTGAACCAATAGAATTCAAATAATAATATTGAAGATCAAAAAGCAATAGATATAACAATTTTAGCGAAAATATTTTTAATTAGATCACTGAATATTATCATTTTAGTTATCATGTATGCACTGATGCTCACAATTCAGGTTCTCTAGTCACGTTTAATTAATAATATTCTTAAAAAACCTCTTGAATAATCTTGCAATTCATTATTTTAAAATGATAATAATGAAGATGAAAGCACCTCATTATTTTGAAATTAAAATAAAATTGGACTTACTTTTAAAAAATTAGCAAAAATAATTCTAATTTACTTTTAAATAAATTATTTCTTATTAGAATAAAAACTTTAATGTAAATAAAATATTAAATTATTTATTTGTAAATAAACTAACTTATAAAATTTATATCTAAATTTTTAATTTGTACTTATTTTTGATGGCATACTTGTTCAAATAATTCAAGGCATAAATAAACTTATAAAAAATAATTTTTAATTAAAAACTTACATAAAAATGATAAAAATTAATATTCTATTAAAAGAGACATTTTAAATAAGATAAAATTTTTTTAAATTTTAATTAAAAAAATTTAATTATTGAATAAAAAATGACCTATTGGAAAAAGATTAAAAATTAAAAAAATTTTTAATTATTTTTTTGTCTAGAAAAGTAAATAAATCACAAAGAATATTGAATATAAATAATTGAAATCAAGCAATATAATATTTATTTTATTACATAAATTACTCAAAAATATAAAGTTTAATTTTGTGAAAATATGTTTTATTTATGTTTAATAAATATGGTTTAAATAGTTTTATTTAAATAATTTTTTAAGGTTTTAATCTTTTATTCAATCTTATTTAGAAGTTTGTTTAATATTTTTAGATAAACTCTTATACAAAGGAAGTGTTTTAAGCGGAATATTAGTTTTTTTTTCTTAAGTATAATTTAGCGATTTAATATTTAACTCAAGATCTTCTTCCTTATATTGTTCTACACTCTTTTAAAAATATATTTATTGTGAATTCTTGTATTTAGATTCATTAAGCATTGAGTTAAGAGAATACATAAATGATTGTTAATAATACATAATCCTATTGTTTCCATTGTTATTGTTACTTTCAATCTTTGAATGGGTATAGATCACACTTCCAATCAATGAAATAATATAACCTCCAACTAAAGCAATGGTAATTATTGTATCATCAAACATGATAATTGAAAAAACAGATGAGAATATATCCTATTAATAATTCAGTATAATTAAATCTAAATTGATATAACAAAAATTTACCTTTAGATTATGAGTTATAGCTATAGAAAAAGGTGAATTTTTCATTGCACATAAATTTGTTGAGAAATTGAGCAAAAATCCTTTTTCAAAAAAAAAATAATTATATTTATTCCTAATAGCAATTAAATAAAATACCAAATATTGCTACCAAAGAAATGTGAAAATAAAAACTGGGAGGAAAAGTTGGCAAGGCTTAGATGAACTCTTGACCATCGTTGGTAATCAAACAATAAATAACTAAAAGCGGCAAAGTATTAATACTGTTGTTATAGACCAGTTCTTTTTATTAAAGTAGAATATTTAGAAATTTCATGTTTTGTATTTTAAATTCTAAAAATTTAAGATTAATTTATTAAGTTATTCTAATTAAGAAATCTTAAAATAGTAAATTGTACAGAAAGGGGTCATGTTGCTTTTGTCTTTCAAATACTTTGCTAGTTAGAGCAGACATGCTGAAAAGATGTTATTCAAAAAGCAGTATGAGAATCCTAACAAATTTGTATTCATTTTATCACTTCCAGCTACAATTGCTCCTAAGGTGATTAAAAGAATAGATATTTTCTATTTATTTGTAATTTAATTATTAGTTTGAGCCACAAATATAATATTGACAAGATATATAAAGAAAATCAAAGTTCTTCTTATCGTAAGAAATCTAGTATTTTACAAAAAGGTGTTGATTTAAATCGAATTAATATAAAATAATATCAAATAAATACAGTGGAATAGGGATGAACTGAAAGGCTTTCAATCCAAAAAGGACATTTGAGAGATAGAGACCTGAAAACATCAATGTCATTAAATATTTGTGCATAATTTCTTTGTAGTTTTGTTTTTGTCCTAAACTTAATTAATATTTCTCCTTCTCTAGTTTATGTTTTACGACTGTATTGCTAGATCTACAGAATATTTATATCACATTAATAATTGAGCAAATAACTACATTTACAAATGATTCAAACAGAAGAAGCTAATTTTTAAAAAATATTGCTTTTTTATATCATAAATCTAACTTTAATTCATTCATTTTTAAGATAAAAAAATATTATTAAAAGAATTCAAATTACGATTCCGATATTTTAAAAATTATGAGTTCTAAAGAGATTTTTAGCTGAAAGAGAGAAGCAAATAGAACATATAGCGTAAAAGCCACAATAGAGTAATGACTAAACTATTGATTTACTCATTTTTACAAAATTTAATTATGAGGAAATAATTTAATTTTAAATATTAATTTTCTGTAAAAGTGATCTCTTTGTTTGTTTGCTTGATTGTTTTAGATTGATTTGAATTATATTTGCGCAATATCTGTTTACAAAAACAACTAATTAAAGTCAAATTCCAACTTCTGATATCAATTGATTTATTGATTGATATATCTTAAATCAATAAAAGCATCTTAAATTCGTAATAAAGGTCTATTTATTTGTTGTTTTTCAGGTATTATTCATAACAATAAATAAATGTGTTTTTAATCGTTTTTAAATAAAAACTATTACATTTAATAAAAGAATTTTAAATTTTTTAGTATTTCTAAGCTTAAGATTATATCTAAAACAATTAAAAAAGAATCTTAGTAAAAATTATGATATATATTTTAGATTGCTAAAATAAATTTATTTATTATTTTCTTAATTTTAGATTAAAATATTATTATGTAAAATTTTTAATTTAACTTCAAATAATTAATCCTAAAATTAGTTTATGATAATATTTTGAATGAATATTAATCATTAATTAAAGTAAAATATTTATCGTTTAACAATTAATCCTAAAATAAAACTAGTAATAAATAGTATTCTTCAATAAATATTAGTCAAGATTAGTAAATCATTAATCTTAATTCTTCATAAATTAATTCCATTTAAAAAAAAATTGAAAAAAATGGCCTTAAAGCTATAAAACAATAGGAAAAAAATGAAAAAGAGGAAGGAGTAAATGAGAATTTAAAGTAATATTTTCCTTCAACTAAATTAATCATAAATATCCTATAAAAATGAAATTTTTTCAATAATTTAAGAAAATTTGGATTTTTTAAATGAAAAAACGTAAATTATTAAAATTAAATTTTGACGTAAAATATTTATATTGTATTTTAAGGTGTTTAAATACTAACAATATGAATTATTAATATTAGGTATTAGATGGTAGATAAATAAATTAGGTTATAAATAATAAAAAAACTTACAACGCGTTAGAGAGTAAAATATTTATATACTACACTTAAAGCAATCAACTATAATTTTTGTTGTGATTATTAAATAAAAATATGGGCAGTGTATATCAATCTATTCTATATGTTAAAGTAAAAGAACTTATTTACAAAAAGTGGAATACGTTTTTTAAATTTTTCAACAGAATTTTTATTTAATTTATAAAATCTATTTAATTATAGAATTGGATAGATAAATGATCTTATTTTCTCTTAAAATGGTATTTTGAAGACACTAAAAATTCCAAACAAAAGAATATTATATTTTTTAGTTAATAACATAATGATTTTTAAAATAATTAAAATTACCAAAATTTTCAAAGGCAACCATAATTTTAAGCTATATTTTACTAAAAGAAATGAATAGCTTTAATGAATATGAGAAATTATAACCTAATTTTAAAAATAGAGAATCCTTTTTCAATAAAAATTAATCTGTAAAATAATTATAAAAAAATAATCACCTTTTTACAATTAAACTAAATCACACAATTTAGGAAAAATTAATTCAGTAAAAGAAATACTAATTTCTTTTTTATCCTCATCTTTTCAATAGAAGATTTATTTACTAATCTAAGTTAAATTCAGACAACATAACAAACAAACAAATTATATTTATAAGCAAATTCAAGAGCATTTTACTTTTAATTTAGTAAAGCTAATTACAACGATATCTAAAAAGCTGATTCAACAAAGTTTTCTTAAACTTTATTTAAACACCTACAAAAATTCTGCTGATCTCATGTAAGTAAAAAAATAAATATTATAAATGGAGCTAAAGAGGAGAAAATAAATTGAACTTTAAAGATATGCAAACATAAGAGAAGGTAGGTGAAGAAATTAAAATAAAAAATTTAATAATAAAATAATGTAAGATGTGTAAGAAATGTTTAGAAGAATAAGATTAATTGAATGATCTTTTTTATTAAGCTAATAGATTTATAACATACACTTTTTATCTTAAAAGATAAAATTGTAAGTCTCATCAGAAATCGTTTATTTTGATTAAAAACTTTTTGATGAAAAGTCAATCTAATGTTTTAGATTACATAACTAAATTAAATCTTTTACATCAAATTTATAAATTTAGATCTTTTCATTTATTTTAAATTACTTCTCTGTAAATCTTTTCATTACTCCCTTAATCTCTTTAATACTTTTTGATACCAGATCTGTAAAAGAGTTTATATTTTATCCTAAGTATTTTAAACTTATAATATTGTTACATTTTATAACTTTTAATTTTCTGAAAAGGTTAAACTCAAATAGATTTTTTCTTTTAGTATGATGATAAATTTTGACTTGTCATTATTAAATAAATTAAAAAATCAAAAACAAATAGAAAATTTATTCCCAGCATTAGAAATATTTTAAACTTATAAAAAATTAATAAATAAATAAAATATAACAAATAAAAATATATAATTTGATTTTACGAAAATGAAATAACTTGATCTCTTTGGTAGCTAAATACTTTTTAGGTTTAACAAACAGCCAACTCATAATACCCGCTTTGGATCAATATTCACAATAGCTATTGTAACGGTTATAATATTGCGTCTCATAATAATTATATCATCTGTTGTTTAAAGAACTAATCCTGTTGTTATATACTAAGAAAGATAGGTTGATAGTCCATAAATATTCACAATAAATGAAAATACATTCTAAATCGCCTTTGGTATGTAGGATGCTAATTTCAATTAATTTATTGATGAGTAAATATACAAAATTACTGTTTAAAATGTGCATAAGACAACTACTGTAGATGATTCCACTGGAAAAGTTAATGATTAATACGTGACCACTAATGTACCTATAACAAGATGCTCTCTAGCTAATTTTCCAGATTTAAATACTCGTCAGTACTACGAGAAATTGGATTATACAAATATGTATTGTTTTCCCCTTAATATGGATTTATTTATAGAAGGAGATTTTAATGCAGAGTCATTTTAGTATATTAACATCAAACTTTAAAAATGCTAAACAAATTGCAAGCCTGATTCTGTTATTTAGCAAACCTTAGGTTATTCTTTTTTCTCAATGCAATTTTCTGATGTTATAATAGATCCAACCTAAAAAACAAACCCATTTAAACATTATTCTAGAGATACTTATTTTACAACAAGTTTACAAATGCCAAAGAGTGTTGGTTTCTTAATGAGAAACAACTACGTTTAAAGTGATTATGGTTGGATTAACTCTGACATATAGACAGTAAGCTATCCTTCTTTCAGTTAAGCTGAGTAAAACGTAAGAAGATCAAATTTAAATCTTTATGTCATATAGAATGCAATAATTTTTTATTGGATTGGGATTTCAAGAAACAAAATTAATTTTTTAACTTTTGCCAGAATTTTTGATTAACGAATTTAAAAATTTTACAAAAAATTTATAAAGGAATTAATAATTTAAAATAGATTTCAATTATTGATTTTCTTTTTATAAAATAAAATAGGTCTATCCGAGTACTTTTTAAAATTTTTTCTTTTAGATGGTCATCCGTTTTGAGAAATAGAAAGAAAATCTTTACACAAGAAAATATTAAAATTTAAATGATATAATTTCGCAAATAGGTGGGTTTACTTAGTCTTTGCTTGCAATAGGTTTTCTGATATGCTCAAGATTATCTTAACTAGATCTCAACAAAGAAATTATAAATGAGGCATTCAACTATGAAAATGTTAACTTTGAAGAATAAGAAGATAATAATAAATTGAATTAAGTTTGTTAAAAACAAATAGCTAACAATTAAAAATAAATTCATTAAGACATTTCTTTAGAAAATATGCAATAAAGTTTTCTGAAGAAATAAATTGAAAGTAATCTCCCCAATCAAAAACATTAAATTGCGTCACATTTTAAGTAAGATTAATCTAGTATGAATTAAACAGAGCTTAAGGGTATTCTAATTAAACCAATGTCTCTTGACCCAAACCAATCATATAACAATAATCAATCAATTTTATTTAACGCAAATTTAAGCTAAAATTAGTAATCTTTAACAACCTAATGTTATCCACAAAACTAAAATTCTCAAAGAAGCTCACTTAAGAATAACCTAAAATAGGAAGCAAAGCAGCATTCTCCTACTGAAAAAAAAGGGATAGAGCAAATGCTATAAAGTAAATCCTAAGACTTGCCAAATTCTTAATAATAAGACAATGAAAAATAGTTTTTATAACATCTTATCTAAAATTAGGATTAATAAATTTAAAATAATAATTAAAAAGATGAATTGGAATACCATTTATCATCTGACCATTAAAAATTAAAATAGCAACAATAAAAATTAGAAGAGAAAAAGTAAAAGCTAAAGGAAAACATGTTTAAAAAGCTGATGTAAAAGGCAACAAGTAGCATGACTTTAAACACTTTGGAGTATTTAAAATTTTTCCTGTGGCCATTTGGTTAAAAGATTAAGTAAAAAAAGAAAATAATTGATTACAGCATAGATTAGGTCTATTACCACTTAGATGTTATACATGTAATTAAAAAGTTGATGGAAGTGGATAAATTAAAGAATATTCTGCTAAATCCTGATTAACTTAGATTATTTGAGTATATTCCAAAGCCAACAATCAGGTCAAACTATGGTTTTTGTAAAAAAGCAACTGATATAGAATTTTAAATGGATGATCAATATCAAGATAACAGGACTGAACTTCAAAAGGCACAGCAAGCATACTAAGCATATTAAAATATAGCAAGTAAATAAAATTTAAGTGCATTGGATACTAAAATACTTTAGCTTTTAGATTAAAAATTGCTTTAATTATTTGGTATAAGTCAAAGTTCGAGAGATGTTTTAATCTAAAAAGCATAAATTATTCCATAAAATATTGATATTTCTTAATCTTTGAATCGAACCTCAGCTATCAAAAATAATAATGATAAAATATGTGTTTAAAATATTTCAATATCAAACTCAAATTCTGATGAAGATAGAAATGAAAAAAAATAAGATATTTCTACTTCCAGAATATAAAATTAGTCAGTGCAAGCAGCAAAGGAATATCATCAGAATTTCTTAAGTCCTAAAAGCGAAAATTAGCAAATACTTAATTTTGTCCAAGATAATTAAATGTTAAGTCCCCGATTAGATTCTTCAAAAAGTATTTTTTCAGAAATAGCAGGAAATGAAGCTGAGTTAAAATAAAATTAAATCCACGAATTTGAGAATTCTAACCCTAAAGGTTAAAGCTAGCTCAATCAGTGAGTTAATTATGTCGAATTAAATTAAGTAAATAAACTTGAACTATTAAAATCAATTATTATTTTGAATACAATTTTATATTTTGTTTCAAAAAGTAATCAATTATTTTTATGAAATTAAAATTAAATTCATAAAATTTCATCATTTTAAAGAATATAAAATTACTTACTTTTGAGCTAAAAAATAAACCATGAAAATGCAAAAAAAAATAATGCAATAATATCACATATTAAAATATTTTTTAAAAATATGCCATTCAATTAAAATAAAAAACTTTTCTATTGTTTATTGGCTTTTCTTATTTAGGTAGATTAATTTATTTTATATATTTTCTTCTAAGTTTATCTGATTTTAAAATCAAATTTTCTTGTTTATACTCTTTTTATGCATAAGAACAAAAAAAGAAAAGCAGGCAGAAAAAGAAAAAATTTTTGTGTTTATTTATTCAAAATAAATTATAAAATAAAACGTTAGTAATATTTAAATTAGAGTAATGTAATTTGATAAGCTATTAATCTTGAGAATTCTACTTCTAAAAGTTAAAGATAGCACAATAAACAAGCTCATTATATTGAATTTAACTCAGCAAATAAACTTGATCTTGATTTTATATAAAGTATATTCAAATTAAAGATTATTTGAAATTAGACATAATATTTTAATTTAAATAAAAATGTAATAATTATTTTTAAAAAATTAAATTAATAAATATTTTATCATTTTAGTTCAGAAGAAAATAAAACCAAGTAAAAAATGAAGAGTTTTTTATTTTAATTTAACTTAAATAAACTTATAAAATTTTAATAATTTTAAATTAAAATAATTTAATCAGCAAAATCTTAGCAAAAAATTAATATTTAATATTTTAGATAAATTAAATTAAATAGTTTACATTAAAGATTAAGTCTTTGAATAATTCAACTGATAAAATACTATTTTATAATTGGAATTTCATTTAATTTAGACAAAATATCTATTAATTAACATTACATTTATTTTGAATAATAAATAAAGCACAATTTTTTTTACCTAAAATTGAAATTTGATTTTAAAGTTATTAACTTTTTTCTGTTGGTTTGTAGAGGTTGTTATATAGTATTTTGTTAAGTTCAAAATTTAAAGAATGATTATTTTTGAATGAAAGGATGAATGAATGATTGTCATTTTAATTAATAGATCTAACAAATAAATAATTCAAAAGAGTGGAAATCTAACAACTATAACAAATATTGATTAAATATTAATACTTTATTTTAGATTGATTGAATTAATATCCATCGTACTTATAAAAAAGATTAATAAAAAAAATAATAAAGTCTTCTTTCAAAAATTATATTTTTGTAAACTAAAATGAAGCAAAAGCTGGGAAGACCTCCATTGATTTAAATAGAGTTTAATGAAGGTATTAAATAGTCTAATTTAGATAATAATTAACAATAAAACCAATTTTCTACAATAGTTAATTAGTAAGGCTTAAAAGAGGGCAATCAAGTTAATTCTCCTACTCCAAATTTTACTTCTCCATCTAATAAGTAGCATTAGTAGTAAATGCCTCAAGGAAGTTATTATTTTTCTTAGTTCCATTAGCACCTTGCACCTTAAAGCAATCCTAACTAATAAGAAATTTATTATAATGATAAAAATGCTCAAAGCATGCAGTTTTCAAATTAAATTCAACCATTTTCTTAATATTCTTCAGGATAACAATAAATTTATTAAAATTAAAATCAAAATGAAAGCAATAAACAAGAATTAGTCTTTAAAAAAAATATGTAAAACGAAATAAATGATTCAAGTGTGTATCAGAGTTCTTAATCACCTTATTAATCTGAAATTTAAAATTAATACAATGACTATTTGATCGAATAGAAATACTAACAGTATGTAAGTGGATAATCAAATGATTCAATTCTAAAAAAGAATTAATCAAATGGATTTGATACTTAATCGAGTCAACAGACCAATAGCAATAGGGATATTTCCCCTCAAATAAAAGGAAACTAATCTAAATATAAAGGAAGCGAAGTTACTGATAATAGAATTAAATCAATAGCAAATGTTAACAAATCACTTGTTAGAAATTCCTCATCAAGCAATATCGTTATTTAGCCTTAAAGAATTTAAGTTGATATGAGCGAATTTATGCTTAAAAAGCCTCCTTAACCACCTTCTAACAGAACTCCTTCAGGAAGAGAGTAAAACTCTCAAAATAATATTAATAATAATATGAATGAAGGATTAAGCTTGTTAAACTTGACTCCAAAGTCTTAGTACCTCAAAATATCTTCATCTTCAAAGTCTCCATCCCATAAAAAGACAAAGTCTTTAATGGATTTTATTAAAAATGGGATATCTAATAGTACAAAAAATTTGAATAGACCGCTAAAAGAAAATAAATCAGCTATGAATTAAAAAGAAAAGTTGAACCAAAGCAATTAAAACAACAGTTAGAAAAATATTTCAGAGGGAAGAAATTATAGCAGCAACTCCAGAAAATAAAATTTAAAAAATGCTTAGGAAAATACTACCTCTTAAAATTTGAAAGTAAGTAACTTCTATTCATAGACTAATAGAAGTGGAGCAAGCACTACTAATTAAACAGTCTCGCCTTTAACAAGCCCTAATACTTTAAACTAGTAAAAATAAAATAACTAAAGTAGCCATAATATTTAAGCTAGTTAAGAAAAAAAAAATAACAAAAAAATAACAAATTAGCGTACATAATCTACTTCAAACTTACATCAAAATAACTAGTAAATAAAATTCTCTCCACCATCCAAAAAAGACACAATAACTCAAAATGGTGAAATAAATCAAAACGGAATACTTTTTAAAAATTCTACGAAGGCTATTTCAATTAAACAAAAGGTTTTATCAGACAGTAAAAAACAAAAATCATCTAAAAGTAATTTTTAATAAAAAAATATTATTTTATTTAATTAATTCAAATATTTAAATTTAAGATAAAAAGTAAAATGAATATTTCAATTTATGATTTAATAAAATTAACATTTCTAAATAAAAAGTAAACAAGAAAAGTTATTTATTTTAATAAAATATTTAAAAGAAAATAATTATTTTTAAACAAAAACAATTAAATCAATTTAATATACAGTTTTTAACTTTTTTCTCATGAATATTTGTTAATGATAGCAAAAAAAATATAAAGTCAATTAATAAATAAAATAATCAAAATTAAATTAATTTTTAATTTTAATTAAGAAAATCTACCTTTTTTATGATATAAAACAATAAAAGATCATTTTTTAAATTAATAAGAAGGTTCTAGATTTGCAACAGAGGCAGATAATGCAGATTTAAATGATTATGATGACGAAAATTTAAGTGAATAAGTTGAAATTAACAAAGTATTAAAAAGTAATGAATAATCTCCTAAGAAAAATCTAGACTTGCAAAATAAAACTAATCAGCAAAATGATATTCCTGAAAACAGTTTAATTTACCGCTAAATGATGATTACTTAATCACAAATAGGAAAAGAGCATCCCACTCCTTCTTAAATTAAATATTTATAATCAAACTAAAAGAAAAAATACTTTGAATAATAGTCAGAAAATGTTGCTGATGAAGAAAAGAAAGATATAGAAAATGCATAAAAAATTTTAAATTAAGTCTAAAAAGATAATTTAGTAATTTCTTAGTAAAGTTCTAATAAAAAAAGCTCAAATGCCTATGGAACTGATAGTTTATGGCAAGATAATATTGAAGATTCATTCTAAAATTATTAAAATTATCATTCAATTTAAAAAATACCAGTTTCTTTAGGATTTAATGGATTTAAGTAGGTTAGAGAAAGCCAGTCATTAAAGTCTGGCTTAACCTAGTAAATTAACTCATAAAATACTTTAAATAGCACAAAGAATAACAACAGTAACTACTAAACAAATTTTGCTAATAATGCTAATAACTAGACACTTCATAGTACAATTGAAAACGAATATTCTACAATATAAAAAGTTTAAGGTAACTTCTTTAGCAATTCTACAAATGCCAATTAAACTGCGAATCCGATATTGCAATTAAATGCCCAAACAGTAGAGCCTTAATTGCCTTAGATTTTATTGGAATAATAAGAAAATATCAAACGTAGTAAAAAGAACGAATCACTGCAAACAAGCAGTGAAAAGCATCTTCGTGAAAATTATCCTTTTTTCCTAGAAAATTCAGATTCAAAAGAACAAGGCAGAGACTAAAATGATAACTTATAAAATTAGTTTGAAGGCATGATTAATTCAAATGAATAAAAGTCATCAAATGTTTCTCTTATTCCTATTACAAATATAAGTAATAATATCTTATTTTTAAAATTCATTTAAGTTTAATTTTTATTTTAAATTAAAATATAAATAGATCCTTAATATACTGAAAATTACTTAATTTAAGGTAATTCAAACAGAATTTTGCAATAGCTTTAAAATATGGGAGCAGGAAAACAGAATTATTTCAGAAAGGAGTAATCAGGGATCAATGAATAGAACTAATAAAATTTAAATTAAAAGAAAGACTCATAATTAGATTACGATTAGAGTGTGATGGTTTTTTAGAGTAGCTAAGACACTTTGAAAAAAGAAAAACTTGAACAATAAGACCAAGGCTCAACAGGATTGAAAAAATTAAACAATCAGAAAAGCAATAATGAAATAAGCGAATTAAGTTTTGAGGCTAAAAATATTGATAATTCTTTGAAGAATTTGTCAAGTATAGAAACAAATACTATAAACTCTTTGTAAATGTAAAATAACTGCTTTAATTTAATAAGCAGCACTCCCAACAATAACCTAAGTTCAAGCTACATGTACAATCAAGGTGGCTTGTAAACACCAAAGCAAAGCTAAAATAAATTCAGTGTTATGAAAATTATTGATAATACCAGTATCCCTATTAGTAAATAGATTATAAAATAAGATGCTGTTGTTATCAGTAAGACTAGTAGCTCAATAAATGCTTCGCCTTAAAGTAATTAAAGAAGCAACAAACACTAGATTAGCCCTACTTCTAATGCAAAACTTAATAAAATAATTGAACAGAGATCACTCTCACAAGAAAAAGGTTTAACTTCAAAAAGTTTAGGAAATTTTGCACCTTAACAGTTTATCAACAAGCAGATTTATGTTTAGGATAATTCATAGTTTAATCAAAACTTAATTAATTAATCGATTGTTTCAACTCCTTATTAAAATTATAGCAACAATAATTTATCATCTATGAACACCTTAGAAAGGCATAAAGTTATCAATTAAAATTTAAATAATCAAAATTAAAATATTTGTTATGAATCTTATTAATTGCCGAATTATCAACAAACATCGGTTGGAACAGATAGGTAGGCTCTAAATTTGATGACTACTCCAAAATAATATAATAATAGCTAAGCCTTGCATTTCTTAACAAGTGATTGCTCAAGCTACAGAGTTGATCCCTTGTATTAATAGCAGATTAATTAGTATGCCCTTTAAAAATCAAGTGAATTTAAACAAATCCCTGAAACAACAACTGATTTATAAAGAATGCAGACAGATTAATCACTATTTGAGTCATACTAATATTTACCTTAAAGTTTAAATTAGCTACATTCTACCAAAAATTAAGATGTGAGAAGCTCATTTCCATATTTGAGCATTTAAAGTTAAAACAAAAATACAAATTAAACACAATAAATTGGAAATCATAACTATCAACATTAATTTTTTCATCCAATCGATATCTAATTAGAATAAAAAGAGAACAACCAATCTTTCTAAAATTACAATAACAGCTCAGAGTTTTTAAGGTAGTAGCAAATAGCGAATTATCAAAAATAATAAGATAATAGTGGTTATTATTGTGGTAATTAATAAGATAATTATGAAAAATAAGTAAATGAAATAGATTATGGTGGCAAATAATTGGAGTCTTAATATTTAATGTAAAGATTGAATTAAATATCAAAGCAGCAGTAATAATAATTATAATCAAAGCAATAATAAAACTTGAAGTCAAAATAAAATCTATCTAAACATTCAAATAACTAAACAATAGACTAATCTAAAATAGAAAGGAGTTTTATTACTACTACAGAAGAGCTTGGTGCTGAGCTTTAAGAAAATAAAATTTCTACAAATAGACTGAAGCAGCATGTATAGTGTCTAGAAAATCGCATAAGGAAACTAGTCAACGAAGATGAGAATTTGGAAAGAAAATTGCAATTGATTACATAGAGAAAAGAAGATATGAGTTAAATAAAAATGAAAAACAAAGAAGATAACTTAAGATTACAGAATTTAAAATATAGACAATAAGAATAAATTAAAGAAATGAAGAGGAAAATATCTCAAGGTAGAATCTAATCAAAAGAGAGATTAGAATAGAGTAAAATGCAATTACAAATGTAAAAAAGGCATATTGCCAATTAAGTTAAAGAAGTGAATTAATCTAACAAATCTTTATTAGACGAAACGAGAAACTAGGAAGCTCTTAGAAATAGCTTTATCATCAGTAGTATAAAAAATTTAGAGCGTAAACTAGTTGAAGACAAAACAAACAGAGCAACTCAAGCATTGCAATAAAGTAAAATTAGTTAAATGAATAAAATAGAATAAGAATAAGAATAACAAGAAGAGCTAAAAATGAAAATCTAACAACTTGAGTAAATTGAACAGTAATTGATTGACAATCTCGAATAAAAATACGAATAAAATAAAAGCTTTTTGTATGTTTGAAGAAAAAAATAAGTGAAAAATTAATTAAATTTAAATTTAAATTGTAATTATTTAGTTAAGAACAAAATACTGTGATTTATATTATAAACAACATTTTGTATAAACATTCATTTTTCTTAAAAAAATTTAAATTAATTTCAAAACAAACTTAGTAAAAATATAATGTTTCACAGTTGCTAAAATTAATTAAATAATCAAAATAAAACACACATAAAAAATTTCATAATTAGAAATTATCAATTTATATATTTTATTATTTATTACAAGCGTTTTATTTATATTTAAAATATATTTCAGTAGAAATATCAATTCAATAAAATCAAATAAATTTGCTTTATAAAAAGCTTTTTACTAAATGAAATTCTTTAACTAACTTTTAACTAAAAAAACTGAATATAAAAGAATATTTTACAGTTTACATGCTATAAAATAAAAAGTTTTATCCTGTTTAATTGTCTTAAAGTTGATTCTAATTTAAAAATAATAAAAAAATTTTTATTGAGTTTTTTTTAGAAACTAAAAGAGTTAGTTAATTATTAACTATTTTATATAATAAAGACTTTATAAAATATTATTTTTATCTTTAAATTAAGTTATCTTTTCAGATTTTTAAAAACATTAATTAGAACTCAATAAACTTTATTTACACAAAAATTTATTTTAGTAGAATATTTAATAATTAAGAAAGCAGAAAAATTTATTTGAGATAAAATTTTTTACTAATTGTAATAATAATAAGAATTGAGTTAATTTTAAGTTTAAAATTTTTTTAGTTATTTAATAGCAGTTTCAGTAAATTTTGAATGAAAGTTTGTTTAAAAAAATAATACTGCTTTAATTAAGAATATTTATATAAAAAAATCATTAAAATGTATTTAAGAGAGCGTATAACATAATATTTGAGAATTTTTTAGATAGAATTAATTATTGATTAAGATTTGAATTATTGCAAGAAGCTTTGCTTAAAATTTATTGCATTTACTTTTATTAACTTTAATATTGATTTTAACGTTATCTCGACTTTTATTTAAGTTTCAATTAATTTTTTTATTTTCAAGTACATAATATTATATGAAATGTAATTTAATAATTAAAATATAATTCTTGCTATTGGGGTTTGAAATATATTAACTTTCTTTAGAAGAAACTTCTGTAAAATGGAATGATTAGTGGGAATATTAAATTCATTTGCAAATAGAATATTATTAAATGAAAAAATAAAGTATTTCTTAAATCGAAATAGAAATTAAATTTGTAAAATATTTTGCTTTTTGTTTGATTTTTTAATTTGGTAAATAGCGGGTTTATTTATAAAACAAAGAGAGCTTTAAAAAATTATATTTTTTGATATTTATAAAAAATACCTTAGGTTGAATAGCGCTCGCATGCAATACAAAACAAAATACCAGCTTTAAAATAAAATTTTTGTTTAAGTACTTATTAGAGTAAAAAAGGATTGATTATAGATGATCAAAAAAAAGGTGTGTTCGTTCACTTATCTATAACTAAAAAAATATATTTATTTATGTGTTTATGATGAGTTATTTGCTTAGATTGCTTATAATTTGTTTAATTTTCTTTTTATGTATGTATGTATGAATGACTAATAATGATTAAGCTTAAACCCAATTTGATATTGAACAAAAACAAAAAAGTAGTCTAATAAATAAATAATCTATCAATTAATTATTCAATTAATCAGTCAATCAATCAATCAGTCATTGAATATTGAGTTTGGTTTAGAATGATTTATACGTAGAGATTTTCCTATCTCTTTTAAAACGAGTCTAATATTCTTTTAAAAATTAATAAAGTAAGAGAAAGAAAAAATTTAGAGAGATATTTAAGTGACATATAAAAAAATAAAAAAACCGAAAAGAAAGAGGCAATCAGGAAAGCATATACTGGTGTGAATATCATTTTGTCCTATAGAACCGCTTCTTACATCTCACTTAATCTATTGAGAAGGATAATATTGCTTTTCTTAAAATAATTTTAAGAAAAAAGTTTTCTAATTGCTTAATATTAATTTTTCTTTTGAAACAAGATCATAAAGTATTGAAAGAACTATTTGGAAACTCTGTGATACTGGAATCCATATCAAATATTTAAAGGTTTTAGCTAAAAAAAAATTAAAAAGGAGAGTTAAATTCTTTTTGAAAAAAATATTTTAAATCAGAGTCTAATATTGAATCTAAAAGGATCAAATAAACAAGCATTTTGTATAAAGCAGATATAAATTAAAATAAAATTAATCTGAATGATGGGAAATAAAAAATGCTGGGCTGAAAAATTTAAGTAAGCTCTGAACAACAAAGACTCATAGGAAAGATATGCAATCGAAACAAATTGGTAAATAATTTTTAAAATGGGAAAAGATTAAACTAAAATATTACAAGCATACAAATTTTTCTTTCTAAATGTTATCTTATTGCTTTTATAACCAAAAAATTAATTTTTGCAAACTATATTGCATTTTATCAGATTAATAATGAATTTGTATTTATTCATTGATGCAGAGTGCTAGCAATACTCAATAACACACTCTTACAAATAAATAAGCAAACAAAATAACATATATTAATTAAGCGATTTCCTTCATTTATTTGAGCAGCTTTCTAAATAGACCAATATTCATTCCAACCAATCAATTGCTCTTCATTTATTTCTCCATTTCTTTTGTTTATCAATCAACAGCTTAAGCATAAAGAAAATAAATAAATAAACAAACAAACAAACAAACAAACAAATAAATCTTCACTTTTAAATCTACATTTGAATAATATATTATTTTCTCCTTTAAAAACATTACATTTTAATATTTGATAAAAATCTATTATTTTCTAAATAGGTGGAATGATTTCAAAAGTCAACTCATGATACTAATTGAAGTTTATGATTTCGATATGGATGAAAATGATATACTCTTAGCTTCAGAAAATAAATTTGACAACTCAAAGCTGATGTAAAATTTTTTATTTATAGTGATATTCTTAGCGTTCAATATTTGTTTGCGACTAGGAGTTAATTTTAGAAAAATGCAAAAATTTATTTTGAGAATTAGTTGGATTTTTTAATTATTTTTTTGTGGAATTAAAGAAAAGAAGGTGACTATGAAGAGAGGACGAATCTCATAAACAAAATGAAGGAGCTAAACAAAGATAGTATTAAAACTATGCAAGATTACTTTATGATTAATCCCTCACTCTCAGTAAATAAAGACTTTTCTCTAATAAACGGAGAAGCCTACAACATGCTTATACAATAAAATTATGGAGGTATATGATAAAAATTGAAAAATTATTTAGATTTTAGAATATAATATTTTCTTTTCTCACTTAAATTACTAATTAAAATTTAAAAAAACACCAAAATGATATTTATTTTTGTTGATTTACTTACAAAAATATAAAAATATGAAACCAAATTTTAAAAAAATTCTTCAAAAAAATTCAAATAAATTAATCTTAAAAGAATGGTTACAAATTGTTGACTTCTCAGTAAATGAGAAAAAGATATTGATGTAAATTTTTTATAATGGATTAATTTATTTATACATTAAATTACGCATCACTCATTTAATGTGTCTAAATAGAATCTAAAAAACAAAGCAAGTATTAATAAATTATTCAATCGTTAAGTATTATCGAGCACTTTTGATTAATTGATAGAGATAGATAGATTAATAAACATAAGATGTATAATTTCATATACAAGCAAGCATACATAGTTATAAAAGAATATTTAGTTTTAAATTTAAAAGAATTTAATTTTACCACTTAAATTGAGTTTGAATGTATTAAGAAGATTTAAATTTATTTGTTAATAAATAAATAAATGAATATCTTTTTACTCTATTTTAATATAAACCAGCCAGATATTTATTATTCTTCTATTCTAAAATTTAAACAAATAAATTAACAATATTTCAATTTATTATTTTGTTTAGGTCCAAGTATTAGATTTTTTGTTGATGATATTTAGAGTCATACTGATTTAAATGACAAGGTAATTACTAGTTTTATGGAAGGGAGTGATAGTTTAAAAGAAAATTAATATATCGATCTTGATACTATGTAACTAGGCATTATCATTAAGCATAAAGATAAAACTATTATTGAGGTTGGCTACTATCCTAAAAATAAGTCTCTCTCCCATATCTTAAAAGTAATAACTAAAAGAATGAACATCGACTACTCATAAATGGCAGTTGATATGAGAAAAGCATCAACCTAAGTCAGAAAAGACAGTAACTGTGATTCAATTGAATAAGATAAAAAGACACTTGCTGAAGGAACAGATGAAAACTTCTTTTTACTAGAATATCCTAATCAATCTGCAGAATAAAAATCAAATAAAAACTTACTAGAACTAGGAATTTAGCAGAATCAAATTATTATTTTCACAGATTAATACAACAGTGCTGCTTAAGTATTGGAATAAGATGAAATATGCTTTGATGGACCCGATCTTTTAAATTTTACTGAATAAGGATTTTAAGATCATGGAATTCATTTCTAAAATGACTTTAATAATCAAGATATTTACAAGAATTCATCAGGTTAAAAGAATAACTCAGTTTCTGAAAAAAGAGGAGCTGAATTCTCAGCTAATGCTATGTACATAAACACTGCTAGAAGAAATAATTTTTTGGACAGTTATAATCTACCCCATAATAATTAGTGCACAAATGCCACCTTAGAGTCCACATTTGACTCTCCAACATAGGTTCATAATAACTCTGTTCAATTTATGAGATCAGATGATGAAGGAGATGATGAAAATGAAAATTTTATAGAAGCAAATAATGGTGTTAATTACGGATCTTCATATCCTCATAAGAGAAATATCCTCAAAAGAAATAAGCACTCAGACGAATCCACTGAAGAGAATGATCCTGATGACGAAGACAATAATTTTAATTAGGAATCTAAAGGCTTTAATAAAATGAATGGAACATAGTCAAATTAACTTCAAGTTCCTCGTTAGGTTATTGGATAAGCAAAGAGCTAAGAAGAGATTGACTAAATAAATTAGGAAATAAAAAACGCATTAGGAAAATGTGGCACTCTTGTAATAAAAAAGCTTACTAATTAATAAATAGTGCAAAATATGATCTCAATGATAAATCAAACTCAACTAGCTATCTAGGAGCAGCTTCAACAAAGGGCTAAATAAGAAAAGAATGTTCTTTAAGCATAATAGCTAGAGAAACTAAGATTTAAAGATTTTTCTGATTAGAAAGGAGATGACAGTGAAAGAACTTCATCAACAAGCACTTAGCCTGAAAATAAAAAGAAGAAAAAACGTAAAATAAGCAACAACATACTCTTTGATGAAAACATTTGTGATGCCGAAGACGCTTCTCAATTTATGAATTGAGTCAGTAAAAAATGAAAGAAACAATTCTCAACTTTACTAAAAATTACTTTTAAATTTTAAATGAATCAACTATTTAGCTATCTATCCAGCCTACCTATCAACAATCCAATAAAACATAAAAAAATAACTTTCATCATAACTTAAGCTACCAAACTTTGCAAAAAGTATCTCCTCAAACACTAAAAATTTATATTAAACTCATACATACCAATTAAAATCACAGTGAAATATTTGATTTTAAAAAAGTAGTAGGTAAATCTAATCCAATCTCTTCATTTCATCCATCTTAGTGAAACTATTTAAATTGTATAAAAAGACACAATCTTTCAAACAAACAAATTAATAAATAAATAAATAACATAAAAAAAACAACAGTTAGTTAAGTGATAGCGAGAATACATACAAATGATAGGAGACTAACATTTAAAATCAAGCAAGCAAAAAAAAGTAACAAATAAACAGTCAAACAGACAGACATACAGACATAGAGATAGACTAATATTCAAACTTCTTTACATTTTAATTAATTAATAACATAAATCATCTAATTTAGACTTCCACAAAATAATATAAATAAATATATTTAAGATATGAAAAAGACTGGCAATTTATGTAATTTAATAGAAATGTTGTAAGTAGATATCATTAATACATACCTACCTACCTACATACCTAGTCTTTCTTATTCTTCAACTTACTTACCTACTTAATTCGATACAATCAACCAGTTAGATCAATATTTTTAAATTTAAAATACTTTTATACTATATACATAGCTTTGATTGATATCCATTTATACTTTATAAAATAGTATCTACCTATCTAATAAACTTATAATCTATATATTAATGGTTTTCATGTTTTAATTTTAATATTTTTTCTTTATAATTTAAATGATTTAACAATAAATAAATAAATTTTAATACTTTTATAAGATATTTATTATAATTTATTTAAATTAATAGGCATTCAATAAAGCTTATAGAAGTAATTAATGGGTATGAATAAAATTTATTTTAATGCCTTAATTTATTCACTCAATCACAAAATATATTGTTAATATTTAAAACTAAAAATCCACAAAACTCCAAAAAATAAAAAAATAATGAATAAAAATAGTAAAAATGTAAAATTTCTTTTACTTATTAAACTAAAAAAAATTTAATATCATCATAAATCTAATTCATCATTCAAATTCCTACTAATAGCAAATATAATTAACTTGCAATAACTAAATAAAGGTTTTAAAATTAAACTCTTAATTAATTGATTGATTAACAATCAATCTATCTTAAATTGGTTGTATAAATTATTTAAAAATATGTTTTTTTCAAATGAATAATTATTATTTAGAATAATTTTTTAATTGTCTTTAAAAATGTAAGAATATATTTTAATATAACTATTCCTACAAAAATAAATTGTAATCTTTTACAATATTAATTATTATTATAATCAAATTTAACTAAGATATAAGAAAAGAAAAAAAATTCATTTCTTTTTCTGCTTTTAACTAAAGAAAATTTGGTAAAATTAAAATAAAATATTTTTTTAGTTTTTAAGAATTAAATAGTATCATTAAAATGGATAAACAGAAAAAAAGAGTGTTAAATATAAAAAAATGTTTATGAATATAATTAAACAAAAATATTCATCAGTTGTGATTTAAAATTGACATTTTTAAAAATAATAAAAATTTTAAAAAATAAAAATATTGAGAAAATTCATTTTTGTAAAAAATAAGAAATTAAGATTTTTGAAAGTATTAATTAAAAGAAATTGGTCGAAGTTATGAAAAAATATTTTAAATGTAAATTAATGAGTTAATTCGACTCTGTGAATGTATTTAATTCACTAGGTATTTTATTAAGATCAACATACAAAAGAACGAAGACAAAGGTATAAGAAAAAATAATTGTTATATATTGAATATATCAACCAACTAATTAATTTCAATAAATAAATGAATCAGTTTTTCAAAAGTGAGCAGAATAAAATTCAATAAAAATTATTCAAAAAATAATAAAAAATTTAAATTGATTATATTTCAGAATTTATGTAAATTATTAAATTAATTAAATGAAAACAATTTATATCATTAACTTAATTAATTAATTAACAATTCCTCTCTAAAAGTATAAATTAAAAGAAAAAAAAAGGAACATTTATTAAAAGCAATAAATAGCTAAAAGGAATGCAAAACACTACTACAGGACCTGTCGTTAAATTTAAAATAGTTTTTCTTGGTGACTAATCAGTAGGAAAAACCTCTATCATCAATCGTTTTATTTACGATAACTTCACTGGAAGTGAATAAGTATAGCATTTTTAAGATAGTTAATTTTAAAAACTTATAATTGTAGTTAATTCTAAAATGCCTGTCAAATAATGCATTATGCATATCAAATTTATAATAAAAATACTTATTTAAATATTCAATATATTCAATTTTATTTTTTAATTATGTTAGCCTACTGTTGGTATCGATTTCATTTGCAAAACCCTATAAATGGATAATAAAACTTTGAGACTTCAACTTTGGGATACTGCTGGTTAAGAACGTTTCAAGAGTTTAATTCCCAGTTATATTAGAGATTCAAATGCAGCTATCATTGTTTACGATATCACTAGTATATTCTATATTTTAAATATATTTCTAAGCAAAAAATAGTTTTATGTTTCTTTTTTTGCTTCTAACGATTAATTATTATTTTGTATTACAAAGATCAAAATTCCTTTAGCAATGTCACTAAATGGGTAGAAGAGGTTAAAGAAGAAAGAGGAAACAACGCTTTTATTTTTATTTTAGGAAACAAATCTGATTTAGAAGATAGGTAAAAATTTAAATTTTCTCAGCTATTAAAATTTGTTTATATATTGTGAACATAATAATAAAGAAAATTAAATTTTTTGTTTTATTAATTAATCATACAGAAAGGTGTCTCTTGAAGAAGGATAGGCTAAAGCAAAGTAATTTGGTCTTAACTTCTGTGAAGTCTCTGCAAAAACAGGATAAAATATTAGCAGCTTTTTTAAGAATTTATCTATGACACTCAGTGGAGGAAACTCTAACGAAACCCCTAATTAGTAGCTATAGACAGATAATAAGTCAGGACAACCATAATAGCCAAGTAATAATAACGATAATGCAAATAAAGGCCAAAAATTATAGAATCCTTCAAAAACTGATGATAAGGATAAAAAGAAAAAAGGAGGATGTTGTTGATAAGTTTAATCAAGTCAATTAAATATAGTGGTAAAATTAATGTGATAAAAGTAATAAAATTATAAATTTTCTAATAAAGAAACAAATATATATACAAATTAACTAAGTAAAATTATCATTTAAAAGATGTTTTCTCATAATTTTGTTCATTCACTTTGTCTGTAAATTGCACGCACATCTTCAAAAACCTAATTACTCTTATCTTATTTTTCTTATAATATTTTATTTTTCTCATCTAATATATTAACTAACTTATTTATATTGATGAAAATTTATTATTTCAATTTCAATTATTAACTAATAAAACCTGTTGATCAAAAAAATTAAAAATATCAAGTAAAGTTAACAATAAACAACCAATTTTCAATATGTAGTACTCCCATTTCAAATTTTTAGAAAATGAGCCTTAGTAAAATTTATTTCTATTTACAGTAATTAAAAGAAATTATTAATCCAAGACAAACATATGCCAAACTCAAATTATTTTTTAATTAGTCATCTATTATTAATATATTTTAAGAGATTTGTTCTATATTACTCATACAGTTAGCATTCATAAAAATATTCTCATGCGATTTGAGAAAATTTTAAAGGATTTTATTATTAATTGTTATTGAAAAAAATTGAAATTAAAATTATAAATTTCTGTAAAAATAAATAAATAAATAAATGGATTAAAAGATAATATGTTTTAAAAAGTAATTTCTTACAAATAATTTGTATAAAAATAAATTTAAAAGTATTAAATCGATTAATTTATTTTATTGAATAAAAATAGCTTATTTTAGATTATAATTTCATTTGATTTTATTTGTAAATTTAAATAAAACAAATTTTAAAATAGAAAAAATCAATAAATAATATTTGTAAATATTCTAAACAAACAAATAAGTTAAATTTATCCAAATATATCAATCTTTAACTTATGTATTTGCTTTTTCATTAGAGATATTTTTCAATTTTATAATAATTTTCACTAAAAAATAATGGGTAATTTTTACAATAATCTATCTTTATCATATTTGCTTTATTTAAAAAATATTTTTTTTATCTTTTAATACATTTTATTGTGGTAACTTAAAAATAGAGCTAAAAAATACTGTTTTGAATTGAAATATAATATTAAGATTACTAATATTGTTGTTATATTTTTAAATTTATTTTGTCAAAATTAAATGATTGAAATCTTATTTTAAATAAATTTTTGTTTAAATTGGATTTGAGCTTTAGGATTTCATACTTATTTACATATAGAATTAATTTTATGATTTGATATTTCATATATAATCTTTATAGTCTTTATCTTATTTTAAAGCTTCCAATAAAGCAGAGTCATCAAAATATTTTACAATAGAAACATTTTCGTTTAAACCTTTTCTTCTCCTGTTTAAAAGTAAAATATGTTAGACTAAAATTAAAAAAAAATAAATTAATACCTTGTCTTAATCATAAACTCTCTGGCAAGATCTTAAGGAGGAGAAGGCTCTAACAAATTGAGCTTGATGGATTTATCAAGAGGGTCACCAGGAAGTAAGTCCCAAGAGTCAAATACACTGACACAAAAGGCTTGACCACAAGTGTGGATACGTAAATCTGTCTCAAAACCAAAAGAATCGATAGCAGGGAGGAAAGCAGTAACTGTATATAAAGGAGAACCTGCTTTAGCTATTTGTTTTTCAACATGACCTCTTCTCTTTGCAAGAACAGTAACACAACCATTTATGGCATCTGCTGTACATTAGATTTCAACATACAAGAGAGGTTCCATTAAACGTGGTTAAGCCATCAAAAAGGCACTGTAACATGTTCTACGAGCAGTTGGAATCATTTAACCACCAGCTCTGTACAAAGGTTCGCTTGAAATGTTAGCTTCAATAAGTTTGAATTTTACATTTCTGACGGGTTCATCACACAAAGGTCCTTCTCTAGTTGCCCAGCAAAAACCTATTTCAATAAAATTTTCAAATTTAATAAAAAAAGAATAAATCATGCAAATTTTATTTTTAATTTGCTTTCTGACAAATGAATTTAATAATTTTATAATCCAATAAAAATTTTCATTTCAAAGTATTTATTTTAAGAAAGCAAACTTTAAACTGTGGTATTAACAAAAAAGGAGGGATAAACAATTAAAAAAACATAAAAAGCTTTCCCATAATTAGTTATTTCTAATTAAATAATATTATCTTGGCAGATTTAATCATTAAATATGTTTTAAGAAATTCTTTTCTGATAAAAATATGCTAAATTTGCTTGTTGTATTTCTTAAAAAGATAAAATATTTCAAATTAATACCTTGATTGATGTGCTCTTTGCATTCTCTGAGTATGTTCTTGTCTACTTCGTTAGGAAGAGTGTCATCGATTAAAACGTTAGCACCACTTTTTTCAGGTCCAAAACTCCAAACATTTCTAGCTGCTAGAATATCCCAGTCGTATTTTTCTTAGAAGAATTTACTAACAATAGGTTTTTCAAAATCCAGACTTATGACTTCTTTTTCTATATCTTTGGCAAGACCTTTATCAAGCTGAGATGCAAGCATAGTTAGTCTATTTTTCTTATTTGGAGTATCTGCATAGCATTTTATAGAAGAAGTATCGATAATTGTTTCACAAAAGCTGACACTAGGATCACTGACCTATTTGTTTTATTGAGCAAAGTTTATTAATTAAGTTTATAAAGGAAAGTTTATATTATACTTAATGAATGCAAAAATAATATTACCTTAATTTCTATATCAGAATACATACGACGAAGATCATGAAGAACACAATCAATATATAACTCACCAGTACCAATTAAAATATGTTCACCTGACTCTTCTACCTTAGTAACTAAAAGTGGATATGATTTGCTTACTTTACGGAGACCTTCTAACATTTTAGGTAATTCACTAGGAATAAGAGGTTCAATAGCGACCTTTATAACTGGAGTTGTGTCATGCTTTACAGGTCTGAATATTTCTATCTTATTTGAATCATCTTAACTAATAATAGTAGCTGACTTTTAAATAGACTAATCAATACCCTCAATCAATACCCAATTACCAGCAGTAATCTCATTTACTTCAATTTTGTATCTTGCCTATGTAGAATTATTGAAAACTTATTAGATGACAGTTTTTACCAATTTTGAAGAAATAAGTATTCTCCAATTAATTTACCTAAAAAATAAATAGCTTTCTAACATCTTTTACTGTCATGTCTTCTTCGTCCTCAAGATTGTATCTTTCACCAAGAACCTTAACAGTTTAGTTTTTACGAATTGTACCAGAAATAACACGGCCGAAAACATCGAAACTCATGCAATCTTATTTATTATATTATTTTACAACGTTAATAACTAGTGGACCTTCAGGATCACATTCTTTAATCTTTTCAAATGCAGGATTCTTTCTGTTACCTACATAATTCTATTCTACTTTAAGTCTAGTACCTTATTTTGCACTAGGAATGTGCTAAGCGACCATGCTAACTAATGCTCTATTTTAATTAAATTTTCATTAACTTTTAAAGTTTTCTTTTAAGAAATTTACCCTGTGTTGCCAAAGAAAGTGGAAAACACTAATTTAAGGAGAGGCTTGATATCAAGCTTGTAATCTGAGTTCTTTAAGTAGACTCCTAACTTACCTAAAACAGGCTTTAACTGGTCTTTTTCTTTTGAGACCACATGAGAAAATATTTTATAAATAGGCTCTAAGATAAATTCAACAAAGCAACGCTTATTGAAGTCCTTTGTAGGCTTGTTCATAAATTTTCTAGTATCTGAGTTGAAGTAATAGTTACCCCATAGAAGCTTAGTAAAGAAATCTTTTTAAATTCCATATGATTTGCTGTACATTTCAGCAAAAGATTAAATGCTAAAAACGAATCCATAGGCAGTTGACCCAAAACAAACATTACCAAGCAAAGGAGAGACCTTTATTTGATAAGAACAAATATAAATATTTATTTTACCTAAAAAATAATGACAAAATATTTACCTTCAAAGAATCAAAATCATCTCTTCCTAAAGAAGCAATAATATCATTAATTTCATCTATTGTGTGTCTGATTTTAAGATAAGCATCAACAGGAGGTAACTTAGTTTCGATAATGAGTCTATCAATCTTATTGATCAAGATAGTAATTGCAATTTTTTCTTTTACACAATATCTTATAATTCTTTCTGTGTTAAGCATAACACCATCTAAAGCATCAACAACTAAAACAACACCATCACACATTCTTAAAGCACAGCAGACTTCATCAGAAAAATTAGGATGTCCAGGAGTATCGAAAATGTTCAAAAGATAACTCTTGTCACGAAAATCAGGTAGAATTAATGACATAGGAGAGCTTTTAATACTCAATAAACGCTCTTATTCATCTTTACGGGCATCTGTAAAACGATATTCTTTTTCTAAATCCCATTCACGATGAACGTGTGTTTGTTTAACAAACATATCCATCAAACCTGTCTTTCCGTGATGAAGATGTCCTACAATACCTACATTACGCACTAACTCGGTTTTTTTCATAATTTACTACATGAATTAAATGGTAGAATTAGTCTCTTGATTTCCTCTATCGACTAAGTCAAAATCTTTTTCCTTTACAGGAGCAACAATAGGTTCTTCAATTCTCTAAGCATCTTCTTCCATAACCAAATTTTCTGCTTCAGGATAGACTTCACTCATCTCAGGGTAATATTACTTATCTTCATGAAGTACGACAGCTCTCTCCTATTAATAAATTTGAGCTAATCAATCAATAAATACACTTAAGTATTAAACATAAAATCTTTCTTTTTTATTTTATTGAGAACAGTTTAATTCTCTTTATTATTTACATTTTTTGAACTTTTTCATATATAGTTTAACTCATTTTTTAAGACTAATTTGATTATTCACTTAAATTTAGAAAAATTATGTAAATATATTCATGTCATTCTCTATTTAAATCACAAATTTTATCATTTTCAAATTGCTTTTTTACTATTAATACCTAATTCAACATTATTACTATTCATTCTAAAACAATTTATTTCTTTTTTCAGATTTCGATAATAATTTATACAACTCTATCAATGAATTATTTTTTTTATGATTTTAAAAATTTACAAAATTTTTACCATAATTTCTTCATGCTCTTCGTTTACATTAGCTCCATTTTAATCTTCTTCAAATTCTTCGTTTTCCCTGTCAAAATATTGCTCATCTTCATCATACTTTTGAAAATAAACGTTTTTTTGTTAATTTTTGAATAGCGCTAAACAAATAACTCAAAGTTGATAAACATAACATCCATCGCTTAGAAAGGCTAAATAAAATATGCATTACATTTTCTTCTATTTCTGGTCCTTTGTAGTTACCAAACTCATCATACAAATCTTCGTCGTCCATTTATTATGCTTAAAACCTTTAAAATTGATACTGTTGTTTGGTTGTTATATTCTATTTTATTTATTTTTAAAATCCTGAATATCTAATAAATAATATTAAAAGATACTTTTATATCGTAGTTTTGAATGTGTTTTTATTTTCAATATCTAATAAATTATTAAAGCAACCAAGCAAGCAAATAAATAAATTAAATAAAAGGTTTATTCAATATAATTAATTTTTGCATCTAGAAGCAGCAATCCTATTCATTTAATTCAATCATATTCATAAGTAGACATATTCGCCTATAATTAACGAATAGAATATTTACCTAATTATTTAATAGAAATTTTTTAAAGAATTTTTTTCTAAAAGCTTTCAAATTTCATCAAATAAAAAATTGATTTTATAAATCTAAAAATATAAAATTTTTTTATTTTAAACCTCAAATTAAATAAATAATAATTCAATATAGAATCTAAAATAATAAGGTTTCATAATAACTCTCAATCTAAAATTTACAAAATTGATTATTTTAAAATATAATTTTTTATTAAAAGTAAAAAATAAATACTAAAATATTTAATAAAATACTAAAATTAGAATTGATTTTATACGTAATACTTAATTTGCTTTTTGAATGAACAAACAAAGAATTAAATTAAACATATTTGAAATATCAATTGATTATAAATAAAAATCTTATTTCTAAATTAAACTAAATTATATTTAATTTAAAGCTTTACTGATTCATATAACACTTGAATTTGATTTATTCTAGAAGAAATTTTAAATTTAAGCTATTGTTTACTGTTTTTAAAAATTTAATTATGATTCAAGCAAACAAAAATTACTCAGTTTTTTCTATAAATGTTTCTCTAACTAAAAGGAATTAACAAAAGCTATTTATAAGAATTGGTTTTTAGTATCAAATTTATTTTAATGTATTTTAAGATAAGGTAAAATATAAAATACTGAAAATTTCTACATAAATTGTATTTATTTATTTGATAATTTATAAATTTTATATAAAATGATTAATTAATTATGATATATAATTAAATTTTAAGTAATTGCAAGTTATTATTTTTATTAATTAATTGATTTAATTCGATAGTGAATGACATCACATATATTTTTATTTGAGCTCTGTAACCTTTTGTAGTTCAGCTACTCTTTCGATAATTTCTTTCTTTATTTTTGTTTTGAGCTTAGGCTCTTTGAGGTCTTTGATAGAATCTAAATATTCTTATCTTTCTTCGATTTCTTGCATAATCTAATCAAACAATATATTACATTCTTAAACAGGATCATCTGAAATAACAGTTTTTTAGTCGTTTCTGTCTTCGTATTCTCCCGTGAATATTTTATTTTTCATACCTATCCTCTTTTTAGCTTGGTTTTTAATAGCTTCCTCATCACAGACCAACTTATTTTCATCAATAAGAGGTAATTCAGCTCCTTTTGGTAAACCACCTCTTAAATGCTTAAACTTTTATTATAATTTCTCAATAAGCTCTTTTCTGTTTTTACCTGTGTTAGCAGGGATATATGGATTTCTAGCTATTTCTTCCAGTTCTTTTCTAATCTCAGATTCAGGTTTACGCTTTGGTATGAAATCTACCTTGAAATATTTTTATTTTGGTTCTTTATAACTCAATGGAGGATAGCTGATTTATGTTTTTTATGGACAAGGCTTAATTTCCTTAGGTTTAGGTAACAATTCTTCAGCAGTTTTTTACTTAGGCTTAGGATAACTTATTTTAGGAGGCATGTGACACTTATATAGTGAAAATAGTTCTCTACCAGCAGCACATTCTCTACCAAAAGTTTTCCATAGATTTTTTCTTTATTCTTCGAGAGCAGGATCATCTACAATTCCCAACGGATATTTTTTAGTGTTGTAAATATTATCGAAAGGCTCTGACATTTACGACAAAGTTTTTTCCTCTTATTTGATCTCTTGCTTAGTTTAAAATGATTTTGTACTTCTTAAATAATTGTTAGAGTTTCCTGATTTGCTGCTTTATTGTGTTTAATTTGATTATTCAGGGTAATCTGTTTCTTTTTCAGGATCATCTTCTTCTCCATCATCATCGTCAACATCCTGAATATTTTTGTTTGAAGTAGTCTTAATTCTATTTTAATTTTGCTTTGAATTCTTCAATATCCCTCCAGTATTTTATTACTATTTTAAGTATTAATTTGTGTTTAAGTTCTATTCTTCTTCATCCTCTTCATAATATTGTTCTTCATCTTCTTGTTCATCACTTAAGCCTCCTTAATCTTCATATTTTTTGAAGACTTTTTTGGTAGCTTTCGTTAAGTTGCCCTATTTTTATTACTTTTACTAATTATTTGTTTTATTTTAATCATCATTATCTTCTTAATATTCATCATCGTCTTCTTCTTCTTATTCTTCTTATTAATAATTTTCATCGTTTTAGTCCTCATCATCATAACCTTCTTCACCATTCTGATTATTTTCTTATTCACTTTTGCTTTAAATCAATTTATTTTTTTGATCATTTTAAACTTTTTTAGCTAAAATTTTTTTGATGTTAGGTACTTCTTCAAAATGCTCTGCTTCCTACTAATCTTAAGGATTTTCATGTTAGTTTTATTGTTCATATTCATCTGCTTCATAGTAATACTTGTCTTATTCATTTTTTTATATGTATTCCGAATAGTCCTCTTTCTCATATATTTCATAATCCTGCTTTGGTTTATTATCATCTTTGTATTATTTAGAATATTCATATTAGCCGTAGTCTTATTACTGTCTATAACTAGTTTTCTTCCCTTTAGAATCCTATTATCTATTCATTTACGACCAAATAGTATTTTGAAATTTTGTTTTATTCTAATTTTGTTATTATTACTTTTTACACCAAATAAATAGATTAATAACCTTTATGATAATGATTTAAAATTTTTTCAATATAATCTAAAAAATACAAGGCTCTCTAGTTATCTAACTAACTAACTAAAAACAAACTAAATTGATTTCTTCAAAGAATACTATTTAAATTTCTCATTATTATCTAACAGTTGTTAATACAAATATTCTTTTAATCATTTAATAAAATATATAAATATATATTAATAAAGACTATTTTATATTTAATGAAAAATTAAATAATGGAGCTTTCAATCAATCAATATTTTATTTTTTCATTTATGCATTTATTGAAAAATTATTAAACTTGTTATTTTTAATTAAAAATGAACCTAGTTTTGTTAATTTTTGTAAAACATAAAATACATTGTAAAATTTATTTTTTAAAATTTATTTATTTATTTATAAAAACGTTTTTAATTTAATTTATTTTTCCGATTTAGATTACAACTTGATAACAATTTGATAAATAATTTATTTAATTGTAAATTTTAGTAACTTTTATTTTTAACCTTTGTTTTTCTGTGCAGAATTAATTATCTATCAGAAAGTCTTTACATATTTTAAAGGTAATAATTAAAAAAAGTCTGCAGTCCTTGCGGAATTTTACAGTACAGCTCTTTTAATTACATAAAAATTGATTATTTAAGTGCAAACAAAGAATAATAGTAAATTGGTAAAGTTAAAATTGCTTTTATTAGAATTTATGGTTCTTATTTGCTATAAAAACTGTGTACTTAAAAATTAAATTTTTATAATAGACGAATCCATATACATACTATTGTTAATTGTTTGATCGAAGTAGGTTATTATTGACTCTAAGCTCAGACAGAGAAATTATATTGATTGAAATATAAATAATACTAATTAGCCACGTCTTTAAATACTTTTGATTTGACTTGACTGTTCTAGTCTTAAAATTGTATACTAATTTTGATATGAGATATAATTATTTTTAAACATTCAGACACATTTAGTAATAGAGACAAAATTAGTAGAGGTAGAAATTTATCGAGGTTATATATTTTTGTTACTAAAAAAATTTTTTAACACAATTAGTTTTGAGGAAATTAGCACAATTTAAGTAAAGGAATAGAATAAATATAATTAATTTTTAATATATGAGTAACTGGTTTTTAGGAAAAATATATTTCAGGTAAATTTTATATTGGCAAAATAAAAAACGCTTAATATGCAATAGAAAAAGAGTAGGTGACTATTTGATGTTAATCTATTTGAGAATCATTGTAATTCTGTTTATAGAAGAAATGTTGTAAATAAAATTAAAATTCTTCTGGTAGTTTTATCAGTTTATATTTACAATTACTAATTTTTTGCTCGGGATAGTGATTTTTAATTCTAAACAGAATTTTAAGTTGGTTATATTTAACTTTGCTTGAGTGTTCATGTAATTAAAAGAATTTACAAAGTAAGTGGCAAAGAATCGAAGGTTGCGTAAAGTAATTAGGAATCAAGACTTTACTTTTTTTCAAATTATCTTCCTTTATACGAATAATTCCAGAATAAAATTAATTAAGAGATTACTAATTTAATTTGCAGACTCTTTAATTGGATTTATTTGAAACAAATGTATTTACTCTTATGAATCCTAACTCTCTTACGTTTGTCTTTCCTTTCTTCCTAGTCTGATTTAATTAATTAATTAAAAAAGTAAAAAAGAAAAATCAAAATTTCGCTTATCATAATTTATTTATTTATTTATTTTTAATTAGAGCAAATAAGAAGTCATCAAAAAATAATTAATTTAAAAATTGAGATAATTGTCATAAAAATTTTGATAATAGAATCTTTATAAAAATTTTTGTATTGCTCTACTTTTTAATAAGTACATAAATAATTCATATCAATTCACAGTCTGTGAATTAAAAATAACATGGAATAGATAATGTTTGACAACTTTGGCTAGATGAAGTGCCGTTTCCATAAAGACGAATCTGTCACTTACTTATGCATGGATTTAAATTGTTAAGAATAAACTCGTCTTCTATGTGGTGACTGCGCTATCTTTATTCCTCACCACAAAGACCACATCCACAACATAGTCAAAATTAAAAATATACAAAATAGTGCTGATGGATCTTCATTGAATCTCGTTAAGAATGCTATTCTTCAATCTACTTGTTCTTTTATGCCCAACTCTTAAAGCGTTGAGAATCGTGAGTTTATGAGCGCTAATTAAGTTAACTTGTACTTCGATTTAATTGAGAGACAAGTGGTAGAAGAGATATAAAGAGTCAGAAAAAGAGTCATTTCTCTTATTAATAAGCAAGACAGTGTTTTATTTGAAATCAATTAGTAGATTTCTAAATTGGAAGCACACATATCGAAGTCCTTTGAATGTCCTAAAAATAGTAATAATAATAATGATAACAACAGCTTTTCAAGCAGCTCCTTCTGTGAAGAAAATTTTTTGGATGAACCTTAATAAGATTCTCAGACTAGAATAAAATGTTCTTCTTTTTTTAACATGGTATCCGATACCCAACTGAATTCATGTAGTAGTTAAGACTAAAATAGTTAAATTTTATATATAAATAATGCTTGTTCTAATAATAATAATTAAAACTTTCCTTAGAATATAACCCCTTTAAATTAAATTAATAATTCGAACCAGCAAAATAATTGCTTAAATATATTTGGAAAACAATTATAATAATAAGAAGGAGTTAATTCATAGCAATCTTTCAGTAGTTATGTTTAGAATGAATGTGAGATTTCACGTGAAATAACTTCCTCGTTAAATAAGATTTTGGATTATAGTTCTGAATAAATAATTGAATTAGAAATGCTTATGAAATAATAGTTAAAGCACTGTAAGATAAATCTTAATTAATTTAGTGATAATTTAAATGCTTTTCTCTCTAGCTATCTTCCACGTTAGTAGTTGCTTGAATTTAATAGTATAAACACAATGCTTGACAATCGTTTTGGGTTTGAACTTTCCAACGGAGAGCTACAAATTCTCGATCCTGCTGAATTTTATTTAGGCATGGGAATTAAACATTGCATAGGCATCAACTCTACTTCTAATTTATCCTTGCTTAGAAGAGCCTCTACCTTAATTTGCCACTAATCACCTGATGACGAAGATGATATCTAAAAAGGATAAATGTCATAGCCACAAAACTAAAATTAGATTGAAACATAAAGACAGTATCTCTTTTCAGTATTTTTCGATAACAAAAGCTTGAATGACTTTAACATAGAACCAATATCATAAGAAATTCAAAGACTTAGCTATGTACAAAATATCCACTTAGATTTTGATGGAAACTTTATTTCACCTTAAGGCTATAAGTACATCTTTAATGCTCTTAAGAAATTTGAATGCTTGAAGCACATTGATTTAAGATTTAATTGTAATTAAGAATTTGATGAGGAATCTATCATGCTATTATCTGAAGTGCTTTAAGCTTAAAAATCTAATCTCAGAACTCTCTGCATAACTATGCGTTCACTCTGCAAACAGACTTCAAGTGTATCTGAAAATTTCAATTCTGCATCTTGCCCTAATTCTCCACACCACTAATCTCTGGATTCTTCTTCTTCTACTTCATTCTCTTCATCCTCTACTTAGTTCCACTCTACTTAGCATCCAGAGCTTAAAAAGTGCAACACCAACATCTGTCACTCAGATAAATTCTCTTTTTCTGATGCCCTTAGCATCCTTTTCGAAGCTATAGGCTAACTCACAAATCTTGAAGTGCTCTATTTAGATGTTTCCCATAATAACATTTCCTAGATTGTAGGCTAAGAGGTGTTTGCGCCAATCCACTAACTCAAAAAGCTTAACATGATTTACTTTGTCTTTAACAAGACCAACATTCCATATTAGGAGATAGTCTAATTCATCCACAGCATAAATGCAAACAAAAAATCATTAAAATACTTCAAATTATATTTAAAACAGAACAGCTTCAACTTCTAGTAAGAAAGATACATCTGTGGTTAATTTTAAAAGATAAAAGCACAAACAAAGAACCTCGACCTATTTTATTGAGATGGAAATAAATTAACACAAATCTATTTTCAATAATAGAGAATATTGTAATTAGATCTAAGCAGGATATTCTTACAAAAACATATAAAAAAGTAATAATGTATTTTCTATTGAAAATAAAAAAGTCTATGAATTAAGATCAGAGATACAAAAAAGCTACGTACTTGCTAATAATTATGAGGCAAGTAAGGGATTGGTTGATTCAAAAAATGCTCAATGATTTTCAATAATTAAAACTAAAATGTATTTAAAATTTTCAAACATTTCAATTAATAAGCTAAATTAAAAATGACCAGTAAGTAAGTAGAATATTTATCTAATAAGCAAATTTATATTAAAAATATATTAACACTTTCAATAAAATACTCTTCAATTACTAGTAAATAAATAAATAATTATTAATGACAGAAATAAACACAAGGAATAAATATAATATATAATATTTCAAAGTTAGATTAAATATTTATCACTCTAATAACAAATTACACATTATACATTCATACATTAATTAATTATGTAAATACTTAGAATCTAATAAAATTTAATTTAATTACATTTTGTATATAAACTCTATATTACTATATAAAATTTGTAAATAAATCAATCAATCAATCGATAAATTATGTTTGTCAAATCGTTACTAAAATCCTTACGTCATTATCATTATATTTTTTAAACGCAATTACACAGCACTTGTAATTACATCATTTTCACCTATATTTTTAAAAAATACTCGTCATGAAGTAAAGCATTTTTGAATTTAACTTTTTATAGTAAATAATAAGAAAAATTTTAAATTTAACATTAGGTTGGTTTTACATTAGTTGATTACACAAATAAATTCTTTTATTGCAAATATTTGCCTACGTTAAACATGCATTTACACAAAATGAATAACCAATATCTTTTATTAAATTTTTGAAATCAGTGAGTCTCATCTAAAGATTAAATATTTTTAAAAACAACATCAATGAAATTTTTTCCAAAAAATGTAAAATTAATCGTTTAATTTAGGAAAACAAGTAACTTTATCTTAATTTTACATAAATTTTAGCTTGCTATTAAATGTATATGCTATTCAATTCTTATCAAATTTAATATAAACTTCTTGAAGAATAGGAAAGCGATATTGCTCAAAAATGTTAAGAAAATATTTGATCTCAATTCTAATAGCATCTGCTTTGTTCTGGCATCAGAAATTTATTACACTTTTCTATATCTTTTTTTTGCATATTATTCTAATATTAGTGTTACAATTTTTTAAAGGGTAAAAAATCAAATTAAATAAAAGCAATTTCCATTTTCTAAAAAATCAGTAATTCTCATTTTTTTTTATAAAAAAATCTATTTTTAAATTCGCTTTCTATTTCAATTCAAATTATTATATCAATCATAGGATTTTTTATTTTCTATTCGAAACTTGAGAATTCATCCATTTTATTATTTTTAAAATAGAAAGTTCTAATTTTTTGTTGCTTTTTTGAGAATAAATAAGTAAATCCTTCAAGTATAAAAATAAAAATTTCTTTGATATAAAATTCTACAATAAAAATTATATTTGTTCTTCTAAAAATACTTATTAGTATTTAATAAAAACATCCTTTTCTTTACAATTTTTTTCCTTCCTCTAACAAGTCAGTGTTTTAAATGTGTCTATTTTAAAATTTTAATGAAAAAAATAACCCAAATTTTACTTTAAATTAGCGTCACCTTACTATATAGAAAAGTGTATTTGTGTTAATTAATCAGATATGATCTCGCTCGATTTAATATAAAAGCTAGAAGAACTTTCTCTTTAAAAAATTTTAAATGAGATATATTTTATAAAACAAAGTAGACGCAAATTAACTTAGGAAGAACAATCCCTATCAAAATATCTAATACTTTTTAATTTTTAATAGATATTTTAAGATTATAGTTACTAGTAGATCTTATAATAAATGAAATCATAATTGAAACTTAAATAGAATTAATATAATTAAATGACAATCATTTATACTAATTTGTCTATTTTAATAGAATATAAATAAAAATTTACTTCACAGTTTCAAATTTAACATTAAAACTTCATATATATATATAATTATTTATTAAATATCTTTATTCATTATATTAAAAGCAATATCAAACACTTTTACCTAATTTTTGTATTGTAATTTAATTAATTATTTTTTTTTCTCATTTTCGTAAATAATTTTGAATTTTTAATTTCATATTCTAAGAAATTACACAAAATAGAAACTCTTTTGATCAAACTGCATTTTTTATTTCGAAAATTGAAATAATTACAAAAAAAAAATGAATAAAATCCATTCTGATTAAAAAATTAATTATAAAAAATCAATACTTTTTTTATTTAAAAAAAATTATTAAAATTATAATAAATACAAACATTAATTTAAGTGGATTTATTAATAGTAATAAGAAACTTATTTATGACAATCTAATATTTAAAAATTTTAACTTGGGTAATTTTATTACTAAAAAAATAAATACAATATCTCTTGTCTATATTCATTTTCCAAAAACTCATCGGCTCAGCCAATGAAATAAAGTTTTTGAACCCTGTAATAAATAAATAAATAAATCTAATTTAGATTTATAAAAATGAGAAACTTATCAAAAAATATAAAATTACAAGAATTATAATTTAATATATAGAAGAGTAATATTATATATATATAACATAATCTAGAAATTTAGAATTTGACTAACTGAGAAAATAATTTTAATTAATTAACTATTTATTTATTTATTTTATATATTTATGATGATTTAAGTTTAAAGTATTTTTTTCAATTATTTATTAATTTAACTTGCTCATGGATTGTGTTTAAGTAGCTATAAAATTAATCTCTTTGCTACTAAGTTTTAGCTAGCACTTCTATTGTTTTACTGTTATTAAGCTATATTACAAGACAAAGTTCTTTGATAATCCTTTTATCATCTTTCTAAAACTTTTTAAACCCAGGTCCATTATCCCATCCCAAAGAGAATGAATTAATATCACTAAAGTAAGTTACTTTTTTATCTTTTCCATTTGCATCAGATGGTTTTCTTGAAATCAGTGTTGGTCTCTTGTCTTACTCTTCATATTAGAATAGCTTTTCATGTGGAGAGAAGGAACCTCTACTATACTTTAAGAATATCATACCATTCTTAAGATCTTAAATGGCCTTACTTATTTCCTTTTATTTTTAGAGATTCTAGTTACAAAAGAATTTAAATGACCTATAAAAGTTTTCAAATTAATCTTATTTTAAATCTATTTCAAAAACTGTTTCCTCATTTTTTTTAAGAATTAAATCGATTGCAAAATCCTTTTTAGATTTTCTTACATCTAAAAGCGATATATCTAAAGGCTATTGATCTTTTTAGTTCTTAGATTAAAAATAAATTTAAAATATCTGCCTAAATTTATCTCGAGCTTCTATTTTAATGTCAGATTTTTTATTTTTATTTTGAATAACACTATTTCTAATTTTTTCCTCCCAGTATTTTTCATTATTCATCTTGCTATAATTTAAATCTTCTTTATTTGCATCAGTTTTTTTAGAAATGTACATCTCTTATTCTATTTTTTATATTGAAAATTAAATATCTTAAAATATTCAAAAATCATTTTTTTGATTTTAATTCATTTTTACTTAAATTTAAATAATAATTATTTCTCTAATTAAATAAAATCATAGCTAATATTTATGGAAAAAGACATAATTAAAATATTAATTTGGGATTATTTAAAAATAAATATCATTTCCTCTCAAAAATTGTATTTAATAAATAAAGTAAGTTCGTTCGTTCTTTAACATTTTAATTCATTTTATTAAATAAAATATTTAAAAATTAATTACATCTATTTTCATTGTTGGCACTTATCTAGTTGACAGGTGTGAAAGATCTATTCTTTCTGCTTTAATTCATGTCAACAATATCTAAGATACTGTTATTTAGAGGGGAAGCAGCACTTTTATTCATATTTGAATGCATCATTTCACTTTAATTCATTTAAAATTTTAAAGTTTTTGTTAATGAATCTATCATATTTTTTTCCTGGTTATTCCTATACATATCTTGCTTATAATTGCTTTACATTCCTTAGACTATAGATTTTTCTAATCTGGATTGTTCTCCTCCATCTTGTCTCTTATCGAAAAGAAAATGAAGATAAGGATTTGATTCATGATCGAAGTACTTTGTGAATGAGTTAGTAGAAAAAGCAACATAATTTAATCTTAAAATATAAAGAAGTATGTTAAATTTATTCATGTCTTAGTCATTATCAAACTTAATTTTGAGTTCTTCTCCTTTATCTTAATCATACCATACAACTTTGATAATCCTATTACCTACTTCCTTATAATCAACTCCAGTCATCTAAGAGTACTCAAAAGAGAATAACTCAGGTTCTTTATCTTTCTTCAAGTCCTAAACAAACAATAAAAATATGTTAGTTAGTTAATTAATTAATTATCTTATTTGCTTAATAAATATTAATATAAAATTGAAATTCATTATTACCCTAATAACGATCAATTTCTTTAAGTCGAAGATAAAATTTCCAAATTGATATTAGTTAAATTCTTTCATATTATAATCCTTATCTTCCCTTTTCTCTTTATCCTTTTAAGCTTAGTATGGTTGATATATGTAATTGAGCTATAATATACCAAAGCTAACTTATATTTTTTTAACAAGAGAGTCATACTCTTCTTCATTTTACTCAATTATTTGCATTTTTTTTTATAGTTCCATATGTAAATCCTGAACCTTTTAAGCTAATCTTTTATTTTACATATCATGAATTTTTCTTTGTGAAGAGCTAATTTCTTCTCTATTTTTGTCTTACCTTTTCTAGTATTCTACATAGTTCATATCCCAATCATTTTTATCGATATTAAAAAGATTTTCTCGATCACCCTATTTATTTTTATTTATTTTGTTTAAATCAATTATTTATAAAAAATAATATTGATTAATTTTTTAAATTAAAAATTCTATTTTATCTGTTTGGTAAAAAATAAATATAATTTTATTTTAACCATTCATTTATTTATCTTTAAATGAATAAATAATTGCTGAATTTATGCTTTTTAATTGATATTTCACTCTTTAATAAATAATCATATGCTGGATTGCTATTCTTAAATGTTAAATATTTTTAACGTATAAAAATTAGAATATGAAAAATAAAAAAAAGAACTACTTTATTTAGCTTTAGCTCTTATTTTAATTACTATGTCTCAATTAAACTCTTCTAAACTTCGTTTGTCATCTTATCAAGCATATTCTTAATTTCTTTAAAATCCTCCTTATTATCTTCTTAATCCTACTTTAACCCATTATTGGTATTATTCTATGAAAATGAGCCTTTTGGGTTGCTATTTCTGTTGGATTCATTTTTAAATATTGATTTTCCTCCTCCTTGCTAGGTTTTATTAATTTAATTTTTCAATGGTGGATTAGGCAGTATTTATTAGTTAATTGAACTCTATGGTTGACTGTTAATATCATTATTAAAATCCCTTTCTTAAAGCTTTTCGTACACATCTTTAAAATTTTCATCATCAGTTTTTCCATTTTTAAACAAATCCTTAATCTAAAAAGCAACATTCTTCAAATTTTCCACTTCTTTTTTAATTGTTTCACACCATCTTTAGTCGGCTCTAAAATCGTATTACCTATCAGAGTCCAATTATTAGTACTAATTATCATTTTATGGAAAGCTTATTTAGCTTTTTTATTTCATTTTCGCTATTTTTGTATTTTATAAAATCTGTTTGAAATCAATATATTATCCTATTAATTATGAATAAATAATATTCTTTAATAATCACTCATTTAGTTTTAATTAATTCATTAATTAGTATTTTCATTAAAAACTATAAATTTTAACAACAAAAATTATTATGAAATTAATTTCTTTTATACTTAAATTTTCCTGATTTGTTAGAATATATTTATTTCCTAACAAAATAAATAGTTCAAATTTTTGTTATTAAAATTGATAATTTATCCTAGAAATAATCTTCTTTATTATTAAAATATTTTGTTTTTTATTATATTTTCTCTATTTTTTCAAGACTTAAGTTCTATAAAATGTTTTTATTTTAAAAAATTATAAATTAATTATCCAAAAACTTAATAATTTCAATAATTAAAAACCAAGAATCTCTTAATGACTTAAAAAAAAATTTTTTAATTTCACTATTAAAAAGTATACTTATTCTATTCCTTTTTATTAAAATATATTCTCTAACTCCTCATTAATTAAATACACCCCCTCTCACATTTTATAAGAGTTATTTTCTAAAATTTTTTTAGGCCCTTAATGAATTTTAGTAAATGGCTCTTAAATTAAAGGGTTGTAAGAGTATATACAGATTTAATATTAGTTTCTGATCATAATATTTATCAAAATATAACTATTTAATCATATATTAACATTAATTTAATTGGCTAGTTTTATTTTTAAAGGTTATTTTGTGCATTGTAAAGTCTATTGGAATTTATAATTGTTATAAAAATCAAAAACCTTGTACTTATATATTATTTTTTAGTGTATCTTAAAAGGAAAGTACATAAAACTATGTTCCTTTACTCAATTTCTGAATTAGCTAATTTTTGTGGGATATATTTATCATCAAGACATTATTAAATTGCCTACAATAAATAGTTAATGTAATATTTAATAATTTAATTTATATTAGGTTCAAATTGATATAGATAAATTCATTATTTTAAAAATATGCTGATTTAATATTCCATCCTTAACATTATTTTTAAGGATATTTATTTATAAAATTTATTTAATCTATAATTTTAATTTTTAAAGGTTATTTTGTTCATTTTATAGCTCTTTAGAGCTTAAATTTGTAAAATAAATTAAAGAATTTGTATTTAGTTTAGACTTTTTAATGTTATTAAAAAGAGAGCACATAGAATTATGTTGAATTTGCTAATAATAATTACTAATTATTGTGAGAATTTATCAATTATTACAATATAATTAAATTATCAACAGTAAATAATTTTATGTAATAATTCAAAATTTAATTAATATTGGGTTTAAATTGTTATAGATCTATTCATTAAAAAAATTTAATAATATTTCCTTACAATATTTTACTATTACTAATTACATAATTTAGTTCAGCTCAAATAAATAATTTGATCCTGAAATATTATTCAATTAATTTTATACTTAGAAAAAATTAAATGATTTTTTTAATTAAATTCAAAAGTTACTTTGCTTTTAAAATAAGTAAGTTTTTATTTAATTAAAACAAAAGAACTCTTTTTAGATTATAAAAAAATAAATTATTTAACATTATTCAATTTTTGCAAGTATTTGATTTCAAAAAAGTTTTGTATCTCAAAATACTTTGAAATAATAAATGCTCACTGTTAATAAGAATTCATAACTTATCTACTAGCTATTTTGAGGTTCATTTTAGTTCATTTAATTTTATAATTTATTTTTAAAGCAAAAATAATTATTGATGAAATCAAAAGTTTTTAGATCTTTTTAAATTCTAAATGTATTCAACATTTATATTTAAAATGCTTAATAATGGGATTTTTTAATATTATTCTTTGATTTTAAAATGAATGAAAAAGTAAAATTATTAATAAGCAAATAAATCAAATATTTTTGATTTCAAAAAATACTATAACAAAAATCAAAGTAAAGAAAAATTTCAACTTTGAATAATAGTAAAAGAATTGAATAAATTGTGCAAAATAGGAATGTTGACGCCAAATATAGCTAATAAATAGTTATTTAATAAATAAATAAATGTATCAATATTACACTATTTGAAAAGAGATCAGATGATTTATTAATTTTTCAATAAATGACTTGCAATACAGAAATTAAACAATAAACTTTCTGCTTTTTAGTTAAGCTGCGTAAATGACATATTTTGTTATATATATCAAAGTCAATCTGCATTTTAAATTGGCATATTTTGAGTCTCTTAAATATTATTAATAGCTATTAATAATATTTCTCACCATAAACAATCTTCCCCTAATAATATTCATTTAAGAAAGTAAATTAATAATTTAATTCTTTTACAAAACATAATCAAAGTAAGAAAAAAGAAGACTCAATTCTTCATTTAACTAAATAAAATTTACAAAAATGGAAGATAATATTGTTATTATTCGTTCTGAAAAGTCTGACTTGGAAAAAAATTTAGTCGAATCTGAGTAAGGAACTGTTGTTGCATCCAAGAGCAGCTTCAACAAAAAAAACCTTGTCTATGGTTTGATAGGATTACTTATATTGTCTGGCACTATTGCAGGCATTTTTTTAATTGTCAATTGTGAACACAAGGTCGACGCTCTCAAAATTTCAGTTCCTTCTTAAAACATTGAAGTCATATCTGAAGAAACCAAATAAGAAGTTCTTAAAGCACCCAAATAAGGTCCTAAAAATGAATAATACGTTCCTACCACTTTTGATCTTCGTATGTAAGCTTCTTCTTTGAATTGTAATTATGATCGTCCTGATGAAATGCTCTGTGTTGGAGGAAACTGGAGTAATGTTGTAGCTTAAACTATTTCTAACACTATCTGCGCTTAAAGCGTTACCGCTTCTGAAAAAGCTCTTTCAAGTCAATATCTATTAAATTGCTCCAATTTATCTGACAAATGCAATATTCTCTCATCTCGTTAAGATTTTGAATCACAACTTGCTTTTGTTGCAAATACTGGTATTCCTTCTGCTTCTTGTCTAGCTTATAACGGTCTTTAATATTAAATTAACCCCAATTCATGCGATGCTAAATGCACAGATGGTTCAGATATTGTTCTTAAACAATACTAATTAGTCTCACTTTGGGATAGTAATGATGATATGAATGCTACTATTTTGAATGTTAAGAACCATCTCTACAACTTTGGTCCCGTTGTAGCTCTCGTTAGACACTCTGCTACTGTTGCTAGATACGCTGGCTCTACTCCCAACGGTATCTTTGTTAACGATCCTACTGACTAAACTAATTTTGGTTACAGAACTTTCAAGATTGTTGGCTGGAATCAAGCTCCTGGTGATACTCCTTTATAATATTGGATTATGGCCAACACTTTCTCAAGCAACTGGGGTATGAATGGATACATTCGCACAACACTCAATGAGCCTATCATTGAAGGATATTATGGTTATGTTCCTTAATGATGAAATTATTTAAAAGATAAAAATCTCAACGAAACATAACATAAAATTTTAAGAAATCATCTTTTCTACATAAAGATCACTCAATTAATTTTTACAAGAATCCAAAATTAAATTTCGTTTAAAAAATATTAAAAAATATATGAAAAAAAATTAAACTCATGTAGTAAGCATCTATATTAAATGTATGCTGATATTGTATTAAAATTAAATTGCCTAAAAAACACTTTAAAGCGATATTTAGAATTTTTATTTATTTAATTATATCTTACTTATTATAGAGGGAGAAAAAAATTTTTTGAGGCTTTAAAAATATTTTTTTTTTTAAAATTATTAAAATTTATAAATTTTTCGGATATAAAAATAGTATCCATCTCCATTATTTTAAATTGTATTTTACTAACTAACAATCTTTTAAAAGATAAACAAAAATGTTATACATATTTAGCAAAACAGTCTCTCGTCTAATATTTTTGAGTCATTTTAACTTATTAAAAATATTATTTTAAGAATTTAAATTATTCAGTTATAATTTATAAGTATGTGTAACACAAAATTTATTCATTTGCATAATTCAACAATCAGGGCATATATTATATTGCTTTAATTGATATCTACCTAATCCTAAAGTTTTGTATTTTATATGCAGTTAAAGCAAAGCTCTAAAACCAAACTTCTTCTAAATTCTTACTCACTAAATGGTATTTATTTTTATATTATTTCATTTAAGATGCTTTTTTTTCCTTATTTCCATCACAAAAGGATTTTTATTAAATTCTTTGCTATCCAGCAATGTTTACTCCATGTATTTATTGTTAACCATTATTTCATGATAAAATTTAATAAAATTACTTGAGTCTTAATAACAATCATTTCATTATGTTAAATTATTTTGTAATTTGCTAAACTTCTTCTGGCATGAGCATGCTTATATCTTTTGTATCCTGATTTCATATCTTTAACCTAATAAACTTAGCCAAAACCTCAATTAAATAATTTTAATAAGTAAAATTTATTTATTTAAAGAAATAAGATAATTTAGCTTTCATAATTTTTTGTTTATATAATTAATTATTTAAATAAGTAAAAAAAATTCTATCTTTAATCTAAAATTTAATTTTGTATTTAAAATATATTTTAAAACTAAATATATAAGAATAAATTAATACTTTTTAGCTTTTTAAGTAATTTTTAAATCACATATTTTAAAATAAATAAGAAGAAAAATTTATAATTATTTGATTCTTAATCAAACCAATTTTTTAGTTTTTAAATCATTTAATAAATGTATTTAAAATTTCATTCTTTCTTTTAATATTTTAGTTGGTTTTCAATATAATCTAAATTTAAGGCAGATGGAACATTTTTAGGATATATTTAGATAGCCTTCATGTTGTATTATTATGTTTCTTCTAATTAATTGATTTCCTAATAAATAAGACACAAATTAAAGTTAGTTAATAAATAGTTTAGATCAATTTTAAAGCTTGCAATAAATATCTTTTTTTATCTCTTAACATTTTCATATCTAAATTAATAATTCCTAAATTAAAAAGATCAAAAAATAATCAGGATAGTGTTTAGATAGCTTCCTTTTGCTTCATTTAGTATATTCATCTCATGATAAAACTATGATAAATCAAAATAGATATAAGAAATTGAGAGATCAATTTCCAATTGAAGTAAAAAAAAATAATAAAATGATTTCCTCAAAAAACAACAAAAATAAAACGAAATTAATAAAATAAGTTCTAAAAAAATGAAAAAAATACTAAATCAAGCTAGTTTTTCATAAATATAAATTTAAAATAAAATAGTTTGTTTCATAATTAATTAGAATAAATAATATTTTCTTATTAGATCATTCTTTCTTTTTGTTCAATTACCGAAAATACATCTGTAATTTCAGTGTAATCTAATAGTCTCTAAATTGACTCAATCAAGTAATCTGGATATAATTGAAGTACATCTTCTTGCTGTTAATTATTTGAGTCTTTGTACTTGTTTAGCACCTAAATCATTTCTTGTCTTGTTTGCTCTAGCTGAGCATGAGATTATTTATTATTTTTTAAGTTTTTAAAATTAAAAGTTACAACCATATAGAAGATAAATCCAAGAGCATAGCAATCATTTTGCTTTAAAAGTTTGAAATTTTTTTTTATTTCAGAAATATTTTCTTGGCAATTCTAATTTTTTTCTATCAAATCTTAGATTATTTCAAATTCATTCTTAATTAAAGGACTCAAGTACTGTTATTTGCATTATAAATGTTTAGAAACAATTTAGCTAAACTCATTTCTCTACACCAAACCACCACCTAGATCTGAAATTTTATACTTCTGATCTTTAGTTTTAATTATATTATCTAAAGAAATATCCATGTGAACAATTTTAGCAACATTATGCAATTAGTAAAAACCTCTACATAGTGAATACATCATGTCATGCAACTCTTATGGTTTAAATGATATTTTTTTAATGTATAGTTCTTACTATAAATTTGTTTCTCCTAGCTCCATTATTAAGTAGCTTAAGTTATATTCTTTTTAATGACCATCATAATTTTGAATAGATATATTATTAATTAAAATACCATATCTAAGTTTGATTATGTTTTCTGTTTAATGGAAACTAAGACGTTTAGCAATATTGAACTCTTTTGTAGCAGCATAAACATCATCTTTTGTAGGCAAATTCTATGCTTTAATAGCCAACTCTTCTTAACTTTCTTGACAATCTTGATTATTTTTTAAGTCAATTACTTTATACACCTATGCAAATCCTCCTGCCCCTAAGTCTACAATCTTCTTGAATCTTTATTGAAGCTCACGCAGGCTAATATGAAAATCATAATATCTTAAACAATCATCAAATGTTTAAAATTTAATAAGAGGTATCTCGTTGTTGATATTTTCTTTAATGTATTAGATAAATTTGTATGATGCATAGAGATAACTATCATCCACATTTTAATAATTTAATTGTTAGTTTTTTACTGAGTTTTTTGAGAAAGCGTAGAATACTAATAGAGGATTTATATTTATATCTTTTTCATCGGATATAAATATATCAGATTTGAGAACATCTAAAAAGTCATCAGGTACCATCACGTTATAACTCCTCAGTAATTTAAGCGCTTTTGTGAACTTTCTAATAAGGATCAACTCAATTTAGATAGTATGTGAAGGAACTAAGTCAAGATTTTCATTATAAAGAATGAATTTAAATTCATCTGGCTTTTAATTTTTTTATTTAGAAGAAGAATCATTATTATCAGTAATTTATGTAATTTTAAGAGAATTTTCTTATTTATAAAATTAGAATTTCATTTTTGATTCTACTTATTAGTTTTCTTAAATAGCAAACATTATTCTGCTTATCTGTTTCTCATAAAAAAAGTTTTTAACCTCAATTAGATTTTCAATCTTTGAGAAAATGTAGTGATTTTCATTAAATTTCCCACTCAAAATCTCTCTGTTCTTAATAGAATTGACAAATTTCCAAGCATTATCAATTTAAGCACTATCTAACAACAAAATACTGTAAATCGTAGAGTTATCATGAGCCATTTTATGTATACTACTTCCAAGTGGTAAGCATAAAGAGCAACCTTAAAGAATATGGAAGCCTTAAACCTGTTCTCTTTTATTTGAAATTAAGAATATTATTTGTATTGAAGGCAAATAAAAATTTAGGAACTTTTGTTAATCTCCTTAATTCATTCCTTTAAACAAAGAAATAGAGAACTTTTCTTTCTTTTCTTATACCAATCTTATTTTTTCCTTGTTAAATAAATAATTAAAAAATGTGGCTAAACTTAGAGCTAAAACAATAGTATTACCAATAATCATAATATTAGTAAAAGAAAGAAAGCTATTTTGATTTAACATAATCCTTGGATTAAATTACAATTTCAGTATTTCAGTTCCATTTACTAAATAAAGCATTGAGTAGCGATTCAATTCTTCTTACTTAAACTTTACTGGAAGACCTTTATAGTAAGTAAAGCCTTCATAGAAATAATAATCCTTAATAGGCTAAAAATTTCCTTCCTAAGTAAGCAAATTAGGGGGTGTTTTGTTTTCTAAATCAATTGAGTAAAATCTGTAGTCTCTTAATTCCGATTCATCTTCAGAAAATACTGCTTAGGTGAGTAAATACTAGACTCCACTATCAATTTCAAGGACAATTACTCCTAACCAATCCTTATTACTTAATTTAAACTCTCCCAAATCATAAAAATATAAATCTTTGTTTGTCTCATTCCTTCCAAATACACAAATGTCTTTATCTACATCTTTAAGAAAATTAATATAATGAAAACTCCAAAATTCTTTTCTCTTGATTATTTAATAGGTACTGTTATGTTTTAGCATCAAGTATTCTTCGTTAACAGGTTAATACTCATGACCTATTTCTGGACTACATAGTTAACCAATATCCATTTTTAAAACCATTGGATGATAACCTTAACGTACTGCAGAAGGAGTTGCAATTGTTTTAAATATATCATCTGTTATAATAAAAGTACTAGTTTGAATAGTAGAATAAGTATCATCTAATTAAGGAAATAAAGTAGCTAAGCCACCATCATTAGGTTTAACATTCCATTATTAGGTGTAGAAACCATTAAATTTGTACGAATATTAAAAAAAGAACAAATCTGGCACATATATTGATCCATTAGGTCTTATATAGATACTAAAAGGGAAGTCATAGTTAGGAATAGGACCAAGACCGAATTGAGTAAAATCGATTGCTGTATTATTTTAATCTATAACTATTTAAGTTGTGTATCGAGCTGTAAAATTAGTATCATTTGAATACCTAATTGGAAATCCTGAATTAAGCATTTTCATTGAAGTAATGTTAAATTAGTATTCAGTTATAATAGCTTAAGGTAATTCTTAAAGTAATATTTTTTAAATCTGCCCAAATTAGTTTTAAAAAAAATTTCCAATAAGAGTTTAGTTTTTCTATAAAGAAATCAAAGTTATCTAATTATAAACTAGCGTGGATTCATAGCACAGTACAAAGTTTTCCATTTTCTAAAAATTTGTTACTATTATAGGTTCTTCTTTATTCTTTTAGACATACATAAGGTGGTTTTCTCTATCATAAGAAAGATAGAAATCAACCCATTATTTATTTTCATTGCGATGTCTAATAATACAGAACGGAGGATACTTTAGGGATATTGTATCTCTATTAAACTAATTTATTACTTTTCTTAGATCTTATGAATTGCTCACTAAAACAAGAAGAAGGATATTTATTATTCCAAATAGACTTTTGAATGAACTCAATAGCATTACCTACAATTAAAATATTTAGTTTTAATAAAACAAATTGAATATAGTTGAGGAAGATTAAATTTGTAGAAAATTATTTATAATTAATTTGTAAATGATAAATGCAATATTTAGGATTTTAGAAGAAAAGCAAATATATGAATTAATTAAATTTGATTTATACTAAAAGATACTATTCATAATTTTTAATTTTGAAAATTTATATCAAAGCCTGTTTATTTATCTTTCTATCCACTCTTCTATTTAACTATCTACTTAATTTTAAAGATATCTATTGTAAATTTTCATCTTTTTTCAATTTTTTTAGGGTAAAAGTGTTTAAAATGAATAATTAAAATATGAAAAATAAAATTTGTTAAAAAATTGTGCACTAGATACACTTTTCATTATATATTACAGTTGATGATATTTTAATTTTAAGATAAGCAAATATTGTTTAAATAATCATTATTTAATAACGATGATTATTATTTTTATATGAATAAGTGCTTTATAGATAATTTCAAAATTTTAAGAAAAAAAAGCATAAAGAAAATTGATATTAGTTTTAATCAAAATTACATTACAATGATAGGAAATGGTAGTAGAAACTATTAATTATGGTTTTTAATATGAAACTAATTTTATATTTTAGAAATTTTTCAGCATTTTTTTAATTTTTATTCTTGCAAAATTTAAAACATATCTAATAATATCCTTAATTAAATCAAAAAAATGTGGTTAACTTTTTAAGAAATTTTTAAAATCAAAGTTAAAGTGTAAAAGTAGATGGATGTAAAAAAATTATAATAATAAATTGATTTCTCAAATTATTATAAAAATAAAATGATGCTAATAAAATAAATTCTAAAAAAGTAAAACAAAAATAAAAATAAAAAAATAATAAATCATGCTGGTTTTTCATAAATAGAAATTTAAAATGAAATGGTCTGTTTCATAATTAATTAGAATAAATCATATTTTCTTATTAAATAATTCTTTCTATTTGTTCAATCACCGAAAATACTTCTGTGATATCTTTGTAATCTAATAGTCTCTAAATTTACTCAATCAAGTAATCTGGATATAATTGAAGTACATCCTCTTGCTGCTAATTATTTGAGTCTTTGTACTTGTTTAGAACTGAAATCATTTCTTATCTTGTTTATTCTAGCTGATCATGAGATTAGTATTCATTATTTAAGTTTTTAAAATTAAAAGTAACCACCATATAGAAGATAAATCCAAGAGCATAGCAATCGTTTTGCTTTAATAGTGTGAAATCTTTTTTTATTTCAAAAATATTTTCTTGATAATTCCAATTTTTTTCTATCAAATTTTAAGTTTCTAATTAATTTTTAATTAAAGGACTCAAGTACTGTTATTTGCATTATAAATGTTTAGAAACAATTTAGCTGAACTAATTTCTCTGCACCAAACCACCACCTAGATCTGAAATTTTATACTTCTAATCTTTAGTTTTAATTATATTATCTAAAGAAATATCCATGTGAACTATTTTAGCATCAATATGCAGTTAGTAGAGACCTCTGCATAGTGAATACATCATATCGTGTAATTCCTGTGGTTTAAATGATATTTTTTTTATGTATAGTTCCTACTATAAATTTGTTTCTCCTAGCTCCATAACAAAGTAGCTTAAGTTGTATTCTATTTAATGACCATCATAATTTTGAATAGATATATTATTAATTAAAATACCATATTTAAGTTTGATTATGCTTTCTGTTTTATGGAAACTAAGACGTTTAGTAATATTGAACTCTTTTGTAGCAGCATAAACACTTTCTTTCGTAGGCAAATTCTATGCTTTAATTGCCAACTCTTAACTTTTTTTACCATCTTGATTATTTTTTAAGTCAATTACTTTATACACCTATGCAAATCCTCCTGCCCCTAAGTCTACAATCTTCTTGAATCTTTATTGAAGCTCACGCAGGCTAATATGAAAATCATAATATCTTATACAATCATCAAATGTTTAAAATTTAATAAGAGGTATCTCATTGTTGATATTTTCTTTAATGTACTAGATAAATTTGTATGACGCATAGAGATAACTATCATTCACATTTTAATAATTTAATTGTTAGTTTTTTACTGAGTTTTTTGAGAAAGCGTAGAATACTAATAGAGGATTTATATTTATATCTTTTTCATCTGAAATAAATATATCACATTTAAGAACATCTAAAAAGTCATCAGGTATCATCACGTTATAGCTCCTCAGTAATTTAAGCGCTATTGTGAACTTTCTAATAAGGATCAGCTCAACTTAGATAGCATATGAAGGAATTAAGTCAAGCTATTCGTTATAGAGAGTGAATTTAAATTCATCTGGCTTTTAATTTTTTTATTTAAAAGAAGAATCATTATTATCAGTAATTTATGTAATTTTAAGAGAATTTTCTTATTTATTATATTAGAATTTCATTTTTGATTCTATGTATTAGTTTTCTTAAACAGCAAAAATAATTCTGCTTATTTGCTTTTAATTAAAAAGGTTTTTAACCTCAATTAGATTTTCAATCTTTGAGAAAATGTAGTGATTTTCATTAAATATTCCACTTGAAATCTCTCTGTTCTTAATAGAATTGACAAATTTCCAAGCATTATCAATTTGAGCACTATCTAACAATAAAATACTGTAAATCATAGAGTTATCATGAGCCATTTTGTGTATACTACTTCCAAGTGGTAAGCATAAAGAGCTACCTTAAAGAATATCGAAGCCAAAAACCTGTTCTCTTTTATTTGAAATTAAGAATATTATTTTGATTGAAGGCAAATAGAAATTAACGAACTTTTTTTCATCTCCTTAATACATTTCTTTAAACAAAGAAATAGAAAACTTTTTTTTCTTTTCTTAAACCAATCTTGCTTCTTTTTTGTTATCTAAATAAGTAAAAAATGTTGCTAAACTAAGAGCTAAAAAAATTGTATTTCCAATAATAATAAGATTAGTAAAAGAAAGTAAACTCTTTTCATTCAACATAATCCTTGGATTAAATTGCAATTTCAGTATTTCAGTTCCATTTACTAAATAAAGCATTGAGTAGCGATTCAATTCTTCTTATTTTAACTTTACTGGAAGACCTTTATAGTAAGTAAAACCTTCATAGAAATAGTAACCCTTAATAGGCTAAAAATCTCCTTCCTAAGTAAGCAAAGTAGGGGGTGTTTTTTTTTCTAAATCAATTGAGTAAAATCTGTAGTCTCTTAATTCCGATTCATCTTCTGAAAATACTGCTTAGGTGAGTAAATATTCTATTCGACTATCAATTTCAAGGACAATTACTCCTAACCAATCCTTATTACTTAATTTAAACTCTCCTAAATCATAAAAATATAAATCTTTATTTGTCTCATTCCTTCCAAATTTACAATGAGTAGTAATATAATGAAAATTCCAAAATTCTTTGCTCTTGATTATTGAATAGGTACTGTTATGTTTTAGTATCAAGTATTCTTCACTAAGAGGTTAATATTCATGTCCTATATCAGGAACACATAGATAACCAATGTCCCTTTTAACAATAGGGCTATGATAGCCTAAACCAACTATAGAAGGAGTTGAAATAATTTTAAATATATCATCAGTTATAATAAAAGTACTAGTTTGAATAGTAGAATAAGTATCATCTAATTAAGGAAATAAAGTAACTAAGCCACCCTGCTGAGGTTTAATATTCCATTATTAGGTGTAGAATTTATTAAAGATGTACGAATATTAAAAAAAGAACAAATCTGGCACATATATTGATCCATCAGGTCTTATATAGATATTGAAAGGGATGTCATAGTTAGGAATAGGACCAAGACCGAATTGAGTAAAATCGATTGCTGTATTATTTTAATCTATAACTATTTAAGTTGTGTAACGAGCTGTAAAATTAGTATTATTTGAATACCTAATTGGAAATCCTGAATTAAACATTTTCATTGAAGTAATGTTAAATTAGTATTCAGTTATAATAGCTTAAGGTAATTCTTAAGGAGGAATTTTAAAAATCTACCCTTATGGGTTTTAAAATACATTTCCAATAAGAGTATAATTTTTCTATAAAGAAATCAATGTTATCTAATTTTAAACTAGAGTGGATTCATAGCACAGTACAAAGTTTTCCTTTACCTAAAAATTAGTTACTATTATAGGTTCTTCTTTATTCTTTTAGATATACATAATGTGGTTTTCTCTGTCATAAGAAAGATAGAAATCAACCCATTATTTCTTTTAATTACTATGCCGAATAATGCAGAACGGAGGATGCTTTAAGGATATTCTATCTCTATTAAACTAATTTATCACTTTTCTTAGATCTTAAGCATTACTCACTAAACCAAGAAGCAGGATATATATTATTCCAAATAGACTTTTGAATGAAATCAACAGCATTTTCTACAATTTAAATATACTTTCTTTTTTTTTTGTTTTCTCCTATTAATTAATAATTAATGATGAATTATTAGTAAAATTTTTATCTGAAAATATTTTTCGTGATAAAAATAATAAAAATAATCAAAATATCAAGTTTTTAATCACAACTTTTTTTGCAGTCGCAAAGTCCATAGTCCAATACATTTTTTGACCAAATATTAATTAAAGGTAGACCTGGGTCTTAAATTTTTTAATTTACAGATGGTAAAAATGTTTTCAAAAATGAATTCCCCTCAAAAAAATTTATTTATTTTTTAAGATATAAAAATAATATCCTTCTCAATTATTTAATTATTTAAAATTATATTTTAATAACTATTTATTCAAATTTCTTACAAAAATATATTACATATTTAATAAAACTGTCTCTAATCAAATAATTTTAGTCATTCTAACTTTTAAAAATATTATTTTAAGAATTTAAACTATTCAGTATAATTTATAAACACATGTAATACAAAAGTTATTTATTTGTATGAGTCGATAATCAAGATATAAATTATAATGTTTTGATTAATTTCATATCTTCCTAAACCTAAACTTTTGTATTTTACATACATTTAAAACAAAGCTGTAAACCAAAAATCTTCGAAATTCTTATTCATAAATGGTGTTTATTTTTATAAAATTTCATTCTTTCTTTTAATATTTTAGTTGATTTTCAATATAATCCAAATTTAAGGCTGATGGGACATCTTTAGGATCTATTTAGAGAGCCTTCATATAGTATTATTTTGCTTCTTCTAACTAATTCATTTCCTAATAAATAAGACCCAAATTAAAATTAGTTATTAAATGGTTTGGATCGATTTTTAAAGCTTACAATAAATATCTTTTTGCATCGCTTAGCATTTTCATATCTAAATTAATAATTCCTAAATTAAAAAGACCAAAAAAATTATCAGGATAGTATTTCAAGGTATTTAGGTAGTTTTCTTTTGCTTCATTTAGCATATTCATCTCATGATAAAGGTATGCTAATTCAAAATATATATAAGTCATTGAGGGATCAATTTCCAAAGCCTTCAAGAAGTTAGATACAGCATTATTCAGTTAACCCTATTTTGTTTAAACTTTACCTAAACTAATGTATGCTGGGGCTAGTTAAGGATCTATTTTCAAAGCATCTAAGAAACTGGATACTGCATCATTCAGCTAATCTTATTCTTCATAAACTTTACCTAAATTAACATAAGTTATGGCTAGTTAAGGATCTATTTCCAAAGCTTTCAATATCTAATTTTTTGCTTCCTTTAGCTTTTTGATCTATAAATAAAAAAGCCCTAAGTAATTATGAGCCTAAGTATTTAAAGTGTTAATTTTCAAAGCTTCTAAATAACATTATTTTGTATCTTCAAATAATTCCATTTTTAGGTTTAAAATACCCAATTTTAGATAAGTTTGGTCATCTTTAGGATTTATTTTTATAGCCTCTTGATAACATTTTTTAGCTTGATTTAGGTTATTCATTTATTCATTAATATCTGCTAAAAATAAATATGATTCTGCATGTTAAGGATTGAATTTTAAGTAATTTTGAATATTCTATTTTGCTTCTTCTAGCATACCTTGTTAATAATAAATTTGTGATAACTAAAAATAAGGATGTGAATATTTAGGCTCGATTTCCAAACTCCTTAATAATTACTTCTTTGCTTCTTCAAGCTTTCCTTAGCTTATATAAACTTACGCTAAGTTAAAGTAAGCACCATAATTTTAAGGAGCAATTTTTTGACACTCAATTAAACATTGAATTGACTCATTATACTACTTTTAGATTTGATAACATAATCCCAAGCTACTTAATGTATCGATATCTTAAGGATTATTTTTCAAAGAATTTTTTAAAAGTTCAATTTATTGAAGCAGCTAATTATCAGTCTAAGGTTTATTAGAAAAAAAAAATTTTGAGTTTTTTTAAAATCTTAAACTTTCAGATTTAGGAATTGAATTATTTTTTAAAATGCTAATTAAAGCTCTCATTTATTTTTTCTTATTTTTTTTGATTTAATTTTTTATAATAATAATAAAATATGAAAACAAATAATCTAATTATTAGATTTAAATGATTTAAAAAAAATTTAATAATTATTTGATAATTCGAAAATTTTTTGAAAATATATTTAGAATTAGTTAGTTTATTTGATCTTAAAACAAACTAAATAATAAGTCAAAAAAAAATTTATAAACAAACAATGAATAATTTAGATAAATTATTTAAAATGCTTAAAAAAAGCTCTTACCCATTAATTTTTTTCTAAGTATTTATTTTATTTGATAGTTTTAATCAATCTATCCTAAATTTTAAGCTAGAATTTAAATTACCTAAAGTATTAGATTGAAGCAGTTAAGGAGATATTTAGTCATTATCTGATTATTAATATTCGTCTATTAGATAGAAGTTTCTAAAATACCTTATTTATAGTTTCTTTATTAGATCTCAAAGCTAAAATACAAATAAACCAAAACAACTTTTGAAAATCAACTAAATAAACAAATAGTAAATAAATAAATAAGTTAGTCATTTTAGGTTTTATCTATTTTTTAATTTTTCTTAATATTCTATTTTTTATTTTACTTTTAAGCTATCGTGAACCTCCTTCAAAAATATTTCAAAAAACAGTAAAGAATCCTAATAATAAGTATCACTTTTTGATTTTTATTTAGTGCTTACAATTGCACTCACGCATTAATTTTTTCCTATGTATTTATTTTATTGATCCTATTAATGCATCATAAATACCAAATAAGAATTCTAGAATATTAAATTGAAATGGATATTTTGCCATTATCCGATCATTAATTTTGAAATTATTATACATTTATAACATTAGTTATTTCTAAAATGTTGTATTGAAATTCTATTCATCAGTTTTCATTTTTAAAAATAAAAGTTAAAGTGTTGAAGTAGATAGATAAATGTAAAATAATAATAATAATAATAAAATGATTTCTCAAATAATAACATAGATAAAATGATGCTAATAAAAATAATAAAATAAGTTCTAAAAAATGAAAAAACAAAACAAAAGTAAAAAAATAATTATTCAAGCTAGTTTTTCATAAATAGAAATTTAAAATGAAATGGTCTGTTTCATAATTAATTAGAATAAATCATATTTTCTTATTAGATCATTCTTTCTTTTTGTTCAATCACCTAAAATACATCTGCAATATCGTTGTAATCTAATAGTCTCTAAATTGACTCAATCAAGTAGTCTGGATATAATTGAAGTACATCCTCTTGCTGCTAATTATTTGAGTCTTTGTACTTGTTTAGAACTTAAATCATTTCTTGTCTTGTTTATTCTATCTGAGCATGAGATTAGCGTTCATTATTTAAGTTTTTAAAATTAAAAGTAGCAACCATATAGAAGATAAATCCAAGAGCATAGCAATCGTTTTACTTTAATAGTGTGAAATCTTTTTTTATTTCAAAAATATTTTCTTGATAATTCTAATTTTTTTGTTACAAATCTTAGATTATTTCTAATTATTTCTTAACTAAAGGACTCAAGTATTGTAATTTGATTTGTAAATGCTTAGAAACAATTTAGCTGAACTCATTTCTCTGCACCAACCCACCACCTAGATCTGAAATTTTATACTTCTAATCTTTAGTTTTAATTATATTATCTAAAGAAATATCCATGTGAACTATTTTAGCATCATGCAGTTAGTAGAGACCTCTACATATTGAAAACATCATATCGTGCAACTCCTGTGGTTTAAATGGTATTTTTTTAATGTATAGTTCCTACTATAAATTTGTTTCTCCTAGCTCCATAACAAAGTAGCTTAAGTTGTATTCCTTTTAAAGGCCAACATGATTTTCAATCGTTATATTATTAATTAAAATACCATATCTAAGTTTGATTATGCTATCTGTTTTATGGAAACTAAGACGTTTAGTAATATTGAACTCTTTTGTAGCAGCATAAACACTTTCTTTTGTAGGCAAATTCTATGCTTTAATTGCCAACTCTTAATTTTTTTAACCATCCTGATTATCCTTAAAGTCAATTACTTTATACACTTATGCAAAACCTCCTGCCCCTAAGTCTACAATCTTTTTGAATCTTTATTGAAGCTCACGAAGACTAATATGAAAATCATAATATCTTATACAATCATCAAATGTTTAGAATTTTATAAGAGGTATCTCATTGTTGATATTTTCTTTAATGTACTAGATAAATTTGTATGACGCATAGAGATAATTATCATCTACATTTTAATTTAATTGTTAGTTTTTTACTGAATTTTTTGAGAAGGCGTAGAAGACAAATAGAGGATTTATATTTATATCTTTATCATCTGAAATAAATATATCAGATTTAAGAACATCTAAAAAGTCATCAGGTACCATTATGCTATAGCTCCTGAGCAATTTAAGCGCTATTGTGAACTTTCTAATAAGGATCAGCTCAACTTAGATAGCATGTGAAGGAATTAAGTCAAGCTATTCGTTATAGAGAGTGAATTTAAATTCATCTGGCTTTTAATTTTTTTATTTAGAAGAAGAATCATTATTATCAGTAATTTATGTAATTTTAAGAGACGCTTCTTATTTATTATATTAGAATTTCATTTTTGATTCTGCGTATTAGTTTTCTTAGACAGCAAAAATTATCCTAGTTATCTGTTTCTCATAAAAAAAATTCTTTACCTCGATTAGATTTTCAATTTTTGAGAAAATGTAGTGATTTTCATTAAATATTCCACTTGAAATCTCTCTGTTCTTAATCGAATTGACAAATTTCCAAGCATTATCAATTTGAGCACTATCTAACAATAAAATACTGTAAATCATAGAGTTATCATGAGCCATTTTGTGTATACTACTTCCAAGTGGTAAGCATAAAGAGCTACCTTAAAGAATATCGAAGCCAAAAACCTGTTCTCTTTTATTTGAAATTAAGAATATTATTTTGATTGAAGGCAAATAGAAATTAAGGAACTTTTTTTCATCTCCTTAATTCATTTCTTTAAACAAAGAAATAGAAAACTTTTTTTTCTTTTCTTAAACCAATCTTGCTTCTTTTTTGTTATCTAAATAAGTAAAAAATGTGGCTAAACTAAGAGCTAAAAAAATTGTATTTCCAATAATAATAAGATTAGTAAAAGAAAGTAAACTCTTTTCATTCAACATAATCCTTGGATTAAATTGCAATTTCAGTATTTCAGTACCATTTACTAAATAAAGCATTGAGTAGCGATTCAATTCTTCTTATTTAAACTTTACTGGAAGACCTTTATAGTAGGTAAAACCTTCATAGAAATAGTAACCCTTAATAGGCTAAAAATCTCCTTCCTAAGTAAGCAAAGTAGGGGGTGTTTTTTTTTCTAAATCAATTGAGTAAAATCTGTAGTCTCTTAATTCCGATTCATCTTCAGAAAATACTGCTTAGGTGAGTAAATATTCAATTCGACTATCAATTTCAAGGACAATTACTCCTAACCAATCCTTATTACTTAATTTAAACTCTCCTAAATCATAAAAATATAAATCTTTATTTGTCTCATTCCTTCCAAATTTGCAATGAGTAGTAATATAATGAAAATTCCAAAATTCTTTGCTCTTGATTATTGAATAGGTACTGTTATGTTTTAGTATCAAGTATTCTTCACTAAGAGGTTAATATTCATGTCCTATATCAGGAACACATAGATCACCAATATCCCTTTTCAAAATAGGGCTGTGAAGGCCTAAACCAGATCCAGAAGGAGTTGAAATAGTTTTAAATATGTCATCAGTTATAATAAAAGTACTAGTTTGAATAGTAGAATAAGTATCATCTAATTAAGGAAATAAAGTAGCTAAGCCACCCTAATTAGGTTTAACATTCCATTATTAGGTGTAGAATTTATTAAAGTTGTACGAATATTAAAAAAAGAACAAATCTGGCACATATATTGATCCATCAGGTCTTATATAGATATTGAAAGGGAAGTCATAGTTAGGAATAGGACCAAGACCGTAATACATAAAATCTATGGGTGTATTATTATAAAGCATTTCTATTTAAGTAGAGTAACGAGCTGTAAAATTAGTATTATTTGAATACCTAATTGGAAATCCTGAATTAAACATTTTCATTGAAGTAATGTTAAATTAGTATTCAGTTATAATAGCTTAAGGTAATTCTTAAGGAGGAATTTTAAAAATCTACCCTTGTGGGTTTTAAACTACATTTCCAATAAGAGTGTAGTTTTTCTATAAAGAAATCAATGTTATCTAATTTTAAACTAGAGTGGATTCATAGCACAGTACAAAGTTTTCCTTTTCCTAAAAATTTGTTACTATTATAGGTTCTTCCTTATTCTTTTAGATATACATAATGTGGTTTTTTCTATCATAAGAAAGATATATATCAACCCATTCTTTCTTTTCATTGCGGTGTCTAATAATGCAGAACGGAGGATACTTTAGGGATATTGTATCTCTATTAAACTAATTTATCACTTTTCTTAGATCTTATGCATTGCTCACTAAAACAAGAAGCAAGATATTTATTATTCCAAATAGACTTTTGAATGAACTTAACAGCATTTCCTAGTATTTAAATATGCTCTCTTTTCTTAATTTTTGTTTAATTTTTTTGTTTTCTCCTATTAATTAATTAATAATTAATGAATGATTAATTATAAGTAACATTCATACTTTTTTATCCGAGAATTTAGCAAAAATAATCAAAACGTCAAGGTTGTTCATCAAATATTGATTTTTAATAAATTTTTTTGTAATAGATACTTCAACTATTGATTAGGATAAGAGATTATTTTAATTCAAATCAAATTTAGATTTATTTATTACAAGATATCAAAAACCATAAAAAATTAGTCATAAATAAAATTTTCCCCAATGCTAATTAATTACCCATTATAAAATCAAATATATCTTAGGATTCATTAATTTGCAATTATAATATTAATAATAATGATACTCAACAAATAATATCATAAAATCACAATTCTATGATTAGAAATAAATTAATAAATTCAGATCAAATAAAATAAATTGAATAAAGATGAGGAAGATTAAGTTTGTGGAAAACTAGCTAATTAATTTGTAATCACAAATGCAATTTTTAGGAATTTAGAAGAAAAACAAATATTTATATGAATTACTTAATTAATACTTATTTATCCTCAAAAAAACTATTCTTAGTTTTTGATTTTTGAATATTTATCAAAGCCTATTTATCTTCTATCTATCTATCCTATCCTATCCTATCCACTCATCTATTTAACTATCTATTTAATTTTAAAGATATTTATTGTAAATATTCATCTTTTTTCAGTTTTTTGGGGTAAAAATGTTTAAAATAATTCATTACACTGAATCTTAAAAAATTGTAATTTAAAAATTTATTAAATCTGAAAAAGAAAATATTTATAATGCTTATTTTCAAATGTGAATATTTAATCCAACATTGATATTAATTAATAATAAATACTCTTCTTCAATTAAATCTTTAATAGATCAAAATTATACCAATTAATTAATACTTGAAAAACTATAACAATAGTTATAGAATGAATAAGATTAATTAATAATTTTAGCTTTTGTATAAAAATTTATATATAATATAAAAATGTGAAAAAAGTTTAAGTTTTTTTTCATTTTTTTGGAATAATAAACAATTAAAATAATACATTTTTGGTAATAAATTCAAAGTATCTAAAAGAAGGAAGCACTAACTTTCTTTATATTTATGATAGGATTATTTTAAAAGTACAAAAATAATTTACTATTCAACTATTATTAATATGTTATCTGCTGACAAACAGATAATAAATTTTTATTTACTGATTCATTCACATCATTAAAAAAAATTATTTCTCAATTTAAGCTATTTCATTTACCAAAAATATTTTTTCCCTTTTTACATTTTATTGAAAGATTATTAAAGATTTTTTAAATAATTTTATATTTAGATAAATCTTAATATTTGTTAAGCAAATTATTATTCACTATAAAGCATATATAAATATTTATTATAATATAATATACATTTTAATAGTCTACTTATATGAAGTAATTATTTTAGCTTATTTAGTGATTTAATGCTTAAATGAGAAAAGCTTTTTTATTTTTAAACTCCAAAGAATGAATGTATTGAATTAAATTTTTTATAAACTCATCTTTTTTTATTGTAAACAGATTTTTATAGGATATTTGAATTTTGTATCGATTCTACCATGAATTTTATTTTGGAGGCACATAGCTATTTGTAGTAATATTCTTCTTCCTCTTCTTTAGTTTTTATTTAGAAATTTACTTTCTATTTCTTATTTTCAAACTAAGAATTGTTAGAAATTTTATGGTCTTAGAGTGAAGAATTTAAATTTGAATAGGTTTGCTTTTAATAATCTAGAGTTGATTACTGCTGGGTCTACTGCTTATCTGGTAAATTTTACTGCTGATGTTGCTATTGCGATTGTTATTGATATTATTATATTTACTAATTTTGTTATTGCTATGACTGCTATTATTACTGTTGTTGGTTTTAATTCTAAAAGCTAGATTGCTCTTCATTATTAAGATCAAATGATTGCAATCTTTACTTAGTATTTTATTCTTAGTTATTTTAGCTGAGCTAATTTACATTCTAATTATTATTATGCTGTTAATCATTTTATGTTTAATTACTTTTTAGAGAAATATTAGGACTTAAGGGACCTTTTTAAGGAGGGGTATTAGGTGCAGATGATTTCTTATTTGCAGAAAATGACTGAATTAATTAATTTGTTCCAGAATATCGTCCGTTGTCATGGTAAAAAGGAAAACTGCTTTTATCGAAACCATTTTACATCTCTTCAACATTTTGTTACATTGGACTGATAATTTGAGATGTTATCATTGTATTGTTTAAAGAATACTTGTTCTAGCCTTATTTAACTTTGTTTTTGTTTTCTTTTTCAGCAATTTATCGTTTACTTTCCTCTTCCTCCCTTCTAATTGCTTATTTTTTTTCTTCTAACACTTAAGATATTAATTCTTATATTTCTTTTTTTGCATTTTATGCTTCCTACATAATTTCTTTATACTTAGATTGATAAGTCTCATACTTAGTTTTATAAAGGATTACTTCTTTGTTTAATCTTATCTCATTTTCTTTGAGTTTACTTATCTCTTCATCTCTTGTTTTTTTAACAAAGTTGAAGGTAAGGTCTTCCTTCTTTTCGTTTTTTAAATCCAAATAAATCACCTTTTTATGGTTGAGCTCTTCCAAAACTCTTTATATTTCAATGATCTTTTTATCCTTTTCTTTTATGATGCCCTTTAAACCCAATTTATCATGGAAGAGATCAATAATTTTTTTATATTACTCACCTTGTTTTTTATATTATGATCTTAACTCTTTTTTTAATGATTCCACATTCCATCTTTCAGTGTCCACTCGTTTGATGCTTACAGACAAATTAGCCTACTCCTCTTTAAATTTATCAATTTATTTTTTTATTGTTTCTTCGTCTGATGCCTCCCTTTCATTTTCTAGAGTCTCTTTATATGTATCTCCATTTTTCTCTACGAACAATCTGTTCAAATATTCCTCTAATAATTTCTTGTCTTCCTCTTTTTTAGATCTCTTATCTTCTTAGTTCTTTTCTTTAGTTATAATTAAATCCATAAAATTCTATGCAGAAGGGTAGTCATAATATGTCTGAGGATCGTCGCAAAATTCTAAAAAAACCTTATTTAGCATTTCTTACTCGCTTTCTTAGTTATTTTATTTTTAGCCTGAAGAAATATCTAAACTATTATTTTCATATCCCTTTTGATCTTTTTTGTTGCTATCTAAATTATGATAGAAATATATAAATAAATAAGCAAATAAGGCTATTATATTAATATGAGAAAGTCTTTTTTACTTTTTTAATCATAATATCTATCAGGAAACTCACTATTGAAATCTTAATCATTAAATTAGGAGTTTTTTTATGGCATTTAGTTTTTTTTAGGAGATTAATCTGTTTCTAATCCAGGAGGAGCATCATCATCATATCCTAAGCGATTAGCATCGTTATCAAATTCTAAGCGAGGAGGACCATCATCTTCTTCTTCTTAGAAAGGAGGACCCTCTAGTTCATATCGATTAAAGTAATTTTCTTAATTTTAAAATTATTTTTGCCTTAGCTTCTCTTACAACCTATACTCAATAAACGATTCCCTACTATTTAAATGTGAATGTTTATAAATAGTAAAACTTATAAAATTTATTATAAAAATAATACTATTTTTATGTAGTACCTTATTATCTATTTTTCCCTATTTTTATCTGCCGTCAACATGATTCTTTCTCTAACTAAACAAGCTTAATGTAAAAGTAAATTTTAAATTTTTGATATTTTAATTAATTAGACCGTTGATTTAGTTAATTAAGATCTAAATAATTAACACATTACTGATAAAATTTATATATATAATTTATTTATCAAAATTTATTCAATCATATTATTCAAAAATTATTTTAATCTTTGATAAAATCTATAAATAAAATCATCTTTAAATGTAAAAATAAAAAAACCTTTATTTTGAAAAAAAGGCGAAATATCTTTCTAGATATTTTGCTGTAAGTAAGTAAGTAAGTAACCCATAAGTAAATCAAATTTAAAAAACAAAAAATTTTTTTATTCATTAAATTTAAAACAAAATTATTTTAATCTTCTAATAAAATTCTTTTAATAATAGCCCCATTAAAAGTAAAAAAATAAAAAATATTCATCTATCTTGATATAAAAGATGTAATTTTATTCAAATGTGATATTAATGAAGGTAGACTAAGAAGAATACTAACCCATAAATAAATAAGCAAATATAATAAAATATAAATTTAACTATTAAATTATCAAAAATTTAATTTAATCTTCTGATAAAGTTCTTTTAAAAATTTCTTCTAAATATAAAAATAAAAACATCTTTAATTGATATATTAAAAGTCAAATATCTTTAGAGTTGAGATTTTTTGTAGGTAACCCATAAATAAGTGTAAATAAATAAGAATTCTAAAATATGAATTGAACTATTAAGTTATTAAAAATTTAAATTAACCTTCTTATAAAATTCTTTTAAAAAAAGTTCTTTAAAATATAAAAATGTTTATTTTGGTATAAAAGTGGAATTTTGTTTTTGAATTGAGATATTTGTGTAGGAAGGAATACTATAAATAAATAAATACACTAAAATATTTACACATTTATAAACAAACAAATAATTTTAACTATTACATTTATAATAAAATCAAACAAAAATTTTCAGTAATCATCATATTCATCTTCGTCTTCTTAATTTGCGAATTCTAGATCAGAATTTATATCATAATCTTCTAAGCCCATTTTTGCACGTTCTCTTGTCCTTTATTTGAAATTAATTGATTTTATCCACAAAATCATAAAAAATAAAAGATATTTATAATTATATGAATAAATTACTCTCTTTTCTTTTCTTCTTCTCTTAATTTTTTAGCTTTATCTGCTTCCTCCTTTCTTACTCTTTCTAATGCTAATTACTCTTTTCTATTTTATTAATATTAATTTAATTAATACAATCCAAAATATTTATTTAACTTTATTACAATTTATCTTTTATGCTGTAAGGCCAAAATCTTTATTTTTTAGGTTAAGGGGCAAATAATGTCTTTTTAGATGCAATTAATTTAGATGAGAGCTAATCGAAATATTTCTTAGATTTCTTTATTAAATCATTATCATCTTTTGAAGTTGAGAGGTCTTTTTCCTGTTAATATAAGCCATCAAGTTAATATTATTTCTGATTGCAATTTATGAATTACTTTTTTTAGAAGATAAACTGAAATAAGTTCTTCAACTTCATAAAGAAGCATTTCAGTCTCATATATTAAGGCCTATCTAGTAACTTTAAGCTTTTCGTATTTTTCGTTATTAGATTGGGCAAGCTACTAAGCTAATAATTATTATTTGTTTTATTCTTACTATTTAACTGCCTTCTTTTTCTTGTCTTTTAATTCCTTTCTTTCTCTTTCTTTATCTTCCTTTTCTTTCTCTTTTTACATCTAATCAACATACTAAACAGTGCTTGTTGGGTCAAAAGTTTTTTCAAATATTTACATTAAAAGTTTCTTTTCCTAATCATTCTGAACTAACTCACAATCCTATTAAAATAAATAAAATTTATATATCCTAATCCTCAAACTAATTAAATTTTATCTTACTTGTAAGTACTTAAGTATGTCCTTGAACTTGATTGTCTTATCAATCATACCATATTTAGGATTCTTATTGTCCTAAGCTAGACTATTATAAATATTTTTATATATATCTTGATATGTCTCTAATAAAACTTTTTTCTTTTGGGCTCCTGTCTAAATTTAAAAAAATTAAAATTAATTCTTAAAAAAAGAATCTACTATTAATATTTACTTCAGTATCTTCTAAGTTATTGAAGCTCTTGCTTGGCAGCTTTTTATTTTCAAATATAGGAGCTATTTTGGTCTGGATAAATTTCTCTAATGATCTATGCACATTTTGTATATCTCCGTATTTTAAGTAGCTCATTCTTACAATCAATTCAACAAAGTGTCTATATAAAATAGCTCTCTTGCTATCATGTATGTCTACTAAGTACAAATAAAGTTGGTTTTCATCTTAAGTACTCTTTTCTTCTTACTCTCCCAATCTAAATTAGTAATATAATTTTAATTTTAAACATCTTTTTTGTAATTTATTTAGTTATACTTTGAATAATCTAATTTATCCTCAGTAGAAGTCTTGCTTATAATTAAGTCTAAGAGTACTATGTCTCTTAACTCTTCTTAAGTTAGAGGTCTGCCTAGCTTTTTAGCTATTTCAATTTACTTTTGAATTTACTATTCTTAAGAGTTAATTGTGTATCTATTTTTAACTCCTTAATAAAATAATCTATTTATTGATGCAAGAGTAACAGTTTAATCTGTGACTTTAGCTTCTTTCATCATTTTCCAAAAGGCCAACATGTCCATAGAGAAAGCATCTTCGCCTTTATTTATTTATTTATTTATTTATTTAAATAAAATAGTATTTTCAATTTTAAAATGTATGTTTAATTTACCAATTGTATTTTCATGATGGTTTGAGTAAATTTTATACCAATTTCTCAAATCACTGTTATGTCTCAACAACATAGTTTGGATATTTTAATGAATTGACAACACTCCCTCTTCGATGCCTTAAGTCATATCGAAGAAATCAACTAAGTAAATGTATGGATTCATTTCTATTTCTTTCTTTTTCACCATTTGCTAACTTGAGTTTACTTCCTTTGGATCGTTTATTTTTGTTTGTGTCTTTTATTTGATTGCAGCAGGCTATTTTGTTTTGTCATCTTTTCCTGTTTTTCCCTTTGAAGGAGAATCCTATTCCATATAAATTAAAATGAAATTAAATCAATATTTATACATTTATCAATTTTCATACTATTCCTCCAAGGTTTTATTTATCTTTTTCATGCTATGATTGTTATTCTTTCAGATCTGTTTTTAAATTGTTTTCTTGCTTTATTAAACGATCAGCTTTATATTGGCCTTAAATAAGGTTTCCATTGTCTTCTGTAAAGATTGCATATCCTTCTTTTAAATTGTTGCGCCACTCACCTTCATATTTTGAGCCATTGGCATAATAGAAAACACCATAGCCATGACGCTATCCATCTACCCACTAACCTTCGTATCTATTTCTCATTAACTTCCCCTCTCCTTTTGACTCGAGCCATATATGAACACCAAATCCATTTTATAAGTTATTTTTCCACTATCCATAATACTTTTCTTTAGAATTCAACCATATCATTGTTCCTTAGCTATAATTAATAAACAATTTATTTTTTAACTTTTTAGCTTTTAATTCTAAAATAATTAATACCCATCTTTTTTGTCATATTTCCACTCTCCTTCATAATAATTTCCTGAAGGATAAGTCATTCTTCCATGACCATGTTTACATCCATTTACAAACTATCCTTCAAAAATAGCACTAATTTTCCATACAAAAGTTTATTTAATTTTTAATTGTCGCATTTACATTTATTAATAATCTATGTTAATTTACCCTGATTTAAACTTAATAGTTCCACTACCATTTCTTAGCCCTTCTACCCAAGATCCAGTATACTCTGCTTCTCCTTCAGGCGAAACAAATGTACCTTATCCATGACGTAATCCATTTAAAACCTAACCTGTGTAAGTAGAAGTATCTGGCCATTAGTAAGTGCCAACTCCTTTAATTGTATTATATTCAAATTAACCTTCATAAATAACTCCATTAGCCCATCTAAATTTTCCTTTTCCTAAAAAAACAAAATGTGTTTATTTTTAAAAAAACTAAATAAATGTCTTCTAAATAGTTATATTAAATTGATTAAGCTAAAAAGGTTTAAATAAATTAAATCAAATCCTATTACCATGCAGCATACCGTTATCTAACTCCCCTTCATATGTATTTCCATTTTTGAATTTTATTTTACCTTAGCCATGAAGAGCTTTTCCATAAACCTAATTTTAAAAACGCAAATTAATGTATCTATCAATCAATCAATATCTATATTAGTCATTTAGAATTTATTGCCAAATTTATTAAAACAATAACATTTGAAATATTTTTTAACCTGTCCAGGTTTATCCAAAATGGTGAGCTCTGCATCATACTCTGAATAAATAATTTTTGTTAGCTCGATTGGTAAAATTAAATTTTGCGGGTGCTCTTCTATGCTAAAATCCATGATCTAATTAATTTATGAATATGTTTTTGAATTTAACTAACTATTGACTATTAATTATTTAATTAGCTGCTAATATAAAATCTAACTTGAAATATTATTTTCTAATTATAATACAAATCTTTGTTTATATATATTAACTACTCTATTTATTTTTTATATAAATTAGCCAAAACATTCTTCTTTCATTAAAAAAAAAACACTGTTGATTTTCAAAATCTTTAAAGAATAACAAACAAAGACCATTAAAGTTACAAATTTTTATCTTTAGAATTTAAGTTAATAACTAATTCCTTTTTAAAACTATTTTTAATTTTATATCTTTAACCAATTTAAAAATTATTTAATTGGATAACAGTAATTTAATATTATTTATAAAGTATTATATTATGAAAAAGTATCTTTATAATTTTTTAATCAAATAAAGATTAAAATATTTATTAAAAATTAAAATAAAACTATTTAATAAAATAAATTCTTCATAATTAATAAAAATAAAATAAATATAATGATTTAAGCTTTAAGAGATTATTAAATAAACTAAATAATTATATTTAATATTTATATATTGCATAAATTCAAATAAAACTCTATAAATAATTACAACTGATATCTTTAAATTATTAAATAAGATTATTTTTTAGTAATAATTAGATAAAATAAAATTAATTAATTTATGAGCATTTACAGGTAATTTAGAAAAAAAAATACATAAATTTAATTTTAACTATTAGATTACTTTGATTCTCTAAAATAAAAAATTATTTTGTGTTATAAAATTTAAATGATTTTTGAAAAAACAATTGGATATTTATTTATTTATCTGTGTGATTTATGTAGTTCTAAGAAAAAAAGAAAGTTAATTGATTTTAATTTTTAATGAATAGTATTAATTAAGGGATCTGATAAGAATCTTCTGAATCTAAAAAAAGAAATTAGATAGAAATTTCTTCGATTTAATTATTGGATAGAATTAAAATAAATTTAGAATCTCTTTAAGATAAATATAATACAAAGATACAATAAAAAAATCAATTTTTTAAATAACAATAGCAAACAAGTTATTTTATAGAATATTTATTTATAAATGAATATCAACACTGTAGTTAAACTCGCAAGATTGACAGGTCACTCTTTGCGTACTTTCCAAAGTTAGAAGAAGGGATACTAAAGATTACTCGCTACTTCTCTTAACAACATTTCTAGATTTAGCTTTTGCGCTACAAAGATTAATGTAGAATAATTGAAAAAGCAAGATGTCGAATAAATGGCATTCAAAACTGAAACTAAGAAACTTTTAGATATTGTTGCAAAATCTCTTTACACTGACAAGGAAGTATTTTTGAGAGAACTTCTTTCTAATGCTTCTGATGCCATTGAAAAGCAAAGATTCTTAAATTCTCAAAGTAATTTATTTATTATTTTATTTGATTGATGCAAAGATTAAATCAAAAATGAACTGATTTCATTTCAAAATTTTTGAAAAAATTCTATTTAGACTTTTCAATAAAACAATATCACTAAATAAATTAATAGAGGACAATAATGACGATGATGATTTCAAAATTTAGGTTGAATGCAACACTAACAAGCGTTAAATTATCATTTCTGATAATGGTGTTGGTTTCACCAGAGATTAATTAATTAATGATTTGGGTACAATTGCTCGTTCTGGATCCTAATAATTCGTTAAGGAAGTAGGTAAAGGTTCAGCTGATAACATTATTGGTTAATTTGGTGTCGGTTTTTATTCATCTTTCATTGTTGGTGATTCTGTTTAGGTAATTTCTCAATCAATTTACCATTTTAATTTTCTCAAACACAAATAGACCTTATAAAAAAGCAAAAAAAGTTATTGATTAAATGTAAAATATCTAAAAAATGCAAATAAATCAATAAAGCAATATTTCTTTTTAAAGAGAAGTAAGTAAGTAAATAAGGTCTAAGTTGTAGTTTAAAAATGAATAGTTATAATTTATAATAAAAGCGTATTTTTATATGGTTAAATTAACAATTTTATTTTATTTAGGTCATTTCTAAGAGTGAAAAAGAAAGCTAAGCTCACATGTGGTAAAGTGATGGTAATGGTGAATTCGAAATTTCAACTGTTGGAGATTGTGGATTTAAAAGAGGTACTCGTATCATCATCCACTTGAGACCTGAATGCTAAGAATTCTCCAAAGCTGAAGATGTCAAGAAGATTATTCAAAAGTACTCTAATTTCATTAACTTCCCTATTTCTGTAAACGGTGAAAGATTCAATTTAGTTTAAGCTATCTGGACTCGCAGCAAGTTCAGCGTCACTGAAGAAGAATATGTTAAATTCTGGGAATACATTTCTAATTAAAAGATGAAATATTTTGCCAAATTGCACTATGAAGTCGATGTTCCTTTGAATATCAAGTCCCTTCTTTACATCCCTGCCGCTCACGCTGAAAAAATGGGCTTTTCTTAGGAATAAATGGCTGTTTCTCTTTATTGCAAGAAAGTTCTCATCAAGGCTAACTGCCAAGAACTCTTACCCAACTGGCTTAGATTCGTTAAGGGTGTTGTAGATTGTGAAGATCTTCCCCTCAACATTTCTCGTGAAAATTACTAAGATTCCTCTTTAATCTAAAAGCTTAAGCAAGTCGTTACCAAGAGAGTTTTGAAATTCCTTGATGAAGAAGCTAATAAAAATCCTGCTGAATACAACAAATGGTTTTAAGATTTCTAATTCTTTATTAAAGAAGGTAATTAATTTAATTAATTAATTTAAAAATCAATGTTTCTATTTAATTTATTTCAAAATAATTTAACCAGGTCTTGCTATGGACGTCGATTACCAAGAATAGCTTTTCAAGCTTTGCAGATTCAATGTTGATTACTCTAAGGATTTAGTCAGCCTTGAAGATTACGTTTCTAAAATGAAACCAGGTCAATAGAAGATTTACTACGCTCTTCTTCCTAATAGAGAATCAGCTGACAGTTCTCCCTTTATTGAGCCTTTCAAGGGAACTGGCATTCCTATTATTTACACTTTCATCAATATTGATGAAATGATTTACCAAACTGTTGGTTCATACAAAGGTTTCTAATTTGTTAATGTCGAAGGTGATTTCAATGAAATCTCTCAAGATATTAAAAAATTCAAAAAAGATACTAAAACTGAAACTAAATCTGACACCCAATCAAAGATGGACTCTGATGAAATTACTCCCTTCTGTTTGTGGGTAAAGAACGAATTATAGCCTATTGTTACTAAGGTTGTAGTTTCCGAACGTCTTACAAACTCTCCTGCTATTGTTTAATCTCAAATGTCATCTGCTATGCGTCAAATGGTTATGATGATGGAATAAAACAATGTAAAAAAAATTTATTTACTTATTTGATCTTTCTTATTAAAAAATGCAATTTAAAAATTAGGTTGGCGACATCAGTAAAAATTTAACTATGGAAATTAACCCCAACCACGAACTTATTTATAAAATTAACGAAGTCAGAAAATAAGATTAACAAACTGCATCATTAATCTTAAGACAGCTTTGTGATAACTGTATGGTTACTGCTGGTATTCCTACTGATCCTAAGAGATTCAATGATAGAATTTAAAATATGATGTCTAAGATTCTCGATAATATAATTACTAGTAAAGATAGTAATGCCTTTGCTTCTAGATCCTAAGCTGACTCTAAAGTAGAAGAAGGTACTGTTTATTTAGATGAAAACGGAAACCCTAAAATTAAATGAAGTTATTAAAAAAATATATATTGAGCAATGTTTATATCTTTTGTTACATATTATCAATGTATCACTTTTACATAATATTCAAAAAGTTTATAGAGCTTATTTACTTCAGATTTCTGTTCAGTATGTGAATTTTTTTCTTTTATAGAGTCTCTGAGACCTAATATAAAAGATACTTTAACTTATTTTTAAGTATAAAAGCAAAAATAAATAAAAACGAACAAGCAAATATAATGCAGGGTTTTTCTCTTAAAAAATAAATAAATCTAATTAAGATCATATTTCCCTAAAATCATTTGATAAAAAATTAAAAAGTCTTAGATTTAAATGCATAGCCCCTTATTTCTTAATATTTTATTAATTTTCTGTAATTCCTTTTTTAGTATTATTAAGCAATATTAAAAAGTTACTTTGTGGTTGTCGAGCACTTTCCCTCTAAAAAAGTAGTAAGTTTTGAATTTAGTTAACTTATCTAAACTATAAATTTTCCTCTAATAAATTAAAAATATATTCTTTTAATTAATTACTTATTTTTAATATAAAAATGAAATCATCTTTATAAAAGTGTCATTTAAAATTAATTTAAAAAATTTTATTTGTTTTATTGAGAGTGTTACATTTTTTTATTATGAGAATTTTAATAAATACTAATGTTAAAACAATCCTTAATATGCTTTTTGGCATTTTTTATTTACAAAATACTAAAATATGTGGTAAAGTAAGCAAATATTATTAATAATGCTTAAATTTAATTTGAAGTGATACTTAAATTTTATATATTAGTTACCCATATTATTTGAATTTTAGACTTTTTCTTTAAAAAGAATTAATCCATTTGAATTTAATATTAATTGTAAACGTAATTAATTAATAAAGAAAAATAATATATTAATTAATGATCGATCATAAGGATATAAGTTTGAATAAATAAGAAATAACTGAGTCATTGGCTTTTTCTTAATCAAATATTTTTTGTAATTAATTAGTGATCAAAAATGATTGATTGATTAATTAATGAATATTATTTACACATACTTTTTATATTATCTATTATTCTTAAGAAAAAATCTACTCTTAATAATGTGGATGGCTATTTAATTAGTTATAAGCTAGCTTTTTTATTTTTTACAAAAGAAAATAAATATTTTAATTTTATTCTAAGTATCTTTAATAAGTTTTATTCATTTGCTAAAAAAAATAAGGATCGAAAGAAAATCAAAAAGTTTTTTTCACTTCTAACTAATTAATGAAATAAAATATCTCATATTTTATCATCAAGAAAATAAGTAAGTGAGAGGAAATTTTCCCATATGTAAATGAATTAGTAATTAAAATTCGTTTATAATAATTAAAAGTCTCTAAAAGCTAATAAATAATACAAAATCTTTTTATAAAATTCATGAAAGAAAAACCATAAAAGAGTAATATGAGCTCATATATATATGCATGAAAGTATTTCTGTACCTTTAAATGAACAAATCGTTATAAATATGTAAAGCGATTTTGATAAAAACTAAAAATTTTCTCAGAATCCTTTTCTAGATTTTTTAAATCTTAAAAAATACTTTTTTAATAATTGATTGATTTTTCTGATCAATATATCACAACTATTAAGAGTCAAAAATTTTAAATGTCATAATTTATTTTTGATAAAATAATTCAATTAATTTATTTTTAAATTAAAAAATGATAGTTTTATTGACATTCATTCTTTTCTTGAAATCAGCATGTAAATTTAGAAAAATAAAAGAAAAATTTTAGCAAAATTATTTTAAAGTAAGCATAATTAACACTGAGACTTACACTAAATATATAGAATTCAATTTAGATAAATGTGCTTACACTGGTTTTCTCACCATAATTGGAAGTTATACATGCCCTATTTAAGTATAAGTAGGTAGTCCAGGTTAGTAATTGACTCTCTCAATTGCAATTAATAGAATTGTAATTTAAAAGATATTTTTTTTAATAATAAGATTATAAATGAATTTATAATTAATTTATTTGTAAATAGGTACCAAATGATTAATTATAATCAGCTACAAGTTTTTTATTAAGTAGTGAGTGCATACTATAAAATAAGTGTATCTCTTTTTTTATATAAAAAAAATTTGACGAAGCATTCAATCCAGAACTAACCAGCTCATTAAATAAAACTGGAATTAACTATTCAAATACAGTAATTATTTTGCATCTCTCCCTTACATTTAATTTGTTCATTCAAATATTTATTAAAAATTAATTCTTATGAATTCTTTTAAGAATGTAATAAAGGTGTTTTGATAAAAATCTCATTTTAATAATTTTTGTTTGAATTGTGGTATTTATATAAATAAAAAGATAACTTAAACCGCTTTTCACAATTTTTAAAGCATTTATTAAGTATAAATTTATTAATAATGAATAATAATTTTAATGCTTGAAATAGTTATAATATTTTGTTTTAAACTAGATCAACGGAACGATATTAAGGATTAATGGTGAATATTAATCAGATTTATTTTAGATTTCAGAAGAAGTAGAATAAAAAATTAGGATTCCATTTGTTTTAGTTAATTCAATGTGGGCTTTCAATGCAGTAAAATCTTATCTGCACTTATTTCAAATAAAAAATATTTATTAATTAATTTTATAAATTATAAAGCCTACTTTTGGAATACTAAATTTTGAAAGACATAATATGAACAGTTTAATACTTTAAGGATATTTGCAAAATTAACTCAAAGTAAAATATATTTTATCCCTTCTAATTATAAATGTTTTTAACTAATAAATAAATAAATAAATAAATAAAGACACCTAAGTTTGCCATAACAATTGAAAATAAAGTAGGAAAGATTATATATGACGAAATACCAAAATATTTAAATAATGCAATTGAGATAAAAACGAAATCTTCTGACTTATGGGTGAAATATCACTTTAAAATATTTGGATTTTTTATTAAATCTTTTTAAATTTATAAAAAGGATTTAAAAATTACAGGTATGATTTTGGAAGATAAAGATGTATTACCATTAGCCCATTTTTAATCATTAGAATTCACTTTATATCCATTCACCTAATTACCCAAAGGTAGCCAAATATTAACTATCATGCATAAAAATCTAACTTATACAAATAAAATTAAAGGGATAGTTAATTATCTATTAAAGAAATACTCACATTTACTCATTAAGCACGAGAACACAGTGTAATTGTAAGATTGTGAGCACTGTAGTTGCTTGGAAAAACTTAATTTTCCTGATCTGAAAATTTATACAGAAAAAGTAATGATCACTTTAACACCAAAATAATACTTTTCAGAGAATTAGAGTAAAAATATTTGCTAAATTGTAATTTCGATGGATAAAATTATGCTTTCAAGTAAATTTTATCAAGATTATCCTACTATTTTTAATACAAAAAACGGATCTATAGCTATTTTTAAGTAAATTATTAATGTTTTTTTTGAAAGTAATTAATTTAATTTTTATCAAAGTGCAACTAGTCTATAAATTATTGAAGCAAAATGTTTCTATTGTTTCTTTTTTGTAAGCTCAGTAATCTTTGTATTTTTAATAGATACCTTAATTAAATGTGAGCATTTTGATTATATAAGTAGAAACGAAAAAGTTAAAATGAATCCTCTTAATATCTTAACTTAAGAGAGTGAGAAATCTAATTAAATTTTAAGTAAAATAATTGAGCACCAATAAACTTCGAATATATTTTGATTCTTTAATAAAGATTTACTTAACTTAAGCTAATAAATTACAAATTAGCTAAATTAATTTTATATAAATTACTTCTATTCACTTTACTTACTAGTTTAATTACTTCATATATTTATTATTTATTATCTTTCAAAAAAATCTTAACAATATTTTTCTTTGGAGACAGATATTTTTTATTTCGTACCTCTGCTTAATAAATATTTATTTCATATTTTAATAATCATATTTAAAATTTTTTATATATGTTTTTTATTGATCTCATTACTTTACATATAAATTAATAAGATTTTTTTGAATATATAATCAGAATATTATTTTTTTAAATTAATATTCTTTAATATGTTTTGGATTTCATTCATTTTTAAAAAGTTTTTATGAAGATTTAAATTTTTAAAAATGATAAAAGCTAATTCTATTTTTCCAGTATATTTTAAAAATTAATTTGATAAATTTTCATAATTTTAGCAATAAGTATAAAATTATATGAAAATAATTTAAGAAGTTCCAAAATCTTTAAAATATATTTGTGAACAAAATAGACTTTTGTAAATAAATAATAAAAAACTAACTAACCTTAGATTTAAATGCGCAACCTCTTATTTCTCAATATTTTCTTAATTTGTTATTATTAAATTTTTTGTATGATTACGCAATATTAAAAATTTACCTTGTGGTGGTTGTGGTAGTCTAGCACTTTCCCTCTAAAAAAGTAGTAAATTTTGAATTTAGTTTACTTATCTAATCAAAAAAAAGATCTTTTATTAAATTAAAAGAAAATTCTTTTAATTACTTATTTTCTTTCAATTTAAAAATGGAATTATTTTTATGAAAATATGATTTAAAATTCATTTTATTGTTTTATTTTGTTGTTGGGAGTTTTAAAAATGTTTTATTAAGATAATTTTAAAAATTATGATATAAAAATAATCTTTGATATGCTTTTTGGTATTTGTTATTTACAAAATACTAAAATATGTGGTAAAGTAAGCAAATATGATCATTAATGCTTTAACTTAATTTGAAGATGATACATAGATTTTATCTATTAGTTTCCCAAATTTTTTTGATAGTAGATCTTTCCTTTAAAAAGAATTAACAAATTTTAATTTAATAATCCCTTAAGAGCTATAAGCTTAATTAATAATGAGAAATGATATATTAATTAATGATCTTAAGGATATAAGATTGAATGAATAAATAAATAAGAAAAAGTTAAATCATTTTGGTTACTTCTTAATCAAAATACTTTTTGTAATTATGGATGTAAAATGAATGATTAATTAATATTATTTACTCAAAATTTTTATATTATATATCTATTACTTTTAAGAAAAATCTACTCTAAAAAATTAAGCTATTTAATTTATTAACAAACGATTTTATTTATACAAAAATAAAATAATATTTTGTTTTTATTCTAAATATCTTTAACAAGTTTTATTCATTTGTTAAAAAAATAAGCATCAAAAGAAAATCAAAAAGATTTTTTTCACCTCTAACTAATTAATGAGAGAAAATCTTATATTTTATCATCAAGAAAATAAGTGAGAGGAAATTTTCCCTTTCATCGATGAATTAGTAATTAAACTTTTTTTAGCACAATATAAAGTCTCTAAAAGCAAACTAATCATCCAAAATATTATTATAAAATTCATTAAAGAAATACTATAAAAGGGTACTATGAACTCATTAATGTGTATGTAAGAATTTTATGCATTCATAAGTAAATAAGTGATAAAAATATTTATTTTCTCAAAATTCTTTTTTTATTTTTTTAGAAAGTAAAAAATACTTTTTTTTCAATAAAGTATTGATAAAAAAGATCAAATATATATAACAAATATTAATATAGACTCAAAAATATTAAATATCATAATTTATTTTGATAAAATAATTCAAAAAATTAATTTTTTAAATTAAAAAATGATAGTTTTATTGACATTCTTTTATTTTTTTAGATCAGCACGTAAATCCTAAAACAAAAGAATAATTTTAGCAAAATTTTTTTAAGTAAGCATAATTAGCACTGAGAGTTATCCTAAATATATAGAATTCAATATAGATTAATGCACTTACACGGGCTTTATCGCCATAATTGGAAGTTATGTATGTCCTATTCAAGTATAAGTAGGCAGTCCAGGTTAGTAATTGGCACTCTCAATTGCAATTAATAGGATTGTAATTTAAATGATATATTTTTTAAAAAGAAGATTATAAAATGAATAATAATTTTTTATTTATAAATAGCTACCAAAGGAAGAAATATAATCAGGGATGAGTTTTTTATTAACTAATGAGTGTATACTTAAGAATAAGTGTATGTCTTTAATTCCATTAAAAAAATTTGGTACAGCATTTAATCCAGAACTAACCAAATCATTAAATAAAACGGGAATTAATTATTCAAACATGGTAATTATTTTGCATTTGTCTCTTAAATTTCATTTAATAATTCAAATGTTTATTAAAAATTAATTCTTATGAATTCTTTTAAGAATGAAAATAAAGAGCTTTTACCAATATCTTAGTTTAATAATTTTCTTTGATTTGTAGTATTTAGAAAGAAAAAAAAGAAATATTCTACTTTTCACTATTTTTAATTATTTAATAATAAATTTAAGGATTGAAATTAATATAATATTTACTTTAAAGATCAATGGAAGTATATAAAAAATAAGCGGCGAATATTCATCAGATTTATTTTAGATTTCAGATGAAATAGAATAAAAAATTAGGATTCCATTTCTTTTAGTTGATTCAGTGTAGACTACGAATGTAAAGCTTTATTTGCTCTTTTTTCAAATAAAAAATATTTATAAATTATAAAGCCTATTTCAGGAATACTAAATTTCGAAAGACATAATATAAACAGCTTAATACTTTAAGGATATTTGCAAAATTAACTCAAAGTAATTAATATATTTTATATATTCTAATTACAAATATTAAAAACTAATAAATAAATAAATAAATAAATAAATAAAGACACCTAAGTTTGCCATAACAACTGAAAATAAAGTAGGAAAGCTTTATTATGATGAAATACCAAAATATTTAAATAATGCAATTGAGATAAAAACGAAATCTTCTGATTTATGGGTGAAATATTACTTTAAATATTTGGATTTTTAATTAAATTTTTATTAAATTTATAAAAAGGATTTAAAAATTATAGGTTTGCTTTTGGAAGATAAAGATGTATTACCTTTAGCTCATTTTCATTCATTAGAATTCACTTTATATCCATTCACCTAATTACCCAAAGGTAGTCAAATTTTAACTGTTATGTATAGAAATTTAACTTATACAAATAAAATTAAAGGGATAGCTAATTACCTCTTAAAGAAATACTCGCATCTACTCACTAAGCACGAGAACGCAGTGAATTTGTAAGATTGTGAGCACTGTAGTTGTTTGGAAAAACATAATTTTCCTGATCTGTAAATTTATACAGAAAAAGTAATGATCACTTTAACACCAAAATAATACTTTTCAGTGGATTAGTATGCAAATTTTATTTGCTAAATTGTAATTTCGATGGATAAAATTATGCTTTCAAGTAAATTTTATCAAGATTATCCTACTATTTTTGATACAAAAAATGGGTCTGTAGCCATTTTTAAGTAAATTATTATTTTTTTTTCAAAATAATTAATTTAATTTTTTTTTATAAAAGTGCAATTAGTCTCTAAATTATAGAAGCAAGATATTTATATTATTTCTTTTTTGTAAGCTCATTTATCTTTGTATTTTTAATAATTATCTTAGTTAAATATGAGCATTTTGGTAATATGAGCAGAAGCCAAAAAGCTTAAATGATTCTTCTAAATATCTTAACTTAAGAGAGTGGGAAATCTAATTAAATTTTAAGTAAAATAATTTAAGACCAATAGTCTTAGAATATTTTTTGATCCTTTAAAATATATTTAGATAACTTAACCTAATTAATTACAAATTAAATAAATTAATTATTTATAAATTTTAATTGTATTCACCTTATTTACTAGTTTAATTACTTCATAATATTTATTATTTATTATCTTTCAAATAAATCTTAAAAAGTTTTTATGAAGATTTAAATTTTTAAAAATGATAAAAGCTAATTCTATTTTTCCAGTATATTTTAAAAATTAATTTGATAAATTTTCATAATTTTAGCAATAAGTATAAAATTTTATGAAAATAATTTAAGAACTTCCAAAATCTTTAAAATATATTTGTAAACAAAATAGACTTTTGTAAATAAATAATAAAAAATTAACTAACCTTAGATTTAAATGCGCAACCTCTTATTTCTCAATATTTTCTTAATTTGCTATTATTCAATTTTATGTATGATAACGCAATATTAAAAATTTACCTTGTGGTGGTTGTGGTAGTCTAGCACTTTCCCTCTAAAAAAGTAGTAAATTTTGAATTTAGTATACTTATCTAATTTATAAAATATCTTTTATTAAATTAAAAGATAATTCTTTTAATTACTTATTTTCTTTCAATTTAAAAATGGAATTATTTTTATAAAAATATGATTTAAAATTCATTTTATTGTTTTATTTTGTTTTTAAGAGTTTTAAAAATGTTTTATTAAGATAAATTTAATAAATGATGATATAAAAATAATCTTTGATATGCTTTTTGGCATTTGTTATTTATAAAATACTAAAACACGTGGTAAAGTAAGCAAATATGATCATTAATGCTTTAACTTAATTTGAAGATGATAAGATTTTATCTATTAGTTACCAAAATTTTTTTTATCGTAGATCTTTCCTTTAAAAAGAATTAACAAATTTTAATTTAATAATCCCTTAAGAGCTGTAAACTTAATTAATAATGAGGAATGATATATTAATTAATGATCTTAAGGATATAAGATTGAATGAATAAATAAATAAGAAATAGCTAAATCATTTTGGTTACTTCTTAATCAAAATACTTTTTGTAATTATTGATGTAAAATGAATGATTAATTAATATTATTTACACAAAATTTTTATATTATCTATCTATTACTTTTAAGAAAAATCTACTCTAAAAAATTAAGCTATTTAATTTATTAACAAACGATTTTATTTATACAAAAATAAAATAATATTTTGTTTTTATTCTAAATATCTTTAACAAGTTTTATTCATTTGTTAAAAAAATAAGCATCGAAAGAAAATCAAAAATATTTTTTTCACCCCTAACTAATTAATGAAAGAAAATCTTATATTTTATCATCAAGAAAATAAGTGAGAGGAAATTTTCCCTTTCATCATAATTAACTTTTTTTAGCACAATACAAAGTCTCTAAAAGCTAACTAATCATACAAAATTTTATAATAAAATTCATTAAAGAAATACAGTAAAAGGGTATTATGAACTCATCAATGTGTATGTAAGAGTTTTATGCACTCATAAGTAAATAAGTGATAAAAATATTTAAAGTAATATTGGTAGAACCAAACATTTTCTCAAAATTCTTTTTCTATTTTTTTAGAAAGTAAAAATTACTTTTTTTCAATAAATTATTGATAAGAAAGATCAAATAGATATCACAAATGTTAAGATAGATTCAAAAATATTAAATATAATAATTTATTTTGATAAAATAATTCAAAAAATGTATTTTTTAAATTAAAAAATGATAGTTTTATTGGTATTCTTTTATTTTTTGAGATCAGCGCGTAAATCCTAAAACAAAAGAATCATTTTAGCAAAATTTTTTTTAAAGTAAGCATAATTAGCACTGAGAGTTATCCTAAATATATAGAATTCAATATAGATTAATGTACTTACACTGGCTATCTCACCACAGTTGGAAGTTATGTATGTCCTATTCAAGTATAAGTAGGCAGTCCAGGTTAGTAATTGACTCTCTCAATTGCAATTAATAGGATTGTAATTTAAATGATATATTTTTAAAAAATAAGATTATAAAATGAATTATTGTTTATTTTTAAATAGCTACCAAAGGAAGAAATATAATCAGGGATGAGTTTTTTATTAACTAATGAGTGTATACTTAAGAATAAGTGTATGTCTTTAATTCCATTAAAAAAATTTGGTACAGTATTTAATCCAGAACTAACCAAATCATTAAATAAAACGGGAATTAATTATTCAAACATGGTAATTATTTTGCATTTGTCTCTTAAATTTCATTTAATAATTCAAATGTTTATTAAAAATTAATTCTTATGAATTCTTTTAAGAATGAAAATAAGGAGCTTTTATCAATATCTTAGTTTAATAAATATTTCTTTGATTTGTAGTATTTAGAAAGAAAAAAAGAAATATTCTGTTTTTCACTCTTTTTAATTATTTAATAATAAATTTAAGGCTTGAAATTAATATAATATTTACTTTAAAGATCAATGGAAGTATATAAAAAATAAGCGGCGAATATTCATCAGATTTATTTTAGATTTCAGATGAAATAGAATAAAAAATTAGGATACCATTTCTTTTAGTTGATTCAGTGTGGACTTCGAATGTAAAGCTTTATTTGCTCTTTTTTCAAAATAAAAAATATTTATTAATTAATTTTATAAATTATAAAGCCTATTTCAGGAATACTAAATTTCGAAAGACATAATATAAACAGCTTAATACTTTAAGGATATTTGCAAAATTAACTCAAAGTAATTAATATATTTTATATATTCTAATTACAAATATTAAAAACTAATAAATAAATAAATAAAGACACCTAAGTTTGCGATAACAACTGAAAATAAAGTAGGAAAGTTATACTATGACGAAATACCAAATTATTTAAATAATGCAATTGAGATAAAAACGAAATCTTCTGATTTATGGGTGAAATATTACTTTAAATATTTGATTTTAGATTAAATTTTTATTAAATTTATAAAAAGGATTTAAAAATTATAGGTTTGCTTTTGGAAGATAAAGATGTATTACCTTTAGCTCATTTTCATTCATTAGAATTCACTTTATATCCATTCACCTAATTACCCAAAGGTAGTCAAATTTTAACTGTTATACAAAAAAATCTAACTTATACAAATAAAATTAAAGGGATAGTTAATTATCTCTTAAAGAAATACTCTCATTTACTCATTAAGCAAGAGTACAAAGTGAATTTGTAAGATTGTAAGCACTGTAGTTGTTTGGAAAAACTTAATTTACCTGATCTGAAAATTTTTACAGAAAAAGTAGTGATCACTTTAACACCAAAATAATACTTTTCAGTGGATTAGTATGCAAATTTTATTTGCTAAATTGTAATTTCGATGGATAAAATTATGCTTTCAAGTCAATTTTATCAAGATTATCCTACTATTTTTGATACAAAAAATGGATCTGTAGCAATTTTTAAGTAAATTCTTTTTTTTTGAAAATAATTAATTTAATTTTTTTTTATAAAAGTGCAATTAGTCTCTAAATTATAGAAGCAAAATATTTCTATTATTTCTTTTTTGTAAGCTCATTTATCTTTGTATTTTTAATAATTATCTTAGTTAAATATGAGCATTTTGGTAATATGAGCAGAAGCCAAAAAGCTTAAATGATTCTTCTAAATATCTTAACTTAAGAGAGTGAGAAATCTAATTAAATTTTAAGTAAAATAATTTAAGACCAATAGTCTTAGAATACTTTTTGATCCTTTAAAATATATTTAGATAACTTAAGCTAATTAATTACAAATTAACTAAATTAATGAAATATAAATTTTAATTGTATTCACCTTCTTTACTAGTTTAATTACTTCATAATATTTATTATTTATTATCTTTCAATAAAATCTTAAAAATTATATTCATTCAAAAAGACAGATATTTCATATCCCTTTACCTCTTATTAATAAATATTTATTTTATACTTTAATACTCATATAAGAAAATTCTTTTAAAAAAAATGGAGTTATTTTTATAAAAATATTATTTAAAAATTCATTTTATTGTTTTATTTTGTTGTTGGGAGTTTTAAAAATGTTTTATTAAGATAAATTTAATAAATGATGATATAAAAATAATCTTTGATATGCTTTAAGGCATTTGTTATTTACAAAATACTAAAATATGTAATAAAGTAAGCAAATATGATCATTAATGCTTTATCTTAATTTGAAGATGATACATAGATTTTATCTATTAGTTTCCGAAATTATTTTGATAGTAGATCTTTTCTTTAGAAAGGGATAACAAATTTTAATTTAAAAATCCTTACTTAAAGAGCTATAAACTTAATTAATAATAAGAATGATATATTAATGATCTTAAAGATATAAGATTGAATGAATACATAAGAAATAGCTAAATCATTTTGGCTACTTCTTAATCAGAATACTTTTTGTAATTAGTGATGTAAAATGAATGATTAATTAATATTATTTACAGAAAATTTTTATATTATCTATCTATTACTTTTAAGAAAAATCTACTCTAAACAATGAAGCTATTTAATTAATCATTAACGATTTTATTTATTTTCTAGAAAATAAAATAATATTTTGTTTTTATTCTAAATATCTTTAACAAGTTTTATTCATTTTTTAAAAAAATAAGTATCGATAGAAAATCAAAAATATTTTTTTCACTTCTAGCTAATTAAAGAAAATCTTATATTTTATTATCTAGAAAATAAGTGAGAAGAAATATTCCCATACATTGATGAATTAGTAATTATACTTTTTTAGCACATTAACTAATCATACAGAATGTTATTATAACATTCATTAAAAAAATACTGTAAAATGGTACATGGTACTATGAACTCATTAATGTGTATGAATGAATTTTATGCACTCATAATTAAATAAGTGATAAAAATATTAATAGTAATATTGGTAGAACTATATATTTTCTCAAAATTCTTTTTCTATTTTTGAGGAAGTAAAAAATGCTTTTTTTTCAATAAATTATTGATAAGAAAGATCAAATATATTTATCACAAATATTAAGATAGATTCAAAAATATTAAATATCATAATTTATTTTGATAAAATAATTCAAAAAATTAATTTTTTAAATTAAAAAATGATAGTTTTATTGACATTCTTTTATTTTTTCAGATCAGCACGTAAATCCTAAAACATAAGAATAATTTTAGCAAAATTTTTTTAAAGTAAGCATAATTAGCACTGAGAGTTATTCTAAATATATAGAATTCAATATAGATTAATGCACTTACACTGGCTTTCTCGCCGTATTTGGAAGTTATGTATGTCCTTTTCAAGTATAAGTAGGCAGTCCAGGTTAATAATTGACACTCTCAATTGCAATTAATAGGATTGTAATTTAAATGATATATTTTTAAAAAAGAAGAATATAAAATGAATAATTATTTATGTATTTATAAATAGCTACCAAAGGAAGAAATACAATCAGGGATGAGTTTTTTATTAACTAATGAGTGTATACTATAAAGAAAGTGTATTTCTTTAATTCCATTCAAATAATTCGGTACAGCATTTAATCCAGAACTAACTATATCATTAAATAAAACGGGAATTAATTATTCAAACATCGTAATTATTTTGCATTTGTCTCTTAAATTTTATTTAATAATTCAAATGTTTATTAAAAATTAATTCTTATGAATTCTTTTAAGAATGAAAATAAAGAGCTTTTACCAATATCTTAGTTTAATAATTTTCTTTGATTTGTAGTATTTAGAAAGAAAAAAAAGAAATATTCTACTTTTCACTATTTTTAATTATTTAATAATAAATTTAAGGCTTGAAATTAATATAATATTTACTTTAAAGATCAATGGAAGTATATAAAAAATAAGCGGCGAATATTCATCAGATTTATTTTAGATTTCAGAAGAAATAGAATAAAAAATTAGGATTCCATTTCTTTTAGTTGATTCAGTGCGGACTTGGAATGTAAAGTTTTATTTGCTCTTTTTTCAAATAAAAAATATTTATTAATTAATTTTATAAATTATAAAGCCTATTTCAGGAATACTCAATTTCGAAAGACATAATATAAACAGTTTAATACTTTAAGGATATTTGCAAAATTAACTCAAAGTAATTAATATATTTTATAAATTCTAATTACAAATACTAATAAATAAATAAAGACACCTAAGTTTGCGATAACAACTGAAAATAAAGTAGGAAAGCTTTATTATGATGAAATACCAAAATATTTAAATAATGCAATTGAGATAAAAACGAAATCTTCTGATTTATGGGTGAAATATTACTTTAAATATTTGGATTTTAATTAAATTTTTATTAAATTTATAAAAAGGATTTAAAAATTATAGGTTTGCTTTTGGAAGATAAAGATGTATTACCTTTAGCTCATTTCTATTCATTAGAATTTACTTTATATCCATTCACCTAATTACCCAAAGGTAGTCAAATTTTAACTGTTATGTATAGAAATCTAACTTATACAAATAAAATTAAAGGGATAGCTAATTACCTCTTAAAGAAATACTCGCATCTACTCACTAAGCACGAGAACACAGTGAATTTGTAAGATTGTGGGCACTGTAGTTGTTTGGAAAAACATAATTTTCCTGATCTGAAAATTTTTACAGAAAAAGTTATGATCACTTTAACACCAAAATAATACTTTTCAGTGGATTAGTATGCAAATTTTATTTGCTAAATTGTAATTTCAATGGATAAAATTATGCTTTCAAGTCAATTTTATCAAGATCATCCTACTATTTTTAATACAAAAAATGGATCTGTAGCCATTTTTAAGTAAATTATTTTTTTTTTGAAAATAATTAATTTAATTTTTTTTTATAAAAGTGCAATTAGTCTCTAAATTATAGAATCAAGATATTTATATTATTTCTTTTTTGTAAGCTCATTTATCTTTGTATTTTTAATAATTATCTTAGTTAAATATGAGCATTTTGGTAATATAAGCAGAAGCCAAAAAGCTTAAAAGATTCCTCTAAATATCTTCACTTAAGAGAGCGAGAAATCTAATTAGATTTTAAGTAAACTAATTGAAGACCAATATTCTTTGAATAATCTTTGATCCTTTAATTTAAATTCAGATAACTTAAGCTAATTAATTACAAATTAACTAAATTAATGAAATATAAATTTTAATTGTATTCACCTTATTTACTAGTTTAATTACTTCATAATATTTATTATTTATTATCTTTCAATAAAATCTTAAAAATTTTAAGAAAATAACAAATCAATAAAATAAAAATTATTTTTAATATCACGCTTACAGTTGATGATATTTCAAATTTATGTATTGTTTAATCAATTCAAAAAAATTCATCGTAAAAAATTTTAAATAAATTTAAAATATAAATATGTATAAATGTATGAGTTTCTTTTTTTTTTTATTTGATTAATAAATTAAATTTTAAATAGAATCATTTTAATTTTAATAATTAATTTTTAAGGTTAATATGGTAAGCTAACTTGTTATAAAATATTTAAAGAAATCAATAATATTTATCTTTTTTATAAATCCAGCCAAAAGAGTTAAGAAAATAATCTAAAAATATTTATTTTAGAAATGAACAATTTTAAATTCAATTATTTATTTGGGAACACTCTAAAATATCAAGTTAATTTGCGAATGAATATTAATCTATATTTTAATTAATTTACTCTTTCCAATATTTTTTTTAATTTAAAATATAATTCTGTCTATTTTCAAAGTAAATTGAATGTTAAAAAGTCATGATAATTTGTTTTGAATGAAGGAGTAAATAAATATAGTTTATGGCAATTTTACTTTATTCAATATAATTAAATATTTTACATAATTTAATTAATAAAATCTAAAAGAATAAAATTATCTGTCTAATAAAAGATTTTCTTATCTAACAAAAATATCTAGAAATAAGCATCAGAAATCTAGCTAATGAAATAAATTTGCTGGTAAGTGCCTTTTCTTAAATTGTCAAAAGAACAAAATATAATTGCAGATAATAAACTAAAAAGCGAAATATTTATATCTGGTAGATAAATAAATAGCTGTATTATTTTTAAAAAATATATCAAAATAAATTCTTTAAAAAATAAAAAAGATCTCTTCAAACAATTTGAATAATATAATGAAAATCAACTAAATTTTTAGGGGTGTAGTCTTTTTGCTTTTTGTATTTAGCATCTGTGCATTAAAATTGAATTGCGATGAAAAACTAGTATGCCCAGACTAATCAGATTAAACCTGCTAACTTTAAAGAAGCTAATTTGATACTTGTGTTTCTTCAAGGTGTGCCAATGTGGTGGTAAATTAACTAAGTAATGACATGATAGATTGTTTCTTTTAAACGTGTAGACCAAATATGCCATATCTATAAAATGTTTATTATTATATTCCTTGTTTAAAAGAGGAGTAAGACTAAGGTTCATCTTCTGGGGACATTAAGATAAATGATAAAAAATTATCTGAAATTATGAAATGTGATCAAATTTTGAATGATAAATGCAAAAATTATTCTTCAGACTGCCCATAAAAACTTAAATAATTATAATCATGTGGAAAAGCTCTCTGCAATCTTCATAATAACTTAGAAATTTCTAAAATAAGAAATTGTATGTCAAAGCAGTGCTAGAGTGAAGATAAAAATATTAATGAGATGGTAGATTAATTTTTTGGTTGTTCTGATGTTGCTGTTAACTCTAGTAATCTTAATATTCCTTTGCTATTATTATTTTCTTACTTAATAATGTTGCTTTGATTTAATAATTCCAAATAATTAATATATGAAGTTAATTATTTAGTTAGCTAATTATTTATGTTTGTTTTATTTTAATTTTTTCGAATACATTTTTAATCTAAATTCTCAACATATTCTCTAAATTTTTTGAATCTAAAATCAAATGGATATTTAATTTATAATAAGGGTAATACAAAATTTGTTATTTTAAGACTTCAAAATTTTATTTTTCTGCAAAAATTTTAGATTTTTACTTCAAAAAATTTTATAAAAATAAAATCTTTCAAAAGTGTACTTTTTTAAATATTTACCCTATATATATACCTAAATAAATTTTCTTCAAAAATGACTAATTGGATTTGAGTATAATTAAAGATAGATAATATAAATATTGTAATATTCACTCTATTACTCATTAATGGACTAAAATAGAAAAATCTAAATTACTAAAATTAATAGAAATTAATTTTATAAATATATGACTACCAATTTTAGATTCTTGCTATTTATATAAGAATATGCTTTTTTTGAAATATTAAGATTTAATAATCAATGATACATCAACTTTTTTGTGATATCTCTTACTAAAAGCAAATTTATAAATATGTATGTATGTATTTGATGATTATTTAAATTTTTTTGTTCCTTTTATCCAGATTAATTTGATAAAAATTAAATTATTTCATATACTTCTTAATAATTAAATTTACATAAATTTCTATCCAATATTTTTTAAATAATAAATATAAAAATAAATGATATAAGAAAAAGCCTATTATTACAATCTAGAATAAGTAAATATTTATTTTATTATATTATTATTATTTAAATTTCTTTTTTTTAAAAAAAAAGTTTTTAAGCTCTTCACTTTAATCATTTTAGGTTCTCCATATTGATATGAAAAAATAGTATATTAGATTTATTAATACTATTATTAATGCTTTTTTATATTCAATTTTGATGTGATTTACAATTTTTTTTAATTTGAAATGATCAGCTACATATATATATTTTTATATTTTATTTATACAAACATTTTTAAATAATTTTAACTTAATTTTCATTCAATTTACATTCATTTTTACATTAATTTATTTTTTTTATTTGATATATTTTCTTCATTTTTTCCTTCTAACCAACTAAAAATTTTTTCTTCAATATTTATATTTAAAAGTGGAAATTAAATTGGTGACGAAGGCGCATCAAGCTTAGGTTCTGGTTTAGGAAAATGCACTAATCTCTTAAATTTGATACTTCATCTAAGGTAAAAACAGTTTTAGATTGTTATTTTTCAATATAAAAATAAATTTAAAACAAAAAACAAACTCTTTTAATTTATTTATTTATTTATTAGCTTTTTATTTGATTGATTTTTTTTATTTATTCTGCTTCTTTTTTTATTTATTTGTTTTTTAATTTAACACATTTTTCATTTTAAACTTTTACTTTTATTATTAATTCATTCATTTCTTATTAATTAATATTTCTTTTTTCCTACAAACTCGTTAATTAACTATTTTTTTTTTCTTCAACATTTAAAAAGGTCTAATTAAATTAGTGATGAAGGAGTTTTATAATTAGGTTCTGGCTTAGGAAAGTGCTCTAATCTCTCTAATTTGATACTTGATCTTTAGTAAAAACAGTTTATTTGTTTTGAATTGTGATATTTTTGAATATAAAAAATGACATTAAAACAATCTTACTAACTCTTTTATTAATTAGCATTTAATTGATTTATTTTTCTTATGTCTGTCTATTTAATTTCTTTATTTTTTTGTTAATTTAGCTCATTTTTGAATTTCCAACTTTTGGTTTTATTATTAAATTAATTAATTAATTTCATATTATTTCATTTTTTTTTCTTTTAACTAAATAATTAACACTTTATTTTTTCTTCAATATTTAATAAAGGGAAAATTAAATTAGAGCAATTGGTACATCAAACTTAGGTTATGGTTTAGGAAAATGCACTAATCTCTCAAATTTAACACTTAATCTTGCGTAAAAACAGTTTATTTATTTTGGATTGTGATATTTTTAAATATAAAATTGAATTTAAAAGTATATTACTAACTCTTTTACTTTAATTATTTATTAGCTTTTTATTTGATTTGATTTATTTTTATTTTATTATGTTTGTGTTTATTTATTTATTTCTTTGTTGATTTAGCACATTTTTTATTTACAACTATTTCTTTTGTTATTAATTAATTCATTTCTTATTATTTCATATTCTATATATTCTTTCTTAAATAATTAAAAAGCTTGAATAAAATTGGTGCAATTGGTGCATCAGGCTTAGGTTTATGGAAATGCACAAATCTCACAAATTTGATACTTAACCTTTGGTAAAAGCATTTATTTGTTTTGGATTGTGATATTATTGAATATAAATATAACTAACTATTTTAATTTATTTATTAGTTTTTTATTTGATTTATTTTTTTATAAAATTATTTTGCTTTTGTTTTTGTTTGTTTTTTATCTGTGTATGTTTATTTAGTTGTTCATTTTACATTTTCAACTTTTATTATTAATTAATTCATTTCTTATTTTTTCTTCACTTTTTCCTACTAAGCTACTTGTTAAATAATTTATTTTTTATTAAATATTTAAAAAGGGAAAATTAAATTGGCGGTGAAGGTGCAACAGTTTTAGGTTCTGATTTAGGGAAGTGCACTAATCTCTAAAATTTGGCACTTCATCTAAGGTAGAAAAATGGTTTACTATGTTTTTGAATATAAAAATTAATTTACAGCAATATAACTAACTCTTTTAATTTATTTATTAAGAGGATTTTTTTTTTAATTTAACTTCATTTTTCATTTTCAGCTTTTTTTTTATTATTTGTTTTTTAATATATTTTCTTCATTTTTTACTTCTAACTAACTAATTAACTCTTTTTTTTTAATATTTAAAAAGTTTGAATAAAATTGACGCAATTGGCGCATCAGGCTTAGGTAACGGTTTAGGAAAGTGCACTAATCTCTTAAATTTGACACTTAATCTTTGGTAAAAACATATTATTATTTTTGATTGTAATATTATTGATTATAAAAACGAATTTAAAACTATAACTAACTCTTTTAATTTATTAGTAGCCTTTTATTTGATTTATTTTTCTTTTTGTGTTTATTTTTTATTTATTTACATATGTCTTTGTCTGTTTGCTAAATTAACTCATTTTTTCATTTTCAACTTTTGCTTTTATTATTAATTAATTTTTTATTATTTCATATTTTTCTTCATTTTTTCCTTTTAACTAACAAATTAACTAAATATTTTTTCTTCAATATTTAAAAAGGTCTAATTAAATTGGCTAAGAAGGAGCTTCATGCTTAGGTTCTGGTTTAGGAAAGTGCCCTAATCTTTCAAATTTGTCACTTGATCTTTAGTAAAAACAGTTTATTTGTTTTAGATTGTTATATTTTTCAATATAAAAATGAATTTAAAGCAACTCTTTTATTTATTTATTAGATTTTTATTTGATTTATCTTTTCTTCTTCTTCTTGTGTTGTTTATTTATTTATTTATTTATTTATTTATTTATTTATTTATTTATTTCTTAGTTAGCTTTTTATTTCAAACTTTTGCTTTTAATTTATTTCTTATTTTTTTCATTTTTTCTTTCTAACTGATAAAAAAGCTCTTTATTTTTTCTCTAATATTTAAAAAGGAATAATCAAATTGGTGCAATTGGTGCATCAAGTTTAGGTTCTGGTTTAGGAAATTGCGCTAATCTCTAAAATTTAAAACTTGAACTTTAGTAAAAATTGTTACTTTTTTGGATGAAGATTTTTTTTAATATAAAAATGAATTTATTAAAACAGTATAACAAATTCTTTTAATTTGTTTATTATTTTATTATTTGATTTATTTTTCTGCTTGTATTTTTAATTATTTCTTTATTTATGAGTTTTTTTATTAATTTATCTCATTTTTTCATTTTCAACTTTTGCTTTTATTATTAGCTCTATTCTTATAATTTCAATATTTTTCTCCTTTTTTCCTTCTAATTTATTAATCAGCCATGCATTTTTTCTTAAATACTTAAAAGGGGAAATTTAATTGGCAATGAAGATACTCCAGACATAGCTTCTGGTTTAGGAAAGTGCACTAATCTCTCAAATTTGACACTCCATTTAAGGTAAAAACAATTTATTTATCTTTCATTTTCAGCTTTTATTTTTATTATTACAAAATTAATTTCTGATTATTTAATTTTTTTTTTTTCATTTTTACCTTTTAAATAACTTAACAATATATTTTTCTTAAATATTTAAAAAGTTTGAATAAAATTGGCACAGTTGGTGCATCAGGCTTAGGCTCTGGTTTAGGAAAGTGTACTAATCTCTCAAATTTGACACTTGATCTTGGGTAAAAACAATTTATTTAATTTAGATTGTGATATTTTTGAAAAAAAAAAAAATTTTAACAAATAACTAATTTTTTTTTTATTTGCTTGTTTATTAATTTAACTCATTTTTTCATTTCCAACTTTTAATATTATTATTAATTAATTAATTTCTTATTATTTGATAATTTTTCTTCATTTTTCCTACTAACCAACTGATTGAAATTAAATTTTTTCATCAATATTTAAAAAGTTGGAATGAAATTGATGCAATTGGCGCATCAGGCTTAGGTTCTTGTTTATGGAAATGTACAAATCTCTCAACTATGACACTTAACCTTTTGTAAAAATAGTTTATTTGTTTTGATAGAAATATCTTTTAATAAATGAATTTAAAACAATATAAAAAACTCTTTAATTTATTTATCTATTAACTTTTTATTTGATTTATTTTATTTATTTGTAAATTTAACTCATTTTTCATTTTCAACTTTGGCTTTTTTTATTAATTGATTATACATACAATTTCATATTATTTCTTCAATATTTCCTTCTTACTGACTAATTAGCTTTATATACATTCTTCAAAATATAAAAAGAAGAAATTAAATTGGTGAATAGGGTGCATCAGACTTAGGTTTTGGCTTAGCAAAGTGCACCAATCTCTCAAATTTAACACTCCATATAAGGTAAAAACAATTTATTTATTTTGGATTATGATATTTTTTAATATAAAAATTAATTTAAAACAAAAAACAAAAAACTAACTAACTAACTTATTCATTCATTAATTCTTTAATTTATTTATTAGCTTTCTTTTTATTTTTTATTGATCTAAATTTTTATTCATTTGCCAATTTAAAATAAAATATTTTATTTAAAAATTTTATTCTATTTATTTTTTTAGTAATTTATAATAAATTATATTAATAGTGAAGACAAAATTAAGATATCAAAATAATTAAAAGTAAGGTGCCTTAAATCAAAAAGATTAGTTGACTTAAAAATAAAATAAATATGATAAAAAAGTAGTGAAAAAGTACCAAAAAATATAAATATATTTGAGTACTTTAATATTTTATGTTTTATTTTATAAACTGATAAATTCAAGTAAAATATAGATAGATAGATAGATAGATTTATTATTATTTTTATATTTATATTTATATTTATATTTATAAATATCATATTTATTTTGCTAAATATCTAAATATCTTATTAAAAAACAAGATTAAAAATAAATTTTACTTAAATAAAGTAATTCTACTAAAATCAACCCAGAACTTTTACCAAAAACGATTTAAGTTTTTATTAATTGCTAGTGTCTTACGTTGCATTATTAAATTAAATAAGTCCAAAGCTTTATTTCTTAGATATAAATTAAATGTATTAATCATGGAAATTAATATTATTTTAAGCTAAAGTAAAGGTTAAATAAAAATTAAAATTTATATAATATATTTCAAAAATTTTAAATATTTAGACATAATTAATATTTTTCATCTAGGAAAAGAGAGGCATTAAATATTAGGGTGATTCTTAATTAAAAAGGATTAACGATAAATAAGAAATTCTATTATATAAATAATTTGAATTGAAGTTTGTCAATAAAAAAACTATTTTGTTATTCTAGATAGATATAAATTCCATTATTTGAAGTATATTAATATTTATCATTAAAAAAATAAGATTAATTATGATGCACATCTTAATGGATTTAATTATACAAAAAATTAAGAAATTTTTAGAAATTAATCATACTTAAACTAAATCGTAGAATATGATATTCGTATGAAAAAAATTCATCTAATAGAAAAATTTTAATTAAATATATTTGTTATTTTTAAATTTACAGAAATAAATATCATGAGTCGCAATTATTAAAACAGATGTATAGACTTTTAAAATACTTTGTTAATTTTTTTGTGGTAAACTTCAAAAAATTAAATCGTAGACTATATATGTATGATGTTTGTATGAATGTAAATCATCCAATAGAAAAATATTAATTAAATATGCTTGCTATTTTTAAAAGTTTACAGAAATAAATAATATGATACACATTAATTAAAATAGATAAATAAGATTTTTTTTTGGGGTAATTACAGACAAATTCTGTTATGTATGTAATAAATTTACAAATTTATATGTATATTTTTTCTTTTGGTTTTTATCAGAAATTTGAATAAGCATTTGGTCTACATAAATATAAAAGAAAACTCAAAAGTCTATTTATTTTAAAAAAGCTCTAATGGTAAAAGCTTTACACTAATAGTCCTATTATCTATTTTTTTTATTGCGCCTTACTAGATACCAATAAAGGCATAATTATTACCATTTAGGCTATCTATCATATGTATTTGACTATAAAATTTATATGGTAAAATCTTGAGATATTTATTTATTTAAAAACTTAATTTGGAGAAGATATTAACTTTAAAAAAATTTGATTTGCACAAAAATAATAAAAAAAATTTATATTATAATTAACTAAAAATAAATTTTTAACAAGTAAATGAAAGTATTTTTTTTATTCATAGCTCTAATCCTTAAAATAAATAGTAATTTTTTACATTTAAGCAGAGAAGATTCATCAATATATATTTATTTATCTATACATAGCATGTTTTTCTAGCAATCAAGATAGAGTTAAAACAATAGATTTCAATTTAAATGGATGTGTTTATTCAGGATTCTTAGACATTCCTGGAAAATTAATATGCCCAATAGATTTATTGATAGGAAGTCCAAAGCAGAAAATAACCCTTTCTCTTGCAATTAACAAAATTGTAATATAAAAATGACTAATTAAAATACATTTGTTATTTTTTATAAAAAGCCTTTTTTCTAAAATCTCAAGAGCACTAATATAATTATAAACAAATAATGTAAATTTAATGAATGTCCTTATTATACGCACTCTTTTAATCGTGGGGCTACATTCTTTTCTGAACAAAGTTTGACTTTGAAAAAGACTGGAGATTTCTATTTTTCTGATGTAAATTATAATAGCTTATTTATTTTAGATTTTTTAGAAAATTTGAAAAAAGGTTTATAAGAATTTATTAGCTATTCACAAATTTTACTTTATTAAAATTCCCTTATTTGATAAATGGATTTGAGCTAATAATTTGCTAATCATATTTTCATTAGAACTAACCATTTTTGATTTAAAAGTAAAAAGAATATCCAAAAAATTAAGTGGAGTATCAATCTGATTTATTTTAATTACATTATTAAAGTAGTTAATAAATAAAATAAAATATTTTTTTATCTTTTAGCAACTTAATTTTTAGAAAATTTGAAAAAAGCTTGATAAAAATTTATTAATAATTCACAAATTTTGCTTTATTAAAATTCCCTTTTTTGATAAATTGATTAGAGCAAATAGTTTAATTTTGATATTTTTATTAGAACTAACAATTTTTTATTTAAAAGCAAAAAGAATATCCAGTAGTTTAAGGAGAGTATCAATCTGATTTAATTTAATTTCATCAAAGTAGTTAATAAGATATAATAATTCCTTTCTTATCTGTTAGCAATTTTACATGGATGAATAGAGTAAATAAATTATAAATTTTATGGAAATTTTATTAATTTTATTAAATAAAATATAATAGATTTATGATGGCATATTAAATTTAATAAAAGATAATGCAAACAATATGATATTGCAAGGATACTTGCAAAAGAAGCTTAAAGTAAGATTTAATTAATTAATTAATTTAAATTAATTAAAATATTATTTTAAAGACTCCAAAATTTGCTTTAACAGTTGAGAAATAAGTAGCAAAATTTATATATGATGAAATGCCTCAAATATGGTATAATGCATTAGAATTAAAAACAAAATCTTCAGATAGCTGGGTAAACTATATCTAAAAATATTTTCAAGGAATCATAATTTTTTTCTGAAATAAACAAAGGATTTCAAGATAATTGGTTTGACATTTGGCGGAGATAATTTACTACCACTTGCTCACTATCAAACTATTGAATTAAGTTTAAATTAATATACTCAATTTCCAAAAGGTAATTAATTAATTATCATGTATTTTCTAATAAATTAATATTAAAATATTTTTTGATTAATAGGCATTTTTAACTATTTTATGAAAAAATATGATAAATTATTTACAGTCTTTGGAAAGATAGCTTTTTTATAAAATTGTAAAAATTGTGACTGCTTAGATTAATATAACTTTCCTGAAATTAAAATTTATACAGAGAAAGTTATGATCAAGCTCACTGCAAAACAATATTTTAATGTAAATAAAGCAAATAGTACTAAATGCTGTATAGAATAATCACTTGATAAATTCTATTTGTCACAATCCTTTTACTAGCATTATTCTGTAATTTTCGATACAAAAAATGAATCATTAGCTTTTCCTTAGTAAATAAAAAATATTTTTGTTTAAACCTTTATTCAACAATTTTTTTATTTTATTTGTAGAGCAGAATAAATTAATATTATGGAGATACAATTCTTTCAGTACTTTATCATTATAAGCTCAATGACTATGATAGCTTTAATATATATTGTAATAAAATTTGAAATGTTTCAATACAGAATGAAAAATACATAATAACTATAAATATCAATAAACTAAAAAACTGTTTTAAATCAACGTATTTCTTAATAAAACCAACAAGATTAGAATGAAAAGATTGTCTAACATTTGACAAATTTAATTTAGACTGATGAAAAAAAACAATAAATTACAAAATAATTAATTCTTTCATAAATGATTATTAGAAACAAACAATGAATGATGAAAAAAAATGTAAAAGTATTCCACAATATTTAATTCTTATTAATCCATAGTTATTTATTTATTTTAATTAATTAATTTATTTATTTTAGTTACCTTATATATTTCTTTATATACTATCAATTATATAATTTAAGAACCTTAAAAAAATTGATTTTTATTTTTTAAAAGTGATTTAAATTTTTAAAAATTGTTCAATTTATTTTTTTTCATTTCAGAAAATTTAGAATATTAATAAGTATATCATTATATCAATAGAAACAATTAATACAATAGATTTAATTTGCTAACTTAACGGTGCAGTTAATTCTTTGATATTTGATTTATATGTATAATGGTAATAGAAAATAATTCTTTCTTTATCAATTAATAAAAGCTTATTAAAAAATAAATAATCAATAAAATGATAATAATTCATATAAAAAAAGCAATTTTAAAAGTTCAGCAAAATTAATAATAAATAAGCAAAATATTTAAGCGAAAGTCATTATTTTTACCACTTTCTCTAAAGCATAGAGTTTTCTTTAAATAATTCAGCAAACTTTTATGTTTTTAATGTAAATTATTAATTCTTTTTTATAAAGTATATAAATTTTTTCAATAATCTCTGCTTTTTTTAAATTTATTTTGATAATAGTTTTGAATTAGATCAATATTTTGTATTGCTTATTTTTAATTTATGAATTATATTAACAAATGTAAAAAAATCATTACCATAAGTTCAATTTTTTAATCTTTTTAAGTTTTATTAGAAATAATTATTTTCCTTAATAACATCATCAAAATAAAGTTCTCTATTATTAAAAAGGACTTAGATCTTGTCCTTAAAATTAAAGAAAATAAGTATTTATTTACATTTATATACTAAATATAAAAAAATATTTTATAAATATTTATAATTAATAAAAAATAGAATTTTAAATTACCTACCCTCTTCATATAAAAAATATAAATTACTTATTGACCTATTGCTATTTCAATTTAAAGTTCAAATATTTTATGAAATTTTTTTTAGATTTTTTTAAATTTATCAAAAAATATTTAAATTGAAGTAAATAAAATTCTATAAATAGAAATAAAGTAAGTATCGTGATTTTTTATTGAAAAATTTTCAAATTATATGTGCACTCATATATCTGTTAATCCTTAAATAAACTAAATTTTAAAAAATTTAGTAAAATTTAATTTAAATTTATTTTATGATTTTGTAGGTAACGAAAAGAAATGATTATTTAAAGCTTTCTTTATTAAGATTTTTTGTTTAAAAAATATTTATTGTATTTAATTTAGATATAATAAATACTTCTTTAAAAATAAAAACAATTATATGATATTATTTAAATAAAAATTCTATATTAAAACAAATTATTTACTTATATAAAATATTAAATGCTTGGTCTATATTTAATATTATAAGATAATCAAAATATTTGCAAAATTCTTTATCTTCTCTTAAAAAATCCTTCTGTTTATTTTTTGATTTTTGGTATAATTTTAATTCAATTAAAAAACCTTTTTACATAAATTATTAAAAAAATAAATAGAGTTAAAAAAATGAAAGAAAGTCAAAGCTAAGCAAATTAAATCTAACAAACTGATCAGAAAATAAATTTATTTTTATAGGAATGTTCTTAAATACTATAAGAAACAATAAATTAAGGAGCTAATCTGCTTTTTGAAGAAATGAAAAAGAACAAAATTTTTGAATAAGAATAGCTAAGCAATGTAGAAATAAATAAGATTAAAGTTCTCCTTTTTAAAATTTATTAAACTAATAGGCTGAAGAAAAAATGAAACAAGAAATTAAAGAATGTACAGATACTACTTTGGATATATTTGAATAATACATTAGAAATAATTTTTTTGATTGCGATGTAAAAATCAAACTTTATAAAATATAATAATATTTAACTTTAATAAATATTTTATTTGATAGGAATTGCTCAAGCACAAAGATTAATAAAAGATAAACAAAAATTATAGTAGCAATTTACTGAAGCAAGTAGAATAGTAAAAGTAGGAACATAGCTAAGTATTTTATTTAAATTTATTTATTTATTAATTTATTTAAATATTTTTATATCCTTTAGTAAGAGGAAAGGAAAAAAATGAATCAGATTAGCAAATACATATAAAAAGATGTTGAAGAAAACTATCAATAGCTAAAAGACAAAGTTTAAAAACTTTATCATAACGACGAAGTTATGAAGGATGTTGTTTTAATAGAAAAATGCAACTCCTATTTAACAAATGCATAGAATTAAGTAAATAAAGCTAATTTTATCACAAAAAAACATATTTTTAAATAAAATCTAGCTAGAAAAGTCATAGTCAGCTCTCGAAGAACTTCTTTAATGATACACTGTTTTTAAAAGCAAACAAACAGAAAAATAATAAAGTAAATGAATAAATAGATAGATTTTGATCAAAATTCAAATCAAAAATCAAACTTAAAAATAATTAATTAATTCACTTAATAAATTATAATTCCCGCTAAAATTAGATTTATTTTTGACAATTTTAAAGTAGAAATTAAGTAAAAAAGCAAACAAATAAATTAACAATAAATAAATAAAAAAATATACAAAAATAAATAACAAGATAATATATTTATATAAAGATTAATTGAATTTTTTATATAATTTATTATAGAGTATTTTGATTTTAACATTAATATTAGTTAGTTAGTTAGTTAGTTAGTTATTATATTTACATAAATTATTTGTTAATATCAAAGTTATAAATTAAAATTTGTATACACTGAGTAAATAATATACATGATATTTACTAGTTAATGTTTATTTTATTAGATTTATTCAGCTTTTATCATCTTTTTGTCTTTCAAGTATATTTGTGTGCTTCGTTTGAATTACTTCAAGCTTTTGGTTAAGCCAAAGTATAGAAGTTATTTAACTTTTAGAAAGATTCAGCTGCACGAGGGTGACTGTTTTTGTCAGGGTGGATGAAACGGGCAATGTTTCTGTATTCAGATTTCAAGATTTCAACATCCAAATTAGTGTAGTAAACTTAAAGGATTGAATCAGGGAATAAGATAATTTTGAACATCTCCCTAAGTTGACTGAAATTACAGGGACTTTCGGAGTCCTTTTGCTCGTTTTTGATGTAGTCTCTTGCTTATTACTCAGCTATTTTTTCAACTTCTCTCTCAACTTGCTTTGCAGCCAAGATGACCTTCTTTTTGTATTCTTCAGAGGTTGGGTTAGCTTCATTACAAGATTACTTTTTATATTAAATAAAGAGATTAATTATGAAAAGCAAATTATTTATTTTTTCATTTATGAAAAGAGAAAATATTAAAAAAATCTTACAGAAATCATAGCTTTGCGACGAGCTTCTCTGTACATTTCTTCCTAGTTCTTTTGGTATTCAGCCTACTTTTTGGCTTCTTCGTCTTTGATATACTGCTTGAACTAGTCTTTGACAATTTTCTTGCATTGAGAGCACCATCTCTATTTATAAGTTTAATGAGATGACTCCCAACAGTGGTTTTTAGAACACTTGAACTTGAGTGTCTTTCCGTAGAATTGGCTCAAGCAAACACCTTTGTTTTCTTCAGCATATTCCTTAGCTTTAAGGAGGTTTTCTTCACATTTATTGCACCAAGTGCCAGCAAGCAAATCTTCGACATTAATGACGAAAGTATGCTTGAGGAAACACCGAACAGTAAAGGTGCAGCAAGGAAAACCATTAATAACTTAGTTTTCCGCTGCTAGTCTTCCCATCCGCTGCTCCACGAGCTTTCTTCCTTACTCAATTAGCTTAATCATTTTTTGTGTCTTTTCTTCTTGCTCTTTTGCTTAGCTGGCAGCTAATTCTGCATCGATTTTAATTTGTTCATGCTAAAGTTGATGATGATGCTGAAGATTTTCAAGGTTTATCAATTTTTACTTCAAACCACTTAAGTTATTGCTCCTGAAGATTAATTCTTCATCTATTTTAATAATAAAACATTAAGTAAAACAGATTAACAAGTGTTTCCTTTAAATTGTACAATATCCACACGAATGTAATTTGTCTGATCAAAATATAAAAATTGTCTTTTTCATCAATCACATCAGGATTGATTATTATCAGTATTATTATTTTTTATCAAATTGCTTAAGTTAATGGATAGATTCGTGTAATAGCAGAGCAGCTGCTCTCTAAAATGAATAAAGGTTAAGCTTAAAAAAATTATTAATTTAATTAAATTAAACTAAACAAAGGGGGGTATCGCTTAACTGATGAATGTTTATAATTTTTAGTCATACTAAAACAAAACAGATGATTAATAATTATTTGTTATTCTATTTTAATTAACTATTTATTGCTCAAATTTCATTTAGAATCCATATTAATATTAGATATCAATCTGTTGCTAAATTAGTTTATTTATATTTGCTTATTCGTAAATATGTTCTTTTCTAATTTTGTCTAATAGAAGAGAGAGAGACAATTTTTGAAATTTTAAGAATTACATTTGTTAGTGCATAAAAAATAATTGTTATTTAGCTAAATTTGATGAAATTTAAATTTTGGGGGGTTTAATGAATAAATTGTTGCAAAAATAGGAAAATTATTAGAGGAATTTATTTATTTATTTCTTAAATAAAATTAATTAATTCTTTTTGAAGGCACTTTTTTATAGCAGATTTCCTCAATAATTTAAACGTTGTTAAATAAATAAATAAATAAACAAACTTCATTTCTTTTTGTGTAATTGATAAAATTTCATTAAATTTCCATTCATCGATATTTCAAAATAAAAAATAAATTTAAATAGCAAAATGAGTTTTTTGTTTTTTTATATTGTTCGCTGAATAAATATCTATTGATTGATTGCCCATTCTGAATCAAAAAAAATTAAATATTTTATTGGCTGTCTTCTGTCTAATTCAAATTATTTCATTCTTAATTTTGATTTAAGGTTAGCTTTTGTTTCTCAGAATTTTCAAATTACGTGTGTGGATACAATAAAGTTGATTTTAATCTAGAAAATAGAATGTTAATTACCTTTCACAGGAGAATTTGTCGACGAATAAAAACTCTCTTTGTTTTCGTGGCTTTTTTAACTATCAGCAACTGAATTTTTCCTTGTTGGTAAATTCGTTTCAGCATCATCTAGCAAAAAGCAAGAATTGTCGATTTTTTAATAGGAAGAATTTGGATAAACTGTATTAGTTTGAGGTGTACATGAAGTAAAGTTTGGAGTCGGTAAATTTGATGATAAATTACTACCGCACTGGTAGTGATCATCAAAATAATTACTACTTCTTTCGTTACTTCCGTACCATATTTAAGTTTCTGAAGAGGTTGAAAGCATTGAGTCCTTACGAGGACAATATCTAAATGAAGAATCACTCTCTTTCTTCACTTTCTTGTAACCTGATGAAGACTCTTGAATGGTTTCGCTTTCTTCTTCCACTTTAAATTCGCTTGAAGCAGTCGTACTTCCTTCACTTGACGTTGCTTCAAGTGAAAAGCTATGCCGATCGGCATTTTGTATTTTTTGGTATCCGTTTATTAAAAACGTATCTTAATTTTTGCTGTAGATTAAAAAAAAAAGAGTTATTTTATCTGTTTAAAGACTATTTAAATGCAAATGAATCGTATCCTAGCTTCTAAAAAGCTTATATTCAAATAATATTATTAATATGAGCTGTTTGGTTCTTTATTCATTTATAAAAATTTTCAACTGAGTTAATTTAAAGTGCTAATATAGACATTCAAATATAATAGAAACTAACTAAATATTCCCTCAGCTGAGCTAGATAATTCGCTACGTTTATAGCAAGCTGATTATATTTTTTAAGCTTTCTTTATAATGAAATCGAGCTAAAAGAAAGCAAGATAGATAGATAGATGACTCTTAACAAGCAATATATTTTTGTTAAATAATAGAGGCATCTATCTGATTATTCATTGATAGATTCAATCAATTAATTAATTCAATAAAAACTCATTAGTGTCTTTGTTATTTAGTTAGATAGATAGATAGTTAGTTAGTTAGCACTCATTTAATTTTAGATAAACCAAACAAGAAAAAGGAAAAATTAAATTAATAATTCCCTTGCTAAATCGATTTCAAATTAGAAGTTAGGATACAATTTAATTTTTAAAAACTAATATATTTTATGTTACCTGTTCATTTGGGCAGGGTGCCCTTTCAGTTCAACAAATGAAGGACTACTACTAGAACTATCTTGTAGGTAGGCTTCTTCTGATGTTGAGACTTCAGAATCAGAATCAATAATTAGGAATTGGGAATCTTTTGGAACACTTGGCAGATCTTTAATGATCTTTTTACACTTTTTTGAACTCACAGCCTGCACGGCTGGTTTACACTAGTAGGAGGAAAAGGCGCTAGTGTTAGAGCGTTTTTTCAGGAAAGACTCAATATGAGAGATATTGTTTTAGCTTTCTTCAATTATTTTTTCTCCTTGTTGAGAAAAGCTTGGTTTTGTATTGTTTTTTCCTTTTGCAGCGCAAGCTGCTCTGCGTTTTGTATTCAAACTTGAGGGGAACATTTTAGGGGATTTGGGTGGGGATCTAGTCAAAGGGGCGGGCGGAGTGCAGTTTTCGGTACCTAGTAGCTCTGCGGGGTTGTCGAGGGTATTTAAACGATTGGTTATTATTAATGTTTGATAGCTTTTATGTTCAGTATTTTATTTGTTTTCTATTAAAACTTACCGTCAAAAGATAAGTTTTTCTTCTTTATTTATTACCTTTTTTTTGTTTGCTTTAATTTTTTGCTTTTAATTTGATATTATATTAATAGGCACTCCTAAGACCCCACCCAAATCTAAAATGAAGGCAAGTTCTATTTATTTACTAATTAATTAATTAACAAATAAATAAATAAATCAGTCTATCTATCTATTTATCTATCTATCTATCAATCAATCAATCAATCTGCCTATCTGCACTCATTTACAAGGAAATTAATTTGTTTTTGTATTATTATAATATTTACAAACACTTAATAAATTTTGATTTAATAGTTAATTTGCATGATCCCCCTTTTCATTTTTAAGGGTCCTTAAAAATTGTTATAGTCAATTTGATAAATAAATAATGCTTTTATAATTAATTCTTTTCTTTCTTTTTTGAATTATTTATTTATCTTTATTTACTAAGTAATAGAGGACGATCCCCCTTCCTGTTTTTATATTATTTTTACAAATTTTTTTTGATTCCTATAATAAATCTTATTTTTTCATTTTTCTATTATTCTGTTATGAATTTTCTTAATTTCTAATTAGAAATTCACTATTTTTGATTTATTATCACTCTTTTATTCATATTATATAATTTAATTTTATAGGATAAATTTATTCCTCGTTTGACTTAAATTAATTTAGGCTTTCAGATAATATTTTATCTGATAAAACTAGTTAGGTATTTTTTATCAGAAAAGCATAATTTAAATACTTAACCAAATGAAATAAATTTAACAAGAAGTACTCATTAGATTTTATTTGCATTAAGCAATAAACCATATCACTAATTAAAGCCACAATTAAAACTATGAAATCTCGCTTAATTAAAGCAATAATTTTATATAAAATTAATTAAATATACAACAAAATAAAATTATACCTGCATGTTATAAGCCACTCATTGTAAAAAAAACTAAAACAGAATTTTATTGTATTTTAAGATAATCTTACTAAATTAAAAGCTCATTTGCTTAATCAAACCAAATTATATTCTAAATAATAGAATATTCTTAATATAATTAAGATTTTTCTGATAAAAATTAAAACTAAAAGTTTCTACTATCCTCTTTACATTATTGACTTGACAGATTATAAGAAAAAAGTAAATAAATAGACTTCAAAAATTCATTTATATATTTAAAATAAGATCAGATAGATTAGTATTTATTATTTATGAAATGCATTCAAATATGTATGAAATAATAAATTTTTGGATTAACTTTTTTGTATAATCAATTCTAATAAAAAAAGTTCATACTTGTTAAGCTAAATTTAGAAATTCTCTCCCTTAAAATATTTAATTAATTTTTTTTAAACTGATCATGAAAATATTAATGATAAGTGTATTTTAAAATGATTGAGGAAAAATTTTTGATTACCAATGTCTATTTTATTCAAAGACTTGAGATAATATTTACCATTTTTGTTTCATTTTAATATTAAAAATCTTAATTAATAATTACATAAATCAATTTAACTTATTAACAAAGAATATGAAATACCACTTTGATGGTAAAAATTTCAAATATCTTTCTTTACTAATTTATAAACAAAATATATATTGATTGTGTTATTTAAATTGAAAATTTTTTTAAATTGTGAAGAAAGATATTCTATTTTTTTTCAAAAAAATCAAATATAAATACTTAATAATTTTATTTTTATTTTATTAGTGGTTTTCAAAAATAAAATCCATAAAAATAAGCATTTAATTAAGAATAAATTATAGTCAATTTTTTCATAAAGATTTTATTTTTATCATTTTCTTTTTAATTTTTTAAGAAATTTGTATTAAAGCTAATTAAAGAGAAAAAAATAAATTAATAAATCTATGAGCATAATATAAAATCATTCTTATTAATGTTTATTTATTTGAAATAAATATAAATATTTAAAAGTAGTTGATTCTGTATTATCTACTACCGTTGTTGTTCGAATTTAAAGAATTTCTAGTTAAGAAAAATTTTAATTTAAGAGAAAAAAATTTTAAGAAACATAATTTCAAAAAAATTTTTTTTCTTGGCTTTAAGTTGAGCAGTGTGGTATAAATTATTTCATAAAAGTAAAAGTAAATATTTTTTATTTTCAACCATAAATTTAATACACTAAAACCAACTTTAACTAATATTTTGTCAAATATATTGATTTGATAAGTTAAAATGCTATTTTAATTTTAGATTTAAATAAAAAAAATTAGCCATTCTTATAATTTTTTATTTTTTGATTAATTAAATTTACATATTTATGTTAAAATTTAAAGTTGTATTTTGCTAATTATTTTCAAAATAATAATTTTTATACTATTTTAAGCAAATAAATAAGAAATGTATAAAAGTAAGAAATTTTAAATGTATTAAAATACTCAATTAAATTAATTAAGCAATTAGGAGAGCATGATTAAATCTTTAATAAATATTATTATAATAAAAATAAAATTAATAAAAAACTTTTAAAATTAATTTTCAATCAATATTTTTTCATTTATTTTTAAGAAATTCATTCGAAAATCATGATTTATTTATATATGTGCTTTTAACTTAATGATTTGAAGGCTTAAAAATATTCCAATAATTTAAATAATTCATTTTAAAATAAAATAATTATTAAAAATTTAACAATAATAGACTTCATTCAGATTATTTAAATAAAAAACTTTAAATGTATTTATGTTTACATGTATGAATCAATTTCATAATTATTTTTGTAAATTAATTTCTTAAAATCTTTGTTGAACATAATTAAAAGCAAGATAAAATTGTCTGATATTTTGAATATAATATTATTTTCCTATTTTTTAGCAATTTTAGACGGTAATTGTTAAAACTCTAAAGTTAATTTTTGATGGACAACTATTGTATTGATATTAAAAATTTTTAATTAATTTTTTTGAAGATTAACTTTGAAAATTTATCATAAAAAAAAATACTTGATTGCAAATTTTAATTAATTTGGCAGTATTAGCCTTACCAACTAAATTTTAGAAAAAAAAATAGATAATTAAAGAAGTAAAAGAATATTATCAATAAGAGTAAATATTAAAAATTAAGATCTTATTATTGCTATTTGATATTCAGAATGGTCTCTCAATAGTCTGTATTATAAGGAATTATAGTTGCAATTTCTCTTTGTTTAGCAGGAGTTGCTATTTTTTCTCAACAAATCGAGAATAATTCATAATTGATTTAGGTAATTACTATCATGAATTTATATTTGTGATTCTTTCTCAAGCCTTAAATAAAAATGAGAATATTCATTTTTAATAAATAATTTTAAACAGGGAATTTAAAATGGTTATTCAACAGGCAGGAATCTTTATGGTTTAGATGATGAATATGAATCTAAAGATTTTGAAAGTGGTTACAGCAAGCTCTTTTAATACCATTTTAAAGGTGATTGGTAGGCAAAATAGCCTATTAATAATTAAGCAAATAGCTAAATGGTAAATATTGTTAAGCTTTTTTGAGAGAAAATAAACAAAAAATTATTTTAAAGGGAAATAGCAGTATAAATGTTGACTAGTAACTTGGATTCATTAGAAAAACAAGCGGGAAGATTTATGTTAGATTCAACGATTTGATGTTTTCTGAAAACAAAATGCTCTATATTTATCTCTACGAAGATGAATTTTATGACGACTAAAGAAGAATACTGATAAAAATGCCCTTTGAAGTTAATAGGCTATATAATTAATATCATCAAAATATAGCAATGATGATGATGATGGATAAAATGATGCAGGTTGATAGAGGTAAAGGCATAACTTTAAAGTTCTCTAATTATTTAAATATTTAAAAACATTATGAAATTTATAGAATGATTCTTAATTATTCTATTTTGTTTTCTGATTAGAAAAAAGCAGGCATATAGAGTAGCTAGCTGATGTACTTAACAAAATTAAAAACTAACTAATATTAATTAAATTCATAAAAGAATATTCAAATTAAGAAATATTTATTAAAATGATTGAATTTAATTCAATTTTATTAACTTATAGATGACTTAGAAGTCACATTTGAGTCTTTCTTCTATAACAGGGATAACAAAAAAATTATCTACTAAAGAATGGGTGGTAATAATATAGATTTTGAGAAAATTAACTTCCATATTAGTGTTGAAGCTATCTCCAAAGGAAGAATATTAAGTTTTACTTCAGACCTTGAGTTAGTAACAGAAAGCCAAGTATTAAAAAATCTCAATTTCTGTCTTTTCGCAACTGCAATATCTATAATATCCCTCGCTGGCTCTACTCTCTTATATAATAAACTCAAATAATCAGAAAACGAAGCAAAAAATGTATATCTATATAAAATGAAACTGAATATAATTGAATAAATTTTATTTTTCATTAAACAATAGCTTTCATTGATAACTCTTGGATTTTGTACTGTCTAAGATGCCTATTTGTGCTTAGTATTTTTGTGGTAGGCTCTGTCTATGAATGTAATTTTATCAAGAAAATAAATCAACATCTTAAATTTTTTACTATTTTATAAAGAAATTATTTATTATGTACACAATTCCCGCACTGTGTTATTTCATGCTTTCGACTGTATTCGAAATGAGACTCACTGTTTTAGCTTGGAAAGAGAAATACTATTACAGATTCTCATAACAGAATGAAGTTAAGAAAGGAATAGCTATATTCTACTCACTTTTCTGTATTTCTCTAAAAAATGAATTTTTTATTTACTTAAAAGTTTTTTATTAAATAAAATTACAGATTTAGGGCTTTTTGGATTTTTCATTTCGATGTCATTTTTCTTTATCTATGACACCTTTGTATTTTGTTTAAGCTTTTTCTTTGTCCCATAAATTGTTTGCACAGCCATCAATGGAAACAGCAAGAAATTCTACAATTCTTATGTCTTTGGTATTTTATTACCAAGAATAGCACTACCAGTATTGATTTTTATTTAATTTAAGTCCATCATTTTAATAAATTTAAACTAAAAAAGCTTTATATGAGAGGATGTCCTAGTAACATTATGAATTTTAAGCCATCATAAGAATTCTGTGTTTTGTGGGTGACATCTTTTGCATTATAAGTAATTTAATTTCAAATAATGCTAGCTTAATTCATAAAAACGATAATTTAATTAGATATTCATCATGTACCTCTAAAGCAAGTTTGGACCAAGATTTTTCATTCCCTCTATATTCCTTCCAAAATAATATAACTACAATTTTGTTTACTAATACAATCCAGAAGAAAAAGATACAGTAAAAAAATTAGTTATTTAATTCATTAATTAATTATAATATGTTTCTAAAAAAGGATGACTGCTCTATCTGTTTAGGTCCCCTTCATTTAAATCCCATGGAAGACGAACCACCAAAAGATAATAAAAAATGCCAAATTAACTTAGATCAAAAGCCCTCTTAGAATACATAGTTGATTAAGAAGAAAAAAATATACAAGACACCTTGTAACCATTTGTTCCATATAGAATGCTTACATCAATGGGTAGAAGTTAAGTTAGAATGCCCATAATGCAGATAGAATTTACCAACCTGCTTTTGAATTTTCTAAATAATAAAATTACTATATCATAAATAAGCTAAAAAAAACTTAATAATAAATTATTACTTTATATCTTCAAAAAAACTATCAGTGTATCAACTTTTCCATCAATTTTGTAAAATATTTTCAAGAATAAACCAAATTATTTATAAATAATTTTGATCTTATTAAAAAGAGGAATTAAAATATTATTAAATATGATATGGTTTTATTAAAAATAATTAAATTAATTAAATAAAATTTGAACAATCAAGGCAACATCATTATTTTATTTTATTGATAATTATTTAATATAAAGTTAAATATATGACTTCTATTTTTAACTTTTATAAATAATTTTAGTTTAAAATAATTGAGAATAGAATAAATTTATATTTTAAATATTCTTCTTAAACTTTTTATTATGAATAATTCTTTAAAAATTTAAACAATTTTGAATAAGCATAGCACCTATTTACTTAAATAATTTATTTTTAAATAGTCTTAATTTTTAAAATTAATTATAAAATTTACATGAACTATTTAATCATCAACTTTTATTAATGAAATGAGTAAATATTGTAAATAAACAAAAATAATCATTTATTTTTAAGAATTTGTGACTATTATAATAATAATAAATAAACTCTTTTAAATTAATAAATAAGAAGTATTAGTTAATTGAAAAATTTATATTTTTATTTAAAGGGGTTGGGGTTGGGGTTGGGGTTGGGGTTGGGGTTGGGGTTGGGGTTGGGGTTGGGGTTGGGGTTGGGGTTGGGGTTGGGGTTGGGGT